AGCTCAGCTACAGCCTTATGCCCGTTCCTGGCGGCCCATGAGAGTGGCGTCCAGCCAGGATCATCCTTTGCATTGACGTCGACTTTGCCTGTGGCTAGGAGCAGCTCGGCGACAGCCTTGTGCCCATTCTCAGCGGCCTGCGAGAGCAGTGTCTGGCCAAGATTATCCTTTGCATTGACGTCGACCTTGCCTGTGGCTAGGAGCAGCTTGACGACAGCCTCGTGCCCGTTCTCAGCGGCCTGCGAGAGCAGCGTCTGGCCGCGATGGTCCCTTGTATTAACCTCGACCTTGCCTGTGGCAAGTAATAGTCGAGTAAGTTCCACTTTACCCTGCTTTGCAAGTTCGATTGGTTTCTTTAACAACAAAGAATTGCGGCTCAATTTTGGGATTTGATTCGAGTCCTCCAAGTAACTTTGACAAAGTCTCTGGAATGAAGTCAAGAGGCCTGTGCTCTTGCATAGCTCAAGCTTAGCAAGCGCCTGGGTTGCGTCGGTGCTTTCAGTAGCAAGCGCTGCAAAAAACGGGTTTTCATATCGCTCCTTAGACGCTTCTAAGGGAGATGACGTGGAGAAGTGGGCTTGAATGAGGCGGGCCAAGTTTCTCTCAGCGAGGATGTAAAGCAGGCTTGCCTCAGATGTGAGACGGCGAGCTTGGTACCTCTCAAGAAGGTTGTGCATGTTAATCCAGCTTTGCAAGGGAAAGCTCTGCAAGAAGTCGAGCTGGACAATGTCTTCCGATTCAGCCTCGTCTGCGTGATGCAAAATGCTATGCACGGCATATTCGAGAAAGGGATAAGATTGCTGGGCTAGATCTCGAAGACTAGCTGCGTCCTCGCTTGACGCCACCGGCAGCGGTTCAGGAAGATGGAGAGACTTTGCGATGTCTGTAGAAATGTACTTCAGGCAACATTCCTTTAGTCGTTCATGGCTTGGCCCTTGGAACCGACCTCCGGGATCCGGCCAGATCTCCTGAAGACCGTTGTCCTTGAGGAGGAAATCCCGCACCGACTCGTGGATGAACTGGACCACTGGGGTTTTCGACTTGGTAGTTTCGGCTAATCCTTTAGAGGAATCCAGTATAAATCTCCGGATTGTGTCGAGTGTGGTCAGCTTCTGATCCCAAGGCTCTAATGAGTCGGGTTCCGTCCCGGCGAGAACAGCATAATACAGTTCTTCTGGCCTAAGGGGCTTTTTTGCAAAGAGGACCCATTGGATGCATAGTATCAACTCGTCCTTATCCCGCGTATCTCGGGTGAGTATATCCCGAAAGAGATCATGCAAGCCGGCCGGGATCTCTCGAAGTCTTTTGCGTAACGTGTGTATGCGTCCACGGTCATGTTCCTTGTTAAGGATGTCAACAACTAGAACAACCCACATGAAGATACCCGTTGCCTTGGTCTGGAGCTCAGCTCTAATCTCTTCTGCAGCCTTGCTGTGTCCAATCTTGAGCTCGGTATCGATATAGTTGGTAATGTCTTGCCTGTGGCCTTCCTGACCTTCTAAGACTAGCCCTAGTCCACGAGCGATTGTAATGTAGGGATAGTGTCGGCTCGAGATGCAGACTTGGAACCGGGTGTTGGATACCACAGCAAGCTCGCCAATATGCTCGAAAAATGACAACATGTCTCGAATCTGATCTTCGTCGCACTCATCCAGCGCATCGATGAAGCAAATCACCTGTGACTGGCCAAGCGATTGGACGGCTTGCTCAAACAGATCCTTAAGCAACTCGACACTCCACTGCATATGGCCATCTCGCGGCCACGCGATCAAGCAAAGTGAGTCGAACATAGCGTCAAGCGCTGGAATGCTGTCCAGGAGCTGCAAGAGGAGAGATCGATACATTCCAACAGTGGATTTCTCCAGGGCCCCACCACGTGCATTGAAAAAGAAGGACAGGATTATCCTCTCCTTCATCGTCCTCCGAGCTTGCGCCAATGCAAATTTCATCAATGTCGACTTTCCTGTTCCTGGGTTTCCCCTGACCCAGAGGAACCCGTGATGTTCGGGAAACTTGCTAGGGTTTAGCCAATCGAGATATTCATCCTTCTTCTTTAGCCACTTGCAGGTCTTTGCGTGGGCAATCTTGATGCTCATGTGGCGAGCGTCGATTTGGTCAAACTTCAGAGAATCCCGCAGCTGTTGCCGTTGCTCCATGGTGAGGGAAGCGCCTGGATTAGGAACCCGGTTCTCTGGCAAGTTAGTTGTCATTCGTCGAAGGGCGGCAGCGACTTTCTTGTACTCGGCGTCGTCAGGTCCAGAAAAGCGGCACATAGCCATATGATTCCGTCTGATATGCTCGGTCGTCTCGACGGTGGGAATATTAAGATACGACGAAGTATCCTCCACAACCTAATTGTGCTTTACGTTAGCTTAAACCACCACTACCAAAGTTACAGTTACTCCCATACCTTGCGGCTACCCAAAGCCATAATGCCTAGCTCCTCTTGAAAAGAATGGATAACCCACTGCTGTTCCTGTGCCAAGGGAACAAACTCGTCTCTTAACTCTCTCAGGCGCTCGGACGAAGGAAGAAGGGTCTTCACAATCTGCTCGTTGGCGGTATACCCAATGGCCTTGACTACCATTTCGGCAGCGTGCTGGAGGAACCTTCGTGGGTCTGCTCCACCATGCGGAGTCCCGAAAAACATGATCCCGATCGTAGACTCAAAAACAGCTCGGAGACGTTTCTGTCCTTGGCATAATCCGCTGGATCGCCGCAGTAGCTCCTTAACGATAATTCCGCCCAGACTATGGACAACAAAGAGCAGAGGCCTCGTTGGCTTCGCTCGACGGATAGCTTCGAGAGCAACCAGGAAGTCCCACGCAATATCTCGAACGGTATTGTGGCTAACTGGTTGGCCAGCCCAATGTCTAATATTGGTATCGTATCCATAGGTCAGGACCTGGGCATTCGGGACTGTTGTGGGAAGGAGGTCACGGGGCCAGTATACGGCGGAATGAGCGCTATCCTTGCCCTGATGGGCCGTCGAGAAAGGGTTAAGTCGCCGGTATTTGTGCTGGGGCTCCGAGGCCTCAACGTTGTCATCCTCAGACCGCATGGAATCGCCTCTTTTGTGCTGCCATGTACGCTCGGGGTGGCCGGTGAATCCATGGATAAAAACGACACTGATCCGTTAGCCTCGCGTCGGAGAGAGACAGGTTACTCGGTTCAACATACTCCAGCGTTGGATTGTCGTGGGCTACTACAACGCTTAATCCAGTAGCTGGAATAATATCTGTGGGCTTTGCCTGTGTGCCCATATTGTGCCGGCAGGAAAATCGGGCACCATCGGTTTCAAAGCCTGAGAGTTTTGGTTTGCAGCCGGACTGGCTGCTTGTAACACTAAGACTTGCGGTGATGCGGGGGAACTGAGGATTGAGCGCAGCTGTTTCGTGCCGATATGCGAAGATAGAACAAGTCAAGCGCGGTAATCAAATACAGATCTACTGCGAGTTGGGACGAAAACGAGTCAACGTCTTCACCAGCGACGATAATAATGTTGTTGAAGTAGGTTCGCTTCACGTTCTGGGGGTGCTGCGCCATGTCAGCCGCAGCAGTGCCTCGTTAGTTCTGCATATCCGGCTGGTGATTGGAAGGTCACATAGACTGCACATGGACTGTCGCGCGGCTCCTCAGGCTCAAGGCAGACCGCTGCAGAAGCCCCAAGGCCATATCCGTAGACGGAACACACAGCCGTTACCAGCCAGCCGAGGAGGGTACCTTCCATTTCGACAATTTGAGGCAATAATATCCTCGAGCGTCTCCAGCGATGGTGGGAAGTGGATAGCACCTTTGGCGCCGCGACTTCGCAGACGCGATCGCGTCTCGAGCAGCCATGGTTCAAGCACAGCGTATTGACTCGAAAGCGCTATGATGTTAATGTAGACAGAGGTGTACATCTATGAGCAGAGTCCTGCCGGCGCTGCGCCGTACAACAGGCAGTCGAAAACACAGGCCAATACTAGGAAGCCAAAATCGGTACCTAGGCTCGCCAGGGCGGCAACACATTCAGTTGTTCTGGAAGGAGTGGAGGTTAATCACCCAGTTAACGCTGCGCTAAGCCACCAAGCCAAGCAGAGCGGCACTAGGAAAGCTGTGACGTCTTTGGCTGCAGCATGAGGCTGAGAATTGGCCAGGTTTTCTCCCTATACCTACCATAGCGCGCGAGGGGGGTCCTTCGAGTGGGTGAAGAGATAGTGTTGAGAGACTTTCACATTGCCAAGGTGCTTTCTTATATGCATGTATGTTGATGGTACATTGGTTAGATTATCCTAGTTAAATGAAGCTTATCTTTGAAACCGGATATGTAGTTTGGAAAACTTCTTGTTCCCAAGAAAGTCCTGCTAGCATGAAAGTCCTGTTAGCAAGAAAGTCCCTAATAGGCAAACTAAAAAAAAAAATTAAAAAAATTAATTAATTTTTATTCCAATTTAGGAAGGTGAGTTTTTTAGACAGAAGGAACAACTGAGATTTTTTTTCAGTATTTTTTTTATTAATGTCACAGGTGAGAGTTGAACTTGGAACCTCAAAATTTTAACTATACTACGTACTAACTAGGCTAAGGAAATGTACTACATAGAATGTCTTTGTATCCTGGCTTATATGGTACAATATTGCCTAATTGCATTTTAGACTTAACAGCGTTTTAGATGAACAGCTAGTTAATTAACTAGGAATTCCAAGCAGAAATGGCATCAATACACCTATCGCATCAATAGAAATACGGACGGATGTCCAATTCAAAAGTTTCGTCCCGATTCAAGGGAAACACTAACAGACCCACTCTTTTGACCAACTAAATCAGCCTATCTGCCCCTCTTTATACTCATTTTACCCTCTAAGCGAATAACCTCCTGGCAAAGCTAAGAACGCCACACACCTGTTGCTTGTAGAGGACTTGGACGCTATGCTTACTAACGTTTAGCACCTACTGAAAGGTGTTAGCGAGGATTTAGTGTCTAAAGCGACTGCACCTCATTTAGGTGTTAGTGCTATTTACCTTCGTTTATTGAATAATATCTTTATAATAAGGTGTTAGTGCTCGGGACGAAACTTTTGAATTGGACATCCGTAATCTACCTGGAATCCATACTACAGGCTATTGCCACCGAAGGAATAGCTATACTTGGGCATGACTTCCAAACCAAACCTATACTAAGAGGCTGTGAGGGTGAGGGTGCGATTCCATTTGCAAGGGGTTTGCCTTGTAATTACATTTTCAAGCTGCCTGGCTCACACTATCCTACTACTTGCATTTTTCTGAACAACCGCGCTTTTCCCAACCCACACCCTCTCCACATCCTTCCGAAGGACCCCCCTCACGCGGTATGGTACCCACGGGACCTACCTAGCGCCGGGCCCCGGTTCGGATATACGACGCATCCGATCTATGAGCCGTGCGTATCATCTTGTCGTGCGCTGCAAACCGGGCAAGGAGTGGGTCTTTGCCGTGAAATGCCGCGCGACTTTTATCTTGTTGTTCTTCTTCCTCACCAGGACAAGCTGCTTTCAAAACTCTTTTAAGAGCTTGCAATACCCTCGTCTTCAGCTCAATTGCCCAAGATGTTGGCAATCCGTTCAATTGCTGCCCCTGCGCAGCGCCAATGCCTACGGGCAGCCCCCCCTGCTGCGGTCACCCTCTCTTTCCATGTGAGATTGCCCGCCAATGCCAATGCCGCCCAAACATGGAGTGCGGCAGCTTGCTAACTTTCTGCTCCTAGAACCAGAGATACTACTCGGCAAGACACGAACGAGTCGCAAAGTTCAACGGAGTGAAGGACTCCTCTGTAAGCCTTTCCCGGCCCCCATTGGGTTTGCTAGAGTCGAGGGCCGCGTTTGCGAAAATCTCTCAACCTGCCCAAGCTTTGTGCTTCAATGCAAGTCATGGAGGATCATTAATGTTTTAAACAGGGCCGCTACCCCGTCAGCTTGATTGAAGGCGATGGAATTGGACCAGAGATCTCACAAGCAGTCAAGGATATCTTCGAGGCTGCCAAGGTATACCATTTTCCTTTCCTGCCCCTCGCGGCTTGTTTGGCCATCGCTAAATCGCAACAGACCCCAGTTACCTGGGAACCCATTGATGTCACACCGATCCTGAAGGATGGCAGGACTGCGATCCCCGACGCAGCCATCGCGAGCATCAAGAAGAATAAGATCGCCCTCAAGGGGCCCCTGGCGGTTGGTAGATCCCTTTCCTGAGGACTGGTGGTAATTCGTGCTGACGTGCCTGTTCAGACCCCGATCGGCAAGGGCCACGTCTCTCTGAACCTCACGCTCCGCCGAACCTTCAACCTGTTCGCCAACTTGCGACCCTGCCGATCCGTTGCCGGGTACAAGACCCCCTACGACAATGTCGATACCGTCCTCATCCGAGAGAACACGGAGGGCGAGTACTCGGGAATCGAGCACGTTGTGGTGGATGGCGTCGTGCAGAGCATCAAGCTCATCACCCGAGAGGCCAGCGAGCGGGTTCTCCGATACGCTTTCCAGCATGCCGAGGAAATCGGCCGCAAGAAGGTCCGCGTGGTGCACAAGGCGACCATCATGAAGATGAGCGACGGCCTCTTCCTTAACGTGGCAAGGGACGTGGCTAAGGACTTCCCCGGAATCGAGTTTGACGCCGAGCTTCTGGACAACACCTGCCTGAAGATGGTTACGGATCCTATCCCCTACAACGACAAGGTCCTGGTCATGCCCAACCTCTATGGCGATATTCTCTCCGACATGTGTGCCGGTCTCATTGGCGGCCTCGGCTTGACCCCGTCCGGCAACATTGGCGATGAGTGCTCCATCTTTGAGGCTGTCCACGGCTCCGCTCCGGATATCGCGGGCAAGGCACTCGCGAACCCGACCGCACTACTGCTCAGCTCGATGATGATGCTCCGGCACATGGGGCTTACTGAGTACGCCGACAGGATCGAGAAGGCTGCGTTTGCCACCCTGGCCGAAGGCAAGGTTCTGACCGGTGACTTGGGCGGCAAGGCCAAGACTTACGAGTTTGCGGGTGCCATCATTGAGAAGTTATAGATACCATGACCGTGTATACGTTCTCTTGGACAGGAGGGCTTTAGACTGTACCACAATTATGATTCCCTTGCCATGACCAACTTGGTTATCCGGATCCAGTGATGTTTGCGGTTATTGAGCGACACGCCTCGCGACGCCAATCCTCGAGCACGCGGCTTTAGGGACGCTTCTCGGATATCGACGCAGCCGGTGGCACTTGACGGGCTCATTGAAGCAGTCTCTTGAATCGGCAGGGGGCAAGCCAGGTCATCAAGGATTATTTACGGAGTATGTCATGAGGGGTTCGGTTGAAAATCACTTGTCTCGCGGAGCAACTTGCCAGTTTCTCGGGGCCAACTCTGACACCTGAAATGAGAGCGAGAAATGTGAAGAGTCGGCTGTTCCACAGCTGCCGGTAAAGGGGATCCGGTAAAGGGGATTATCCGTGTAATACTGCGTGATATTCAACACAACCCTGCATGCATGCATGCATACTCCTGCGTATACATATATAGTACGGATAGTTGCTTCGATAAGCCGCTGTGTGTATATTTGGTGTCTATTGTCGTTGAACAGGCTGTAAGTGAAACGGGCTGGAAGAGGAAGGAGTTCGCGTGACGCTGCGTTGGCGATGTTGTCCAACACAACAACCTCCTGAGTGATGGCATGATGCAGAAGCCAGTATAATTGATCGCAGCTGCAGGCGCCCACCAAATCGTCCCATGTGATGAGCTTTTAGGGGCTTGGCTCGAGAGCCATTACTAACCGTTGGAAGGGTAAGAAGATATTTTCGAGGCCAAGCAAACGTGACCATGCTTTTATATGGCAAAGACCTGCCAAGAGTTGAACATGTCGTACCAACTTCTTGGAGGACGCTTCCAAGGAACCGTGCGCAGTTAGCACTAGCTAAAGAGTTCCTGATGGCAAGTTGTTTTCCGTTGCAGTCGAGTGAGGTCCACTTGAAACATTTGTGAACCAGATCTAAAGGGCATTTCGTCGAAGGCTATAATTGCCTTGAGCTTAGACGATCGAAGCTATTCACAACCCACTACCCTGTCCCAAGATTGGCACAGGACTGATTATCCACAATACATGGAGGCGTGCGATGATGCAACAGGCTAAGGGCTGCAAGGAATGATTTAGCCAAATCTTGGCATGTTTTAGCCAAATCTCCGCCATCTCGATCCACAACGACCCTGAAGTAATACGACAAGGGGTCCTCTCGAGGTTTCGCTCGCTCTTATCGGGGTTCGGTGCTCGGTGCAATGGGAGGTTGGGAGATCAATGGGGCAACTTGTACAGTACAAAACCCCCTTACGTAACTGTCGAGTGCCTGGTTTGAGCCTCAATTTTCATGGGTTGGAGATGAACCTTGACTTCAGAACCTGTGTCAAGTCCGAGGCGAGACAAGACAAGACCGATCTTCCGAAGACTCCAATGCAGCAAAAATAACATCGCTGCCTTTGAATATCCTGTGCAGTATGATTAGGTAGGTACCTAGGTACCTATTCATAATTCTCTCGGTTTAGGCAAGCCCAGCCGATGCGGCATAACGTGCGTGGATCGATGGACTGGGGATAAACGTACGGAACTATTCTAGAAGACGCCGAGACGTCGGGGATCCAGGTCGGGTCTGAATCGTGATAAAGAGACACAGACGCAAATCAATCGACGACTTCTTACTGGCCCAGCTGGGCTGGAGAAATCATGAGCAGAAACAGTTCTGACCGCCGGTCTATCGAAACCGGACTGGCGTCAAAAGCTGTCCACTTTTTTCCTCCTCAGTCTCCCCTCTCCCCCACCCAAGACGTCCGCGGAGCTGGATACTTCGCGAGAAGCGAGACGACTTGGAGCACCAAGCTGTCGGTCCTTCTCCATCCTGCCTTTCCGGCCCCGCCATTCGCCATTCCGCCCCAATTCGCCCCATTCGCCCGCGCTGTCACTGCACATAGTTGTGCAAGGTTCAGGGCTTTGCATAAATTCCAACTCAAGATCCTTGGCAGGGACCCCGGGGCCTCACTACAGTCGCAGGAATCCGTGTGGGAAGAAATCGCTCAAAAGGTTGATCTTCATCACAGTGGACCAGCCACTAGTATCCGTAGGACTGCCGCCCCAGTGGGTGGGCGTCTTATTGCTCACTCTCATGTCGGAGAACGGCAAATGACGGCCGCCCTTGGTGTCGATGCCACCCCTATATATTACCCACCTCACCTCCCTCCCATGGGGCTCCTGTCTTCTCTTCCCACCTCTTCACTCGTCGCGAAGGACAGTCTAATACTCCTCGTTTTCTCCGACTATTACACTGCCTACTACCTATCGTATCGATCCAGAAAACGAAACCCTCACAGTTTCTCGTATTTCTTCCCCTTTAAACCCTATCGTCAAACCTACTCCAGTCGCGTGCCTACCTCGCACAACACTTCCGCCGCTCCCCTACCTACCTCTATCCAACATACAAAATGCCTGTCTCACCAGCATCTCCTGCTCAGCCGCAAACTGCCGAGGAGGCTAGACTCAAGGCTGCATTGGAAAGGAACGCTCTCAAGTTCCACATCAAGACAAAGAACGCCAAGTGGGCTTGCACTCTGCAGGACAGAGCCTCATAGTGGGTGATCTCCCCGTCTATATAATGCCAAGCATTTGCCTTGAGGAAACGACGGCAAGAACTGACCGTTTACCAGCGAGAGACAAAAGGGGTCCCGGACTAGCTCGTCTGCCTCGGTCTCTACAACAGAGTCCACTTCCAGCACTTCTTCGAATTAAACAATAGTTTCTGCTGGAGTGACGCAGTCATGAAACAATAGTCATGCCTGACATGAATCTGGCTTCGATCCCACGACTAAGGAAACCGGGTGGGTGTTGGAACAGCTACCAGGGTCGGAAGTGACGGCCCAGGGCTGGTGGATGGGGAAGATGCAGTGTTGCGCTTGTCAGGCTCCATCTTCTCGTTCACTTCGGGCACCCTTACGAGTTAACGAATTTGGCTTTTTGCATTAATGGAGGGTGGCGTCAACATATCGGGGTTGGTCCCCCTAGAATTGTATCGTAGCGAAAAACCTGATAGAGGCTAAGGGAGATAAAAAGTCCTCGTCTTAGACCATAGACCAGCGGCATTGCATAGCATGCGTTATCTTACTCGCTGGGGAAAAAGAAGCAACATCCCAATCCCGACATTTCCGCTGCACTACAGCGAATCGTGTGTCCCGCTGTTGGGGGTCTGCTTGTGTGGGTCGGATGGGAACAAGACGGAACAAGACATGTCCACATCTGATGGATCGCCGAACCCCACGCAATTTGCCGGCACTTCCGACTTGATTCTTAGCGGTGCAGTTCCGCTCGCCGTGGAGTCTGTCTGCACACTCTTATATCTCTCAGGAGTTTGTCTAGCAAAAGCTTGTCGGCCCAAACCGAGGCTTGAGATGGCTTGATGTGCATGTTGACACCTTATATTCTCATTGCCCACCGAACTCACCAAAGTGTTCCTTCGGACCCGTTGGAGCCCTGCGGCGTGCACACTGGTTATTCCTGATTATCACGTTAGCAGTGGTCTGTTCCGAGCTCTGTCCCGGCCATATGGTCCATGGTAGCACAGCAACGGAGGAATATTGAATATTGAATATTTGCTTGGCAAGGCTGTTCCCTAAAAAAAAAAAAAAAAAAAGGTCATAGTTTCGGTGGTTGAGAAGCCTACTGTTGCAACCAGAATCTCTCAGCCAGAGAAGCAGTAACGCCCGGCTACCTCGACAATGCTTGTACTACTGTTATCAATGGCTTGCCATCCCCCTTAATGCTGGGGAAAAGAAAATAAAATAAAAAAAGGTAGTGAAGAAGAGGAATATGTACTGTTTCAAATAATAATAAAATAAGATATAATTGTCCCCCTGGACCTACGCAATAAGCTGAAAAGCCTTACGTTGGCGATTGCGTGAGTGGTCTACGTCACGAGTCGCCCCAAAGGAAGCCTTGCCCTTGGTCGCAAACAAGCATGGTTCAAGGAGGGGCTGCCACAGTAAACCTTCGTTCGGGTTGCACCTAGTTAGGTCCATGCTACATAGCCGGGCGCTTCCCCCAACTTCACCTGCATGGCGGGGCGGTCGACTCTTCTAACTCCTTCCCTCAACCTCAATATTCCCTTCTCCTGGGATACACAGCTGTGAACTCGGCTCCTGTTCACAATGCCTATGCCAATAGCCGCCAAAGGTTAGTTGCACTCTCGCACTCGCACTGCTTTCTCGCCTCGCATTTCTCGAGTCGTCTTGACGACCTACCCCACGTTGCCCAGGCTCCATGCGAATCACAATACTTGCCTCTCCCTTCCTCATAACCGCCCGTTTTTGGTGGCGAAGACGGTCATCCGACCACGCAATCCCCTCTTCATTTACTCGGGGCAAAGTCGGGCCTTGTTGAACTTGGACTTCAAACCTCAAAATCTGGTCATTTGTCTACTTTCCTTATCTGAAGACCAGGCTCATGCGCTGGGCAACACTTACACTGTCAACCAACACACACGCCCTCGTTTTTCTAACCCCACTTCTGCCGCTTCACGAACATCTTACATTCCGTCCAACTCCGCACCTTACCTCCAATCATGCCCCCCGTTAACCACGCTGTCCTTGCCTCAGCTGGCGTAATCGCCCTATCGGTGGCCGTGGCAGCCGCCATCGCTGTCTATGAGTCCCCCGAGCTCCGTCGCATGGCCGACGACCTCCGAAGGCGCATCGCCATCGCCCTGCACTCCATGGGAGACGGCGTCCAACCTCCTGCGCGCGAACCACGGTTCAACCGTCCCGAAGATGCCGATGGATTCTTGCAATCCCGAGCCGTGGTCGCGAACGAGCCCGGAGTAGACGCTGATGACGAAACCCGCCGCAGACAGCGAGAGGAGCTGATGTACTGGAATGCTGTCCTTGAGGAGAAGAAGACAAAGGAGCGCGGCGAGGTAGGACCAACACACACCTCTCCCCCGGCTCATTCGCGGGCCTCGTCATTTGACGATTTCCTACAGCGAGACTCGAGTGCGGAGCAGGGTACCTATGTTTTCAACACCGGAGCGCAGGTTCGGGACGACAATGTTGGCCTCTTGCGGCGGCGTGGCGGTGTCGAGGGAGTCCGGGGACTCAACGCCTCCATCTACGCAAACCCGTTCGCCGACGAGAATGGTGTCGACGATTTTGACGATCAGCTAGCCACGGAGCCTCATCCGCTCTCCCCCGGAAAGGACGAGACGATGTCGGTCGACATCTACAACGCCACAGAGGCTGCCGCTTCGCAGACTCTATCTCCACAGCCAGTACCAGAAGTTCTCTTCGACTATGATGCCGGGCTGCCGACGCAGGACGAGCCGGAACCGGCCACTTTGATGGATCGTGAACTTGCCCAAGACGAATTCATGACTGCCGGCCAGGAGGACCGGTATGATGCCTATGCCTCCGTCCAAGCGTGGGCAAATAACTACAACAATAACTTCAACCCTGGCTCCTACTCTCCCCTTCCCATGTCTCCCCCTGCACCGCTCTCCGAGCCCGACATCGTTAGCGAGGGGGCGCTTACGCCGGCTGATTCGGCATCTCTGGCTGGCTCTGGCGAAGATATTGGTGACGACGCGGCCTCATCGCGGGCAGGCGAGAATGGCCGTTACTACGACGTAATAAGCGAGGACGAGGACGGAATGCCGACGCCCGTCAGCTGGACCGAGGTCGGGAGTGTGGTCAGCGAAAGTGAGAGCGCGGTGCATGCGTGAAAAGACAGGACGTTCGTTCGCTCTTGTTGGGAACGAGATACCCCCTTCAAGTATTCGGGTTAGGCGTCATAGGATAGGCGTTGGGTATTCGTTGTCGTTGGTTTTCCCATGCTTTGGTAGGTAATCTCCATAACCCCCAGGACTGCAGGGATAATATGATGGACGGAATCCCATCTGGAGTTGGTTACACTGTGTTCGCCTTAGAACAGGAGGCTCGTAATCCTAACCTGGCGGCGTCATTATCGCCCATTTCCTAGACACTGAAATTAGACCAATTTATGTTATTTCAACGATTGAGCTCATCATCTACGTCTGAGTGGCGTGGTCTGTTGTATCCCCCTGCTTCTCCTTCTCCTTGTCCGCCGCCAGCTCATCGTCCCTCTTCAACTTGTCCACGTAAGCTTCCCAGAGCTCCCCGACCGGCCTTCCAAACAGGCCGGTCCAGAACTCCCGCTCCTCATATCGGTGCTCCCTCAGCCTCTCGTTGATCCTCCTCACCGTCCCCTCCCCGAACCTCCCCTCGAGATAGTCCAGAAAATACGCCGTGTGCTGGTACCCGCCATCCCAGCCCGCGCCCGCCTCCCGCCGCCAGTGCGGCGGGCCGAGCCGGCACCGCAGGCGCACCCAGTCCGCGACCCCCTCGACAAGCCCGCCCGGGCACGTCCCCAGCCCGTTCCACTGGTAGCAGTGCACCAGCTCGTGCGTCAGCACGCCCTCCAGCTCGGCCGCCAGGCGCGACGAGGGCCGCACCCCGGCCACGTACCCCAGGGACAGGTGCACCTCCTTGTGGTGCGACGGGTCCAGCTCCGTGCCGACCGTGTACGCCACGCCGCCCATGTCGCGCAGCACGAGCGTCACGGACCGCGTCGGCGGGCAGTGCCACCGCCGCCGCCGCGCCTGACTTGCCGCACCCGGTGCAGATGGTGGCGGCGGCGGTGACTGGTACAGTTGTCGCTGCACGCGCCGCACCGCCTTCGCTAGCACGGCGCTGGCGTTGACGGCGGCGAGGAACTCGGACGCACCTGCGCGCCCTAGGTCGCGGATCTCGAGGCGCAGCTTCGGCTGTGGGAGGGCGGGATCGTCGTCGTCATCGTCGTCGGAGGTGTTGTTGTCGACGACGGCGACACGCGATGGGCTTTTGGGCCCGGAGGGGTGGGCGCTGCTGGCGGGGCGGCCGGGGGCCGGGTCTGGGCCGTCCGGCTCGCTGGGACCCGAGTCTGGGCGCGACTCGGCGGGCTCCGGAAGCGGCGTGGTTTGGGGCACAATAGTCATGGGGACGGCGAGGTTGTTCATACGGAACTGGAAGAGGTCTTTGTTTCCGAGTTGGGCGGACTCTTTGGCTTGTCTTGAATCACAGCTTCATATCACATCCTGATATGCTCAGGGTAGGAACGGAGTACCTCAGCTTCCATTCCCCATTTCTACAAGGTACTTCCTTGTATCGTGGGAGACCTACACTAGATGGCGGGGCAATCCAATGGTAGTATACGAGATTCGGGGAAGTACAAAGTAGACTGCTGCCACTTTTGGCGGAACAGGTACTTTAACGGGGTACTGATTACTGTTCGCGGGGCCAGGATCAAGACAGGGGTGTGGGGTGGGTGTGGTTTCGGGTTGCCCCGTGCGCAAATATGCTGGTCAACAAGGAAAGCGCTTCCCATCTCGGGAATATTTTGTTGTCAACTGCGACTAAACAATCCCAAAACCGGCGCGTCATTACTGTAATTCGCATCTTTTGCGAGGGTTTCTCATCCCAACTAAAGGCCGCGCACTCACATCACGTTCGTTGGGTCAGTCTTTTCAGTTCCATTGCCGCGCGACGCCCCCAATTTCCTTTTTTCCCTTCTCCTTTTCTTCGGCTGTAGCTAGTGTTTTGTTTTGGGCGGCTCATTGACATTGCTCATTGCAACAGAGACTCGACGCTTCCCGCCCAACTCCTCTTCGCTGGAGGATATGGCGGACAAAATCAATGATAAGCAGGTCTCGGACCTCATGGCTTTGCTCCGGACCGACGCTTCGATTGATACGAAAGTCCACCACGTTACAGCCATCAAGTCCGGCATCAAGCAACATAATGTCCCCGAAAGCACCGTCACCCTGCTCTTCGAGGCGCTCCGGACCGCCTCTTCGTCGCAGCATGCCGTCCTCGTTAATGCCGGCTTCACGGCGCTCAGTCATTTACTCACCCGACTATCACGTCAGGAGCCGAAACTTCTCATCAAGGAGGCTCCGCGAACATTACCGCTCCTCGTCGAAAAGCTCGGCGACCAGAAAGACAAGTTCCGGGCCCTCGCATCCCAGTCATTGATCACCCTGTGGAATATAGCACCTGTGGATGTCGAGCGGTCGGTGCGGAATATTGCCATGGCTGGAAAGAACCCGAGGGCTAAGGAGGCTAGCCTGCAGTGGCTACTCCAGGTAGGTGGAGGACTTTGACCTCTGCTGAAGAAGACCCAACTAATATCTGCGAAGACGCATCAAGAACACGGCCTACAATTTCGCAGCTACGTTCCCACCCTAATGGAGCTACTAGAGGACGCAGACGGCATGGTCCGCGACACTGCTAAGTCCACTGTCATTGAGCTGTTCCGGTATGTCAAGACTGCTCATTCGAGCTGTCGCAGCGCTGACATGTGAACAGGAATGCACCCAACCCGGCCAAATCGGACTTGAAGAGGCAACTCAAGACCTTCAAGGTGCGACCCGCCATCGAGCAGGCGATCGTGAAGGAGCTGGCGCCGACGGCTTCGGCACCGCCTTCCCAGCACGACGATGTGCCGGCATCCCCAGCGCCAGTGCGACTGAACCTCGCTGCGAGCGTATCGTCACTATCCAGCGAACGGCCCATTACCCCCATGACCGAGATAGAGCAGGTCGAGCCGATTTACATCAACACCCAGCGGGAGCTCGATGACATATTGAGGGAGATGCACACCTACTTCGAGGGGAGAGAGACGGAGCAGAATTGGTTGAAGCGAGAGGAGAGCCTAACTAAACTGCGAAAGTTGATGGCTGGCAATGCTGCGACAGACTTCTCCGACTGCTTCCTCGCGGGGCTCCGTGCCCTCCTAGATGGCATCATCAAGGGCGTCACATCTCTACGAACCAGCCTGTCCAAGGAGGCATGCAGTCTCGTCCAAGAGATCGCCAACACCTACGGGCCTGGCATGGACCCAATGGTCGAGCTCCTCATGCAGACTTTCATCAAGCTGTCGGCCGCAACGAAGAAGATCAGTTCCCAGCAGGGCAATGTCACGGTCGACGTGCTTATTGCAAAGACGTCTTATAACTCACGGATGTTGCAGCACATCTGGGGCGCTTGCCAAGATAAGAACGTCCAGCCGAGGACGTACGCGGCAGGCTGGCTGATGACCCTGATCAACAAGGAAGCTCATCATAAGAGCCACATCGAGCACGCGGGTGGGCTAGATCTGATCGATAAATGTATCAAGAAAGGCCTCGCGGACCCGAATCCTACAGTCAGGGAACGGATGAGGGCAACATACTGGAGATTTGCAGGTATCTGGCCAGCCAAGGCGGAGGCGATCATGAGTGGACTTGACTCCACCGCTCAGAAGCTGTTGCAGAAAGACCCCAACAACCCCAACTCGCCGAAGAAACCGGAACCAGCGGCCCGCCCGGGACTTGGATTGTCGAAGAGCACGATGGGATCGTCAAAACCAAGCCTCCGCGAAGCTATGCTGGCTCAGAAGAAGGCATTGGCGAGGGGGAACCTCCCCGCACGCCCTGGCTCGGCCATGGCACAATTTTCTCCCATGAGAACCACGTCGAGCTCGTCTACAGCATCCAGCTCCTCGACTACTACAACGCGACAGCGCCCCGAGTCGATCCTTGCTGCTGCGCCGGGTGGGTTGTCTGTCGCCCCCATGCGACCCACGAAGAGGCGGCCAGAGATGGCTGCTCGGCCGGCCACTGCGGGGCCGTACTCGGTACGAAGCCATGACCAGCCTTCGGCGGAACATGCCAGCCCCCCGGCGAGCATCCGATCTAAGGCGGCTGTGACGCCCAAAGTCATGACTGCCTCACCGAAGCGTACGACAGTTCAAAGGACAAGACCAGGCCACACCGCGACTGCCAGCGAGTCCAGCCTCCCTTCCCCGTCGAGGTTGGTCACCAGCAAATCGGCTCCCTCGCCTCGCGTTAGCCCTGCAAAGCCCAGGCCCGCTCCTCCAGCCGCCACCGCCGCTGCCGCACCCAGCAGTCCTACCCAAGCGAACGAGGACTTTACATTAGTCGTGCCTGCCGTTGCTAATATCACAGCCGAATCTCCTGAAATCTCATCTCCCCCCAAACCAGTGGTAGTAATAGTGGATGACGTTTCGTCTCCGGAAACGCCGTCGAGACCGCTGCAGGTTTACGAAGACCCATTCACAGATGATCAGGCAACGCCAAAACCTACCTTCACGGGGCCTGTCCTCGAAGATAAGCCTGTCAATGAAGACGCCGGGAACCTCTTGCGGCAAGACGCGGAAAGCGATGGTGCAAGAAACCCGGTCTTCTCGCCCGAGAAATCGAAGCAGAATTCCCGTTTGCTAGACAGTGGCATTTCCAAAGTCAAGCAGAAGACGCTCGACGTTCATGGATTCCGCAAACTGCAGGGCATTATCCGGGACAACAAAGCCGTCTTCACGGACGACAAGTTCGACTCTCTGCTCACGGGACTGTTTGGGTTCCTCGAGTCTCCCCTCGCCCAGCTAACCCCCGAGAAGGCCCAGGACGTAAAGGCGCAAGTCCTCGCGACGATCAAGCTCCTCCTAAAGAGGATGCGGGACAACTTCCAGCCACACGTCTCGCGCGGCCTCGAGTCCATGCTGCGTAGCCGCGCTAACTACGACGGCCGGACGCACATGGTGAGCGGCCTGGAGCTGCTGGCCGACGAGCTGGTGACGCTGGGCGACGCGAGCGAGATCACCGTCGTGCTGACGCGCATGCTCAGCGGCACAGACGCCGCCGACGCGCCCGGCAGCCGGCCGCTCAGCATGGGCCTGCACGTGCTGAAGGAGATGGTGGACGCCAAGCCCGCGTTCGTGCCCAGCGATGCCGAGCTGGGAAACCTCTCGGGCCTGGCCCTGCGCTGCCTCGACTCGCCCGAGTCCGGGGTGCGGATGGACGCTGTCCAGCTCTGCGTCGCGCTGCACGCGAGGGTCGGGGAACAGCGCTTCTGGGAGGCCATGAGGGGCATCAAGGACGACCCCAAGAACTTGATAACCTACTACATTGTCAAGCGGCAGCGGGAGGGGCAGCCGGTGATGGCTGCATGACGCCACGACTCGGGCGGTCTCTGATGGTGTGACATATCCCCTTTTTTTCTTTCTCTCTCTTCCTTTTTTTCTTCTATTTTTGGCGAACCCGAACTCGGTTACCAGGGAGTTGGAGAAAAACAAAGAAAAGGGGTCACGGCGTATTGGAAGGTGTTTTTCCTCCGGTAATAGTGTGCGAACAACAGAAACAAAGGGGACGGGAGTGGGGGCTGCCGGCGAACCATAGACCTACCGGCGACGGACGGAAGGGCAAAGGTATCTGCTGTCGATCATGTACGTGGGGTTGGGGGGTGTGTGTTTTAAAGCGCCAGCATGGAATATGTCGACTCATTCGCATGCTGCGTTTCCGATATGTTCTTGTAATGAAGCCCGTACCCTTTTTCTCCTGGTTTTCGTCTTCCATTCGGCCAGCATTCGAGGTCATTTCCTCTCCAATACAGCCGCGCGATGGCTTTGATAGGTATTGTCAAGAGCATCGGTATATATGTATACGCGGGCCATCTCGCTTGCACTCTCGACATATTAGCTGTATATTATAATCCCACGCGCAGCAGCTCATTCCCAGGTATTCTATTGCACATACCCCCCACCGTAACCCCCCAAACTGGTTTTGACTTTAATGTTTACTGTCGCCTATAGATTGAGCTGTGTCATGTGGTGGGAGGGAAGTAGCTACGAGCAAATGACATAGTAGTAGCAGCGGGATATGAATATGACGACGCGTATGAAGCAGAGTTGCGTGTATCTCGACGAATCGTCATGGCCAGCCCTGCGGCGACGCATCGGCAGTTCAACTAGGCCTTGCAGGCCAGCGTCTCACGCGACGGGAAGCTGCAGGCAGGGCAAGGACCTGATCTTCGCTCATTAATATCTGCGATTTGGGTTGCGGAGATACCTATGTATTGCATGTATGTACTATATAAGTACCTCGCATCCTTCCATCCTACATTAGTCACTCGCACACGGCCTTGGTCGGGAACACATTTGTTCGCCCGCCCTTCCAAGGGCTTCGACGCCCGGGTGATTGACCGCGGCGAGTGCAAACGAGACATGTCGCCGCGCGTGGGGTTTCGGCAACCTGGCATGAATGTCGCGGTGTGACAAGACGGTGCAGACCCCTGGGGACGATCATTTGTGTGTCTCCATGGGGCCAAGGGGGGAAGAGGGAGGGGATCTCTTTCCTGAAGAGAATGTCCATCGCATGGAGGGATGGAGGGGATGGTGGTAGGTTTCCCGGGCTCGACTTGGAGCAGGAATGGAAGAAGAAATATACAGGGAGTTACATCACAGTTATGCAGATAGGCGTTTTAAGTTGGCGCAACCACATGCAGCAGAGCACATGGCCAGGTAAATGAAATAGACTACGTACGCCTTGCATGATCAACCCGCCGGTGCAGAGTGCCATCGAGTCTCTCTCGCCCGCCGCTTGCGAACGGGCTTTCAGGCCGTCTGCCGGGTCCACCTGTCAATGCGGCTGGGAGGGAGGCTCTTCTCGCGCCGCGGTATGTCCGTGACATGACGGGAATGGGTCCAACAACGCCAGCGGGTCGTTGTGCGTCCTTGTCAGACTCGACCGCCAGCTGCTGGAGATTAAAGGAGCCTGCAGCTGAATGTTTCCGTGTGTTGGGCGTGTCAAGAAGGGGAATACAGCATACCAGCTTACCAGGAGTGGAGAGCCTCTCAGGGGGGAGGAAGCAGATAAACAGGCAGTCAGTTTACTGTCAGCACCGGGTACAAGCGTGTCCAGAACCGTTACTTTGTTGGAAGTTTGGTTGAGAGGCACAGAAAACGATACGTACATCGCAGTGTGCAGTATGCAGGGCGCGCGGTGGCGGCGGCAAATGGGGAACGCGATTACTATGGTACTGCTACCATGATCCTTGCCTCGATCCAAAACCCGAAGAGAGCTGGGGGAGGAGGAAGAGGAGCCCTGAAACGAAGGCAAGGTATGTACAGTAGTGTACCTAGTGCAGGTACACTAGCAGATTCGCAACGGGGTTTGCCGCCACGTTGATCAAGATGGATAGATCCTATCTAGGTAGCTCATCGCCTCGGAACAAGGCGGGCATAAACCGAGTCGAATATCGACAAGGGCAGTGAGGCAGACTTGGGCGGCGCCTCCCTGGGCCATAGAAGGGGGTGTTATTATCACGAACTGGAGGATCGACCTCATGGATGTCGATTATGCGGATAATTCATCAGCCTAATATTCCCACTACGACTAAAATGTACCACAGTAGTAGTAAAAACGTGTGCTCGCAGGCCACAGTCAAGCCCGCTAATTGTTTTGAGAAGATTCAGGGATCTCTCACTCGGTGGGGCCCACTAAAGATGAAACAGAGCGCTATTCTGTGGTCTTGCCCAAGACTGTGGCTGGATGCACAGAACGCCCAATTCAATCGCGTGGATGAGAGAACCGTGGCTGCTGTACCTGCAGGGTGGATGTTTCTGTTTCGAGCCTTCTCGTAGCATCCAGGAACCATCTCCCTAGGTTGCGGTGCCAGGTTGCAGCCTTGCTCGGTTGGGATCAGCTCGGTGTCATTACAGAAAACGGAAAACACCTCCCGTGAGCAGAATGGAAAAGGATGCGGGCCCTTGTTTCTTCTTTTCCTTTGTGCTGGTTTGGTTCTTTTTTTCGTTTTATGCTTCAAAAAGAAAACAATCCCCGGGGCTGGATCGATGGACCTGAGATCAATCTCGTCGGGAATGCCAAGACCAATGAAGAGTAGTATTTGAGTAGGAAGGAACAACCTGGCCTTGCCCAACGTAGAAATGATAGGCATGCCTACAACGCTCCCTCGTTCTACGCATTATTACGCAGTATCATCAGATACAAATTTGCAATCGAACATGATCTATTCTGGGCGACCGCTTAAGTAAGGTACATACTTTCCAGGTTGTTGCACAGTGTCGAATACTCGGCTTGCCATTTTGTGCATCCAGCCTCCAGCCTCGTACGAATAGGTAATTGCCTTAGCTTTACCCACCACCTGATAGTTTCAGATGAGGGGGATGAGCGAGAGTGAACAGGTAACATGAAGTGCTGTCGTATTCACTGCCAACAGATATACTACGCTTCTTGTAGTATCAGCCTGCCTATGGACTACCATTGGCTAGGCTAGATTCCAACATGGCCTCTTCTGTTACAGTGCTGCTATTCTGGACAAGGTCTGACTACCACAGTACAGAAGTGGAGGTGACACACTAACTACCTGGAGCTTACTGCTTACTGCTTAGTCTGTATCGTCAACAGCGCCTACCCCAGTTCCGAAGACACTAGAAGCGAAGCCCCTGTTGAGTCCCTTTGCATATCTTTTGATGAGAGGGAAACGGTGCCGGACCGCCCAGGGAAGCCAGAAAGTCCCCACACTGAGCTGCAGCGCGTTTCATACGCATAGCTGGGCCAATTCTGTCGACACCACTTGTTTGGACTTGATCAGGTTCTGCAAGCTGGGCTGCCTGTCTCCCATTCACGCTTGCTATTATTCCCTTGTATGCATTGTATCCAGCTTACATACCTTACTTGGGCAGCCAAGGGTGTCTGAAAGGCAATCTTTTCTCCCTTTACATTGGGAGAACATATTTTTCGGTAGAGGGATACGAAGAGCGACTTACATAGTGGCATGACTAGTCAGGGTACAGGTACCTAGGTAGGTATTCCACAATTTCACAATTCCTCACGGATCCGCAACCCCCCCAGTCCTGCATCCTGGCCTGCAGTTCCCCCCAGGGCCTCCACAGCCAGTGCTCACAGACCACAGACCAACGAACGAACAGCGGCCGGCCAAGCCAAGTCCCAGCCAGGGTCAAAGGACCACACTTCATCAGACGTCGTGCGATTCGACTTCTGCTGTTGACTTCAACAACGTCCTGCCCTCCGGCTTCTCATCCCTCCAACAACCACCGTGCTCCCCGGCCAAACACCCACCATTGCGAGGCCACTGCCTCGACTCGAGCCGTCGCTGGTTGGGAGAACCTCATTTTCCATGTCTGGCCCTCCACACCACCTGCATTTGCCTTCTCTTTCATGACGCTTTTCCGCCCTCCCGTCCCGATCCCCACAGCACGTTGCTCACCTTAGCAACTCGCGCTGATAACCATACCCAAATCCATCAACGAGATGACAACCATGGACGACTATATGGATGCCCCCATGGACGCGGAGGATGTCTTTCCCTGCAAAGGATGTGGAGAGGTATGTCTTCCATCACTGACTCTACCAGACACCAAGATCTGGGCTGAATGCTGACATGGCTTGACCATTCCAGATCCTCGAGGAGGGAAAAGCCTTCGAGCTCGGTAGGTCTATCCTATTGCGATGCACTCTCTCTTGTTGGATACTTACATCACACCTACATCCACGTCATTATGCTCAATGCCCTGCCCTCGAATCACAGCCTAACCTACTGCCCCTTTGTATTTGCTGCATACGCCCTTTCTCCAACAATGTTCGCCCCAGAGTCCAAGTTCCGCCCTGCTAACTATGCCATAGCCGGAAACAGATGGCATCTCGATTGCTTCAGATGCAATACCTGCAACACCCTCCTCGACTCCGATGCAAACCTCCTCCTGCTTGGCGATGGTTCTCTCATATGCAACAATTGCACATACAGTTGCAGCGCCTGCGGCAACAAAATTGAGGATCTTGCGATCCTCACCGGTGACCAGGCTTTCTGCGCAACCTGCTTCCGGTGTAGGAACTGCAAGAGGAAGATCGAAAATCTACGATACGCCCGAACATCACAGGGGATATTTTGCATGAGTTGCCATGAGTCTCTCATGGCAAGAAGGCGGAAGAAGTCCAAAGCTGCTGCCCAAGCCAAGGCACGGGAGAAAGAGGGCTCGCCCATGATCAAGGACAAATCTCTGCCAGCCTTGCCGCCGAATGCCATACCTCCCAACGCCTTCTCCAACGACCTCGTAAGCCCTGACTCGGAAGCGCCCACCGAGCTGTCTCCCCGCCCCCGGCCCGCTTACCCGAGGCACGACTCGTCCAGGAGCAGCTCGAGACCGCCTCGGTCCCCCGAGAGGCCTGTGGATTCCGCGAAGGATTCCTCCCTGGTGCCCCCGGCAACTGGCTATCGGAACAATCGCAATTCCTCCATCATATCGGGAGACATGACCAGCGCGGATGCAGACAGTTTCTTCATCCCTGTTGCCCTAGACCCAAGCCCGGCTCCTACGCCCACCCCAAGGTCAACTTCTGAGGGCTTGGCCGATGTGAGCAAGAAAGCAAGGGACAACAAGGACTATTTCAGCATGTCAAAGCATGGCTCGGCATCCGAAAAGAAAACAGACTCACAAGCATCCACCCCTCACATAGCATTCCAGGAGAAAGGGAGGAAGATATCCTCTGATTATGAGAGTCCTCAGTCGGAGCGACCTGCCCGCAAGCTATCGAAGAGGAATGGCCAACCCAAGGCTTCCCCTATTCCCGGCGAGGATCGCAGGACATCCAATGGCAAAGTTCAGACAGCCGCCGACGAGTTCAAGCTCCAGGATGCTCCAAAGAGCAAGAAGTTAGTCAGCACAAGGAGCAACACACATTCGCTTGTCGATGCCGAGAACTCGGCATCGACCATGTCTGGCAGTGGTAACCCACGGAAGGAGAAGGATCTCCCGCCAGCCCTCTCAAAATCCGACTCACCTCCGCTTCTCAGTCCCCCAGACAACGTTGCAACACCTCAAAGCTCGCCAGACGCCCGCTTCAGAGACGACGATGAAGTTCGCCCATCTCTAGATTCCCTCCACTCTAGCCGATCAGATATGCCTAGCTGGCGATCAATAGCTCGAAAGGAGCTCCCTACGGGCGCCTCCTGGAACGGTAGGTTTCCGGCTCTCTGACACCATTCTGAGATGCCCCATTGCTAATACACCGGTGACAGTCAATGGCAAGCCCACCTCAGGTTCAGGCCCACCCGCGAGGCCGGCAACTGCAGGTGACGCGCTTTCTGCAGCAAGCCCGGGCGTTTCTGGACCAGCGCCTCCAGAACGCAAGCTGAACGATGCTTATATGCAGCCAAGAGCACCTCCGCAGCCTCCAAACCACACCCCGAAGGAGTCGTTAAGTTCTTCGGGCGAACCGCCGTCCCCGAAGGTGTCACCGAAGCTTCCTCGATGGAGCAGTGGTGGGGACTTCAGCCTGGACGAGGATATGGCCAGAATTCTGGGCACTGACGAAGGTTCGTCGTCGATTCTACGCCGTGTCTCGAATGTCGTCAGGCATGGTCGGAACAACAGTACCGAGACGGGCAACAACCATGTGCGGATCGGCCATAGCAGGAGCGTGAGCGAGACGACTCGCGCGACCGTCTCACCTCGTTGGCCGAAGACGCCAATTGCCGAGAACGCCGGTCACGCTCATGATATTAGCAGTCCCATCTCTTTGTCTGGTGGCGCCGGAAATGATCCCGCCTTTTTGAAGCGGCGACTAAGAAACTCGGAGCACAGAGTCGCCGAGCTCGAGCGGCAATTTAACACCGAGCTGGATCTGAAGAATCTCAACAAGAAGCTGGTTGAGAAACGGAAGACGGTCTCGGTGTTGGACACCCAGACCGAGATTATGATTCGGCAGCTCGAGGTCCTTGCCGGCTATGTCGAGCGTGCCAAAGAGACAAAGCAGCCGGTCGATCCCCGAGAGCTGGAAGAGTCTGCTCTAAAGGACTTTGTGCAAAAACTGGACAAGCTCAAGCAGACCATGGCTGCCTCCATCGAGCAGCTGCATGCGGAGAAAGACGAGTTGATCGAGGAGAAGAACCATGCGATTGCCGACCGAGACCGCGCGCTCCTCGAATTTGAGCAGCTTTCCTCCAAAAATGCGCAGCTGGCGGATCTCAACAACGACCTAACCCACCAGATCCAGGAGCGCTTCAAGTCCCACATCAGCTCCGAGCTCAAATCCCCCAACGGTCTCGGCATCTACGGCCACGCCAAGGGCATGTCGAGCGCATCGACTCACCTAGACTCGTCGAGCTTCCAAGGTGCCCCCTCCCTGGTCGGCACCGACGTGGAAGAGCCGGTGCTCGAGGGCCCTACGGTTGTGAATATTCGGAAGGGCCAAGTTCGCAAGTTCAACTGGAAGAAGGGGTCCAGCAAGGTGGCGCAGAACATCACGAAAGGCATCAACCGTGCTGCTGTTGCCTTCCAGCAGCAGGACCAGCCGCGACCGCACCAGGGACTGACTGGTGACAGTATTGGCCTGCCCTACAACATGACCATGACTCAGGTCGAATCCCCCGTCTCCCATGGTCCTTTGTCCCATGGTCCGCTGTCACATGGTCCGCTTTCCCATGGCCCCAACGGACAGAACCGAGTGACGAGCGAGTCTGCTGCAAAGGGCTTTGGCTTCTTCGGCAACAAGAAGCCGGTGGTGAGGTCGGTGACGGCTACCAATGTTTCCACCCCGGCCATCGCCGAAGCCCCATCGATCCTCTTCGGGTCCGACCTAGTTGAGAGAGCAGACTATGAGCGGCGCCAGATCCCCAGTGTGGTGACCCGATGCATTGAGGAGGTCGAGCTGAGGGGCATGGACATTGAGGGCATCTACCGGAAGACGGGCGGCAATTCTCAGGTCAAGATGCTCCAGGAGGGATTTGACAAGAGCGAGGATTTCGACATCTCGGACCCGGCCATCGACATCACAGCTGTCACGAGCGTCCTCAAACAGTACTTCCGTAAACTCCCTGTTCCTCTGCTCACTTTCGAGGTCTACGAGCGAATCCTCGAGTCCAATGGTACGTGCTGATTGTTGCGGAACCTGTGAGGCTTTGGACTTTGCTAACCATATATCTGTAGCCATCCAAAACGAGACGGAGCGTTGCAATCACCTGAGGAACACGGTCAACATGCTCCCCCAGAAGCATCGCGATTGTCTCGAATTCCTCATGTTCCATCTTGCTCGAGTAGCAGGCAGAGAGCGGGAGAACTTGGTACGGAACACATCCCCGCAAATCCCCGTCGATCGCCGACATGGTTGCTAACAAGTGAATCAGATGCCGCCCAAGAACTTGGCCGTCGTCTTCGCGCCCACCATCATGAGAGATCACAGTCTCGAGAAGGAGATGACAGACATGCACGCGAAGAATCTTGCAGTACAGTTCGTCATAGAACACAGCCACTCTATCTTCTCCGAGGCTTAGAATACCGATTGTGGCAACCTTCCTTTCCTTCTTCTTCTACTTCTTTTGGCTGCCGGTACCGCTTCCCAACGACCAGGCTAAACACCACCATTTGCGTGGAATACGAATTCACCTCAGCAAGGCGGAAAGGTACAGCTTAGGCGTTACTGAATTGTGTGGGGCTCTTGTAGGAAATCGAACATGCTCGACGGGTTTCACGGGCAGATGAGGTCAGGCCGCGATCGAACCGTTTGCTTTTTGGCACGGTTCCGGGGTTGGCCCTTTTTTCCTTTGCGAACATTGCGTGCCTCCTATTCACACAGTCACGGTCTCGTATTTTTTGCTAGGAACGTTTAATGATATCCCATGCTTCTTTGCTTCAGAATTTGGCCTGGGAGGGATTTCCTATGCAGTCTTTCATTGGAGTCTCTGGTTCTGGTATCGGAGGGCGGTTGTCTGGCGATGACTTCCTCCTTGTCCAGTGCTGGAGGCGGGAGAGGGAGGCGAGACGGAGGCGGGGAGCAGAAGTTGAGTGCTGCGTTAGGGGTGGGCATCTTTTGAAGGATGCCGACAATGACATAGCCAGCAGTAGAGAAAGCCACTTAAAATACCAAGCAGTGTCTTTGAGGCTCAAACGCATGCCCTCTCTGGATTCCCGTGTGTGATATAAAAGGCAGAAACTTGCATGATCAGCAGGGATAGCCTTGAAGAATTCCCAGTCCCAGCTCCACCGCCTAACTCGGCCCTCCAACCAACCTCTTCACCTTATCCAACAGTACGACGCTCTCCCGCCCCAACCTCCGCTGCCCGTTCCTCCCCGGGACCCTGGCCTTGGCCATCACCCTGCGATGCCGTTCCCGCTCGGCGACCCTGCGGACCCGCTCCTGCTCCCGCCGCGCCCGCTCCGCCGCCCGCTCCTCGGCCTCCTCCCTCTTCCGCGCCGCCTCCGCCAGCTCCTTCTCATAGCCGCCGCCGGGCCGCCGGCGCGGGTTCCCCCGCTTGCGCGGCTCGCGCGGGCCCAGGGGCCTCGCGTTCGCACCAAGACCCGCGTCGTTGGGGACCGCGCTGGCGGAGGCGCCCGCACCGGCGTCGTCGCCGGCACCGGCACCGGCACCGCCGCTGCCGTCCAGCATGGCCTGTCGCTCTGGGTGGATTTCAAGCTCCTCCTGCGCCTGGTCGGCGTCGTTCGTCGCCGTCACCGTCGCCGCGCCTCCCCCGGCGTCGGGCCCGCCCTGCGACTCGGCCCCGAGCTCGGTTGTCGGGGGTGGCGGCGGCGGGGCGGACTTGTGCTGTTCCTCGGTGAGGAGTTGGTGCTGCGCCTTGATCTTGGCGTACTTCTTCTTGACCTTTACTTTTTCAATCAGGTCCTTCTTGACCCTGTCGACTGGGGTTCGCACGATGTTAGATCCAAGGGAGCAGACAAGGGGTATAGCAGAAACTAAAACGCACCTTTCCTACGCCAGGGCCCATCGGGCAGGTTCTCTGGCCCGACCCTGAAGCCGTGCTTGGCCTTCTTGGCAGGTAGTTCCGCACTCGAAGCCTCTGGCTCATCACGGGTTCGCTTGGTCGACATGACTGCAAGACTTTGTTTGAATGCGCTTACGAGCGATATACTTCACAGGCAAGGCAAGGCAAGGCAATGCACCTGGAGGAATGAACTTTTTCTGCCGCCGTTTCCGCCCGTCGGTAATTGAGAAGGCGGTGTAGGTAGCGGTGGGGGGTTAGGCCCACCCATGCCCCACCCACCTCTTTGACGTATCTTCGTTAATTTAGGTATGTACCTCCTGCACGCCGACGCTGCTAATACAGTATATGGAGGTCAGGAGGTCAAGTTAGCCGATAACGGTATCGATTAGGCTCGGGACTCGGTGAGTTTTGCCCTCTATGTCCCGACCGTGTCTTCCATTCCAACCTGAGGGCATGCGTAAGTGCCTTCGGTAAGTACCTAAACTCAAATGCAAAGACACTCAAATGCAAAGACACAACCTTAAGCAATGCCGAAGTCGGAGATTTCAGGGACAGCTGAACCTGATTACAGCTGCTCTCTTTGGGAGGCCAACACACGCAGGATGAACAACTGGCACGTCAGGGGTTTGACGCCCTGGGCGAGTTGGTCAGGCATGCCGCTATAATTGGTGCTGATAAAAGAACGGGTAATGGTGGAAACCTTGTCGGCCCAGCAGGGTTCCAGAAAGGGACTGGATCAAGTTGCGGATCCAGGTGGAGAAGCCTAGAATGGATCTTGTGCCACGGCCCACGGGCGTCACACAGTCACGCTCGTCAGCTTAGCTCGCCACCAACCAACAGCCAGGCACAGCTGGCAGATGTAAATAGCTCTCGTCATTTTGCTCCTCCATGACTAGCCATTCTCCCGGCTACATAACCCACGTACCTAGACATCCATCGGTCGAGTTGCGTTGTTGTAATTGTCCCATTTAAATTTCCGAAAAGGCCTGCTGGGTGGTGACGCTCAATGACAACTGGCGGCGCCCATTACAAGAGATGACGAGGTGACTCCCAACCAACAACGCCACCTCCGAGAAGTGCCGACCGCCCCATGTTTGCCGCCAGACAGACCGAGGAGATATCGCTGTTTCGGTGGGACAAAGAGAACTTGCAAGGGGCACGGCCTCGCCATGCAGACAGACATCCCGTCCCCGTCGTGATCCCCATCAACGCCTCATACGTCCGATATAAGAGATCGTGAGGCAGGAGCTCCCTAGAAGCTCCTCCCAGAGCTGCGCCGAGATTGTTCCCCAAAACTGGATCAGCTCGGCGGGAAAGCTTTATAAAACCGCCCCGAGTCTCCAGCTGTAAAGGGCAAACATGCCCATGTTCCAGGAGCACTTGGAGCAGGTCGACCCTGCTCCAGACCCAAGACACGCCGGGCATTCTGACCCCATCCCAATACGCTCCCCGACCAACCTTCCCCTTTCCCGGAAGCTCTCAGAAGAGAGCATCCGAACGGAGCTCTGTGATGGCCCAATTCCCGACAGTCCGACGAAGCCAGAAACACCGGATCAAGATTCAAACACGGTTTCTGACCGAGCCGAGCTAATCGAGCGACTGAAGAGAGGGGAGAGCCCGACATGGATCCCCAACCGCCATGTAAGCCTTGGAATAGAGCAGACAGTTGCGATTGGTTTTATCAATAGAAAGTTCCCGCTAACAGATTGGTAGCTCGAGTCTCTCTTCCACAACGGCGGGCCCCGTTCTCCCACTCGGAGTCCTCGACAACCAACGGCTACCTCGCCGACCCTCCTGCCGCCGGCAACCATCACTCCCGAGAAAGCAGACGCTAGGAAGCAGGACTCCGAAGCAGACGAGAGGTTACAGGAGGGACTTGATATCGAGAGGCCAAGATCTGCTCTACACCGGGGGGATTTCACGCATAATGAGTCGTGTCTAGACGACGGCGTTGCTCAGGACTCAAGCCAGAGGAACGGGGCGGGGAACTACCGGTCAGGGAGCAGTTTGTGGCTCGCTACTTCGCCCCCGCGACATTTTACACCGTTCGACTTCGAGCGGAGACACGCGGCGCCAGGGAGGACCGAGGGATTCGTGTCGGGCACCTCGTCCTTGTCTTCGTCCTTATCGCAGAGCTTCGCTTACAAGGCCCCGACAAGCCCTCTGGTCCAGTCCGAGAGCAACGATGAGATAGACCTGTCGCTTCCCATGAACAATATTGACATTGCCACGAATAGCGCCCAGAACGCCCGCCGGCATACCCTGAATTTCTTGAACTCGACACCATTTGTAAGCCCTGCGTCAAACCGGCAGAGCCCCCTTCGAAGAGAAGGCTCCTACGCCTACCAGGCCCACCAGCCTCGCCGATCCCTCACCTCTACTCCCAACTTTTCCCTGACCGGTTCCTCGCCACAAACACCCGCCTTTCTCCGCTCGAGGCACCCCTCCTTCAGCTCCGACGCCTCGCCGCTGCAACACGCCTCCATGGTTGGCTCGTACGAGGAGAGCATACTCCGGGGCCGCATGTCTACCACCCCATCCAAGCCCCTAGATTTCATGGCCCAGATCGGCGTCTTGGGCTTGGGCAAGTGCAAGGCGAGCCTAAGGTGTCCCGCACATGTGACCCTGCCCTTCTCGGCCGTGTTCTACAGCTACGCCAGCACGTCCCATGGCAGGACCAAGATGGAGGAAGGGCCGAGCCCGTACGTGGGCCAGATAGACCTCGAGAACGGCCTGCCAAACCCGGAGGACGATCAGCGGGCGAAACGGAAAATGCAGAGCCGATACCCCGAAAGAAGGCCCGAAGACACCGACATGCACCTGGAAGAGAGCATGCTGGACGGGCCGGAGGCGGACCCTCGTACGGCAGCCAGGCATAAGCGGCGCTCGAGGTCGCCCAAGGCACCGCCGGGGGGCCGGTATCGCATACCCGAGAAGGGCCAGCTGCAGATCATCATCAAGAACCAGAACAAGACGGCGGTCAAGCTGTTCCTCGTGCCCTATGACTTGGCGGGCATGGAGCCAGGGACCAAGACGTTCATCCGGCAGCGCAGCTACTCCTCCGGCACCATCATCGACAACGTACCCGACCTCGGGGACTCAGGCACGGCGGCGGCGGCGGCGGCGGCGGACCGCCCCATCCTGCGGTACCTCGTCCACCTGCACATCTGCTCGCCTGCCAGGGGCCGCTTCTACATATACAAGAGCATCCGGGTGGTGTTTGCGAACCGCGTCCCGGACGGCAAGGAGCGGCTCCGCAACGAGGTCACCTACCCGGAGCCGCGGTTCGCCCCCTACAAACCCGTCCGCGTCATGCTCCCGCCCGCCACGGCCGGGCCCCAGCCTGGCGGGCCCGGCGCCATGCTCGCCGCCGAGAAGGCCTTCAGGAGGCGGTCGTCGGGCTTCTCGTTCGGCCACCACCACCTCCACCACGCGTACCCGTACCCGTATCCGCACTCGCACCAGCACCAACATCCCCATCTCGCCCCCTTCAGCGGCGGTTCCGGCTACGGCTCCGGCCCCAGCCCCAGCCCCGCCGCTGCAACGTCGCCGCTCTTCGGCTTCCCCGGCGGCGGCGGCGGTCCAGGCGACGCCCCCGTCGAGCCCATCCCCTGCGCCCTCTCCCGAACCCGCCGCCTGCAGAGCGACGCGAGCAGCGAAAGCGACGCCCCCGGCGCGAGCCTATATGCCCCCCCGCAGACGACCCCGTCGTCCCCGGCCCTGTCGCAGACCCAGACGAGCAGGTCCGCGACGGGCGGCGGCGGCGGCGGCGGCTACGGCAAGCTCAGCAGGGGCGACGTCGGGTACGGCGGCAACGCGTTCGCGCCGTGCCTCTCGTCGACGACGCCGTCGTCGTCGTCGTCGTTTTCGCCGCCTTCCGCCGATGGGGCCGTCGCCGCCACTGAGGGGCTGCTTTCGAAGAGGTTGCGGTCGCTTGGGGTGCAGGGGCGGCCTGTGGGGGAAGGGGGAGGAGGAGTTGAGATGAGATGAGATGAGTGGATAAAAGGGGGGGGGTTCTTATTCCCGTCTCTCTCTTTTGTCTTTTTCGAAACCTATGTGGTCTTGTAGGCAGGACTACTATGCACATAAATTTGCCCCCGGCTATTGGGGGCGTCCATGGTATCTTCAGAATACCGGCGTCAAGGATACCTCTGCAGCATTTTGCTGGATTAGAATTGGTCGGGTCGATGGGGAGTATTGTGTACATAGAAACTATCAGATAACCCATCGTAACTCGTTAAGACACCAAAATTCGTCATCTTCATCCAGTTCTTTTCTTTTCTGGGCATAAGTCAAGTAAGAATAAGTCGAGTTAGCTCGACTCCTGACTAGCATGCCTTCCACATGGATGCAAACCGGTTCGGGGATAGAAAATGTGACAACTAAGCAGAACTTTAGGCCGGTGATGTGAGCAAAATAGAGGGCGGCTAGACGTCTTAAGTCAAGGATCAGATTCCGTCTTGAACATCGCTGCTGCTCCTTTGATTCTATGTCTATTTCTAACTGGGTACTGTTACAGGTCATTATCTACAGTTGACATAGTACTGTACATATACTTGGGCCTCCTCCTCTGTTTCCTAGACGGTCTTGGCCGCAAGCTCAGCAGGCACGATGCTAGCGCTGCGTTTTCTATTTGCGGGCAACATGTCCTCCACACCACGGGTATTATAAGCCCCATCATTAGTCCCTTCAACTTCTGATTCCTCAACATATGAGGGGTCATCGGTAAAGATCTGGTTCTCTTCCCGCGTCCCCGTCCGGACCATGGTCTTGATGGCTCGCACCACCCTCGCGCAGTTCTCGTTGATCGTGTTGAACATATTAGCCGCCTCGAGGGACCAGGGCATCATCTGTTCCAATTCCATGTATTCCCTCGCCAAGACCAGGAGCGTGTAAGAGATGGGTCGTAGATATCGAGGCGAGTTCCCGAGTCGACGTAGCTCCAGGGGTAGCTGGTTCTTGACATTCTCCCTGATGCGGACTCTCCTCCAGCCTGTCCACTGGGGCATGAGTATGTCTTCGCAGATGGAGAAGGCCTCCTTCCATTGCTTCAGACGAGCGAGTGCCTGGACGTGGTAGTTCCAATTCTTGCTGTCGAGTTCAAACCCGGCTTCTCTAACGTGCGCGACCAGCTTTAGGAGCCCGTCCGCATCCTTCTCGGCCAGGTAAACTCTCTGCATCGTTTTCAGAGCATCGCTCAGGACGTAGCACCGGGAAGGCGCAGCATCCGGCCCCTCACCAGATCGCGTGGCAGGGGGCTTGCCAAGGCGCTTTGTCCTCTCCAGGATCAAGTTCCACGTAGACTTGACGCGGTCGAATTTGTTCTCGTAGAAGTCGGCAAGCATAATGGAGTTGAGCAACTTTAGAGGCAATGTCTGCGGACTCGCATCTCTGGGGAACTCCTTCTTGTAGAAGGCCATGATCTGCTTGACGCTCGCGAAATCGCGCATCTGCGTCAAGATGAATATCATCTGAGAGTACTGACGGGCGACGGAGCGGCGGTCATCGCGAACCGTTCTTTCCTCCCGCCCGAGACTCTCGTGGAATGCTTGGAACGCCGCCTTGAGATAGTGATGGGCGCCCTTGCCTTTCCGTGCCTTTTCAGGTACCTGCTGCCATCGCCCCAATGCCTCGATGACTTTGGTCATTCTATCAGCCGTTCCGGCGTTGTCCATGTGCTTTATCATCTCGCTGACTTTGAGAGCCATGTGCGGCTCCCGGCTCCGAATGAATGCCGACATGAGAAGCAGGTAATGGTTCAGCGTCGGTTCGAAGACACGTTCCTCCTGGGCGACCCGAATCAGCTGAAGGGCGTGCTGTGACTGGCGGCAGTAGACGAGGGCCTGGAGAAGGTGCTCATATGTCCGGGTGTCGTATGCGACATCAAGATTGGTCATCCGCTCCAGGATGCGGTTAACACTGGCCAGGTCGCGGCGGTGGGCGTAGTGAATAAGGAGGGTGTTCCACAAGACGGTGTAATTGCCTTTGACATGCTTCTCCCTAGTCACTCTGGCGCAAAGGTACTCGGCCTCGGCGAACTGGTCGTTCTGACAATATGCCTCTACCAGGGAGTCCGTCATGGACGCATCTGGCTCGATGCCCATCTGTCTGGCTGTCTTGTGCAGATCGAGACACATGTGAAGATCGCCTCTGCCGCCGACCATGGCCATGAAAGTGCCGAAACTGTATGCATCCGCCTTTCCGGCTTCGCAGATCTCCGCAAAAGTGTTGATTGCCCCGTCGAAATCCCATGCCTTCGCGTGAGCATTTAACAAGACGTTCCACTCGATTGTGCCTGGCTCTCTCCCAAAGTTTCGAGAGCTCGAGACAAGAACATGGCGCGCATTCCCCACGTCGCCCCGGACAGCATAGGCATGCATCAAGGCTGACAGTGCTGCTCGGTCCTTCTTTGCAGTAGGGTAGTGTTTCTTGTACTCGGCCAACAGACGGAGGACTGTTTTGGTGTCACCGCGACCAGCATAGAAGGAAAGAAACTTGTGGTATCCGAAGGAGTCAAGGTGGTCATATCGCTGATACCAGTCTTTAAGGACCTGTTCCATACCATGGGCATCGTGCGGATAAAAGACACTGAGCATGTGCCGCAGGACGAAAACCCGGATTCGAACATTGGGGAGCCTCCTGTATCTCCAGTACATCCGAGCCGCAAGTCTTTTCTGGCCTCGCTCCATGCAGATGTTGATAAACTCCTCGTATTCCCTGTATGTCCCCACACGATCGAGGATCGACACAGCGTCAGGCGGCTTGAATTGTCCCAAGGAGTCAGTTGAAATATACGTCAGAAGAGCATCGACTTGTTCTTTGAGACCTCGCGGGTCACCGGGACTCGTCTGCCGTTGCACGTAGTTGTAGAGCTCGGATAGCTTTACCGAGAAGTTAGGGATGGCGGTGGCAGCCTCGAAATTGATGGGGGTTGGTAACTCCGTTGGGAATTCCTTCCTGAAAATGGCCCATGTCTCAAGCGCAAACGTCCATGACGACACCTTGAAGGCGTACGCCAACATGAGATCTAGACCTTGTACCATCCCCCTGAGATCCATAGCCTGGGTGAATAGCTGTATGGCTGACGAGGTGTTGTTCAACGTCAGATTGGCTTTTATGGAGGCGTTGACAATATCCTCGGTCCATTGGTCAGAATCCAGCTCGGAAAAGAGTTCGTTGATTCTCCAAGCCTCAACGGGTCGATCCGATTTTGCGAGATGGCCCAACACATCCACTCTAAAGTCGGGCTTTAAGGTCGGATCGAGGTGGCTGTACACATGCCAGACACGGTCCGGCGTTCCACCATGGTCGGAAGTGAGAAGCTCACGCAAATTGTCAGACTTCGAGTACTGGTTCTCTTCTTCGGCGTATCGGTGGTGATCTTTCATCAGTGCGACAACATCAAGACCTCTAGGGGCGCCGCCCGGACCCGTAGAGTCGGGAGCCACCGAAACCTCGACCGAATAATCCGGCGAGCCCGCATTCGGAAGTTGGGAGCTCAAACCCTCTGACTCGTGGCGTAGCGAAGGATGTCTGCTTGGCGAAGTTGCCGATGAGGTGAGATGTAGGCGCGAGACCTTGTTCTTTGGGTGATGCGTTGGCCTCTCATAGCGATCGATAACCCTAGGAGATAGCTTTCGAAGAAGTGCGCCGGCCCCATCTGGGTACAAGAAGTCCAGAAGAAATGCCGATGCTGTCATGGAACCTTGCCTCTGATCTGTGCGCTTGCCGATGCTCGAAGGCCTGGTCTTAGATTCCATCGCTGTCCCCTTAAGAGCCTGGCATGCATCAAAAAGCTCGATCCCAGCAGCACCATGAGCCCAGAATGCAGTGTGAAGTTGTTGATGGATCTTAACGGAGCTTGGGGCCGGGAGCGAGACTTTTCGGGGCTGCATGTTTCCGGGTCTGCTCGTGGATGAGGAAGCAGCAGAGAGTCGTCGCTTTTGAAAATCGAAATCGAGAATGGTTCTATAACATCATATACTTCAAGTAGAGGAGCTGGGGATTTCGATCTAGTCAGAATGGGACCTTCGCGACTTGGGATTGTGCAATGGAAGACTCACGCGACGCATCTTTGCTTGAGGCATCAGCCTTGCATGGAGGCCGTGATAATCAAGTGTAGATCCTGAAAATAGGGGCGAAGCTGCCGCCACAGCGAATAATGGTTTGGCGGACCAGAAAACGGTCGGTTCACGGGCGCCGCTTCCGAGGAAGTCAACCTTTTGTACGGATTAGATGGTATGATCCAACTTTTGTAACTATTTTTATTTTATTATTACACAAGGTAAGCTAGCACTAGGAACGCCTATCTTGGCCTACCCTGTAGATATTAGGTAAGCCTTGCGGAGCCCAGGTGACACGGATCATCTTATCACCCGTGGAGGGTTAACCGGCTGGGCTCCCAACGTTGGAACCTTCCTTGAAGCTGTATCGTGGGGTGTGGACTGATTTCCACCAGACATACAGTACATCTAAGGTCTACCCCACAAAGGAAAACCCATGCGTGAGCTGGATGAAAACGTAAATACGGATTACTTCCATCTATTTGTCGTGGCCGGCCAGACCTGAAAGTGGGGTTAATTGCTTCGTAGGACGGCTAGAGGTAGTCCATTCCTCTGTTGTGTTGCCTTCATCACCAGGTGCCCCCTCAGCTTTCTTTCACCTTTCTTCAAGCCAGGTCTTTCATCTTGGCTATATATTCGCTTTTCTTGTGCGTTTCCTTTTCCGCTCGATCTTCCCCTTTTCCCCACCAAAATCACCTCAATATTTAAGGTTTGCCCCTCTTACTTCCATTTGCCCAAGATATCCCAGCGGCACTTCAAGTGGTTAAGAAAGATCTCACCATGGATTCTATCGCATCCGCGTTGACGTCCATCCCGGCCATAGCATGGGGCGAGATAGCCATGGGTCATATTGGGGTCGGCCTCGTCTTCAATGTCAGTCTTCAATGTCCGTATGTGCTTTCACCTCTTGATACCAATGCCAATCTTCCCAAGAGCTACTATGGTATGTATAATGGGTAAGTTTGCCCAGTGGGTCACGTATCCCTGGTCGATTTAGTGCGCTTTTCGATACCTGACATGGGGGTAAAACTTTTGCACGCAACCACAGTACATGCTTGTCATCGAGGATGCCGATTTCGACATTGCAAACGAGTCCCTGCGCCGTGCCGGCTTTCGCGACGCACCTTGGTCTTACGGCTCTACCAAGGATCCACAATTCTTCCAAGACAAGCGAATGCAAGACATTCACCAGTCCATGGGCATAGAATATCACAATGTCGACAAAAATTCTACCCGCTTTGTATTCCCATTGGGAAGCGAAGTCAAAGAGAGAGCCGTCTTGTTACGATCTTCATATGTCCACCTCGGCCTCAATTCCATACCTGAATCCAGGTTCACCCGCATCGAGAAAATATATTACCCAGACCAGGAGCTGCTCCTGGAGAGCTTTGTCAAGACCCTTGTAAGAGAGCCTGGACTGAACATGTGGACTGAAAAGCTGGAAATGTGGGCCATTTCATATGTCTATGGTCAGCTCATGATCAATGACAATGCGTTGGATTCGAGCTTTGACGAGCAAGCTAAAATCTGGTTTAATGACAACATTCCGAGATACAGTGGTGGGATTGATAGGACGACAGTTACGAAGAGAGTAGGAAGAAAGTGCTAGAGCGCATAGTATACCCTGTTATGTTTCTATAGCCCTGCCGTATTCTTCCCTCCGTAATATCTAGCTGTCAATCGAGAAGGCTCTGCCCTATCGTAGAGCCACTTTGAAATAATCTCTACTTTGATTTCTCTGCCATGCCGAACAACTAAATACCCAAGTCGATATCGTCCGTGCCATGTACGTCAAAGGGGAACAAAATCGGCCCAGGGAGCAGGGGTCTGATCCAATCTATTGGAGGGTTGGTGGGGTACGTGGGCCGCGGCCACATGGAGACATTTCCTGTGTGGCCGTAAAATTGCCCCTCGAACAAGGCTACACACCTGGCAGTCGCAAAGAACATCACAGGACCTAAGGCATGGATCTTACAAAATATATCGTCTCGTCAAGGGAGACGGCTCTTCTCTATGGCGATTATGCGACGTATCGCACGCAACTCTCCGGGAAGCTTCTCAACAGCCGGAAGAAGTTGAATGTTGCAACGAAGAGCCGCGGGAAATTCCATGTCAAACCCCAGATCACTCCTGAGCAGGTGGCTGAGGATCAAGAGTAAGTATATCATGGAGATATCCTACAGCCATGCGTCGCTGACCCATGGCCTAGATATGTTCGTCTTCAGCTTCTCACAGCTGAGAGGGCCTGGGCAAACGCCATGGCCATGAAGGCGGCCCATTCGGCTGATACCAAAGGGATCTCTGGCAAGACCCGTTCTCATATTGTGTCCCGTCTGGACAAGGGTGCAAAGACTGCGGAGAAACTCGTAGAAGCACTTTCTCAGACCGCGATCACCGGAGCTAGCGAGACAGATGTTCTCGAAGTCAGAGCCTACGCTGCCCTTCTAAAGGGGACTGCCTTATTCGAGAAGCAGAGTTGGGATCTGTGCCTAAGGAGCTACTCAACAGCCCGAATCATCTATAGCGCACTCTCCACGTCTGCAAAGGGGGACATCTTCAAGGACCTGGTGACCGAGACAATCGACCCTTCCATTCGATACGCAGCTTATCAACTTGAGATACCGCGTACGCAGCCCATCCCAACAATTGCCAGGAAGGGGTTTCCCCACTCAGATGCCACTTTGGTCGAGAGCATCAACAAGCTGAACCCGAGTATTCTGAAGCACGGAGACCAGGACCCCAGCCAAGGCACCCCCACGACGTTAACGTGGCGAAGCCGAGAGGTGAAAATCGAGGATGCCGCGATTGCTGTGGCATGGGCGGCAGTACAGACGGCCAAGTCAAGACTTGTCGACAAACTTGCTTCGTCCGCGGCCTCCCCACCTAGGGATCAGGCAGGCGCCTACGACGACATCCTGATTGCCACACAAGATGCGGTCGATGCGACAAAACAGGCGATCGATGAACTCAGAGGGGAGGGCGTCCCACAGAGTGACCCGAGGATGCAGAGTCTCCAGATTACCCGCACAGCTGTCAATTACGAGATGATCAGTTGGAGAATCGGCAGAAACCGAGTCTTGATGGGCGAGAAAGATGGAGCAACTACAGATTCTGCTTCGCCCTCGAGAAGGAAGGCCGCCAAGGACGATTCAGATCCTGCGAGCAGGAAAGAGGAAACTCCCGGACGGCAAATCGCAAGACTCAAGGAGAAGGTTGTCCTATATGACGGGACGCTGCAGAGCCTCGAGTCTATCAAGGAATTGCCGGGTGTCGCGGCAGACCAGGAACTCTCTGTGCAGCTGGATGCGACAGTTGGGTATTTCAGCGCCCTCAAGTATGAACCAAACAAGCTCCCCGAATATTTCTATATATCGTTACTTATTGTTGTCTTTAGGTCCCTGGCAATTGCCCGATCCCACTCCCTGGCTGGGAATGCGACCAACGCTCTCGCCCTCATAAAGTATGCGCATGACCGTTGCGAGGAATCACTTCCGGTTCTTAGCGCAGGTAAGGCAGCTTCACCATCTGGTGCGCGGAATATCCTGGTGACACGGGAGGATATCGGCGCACTCGGTAGCCTCCTAGTTGGCGAGCTCCAGCGATCTCGCGCTCTGGTGGAGATCTCCAACTTCCGGAAGACGGCCAATGTCTCAGGTAGCAAGGGGCCCTCCATCCCTCTGGTGGAGCGATTGACAGAATACCCGTCCGACGGGATCGACCTTGAGAACATTGTCGTTTACCCTCCGAAGCTCGAACCGGTCCCCGTAAAGCCGATCTTCCTCGATGTTGCCTGGAATTACATTAACTATCCGGAGAAGCAAATCCAACCGGGGCAAGGCGGAAAGGACAGCGGCCCCGAGCTTTCGGCGAAGGGTGGGGAGGAGGCCAAACCCCGGAAGAAGGGATGGTTTGGCTTTGGAAGATAGGAGATATTCCCGACGGTATTCTCAACAAGTGGAACAAATAGGCAGACTTTAATCAATTGAAGGATTATTGTGGCCATACCCATCGGCCATAATATCGACGCCATGTGAGATACACCCTAGTCATTGAAGTGGCATTTCATGCTAGCCACTTGTCTCAGCTTTCAATGACGTTGAGTGATCGTAGTTCGCGTCACGCGTTCGCCATGGAATGCATAATATTTATCTTTGGTTTTCTCTGTCAAAAGGTAGTTGACTCCCGATAACCATGTCAACAGTACTCTGGCAGGCCTCTCCCGGAACTCGTATCCAATTCTCGCAGCCATGGAGGACGAAAGCGTGTCTCTCATCTCACCACCAAAGGCGAAGGGCAAGCCAGTGCCCCAGAGCACCTTCATGGTGCTCATCGCCATGTTCGTCGTCGCCGTGCTCGCCCTAGGACTGAGCCTGGGACTGGGCTTCAGGATGTCATGGGCGAGCTCACACAGTCTCTCCCATGCTCTCCAAGATGACAGCCGTCATAGCATGCTGTCCGATATGGTTGGTTCAAGTGTTGTTACCGCCGAACAGCTCGTCAACTCGACCGAGCTGGACCTAAAGACCGACTTTGTTGTCTCCGATAAGCCAACCATCAGGGAGTTTAAGTTCACCGTTTCGCAAGCCTACGCTTCGCCAGACGGGGTTCAGAAACCGATGATCTTAGTCAATGGGCAGTCCCCCGGGCCACTCATAGAAGCCAACTCTGGGGATACCATAAGAGTATAGATTTTCTTCTTTGTTATCTGTTATCCATCCTCTATAACCGCGGTTGACTGATGGTTTCGCTGCTAGGTATACGTCCTAAACCAGATGGAAAATACCAGCACCTCCATCCACTGGCACGGCATAGCCCAGAGGAATACTCCGTGGATGGACGGGGTCACCGGAGTCAGCCAGTGTGCGATACCACCGGGCTCGAATTTCACATACGAGTTTCAAGTAATCGGTCAGAGGGGGACGTTCTGGTACCATGCATATACGGCTGTGCAGTACACCGACGGCCTCTTTGGCCCTATTGTAGGCCGGTCCTGTTGTCCAATCTCGGTGTCCTTCTACTCATGGCGACGATTTAGGTCATCCACGATCCGGGAGAGATGGTTCCAGCATATGATGATGAGAAGATCATACACCTTGGAGACAATTACCATGCCTCCGGTGAAGCGGTATGTCCACTCCAGAGCCGGCCCTCATTTATATGCCACCTAACCGGATTCCACAGTTGCTCCAAAGCTATCTACGGCCAGATTCCAAGCGGAGCCCAGACGACCCAGGCGTCGAGCCCCTTCCAGACAACTTCTTGATAAACGGACGGCACACCTTTAACTGCTCGGTCCGTTCGAGCACCCGGCCGGCCCCGTCCAACCCAGACAACGACGACGAGGCCCCCGCATGCACCGGCGGCCAGCTGTACTCGACCAAGGTGAGGCCGGGTCACGCGGTCCGCCTGCGGCTAATCAACCACAGCTCGTACATGTCGTTCTGGTTCAGCATCGACAACCACACAGTGACGATCGTGGAGATGGACGGCGTCGAGGTCGAGCCCATCCCGAGCCGCGGCGTCTACGTCAACGTCGGGCAGCGCTACTCGGTCATCGTGCGTGCCGACCAGGCCGTCGGCAGCTACCACATGCGCGCGACGCTCCCGCAGACCTGCTTCGTGCCCTACTGGCTGCACACCAGCACGGGCCTCGAGAGCATCGGCTACGAGGCGAGGGCCCTCCTGTCCTACGACGACGACCCCCCACCTGTCGTCGTCGTCGACGTCGCGGGGAACACGAGCAACCCGCACGGCGCCGCCAGAAACCGCCTCCGCGGCGACGTCTGGGAGGGCTGCGACGACATGCCGTTCGACGAGCCTGTGCCCGTGCGGAGGCGGCCCGCCGTCGGGGTCGCTGAGGGGGACATGCACTCGGTCACGTTCCAGTTCCAGCGGGCCGGGGAGGTGAATCGGATATCCATCAACCGGGTTGGTTTCCCTTCCTTCCACGCCTGCTTCCCTCCCCCCCTTAACATTTCTGACATGAGAATCAAAAGACATCTTCGGCGGCCTACCACGGAGACGCGCAGCTCTGGCAAGCCATGGACCAGGACTTTGAGTTTGGCCGGGGCGGGAACCACCACAAACGGGACTTCCGGCTGGACCAGCAGGTTCTCCTCGTCCCGGAGGCCGACAAGGGGGTCCAAATTGTGATCAATAGCCGGGATGTCATGGAGCATCCCTTCCACCTGCAGTGAGTACTATCCCATCTCTCCAACTGATTTTGCCTCAAATTAACCTGGAGTGATAGCGGTAAATCAACCATCCCTTGACTCGATGCCAGATAATTGGCAGCTAGCTCACTCGCACAACCCATAGGACACTCCTTCCAGATCGTCGGCTGGGGCGCCGGCGAGTACCGCGGCGGCGGCGCCACGACGACGTGGAACCTGGAGAACCCCATGAGGAGAGACACGGTGACGGTCCCGTCCGAGTGGCACGTCGTCATCAGGTTCGCGGCCGACAACCCGGGGATATGGGCGCTGCATTGCCACGTTGCCTGGCACATGGAAGGTCTGGGATCTTCGGCACCCCCTTTTCCCCATCGTTGGCGGCGATACTGACGTGAAGCGTACTTGGGCAGGTGGCATGTTTGTCTCGTTTATTGAGAGACCAGAGGATTTGAAGGCGTTAGTCAATGGCATGGATCCGACATCGAGAGAGGCAGCAGAGAGCTTGTGTAGCAACCGGAAATGATCGCGGGACGATTCGGTAAGCTAAGTAGCTTCAAGGAGTTGGCAATTCACAGGGAGCGAGGGAACGAGATGAGCGTTTGAGGGGGGAGTCTGTATTATAATTTTGTCTTGCTCGACCGTTTTGTACATGTACAATGCAACCTATCCTTGTCCCCTCTCCATGCCGGCTGTCATCGAAATCCGCGATGATCTTGCCATGAAAAAATGAAGTTTTGATGCTCTCACAAACGCCACTTCCGTCTGTTGTACTATTAGACACAGGTTGCGCGAGGAAAAGCTAAACCGGGACAAGCCGCCTTAAAAAAAAAGAAAACGTGAAATATGAGTACAGATGAATACAGGAAGGAGAAGCGGCATCTATAGGACCAATTGCTCCAAACTATTCAGACATGACAGAAGGAATGGTATCGGGGGGGTATTCGGGGGTGATGGTGGTTAAAAGGACTGTTTAAGGCTTCTGCTCGTCCTTCTTCTCTCCCTCAGCAGCATTGTCTTGTGCGCCGGGCTGGGCCTCGTTGCTGGACTCGGTGCGGGCCTTGTGCATCTTGTCGAAGAGGTTCAAGCTGGCGACCTGCAGCTCATCCGTCTTCTCCTTGATCTCGGCCGAGGTGGCGGTACCCTCGCCCGACTGGCTCTTGGCAACGAACTCCCGCAGGGAGTTGATCTTCTCGCGGATCTGGTCGGCCTCGGTCTTGTCAAGCTTGTCCGAGTACTCGTTGAGAGCCTTCTCAGTGTCGTTCAGCACACTGTCGGCCTTGTTCGCAGACTCGATGGCGCTCTTGCGCTCCTTGTCCTCCTCAGCATACTTCTCAGAGTCCTCAACCATCTGCTGGATCTCGTTATCTGAGAGGCCGGAGCCGGACGCAAGGGTGATGGACTGGTCCTTGTTGGTGGACTTGTCCTTAGCATGGACGTGGACGATGGAGTCGGCGTCAATGTCAAAGGTGACCTCAATTTGAGGAACACCACGGTGGGCCGGGGGGATGCCAACAAGCTGGAAGTTACCGAGGAGCTTGTTGTCCTTAACAAGCTCACGCTCGCCCTGGTAGACCTTGATCTCGACGGCAGTCTGGAAGTCAGCGGCAGTGGAGAAGACCTGCGACTTCTTGGTCGGGATGGTGGTGTTTCGGTTGATGAGACGAGTGAAGACACCACCCAAAGTCTCAATTCCGAGAGAGAGGGGGGTGACATCCAAGAGGAGAAGGTCCTTGACCTCACCGGACAAGACAGCACCCTGGATAGCAGCACCCATGGCGACAGCCTCATCAGGGTTGACGGACTTGGCAGGATCACGGCCGAAGATGCTCTTGACGGACTCGGTAACCTTGGGCATACGAGTCATACCACCGACGAGGATGACCTCCTGGATGTCCTTGGCCTGCAAGTTGGCATCCTTCAGAGCCTTGCGGACGGGCTCAATGGTCTTGGAGATGAGAGGATCGACCATCTTCTCGAGCTGGGCCCTGGTCATCTTGGAGTTGATATGCTTCGGTCCGGAAGAGTCGGCGGTGATGAAGGGCAGGTTGATGTCGGTCTGGAGGGAAGAGGACAGCTCAATCTTGGCCTTCTCGGCAGCCTCACGGATACGCTGGATGGCCATCCGGTCGCCGGACAGATCAATACCGGACTCCTTCTTGAACTGCTGGACGAGGTGGCGGACGAGGTGGATGTCGAAGTCCTCACCACCCAAGTGGGTGTCACCATTGGTCGACTTGACCTCGAAGACACCGTTCTGGATCTCGAGGATAGAGAGATCGAAGGTACCACCACCGAGATCGTAGACGGCAATGACTCGGTCGGCCTCCTTCTCGAGACCGTAGGCCAATGCAGCAGCAGTAGGCTCGTTAACGACACGGAGAACGTTCAAGCCAGCAATCTGACCAGCATCCTTGGTGGCTTGACGCTGAGAGTCATTGAAATAGGCAGGAACAGTGACGACGGCGTTCTTGACATTCTTGCCCAGGTATGCCTCGGCGGTCTCCTTCATCTTGCCCAGGACAAAGCCACCAATCTGCGAAGGCGAGTAGTTCTGTCCCCGAGCAGAGAGCCAAGCATCGCCATTGGTGTGCTGGACGATCTTGTACGGAACCTCCTTGATATCCCTCTGGACCTCAGCGTCGGTGAATTTCCGACCGATCAACCGCTTGGTAGCAAAGAGAGTGTTTTCCGGGTTGACGACAGCTTGGCGTTTTGCGGCAACACCGACCAATCTCTCGCCATCCTCGGTGAAGCCAACGACGGACGGTGTTGTGCGAGCACCTTCCGAGTTCTCGATGATCCTGGGAGCCTTGCCCTCCATGATGGCAACAGCAGAATTGGTGGTACCTGGTCAGGCCACATCTTGTCAGTCCATGGCCGGTGCTTCCGGGGGCGATTGCGAAGGTCAGTGATGATAAGACTTACCGAGATCGATACCAATAACGCTACCCTTGACTTTCTCCTCTCCTCCAGTTGACTCGAAGCGAGCAAATGCTGGGGTAAGAGGTTTGCGCAGGATCGCGGAGCGCGAAGCTGACGAGGTTGCTCTCGGGAGCTGCATACAGTTAGCCACCATGGCTCTCGAGACGCGTGGGAAAGTAGTACTTACAGCTCTGGAAAGGCGTGAAGCAAACATGTTTGCAGACTCGGATTACAAGGTGCTATGATATGGAGATGGAGAAAAGGTCAAGAGGTGAAGGGCGGGTGTTCGCCGTCGTGTTGTTTGATCAAATTTTTGGGTATGAGGAAAGGAGAGCAGATGAAAAGGTCTGCAAAACCAAAGATTTTTGACTAGAAAATTTAGTCCCATGCACGGTTCATCATCGAAGCCAACCGAAATGCCAGGACGTCGGGGAGCTCTGGTGCACGAGCCAGGTGGCGGAAAGTCGTTCTGATTGGCAGCTTTGTCCGGTGCTTCCCGAGGCTTTTTCCGGGCACGGGCTAGCCGGTGGAAACCGCGCCCAGTACTAACATGAGGCGAAGGCTCCTCTCCTTCGTGGCTTGATTCAGTCTTGAAGAGGCGATGAAGAGACCAGACGAGACGAGACTTACCAACAAATTGCCTACTAGCCTTATTCCATGTTGTTCTCTGAATGAGCTGTCATGCTGGCCATGAACATCTGACACAACTGTTTTGGTTGAATTGCCAAAACTCATGTTGGGAGTGCTTCTCTCACATCAAGAGGGCTCTGGATGGGACGGCAACGCTCGACATTTCGAGGTTCAATGGCTTGCTCTTTCATCCTGAGGCAGCTTGGGAGTCGGTGTATGTTGCTGCTCAAGGGACTTGCAGTACCACTTTCCTCGAGCAGAGAACAATATCCTGACTTTTCCGTATTTTGTCTTATTCTATTGGCCACCCTTTGAGGGATCAATGACCTCTCGACAAGCACAATTGTCCTTTGTATATCCTCCTTTACTTGCCGCATGCTTGATCGGTAAGCACCGGTCAGCCCATTATCTGGGCTGTTATTATGTCCATTCCATCGATTCCTGCTTAGCTCTCCTGGCATGTCATATGGCGCATCTTCGGGAGCGGTGAATCGATCCAGAGATCCTCAGCTGTATAGCCGATGTGTGGGACAAGAACATCGGGTTGTAAACGCTACGAGCCGCCCAATAATGCAAGTGCTGCTACTATTGAGGGCTCTGAGCCTGGCCGAATGGAAGGTGACACGGCACGAGAAGCATCTAGGCCAAGGACATGACATCATCAAGCCATGGGTGCTTCACACAGAGACCTCGACCCCGCGACCCTGCATATTATGGCCAATTATTTTTTCTCAGCGAACTGGGCTCACTGGCTCGCTGTCCCGTCGATCGGCAGTAGTGACGCAAATGGGTATGGAAGTGCCGTCTTGGGCCAAATCCGGTGGGTGCTTTGCGCGTTGGCTGTCTTAAGGGAGGCAAGCATTGCATAAAGGGGGAGGAGGAAGATAGAGTGCGAAGTCGATCAATATATATCTTCGCATTTGCACCAACACCCAAGACTTCTTGGCCTCCTCCATATTCTCCACACACTTGACATTCTCTTTTAGGGTCCTTCTACATCACACTAGCTCCCGATCTCGAGATGCCAAGCTATGGGCAGCAGCGCAGTGGATACCCACCCCATGTTTCCTTCGACATAGATCATGACCGGCGCAGCCCCTCGCCAAGAGGGAGGCCATCAAGAAGTCCAGTAAAGGACGACCGTCCCCGGCGACCCAGATCCAGGCCACAAAGCTCTCACTACGACCCACCAAACAAGTACTACGTACCTGGGGATGACGGCAGGCTGTCAAGAAGTCCAGGAACGGTCGACCGTCCTTCACGACCCCAAGCTAGGCGTCACAGTTCTCACTACGACCCACGAGAAAGTTACCCCATATCCGGGGACGACGGCAGGCCATCAAGAAGTCCAGTAAAGGACGACCATCCCCGGCGACCCACCACTAGGCGCCACAGCTCACATTACGACCCACGAGACACGTACCGCACACCCGGGGATGACGAGTTCGATAACGCCTACAGGCCAAGTCGTCGGCACTCTTCCGCCTCCCGAGGCCGCGACGTAGCCCCTCGCAAGAATTCACCAGACCCAAGGCGTCATCGGACATCGTTGAGAAGCAACCACGAGCAATCCTCGGGCGAATACCGGGACTACGACTACGGTCAGAGGCGGCGGCAATCCAACAGCCACGTTAGCCACATCAATGAACGTCGACCGTTGGCTCCCTCGTCAGCACGTTCCTCATCCCACCCCCCGCCACTCCGCTCCGCCACCGAACCGACGCCGGGCCGCCACAGCAGCCGGCACTACCCACCCTCGACCTCAGCCAGCAAGTCCGGGGCCAGCCGCCGAAGCAGCAGGAGGCGCCCGTCCCGGTCCTCCCCGTCCCCTTCCCGGTCCCCCTCCCCCTCCCCCGAAGCCAAGAGTGGCGGAGCCTGGATGGGCGCGGCCAAGGTCGCGATGGAGGCCGGGGCGATGGCGGCGCTGAAGATGCGCCACGACCCGGGCGAGTGGATGGGGACCAAGGGGGCCACGGTCGCCACGGCCGCGCTCGGTGCCGCTGTGGTCGACGCCTTTATGGACAAGAAGTTCCCCAACCGGAAGGGGGGCATGCGGCATACCATGGCGAAGACGGCCACACAGCGTGCCCTGCGTCATATGGTGCCGGGGGGATGATTGATGCACGGGATGGGATGCCACAGGCGATTTAGTTCCATTTCTTGTTATGTCTTTGAGCTTGTTTTTTTTTTTTTTTTTGGCTTGCCCAGGGTATTTAGTGTTTATTCGTCGGAACTTCCTGCGTGAGCGTTGGGAGTTTACTCATTTTGGAGGTCTATGGAGTACTGTGTATAGCGGCAAAGATTGGGGATTCAAGACACAATCGATGGATAGAAAATGGTTTGGTGTCGCAGTACTAGATAGACCCCACCCACCTAAGTTATCTAGCGATATTGAAAAGGATTGTGTTTCGGAGTGATTGCCCTGCAATTCGGGGTGTAAGCGATCGTGTTGTCCGAATACTCCGATTCCCTTCGGGGCCCCTTCCCTGGACACTTCTACCCTTAGAGAGCCGGCTAACCGGCCATGTATGATGACAATGTATGCCTTAGGTAGGTATTTTACCTGAACTATCGATTAAGCCTTGGTTGGCTACCGTTCCTCGTCGTTTCTGCATTCGCCGGTAAGCTGGAGCTGGTCCTTTCCAGCTCGGACTCTCTCCAAACCGGACCCCGAAGGCACGCTCATTGAATTCGGTCATTTTTTTCTTCTTCCCTAGCTTTAAATCCACATTGATGCCGCACTCATTTCCAAATCCCTTCCCGGAACACGGGAAGGGAATGACATTCCGCTGTGCACAATTGGAGCCATGAAGATACTCTGCCTCCATGGTCAGGGCTCGAGCGCTTCCGTCTTCAAGTCGCAAACTGGTGCGTAGCGATTTGACCGGAACCCCCCGTATCTCGACACCGTCTTTTTCTTTTCTTTTTCGGACTGACAGTTTCCGCAGCGGCCATTCGCGCAAAGCTAGACAGGTCTACTTACACCTTTGACTTCGTCGACGCGCCCTACCCATGCCCACCGGCGCCGGGGATCAACGTCATGTTCGAGTCCGGCCACTACGCCTGGTACCCGAAGCAGACCGCCCCGCTGATCCGGAGCGCGCACAAGTGGCTGGTCGACTACGCCGAGGAGCACGGCCCATACGACGCCGTCTGCTGCTTCTCGCAGGGGTGCGCACTCGTCATGAGCTTCCTGCTCTACCACGCCAGGGAGACGCCGCGGGAACCCCTGCCGTTCAAGTCGGCCATCTTCATCTGCGGCGGCGTGCCCTTCCCGGTCCTCGAGGACCTCGGCCTGCCCGTGCCGCAGCGGGCGCGCGACATCAACGACGAGACCGTCAGGGTGCTGAAGGAGAAGGCGGGCCGCCTAGTGCAGATGGCCGCGAACCCGGACCAGATCCAGCGCGGGGTCGGCCTCTGGGACGACTCGGCGGGCCTGTTACACGACCCGACCGTCATGCCTAGCATGTCTGATGTGTTTGGCCTGGATTTCACGGCCTTCCCCGAGGATGTGCGCATCAAGATCCCGACCGTCCATATATACGGCGCCAAGGATCCCAGGTGGCCGGCGAGCTTGCAGCTGGCGTTCTTCTGCAAATACAGGAGAATGTACGACCATGGTGGAGGGCATGACATACCGAGATCGAGCGAGGTGTCGAATGCGATAGCGGAGCTGATCAAGCGGCTCAATGCTGATTCTTAGGTTGCCGTTAGACGCCGTCTGCCGTACGACTCTTGGAAGCATTTATGGAGGAGGGAGATTGGGCTGGCTGGCGAATGCTGCCTGCCCTTTTTGAGCCCTCAACTTGTACGTTGGAGTAGATGTTTAAGGCATCGAGATAGCACCGCATAAAGACCTAATGAGATTAGAGGAGATTAGAGGGCGCGAACGAATAATATACGACATTTTGATCCCTCAGCTGAGAAGACACACAGGTTATTCATGATACGGGCTTCAGAACCACCCAAGCCATTCGGGTCCTGCCATCGACAGCGTCGGGCGAGAAGGTGGCTATAAGACTTCTTTCGGTGGGCGATCGCTCTCATCGTTCCCGGAAAGCCCAACGCATGTTTCTCGACCACTCAATTAGCCCGCTCGTCCTTATCCTACCCCGGATTCTTTCTGGCAACAATAGTACCTAGCATTCTACTCTTTAGCGTCAGCGAAATTGTCTCCATATTTCCTGTCTGCATCATTGTGTCCTATTGTTGTCTTGTGCCTGGGATGAGGCCTGACCTCGTCCCAAAGGCTTTAGACAAATGCGGGTTGGCTGTTGTTGACCAAGTTCCAACGAAGCAGTGGCTGAGCATGCTTGAGAGATCGGCATTTTGTTGGCAGCTGGATGAGGCTAGGAAGGACTCGTCAGCTCCTCGCAGTGCTCGCTTTCATTCTCGATTCTAATTGGATGTTGACCTGGAGGATCAGACAAGGGGTTGTTCAGTTTTACTCCACGCGCGTCGAATAATGCCGACAAGCTGGACATTGTGATTGTGCCCGTTTGTTCTTTTCGCAAGCATTTTAACAGTATCATCAGTCGATTTCGTTTGTTATGACGCTTCGTCGTCTTATTCTTGTAGTCGAGCGTCTCAAAGCCAAGACTATTTCCTGAACTTCCCTTAGTCTCTTCCTGGTTAACCTCACCCACCATGCGCGGCCTCTTGAAGGCCGCCTTCCTGCCCGCCTTGCTGCTAGGACCGGTGTTGGCCAGGCCCTTTTTCTATTCCACCAAGTCTAATAAATGTTTGCAATAGCCCGAGACAAGTCGTCCAACCTCCACCAAGTATCCTAACAAATAAACAACAGATGCCATTCCGTCCGCTGATATCACTTTTGCCTCTGACCAGGCTGAGGGTCGAGAACTGGTAAGGAAATGGCTTATCGTGCAAATGCTCGGGTGCTTGGAGTTGTTGACTGACACGCAAATAAGACTTTCCGAATCGAGGTTCTCGAGTCCAAGGATGCTTGTGACGAGCCTAGCGTCACTATCAACGGCAAGAAACTCCAGTTCGTTGGCCGCGGTGGCTCCCGCGATACCTTCGCCCTTGGTAATGGCGATACCGTCATTGCCGCTTGGTCCTTCAGTTGCGTCAAGCGGAAGGACCGGCCTTGGGAGCAGTTGATGACGCTCACTATCGATAATGTGAACCGCGAGCCCGTTAAAGCCCTTGATTTCATGCTCCGCTTTCAGCAAGTTTTCCCCGTCCGGATAGCCAATATTGAAGGTGCGGCAACCAGGATTCACCTCAACGCTGTCCACACGATCGAGGACGAGATTTACGCCAGTGGGGAGGGATATGGCTATTCGGACCCGCCGCTTGAAGGTGACCGTCCTCATGGGCACTCCGGGGACGACTCCCCTCCCCCACCGCCAGAAGACGGTCCTCACGGCAACCCAGACGGCTCTCCTCCTTCACCACCACCACCTTTAGTAAGGCCCCTTGTTCCCTACTCCGTTTGGCCCCGCGAGCGCTCGCAGCTAACCCCACCTACAAGGCCGACCGCCCCGGTTCTCAGCCGGACCCATACTCCCACGGCGCCTCCCACACATTCAAGGTCGTCGTCCTCCCGGCCCTGCTCATAGTCCTCGTCGGCCTCGTCATCAGGTGGTGCTGTCAAGTACGCGCATCCCGCCACGCGGAGCGCCGCGCCAAACGCGCAGCCCGCCACGCGGCCTGCCAAGCCTTCGTCGCGCGGATCTTCCCCTTCCGGCGCGGCGGGAACAGGGCCGGCGGCGCACGGGAAGAGGAGGAGGAGAAGGAGGAGGTCATGCTGACGCGCCACGACGACGACGACGACGACGGTTACGCCTCGGACGGCGGGTCAGAGACGACCATGGAGGACGAGCTGGCCTCGTGCGTGGCGGCCGCCGACATGGTGGGGCAGATCGTCGCGGCCGAGGAGGGCAGGTCGCGGAGGGCGATCGGCGAGAGGTTCGCGATGCAGCCGCTGGGCGGTCCGTCGGCTGGCGTGCCTGCGACTGTTCCTGGGGGCCCGCCGAGCCCGGGCGACGAGGTTCCGCCGGCGTATGATGAGGCCTTGGAGGGTTCGGCCCTTGTTGCTGATGGGCTCTGGAATCCTGACGGCTCGAGCAGGTATACTCCATCTTCTATTAGCTCAGACGGCGGCTGGGACGAGGTTGGACGAACTAAACGCTAGGTGTGCTCGCTCGGCCTGGGCTAGAGACCCCAATATGGCGTGATGTCCTTTCTTTTTCTTTCTTTTTTTTAGGCAGGTAGTGGCATTGTCATTGGTATTATGACGGCTGGGATGTATTAGTACAGTGAACAACCTAGTAAGCACGCTATAGGAATTCATTCAATCTATGAAGGAACTCGATGCAGGGGTACTTCAACGCTCCTGAATAAACTACCATATTCGGCGCCTGGAAACCGGCTGAGTAGCCCTAGAGTCTTCAGCCAAATACAAACTCCTCGTAGTTTTTCCTTACCCTCTCTACCCCCTCCTGCAGCGTCCAGCCCTTGATTTCGCAGACCTTGCGGTACATATGTTCCAAATAGTGGTCCATATCCTCACCGGCGCAGTGCACGTCACTTTCGATAAGGAGCTGATCATCAGGGCAAGCGCGGATCATCTCGGGGAACCTTTTCTCGCCCCCGGCCGTGGACAGGTTGACGACAACGGAGAAGGAGAAGAAGATGCGAGCAGGTATCGACGGGTTCAGGTACTGCTTCATGACCTCAACTGGGGCACTAAACGAGTGTAGACATATCCGCGGCGGGTAAGGTTTCGCGCGGGCCGTCGGCTCCCGTCGCTCTCCGTTAGACCCGCCTTCGCCTCCGCCTTCGCCCTCATCCTCATCACCACTCGACTCCGAGAAGTCCTCCGCCCCGGCCGCGACCATCCGCCGCTCCCTCCGCGACAGGCGCTCGTGGCCCTTCCACGTCGACTGCAGCAGGTCAAACAGCACGCCAGGGGCCTGGACGCCGTGGACGCTGACCGCGCGGCCCAGCTCCGCGGCGAGCCGCAGCTGCGCCCGCAGCACCCCGGCCTGGTGCGCCATCCCGACATTGTGCGGGCTGAGCCGCCGGCCCTCCCGCCCCCCCGCCGTCAGCCCTTCGTCCTCGCGCTTGCGCTCGCGCTCGCCGTCCGCCCACGCCTCGGGCAGCCGGAATATCTTGTCCAAGCCGACCTCGCCAACCAGGGCCAGGGGGTGGGCCTGCAGGCGGGAGCGGGTCGCTGACAGGAAGCTACTCAGGGGCGCGGGGTCCGGGAGTGAGGCTATGAATGACGGGTCCGGCTCCGGGTTGAGGACGGCGCGGTAGTGCCGGGCCTTTTGGGAAGTCATGTCCCCCGAGGATGGGTCGTATGTTGCTTTTCCGGCGGGGAGGGCGTCGTCGTATAGTTGGTATGAGAACCACGGGTGCCATCCAAAGGCGGGGACGACTCGTCCGTCGCTCTGGCTCGCCGAAGTCAATGCAGCCCTAGACTGGATGCCGTGCTGCGAGGCGACAGATGCAACAAGGTCTTGGTCCTGGGATCGTGTGGCCATGATGGTGAGAGTCCGGGCACGCATGCCGGGTATACTCGCTATGGAAGACATTGTATCCGTAGGATGGCAATGAGCGTCAAAGACACCTCCGTCCCAGGGGAATGGCTCGTCAGACCTGGTGCCATCTTCCGCGGCGGCAACCTTGCTTTCGGACCGGGAAGAGTGTGACTGTTGTTGTTGGCACATAGTGGAGGACACTTCTCTCTTCTGCAGGCTAGGCAATTCAGCTCTGGGGAAGACGATATGTGTGTGTTGCATATGGGACCTATCTGTAGAGATAAGATCCGACTTCAAATAGCAGATGGCTAAGTTGCCAGGAATGGTTCTTATGACATCAAGCCTCCATTGGTTCTTCGATCAATGGCTCAACCAACAACCCTAACCCCGGTAACACCACCCCGCACAAGGAACAATTATGAGTGGGAAGGACCAGTAGGTAGGTACCTAGACGGGCCATATCCACGTGATGACCCACTCAAGGACCAATGTAGGTAGCTACCTAGGTAGACCTACCTAACTTCTAGCAGTGAGGAGCTAGGTTGGTTCCCCTTAAGTGCTTTGATTTCGAGCGTGACAGTCCTGAATCCGGGCTCCAGTCCTTCTCCAAGCCCGTTCCGACGGCTAACAAGTTAAAATGAAGCCCTCCGCACTTGTGGACACGTTCTCTCGGTCCGCGACTCTCTTAAGGGCCGCCTAAGGCATGTCTCCTCTCCTACCTCTTTCCCCTTCTTCTCACACCGGCCTCTCCCGTCGTCTTTTCCGCCGCTTCTTCTCTGGGAGTCGCATCTCAGGAGAAGAGATTTGAGTAGTTGTAGTATCCATTATGTTCGCACTGCCCTGCTGCTGCGCAGACGTCGAAAGACTTCGAGGTGGCACCGGATGCATGATCTCAACATCGCCTTCATCGATCATGGCTTCGGGGCCAAGCAGTTGACGATTGAGCTTGGAACTCTTTGCGAGGCGATAGAGATGCAGGTTTAGCACGAAAATCCGACTCGAGCGGATCTTCTCCGAAGTTTCCTATTCTCGGAGGACAGACTCATCGCTCGGAGTGGTACTACTAGTAGTAGTTCTCCTGGGGTCGAACAAGCTCCATGCTAAGGATACCTCGTTCTTAAACGCACGGAAAACGTCAAAGAACTGGGTTCCCTCAAGAATGGCCTTTGCCTTGTCGATGATCTCTGTGCAGAGATCCATGCGATTGATATTGAGTAGAGTGCGCAACATTCGAACCGCAACATCGATATGGACCCATGCTGCGACCCAGCTATACCAGTAGACCTTGAGCTGAGCGAGCGATCGTGACATCCTGGCATTGAAGCCGGGATGAAGGTGAGGTATCACAACGATAGGCATTGGATGTTCGGCGGGGACAACGTCTATTCTCGCCATTCCAGCCTCAGCCAAACAATCTCTGAACGACTCGGATTAGCAGGAATTCTTGACACATGCGTCGAGTAATCCTTAGGTATCCTTACTGGAGTGGTTTGACTTGATGATTACACACCCATCCAGCTACTTTGTTCCCTAGCGTAGCTACAATGAGAGGCTTTACCCCCGCGAGCCACGAATCCATCAAGTCCTAAACATCGCGAATGTCAGCACCTTAACTATTCAGTCATTAACTATTCAGTCAGATCTTCATGAAGAATGTTGATAGGGGCAAACAAACTCGTGATGGTTGCCGTTGTTGAGCCTCGAGATTGGGCCAGTTGTAAAGCTGATTAAAGCTTATGAGATCTTGTAAGTTTGTCAGTGACGGATCTTCCGCCTCTGCATTCTTTTCGAATTCAGCTATCGACAGAAGCATATTCTGGAGAAAATCTCCAGTAGCGCGATTGCCACTAAGCAAGAGGCTTCCATCCATTACTGTCTGCCAAGGAGGCTCTAATCCGCATATGACAAAAACGGACGTGCCGTTTATCTGATTACCGACAGCCTGTTGGAGGGTGCTATCGATGTAAGGCTGATATGTCTCTGAGGACGCACGATCTGTGTCTTTCCAAGACGTTCCGGCAGGTCCCGTCCCACCAGTCCCTGAAAAGCTGATTGACATGACGGATGGTTTGGCCGCTCTTCGTCAGTTGGCATTCGTCAAGGTTTGCAAGAAGGGATGAGTTGCATTTAGAAAAATGCACTCATCTACAAGGCTTAGGTGTATGACAGCAGATTTCCCGCCTCTTGGCTTGTTCAACAGTGTCCGAAAACCGAAGAAGCCAATCCAAGCACGTTCAGACTGATCACTGAGTGCCTGAAACGCCTTTCGGTAAAGGCGGGCTCTTTGCTGGCTGCCAGTTGACAATGGCAGACTCGATAGTGGGCCGAAGATGACGTTTTGTCGCGAACAATGACAGACAGTGAACATGGCCATGCTCCAAGTGTCCAACGCTTCTACTTCTGGTATTGCGAACGACCCGCCCCGCGGAATAAGTTGAGCTTCCGCTAACACTGAATCTTCTAGGTCTAGGGCGGATATGGACTTCAGACTGCTTCCGATGCAGAGATGAGAGTCGGCTACAAAGTTATTCCATTAAGTACAAATGCCTCTCTCTTGAGGATCGAACATACCTGAGAAAACTCGACCAGCTCAAGCCCGACGAGGTCCTGTCCTTTAAATAAGGACAGGCTCGCCATATTATCATCTTCAGTGTGAATATTAGGTTGAGGAGAGGAAAGCTACATAGGAAGGCGACGTGACAGAAGGTAAGCTTGGTGCAGGTGGGCGTGACGGGCAATCACGTGACCCACGCCCAGGGGGTGTGGTGGGGTGTGAAGTGGGTCTTATCGAACGATATCGGGTTGCTAATCGATCACTATCGTTATCGTTTATCGATTGGCTACGGAAGTAAGGTAGCTTGGGTAGGTACCTACACGTATAGGTAGCGTTCTCGGCTTTAAAGGACAGGAACTCCGCTGGGTGTGCCTGTTTTCCACATACGCACTGTATTTCAGCCATAAGGTTGCCAGCTGTGCCTTACCAACAATGGGATTCAGTCTATCCAAGCGAACTTCCATATAGGTGTTGGATCAGCAGCTCCTCAAAGGAGTATCACGAGGAAAATATTAGGCAAAGAAAAGGGAGAGGTGCCTAATTTAGGTTGACATTATCTAAGACTATGCCAACACTTGGACAAAACAATGATTTTGAGGGCAGCAGGGATCCATATTCTTCTCAGTGGTATTTCTAGCCGGCAGGGCGCCAGACCCTGTAGTAGAAGTACAGTGCGTATGTAGAAATGGGTACACAGTGGAGCTTTTACCAGGGGGAATTGGCAGGGCCACGCGGCCATGCTTTATTGAGCACTTCAATGGCCTTTATTTAACAGTGAATTGGCAGGATGGCCGAGCGGTCTAAGGCGCTGCGTTCAAGATAAAATCTTTCCAAAAACAATTTGGATTTGCAGTTTCGAAAGAAGCGTGGGTTCGAATCCCACTCCTGTCATTTTTTTTTCTCTTTTTCGTTTTCTTTCTCTTTTTCGTTTTTTTTTCTCTTTGTCTTTCTCCCTCTACTAGAAAGCGCGGAAAGGATTGACAGCAAACAACTCGAGGTAGAACGACCCGGCCTTGGATTTACTTTTTGCGTACTGGACGTCTGCGTAGAAACGTGTCGATCGACAACGGAAAGAAAAGACTGGGAAAGCGGACCAGACTGCCGCTCATCACCAATTACACCCGACCAGAATGGTAAATGCATGTGAAGAGCCTCGTCATACTAGTAGAGCCTTGGATTTCCGTGTGTGATAGCAGCTCTGCGGTGAACGGCTTATGCGTCAAGCACTATATTTATGCCTTCGCAGACAAAGGAGCGAGAGCTAAAATGGTACCATGAGTCGCCCGAGACGTGCGAATTTACGAGGAACTCCTTTGGCAGTTACAGGGCCAACCCGTCCCGATAGAGCTCAGTAGCATGCGGACGAGTAAGGACACCTACGTTTCCTACACGTAAAGTTGATAGGTAGGTAGTTAGGGTTGTTCTTGCCTAACGCCAGGGAAGTCTGCCCCTGATTTAATAAACTTCTGGATCTTCTAGCTCCAGGAGCTAGGTTGTTTAGGTGCTAATCCGCATACCGATTGGTTTGGATAACTGACGAGATGGCTTGCTAGGAAGGTTAGGTAATATCCCCCGCCCTCTTTTGATCCTCGCCATACTCCCATTCTGCTTCTCCGCCTCCCTGTCCTCCTTTCGGCAAGTGTTCCAATATTATCATAGTATGTACCCTCCAACTGATAGCTTATCACTGCCCAGAAGATCTTCAACAGTTATCGTAACATCAACCGATCTACATGGAACTCCCAGTAGCGAACTCGCCGTTGTGGCGAAAAGTCAAGCATCCACCAGAGTCTCTTGCCTAGTAGCGATGCTCCTTAAAAAGTAGCCAATCCGGTGCCATTCCAGCCGATCAGACCTCCTTCTCTTTCATGTGATTCAACCTCTAGCTCCAACGTGCCGTTGGAAGTACCTCCTTATATACTTTACTCTGTACCACCGCCCATCAACCCCTCTCCTAATCGCAATACGAAGCTCGAGAATACCAAACGAAGCTATCATCAGTTGGTCTTCTTTCTACCAGACATCGTTGTTTGTCTCAGCCTCATCCATCAAGCATGTGACAACCCCCCAGCCGATCGATGCATAGAATCTGTCGTCGTGAACCAGACGAGCAGCAATAATGGCTATGCTAAACCCTGTCTATGGGCTCATCGTGCCCTTCCTTTGCATCTTTACTGTCCCGCTAGCCATCTTCGCGGGCATTACCACGACCTTCGCCTTCTCTATCCTCATGTTCAGGGTTGCCCTTGTCTATCTTAACATCGCCATGGCGTCCATCCCCCAGTACATAATGGGCCGTGGAGGATACCGGGCGCTTCCCGCGACCTACCATTCTATCTACGGCCACGACGGCTCGGTAACCCCAGCATCACCCGCCGGCAGTGCCGGCTCGGCAGGCGGCCGCAACGCCTCATCTTTGACCCTTTCCACTCCTCTGAGCATGGGACACATGGCGTCAGGCTACCGGAGTCCGAAAACCCGCGAGCGCGCTAGTGCGACTGCGATCAACACCGCCTCCAACACTTCTGGTGGTCCGGCCGGAGCTGGACTCGGCAGGCGGTCACGCCGACCTAGCCAGGGCAGCGCAACGTCGATCGGGAGCATCACGCCGATCAACGAAGTAGAGGACGGCACGTCCGGCCCCAGCGGCTCCTGGCTTCCTGCGTCGTCTGGCATGGACCGTGACTTCGAAGGCGTCGGCGGCTGGCGCTTAGATGATGCCAACGACGATGCCGACTGGGCGAATATCAATTCGCGCCTGGAACTACCCCTGGAGAGGACACCCCGTCATCATCACCGATCGGCTAGTGGCGATACTTCCACCCCTGGGGAGGGTAGTTGGTTGATGATGAAGAGTGTCAAGAAGGATGGACGGGAAAAGAGCGGTGGGACGAGGAAGCATAACATCTCGCCCAATAGCGGTCGAGTCCGGACAGGCCAGAACGTCTCCATATCCTTTATGCCCAGGGATCGGGAAGAAGGGTATTTTGGTTTCTTGCCCCAGGCGCCGTCCTCCAAGTCCGTGAAGAAGGCGTCTAGCTCAGCAGGATAGCAAGGGATATTTCTTGACGGCGTATCATTGGATTCTGTTTACGACTGATGACCTTTCTTGGTTCTTGCCGACAGTGATTAGAAATCTTAACGCTGGATTTCCTGATTGCTTTGAGGTTGAAAAACACAGGGGAGGAAAATGGCCATGACTGTGCCCACCAACTCTGAGCAGACACGAGGGTGAGGTCGGACAGGAGGGTCAAGGGCAGCCTACTATCAACGGCGGTCGGCCCATTACGCGGGGAGGTGACTGTGATTCACAACTGCTGTATTCACAGCTGCTGTATTCACAGCTACATGCTCCACGGCAGCAGCACATCAGCTAGTCAGGGGGCCGCGTCAGAAGAGTGGGACATATTGCGTCAGTCAGAGAGGCACGATTTACGAACCAGCAGATGAGGGTACACACTGGGGGCTAGGAGGGCGATGTTCATTCCAAATCGTGCATTTTGGGTGTTCAGTTAGTGGGTACTTGGTTTGGGGGGTTAGACTGGCAGGTACATATTCTAAGGGGCAATGACTGTGGCCTCAAAGATAGTGTAAAATCTTGGCTCACGACTCACTTGGGCTCTGTAATTGGTATCGGGTACCCTCCGCGTGATATGGCGTTAACTTTTGGTTCAATCTTCGATTTAGGCTTTACAGTAGCCGCGCTCTCGCTCTCTTTCTCCCCTGAAGCTTGCACCTCGAAGAAAACACCACAGCATTTGCTGCATCGACAATTCCGAGATAAACTAGGTAGGTATACGTGGAACAGCAAGAGAGGTACAGATGCTCTAAGTTGAGGAGGTTAGGCTCAACAACTCAACAATACGAGCCAACGGAGTACTCGGATATGCTAGGATTTGGAATCCAGGGGGACCTGTCAAAAACCGACGTGGGCAACTCAGGCGGCGTGACCACCGAGGATTCAAGTTTCGAAGAGTGTGAATCCAATAAAACTGATTCAAATATATCGACCTTTGAACCCCTGAACTTAGACTAGCCCGACCATCTGGTATCCGTGAAAACAAAACAAACACCTCAAAACGCCCCTCCGCCCCAATGCTCGCGCCCGAAACCCCCTTTCGCCCTCAGAATCTCGCCCTCAGAGCGTCTGCCAGAAGTAATTGGCGTAGAAGAACCTCGAAAACTTCCGATCTATATTGACAACGTGGACGTCCCCCTTGCGGTCATTCCTCACGACGGCACGACTGAACTCGCCATCCTTCCCATCCCTCTCGATCTCGATGCCCAAGCCGCGATACACCTTGAGGCGCAGCAGCACCTCGTCCTCGACGGCGCCCATGCCGACGACGGGCCCCGAGCCGGGCGACCCGCCGTCGACGCCCTGCAGCTCGAGCTCCTGCAGGCGGGCGGCGAGGTCGGCGGCCTGGGTCTGCAGGCGCTCCGTCTCCATCTCGAGGTCCGAGGCGGCCTTTGCGATGCGGAACTTGTGCGTGTCGAGCCGCGCAATCTCGGACGCGTGCTCGGCCGAGGAGTGCGCCGCCGTCAGCTCCGTGTGTTGGCCCTGCAGCGTGCCGAGCTGCCGCGACAGCTTGCGCAGCGCGCCCTCGGCCTCGCGGAGCCGCAGGTCGCGAGCCTGCTGGAGCGTCGATAGGGACTCGGCGACGCGCGCGACGGCGAGCTTGTCGGGCGCGATGTGGAAGTTGGCAATGGTGTGCCGAATGGGCTGCGCGAACAATGTTGGTTAGTGTTTTGCTGGCGGGCAAGATTTTGGGCGGTTGGGTGGGCTTTCTTTACCTTTGAGGGGTCTCCTTCGAGCAACATCTCGACAACACGGTTGGTTGTGGCGGGGAAACTGAAGTAGGGTGCGGGTTTTCCGACGGTGAGAATAGATGTGACAATACGATTGTCAACGTGCCCTGTTCTAATTGATTGCAGGTCGTTTTAATAGCGTCGAGAAGTTGTTGAGTTTCGACGTTTGTCACAATTTGGAGTGAGAACCTATTTGCCTATTTAGGATCAGACTAAACACAAGTCGCATCACCGGGACGACGGGCGATTCCGTTATCTTATCGGACAAAGGACGCTAGTGCGATTCGTCGTCATCGCCTCCGCCACAGCCCACAGTAGCCGCGGCGCAGGACAGGCCAAGCTTCAGCCACATGGTAGTAGAATCACACTCAAGCGTGGGAGCTGACCAAGTTTCTACCCTTTCTCGTGACGGTCCCTTCAACTGGAAGCCGCATTTACGATATTTTAGGACACGAACAACTCAGTGCGACATTCTGGGAGACTTCGATATCCGTTACTAAACTACAAGTTCAGCAAATATGTCGCAGCTGCCTTGTAAGTTGGTGCCCATTCCAGGCTGCCGATTCCCCCGCTAACCAGCAAGGGAACACAGATGCGGTCGATGCAGAGACGTAAGTACTGCGGGCGAATACGCCAACTTCCTAACCTTTATACTGACAATCTGACGATATAGTCCGCTAAACCCAGCGGAGCTTGAGGTGTTGAGGGCGCAGTATGAGAAGGAAGGCGATATGGTTGGTCTCCAGACCAAGTTCAACTACGCATGGGTTCGTACTTCCCCCCTCATTCCGTGGTCATTCCGTGGCAGTGGGCATCGCAACTAATGACTGCTTCCGCCATCAAGGGTTGCGTAAAATCAAATAAACGAGATGACCAACACCTTGGCGTCATGCTCCTATCCGAGATCTTCAAAACGTCGCCCGAGCGGCGGAGAGAATGCCTCTACTACCTTGCGCTGGGGAACTTCAAGCTGGGCAACTACGGCGATGCGAGGAGATACAACCAGTTGCTATTGGAGAAGGAGCCGGACAACCTGCAGGCATCCAACCTGCAGACTCTGATCAACGACAAGGTTGCGAGGGAAGGCGTAATGGGTGTGGCCATCGTCAGTGGTTTGGCTGTGGCGGCTGGGGTTGTTGGCGGCATTCTCTTGAGGAACCTGGGGAAGAAGCGGTGAGGTGGATGAGATGGGTGCGGCTTGGGATGAGTCGACGTCGGACTCTTTGGTTCTTCATATGCATATTGGGACAGGCACTGGCTAAAGCAGGAAACATATCCTTTTTATTGAGTATCACTCCATCAAACATGGCGACTCTGTACCTAGGCCGAGTTATGTAGCGCAGCTGGCAACAGCTGACAGAGATACATGTTATCGGAAGCTGCCGGAATGCCGCCGCCCACATCGAAATGGAAGCATGGCGAAGTCTATGGATTGGTTATTTCCACCTAGGTATCCTCTTCGTAGCCCGTTAGGTACCAGTTTGCTAGGGCTGTGCTGTGGTAGGTGAGCTGGCCATGCGGCATATAAACGGTCAGGAACACAAAGACACAACTTATAACTTGCCCAGCCAAACCTATCTTGCCACAACACAGAGGCTCAACCACTGTGGCAACTGGGTACACATTACCGGATCTTGCCGCGAGAGAAGGATACCCCGGCATCTGTGACGCAGCTGTCCGGGCGACTCACGGACATCACCCGATTGCGATTGCCTCAATCCGACCTTACTTCTTTTTATATTCACTTATCCGCAGAAACACCAAAATCACATTTTCTGCTCCCTCAAGCCTAGAGGACCACTACACGGACATCCTGGGCAGAGCTCCTTAAACGGCGACTCTGCAATAATACTTGCCTGACCTTTCACACACCCACCCCGCGTTCTTTTACAAACCAAGGGTTTACCTCAGCCTAACCCAAGTCTTCGACTCGTCACCCTAAGTTCGAAAACAGTCCACTCCGCGTTCATCTTCTCGAAACTACGAGGCTGGCTTTCCGAGCGCTTCGAGCCGCAGGCCTTGCTGTCGGCCTCGGACTTACCGCCTACGCCGCCTACCAGCAAAACCAAGAACAGAGTAGGCGAGCAGGCATGTCGTCCTTTGCTTCTAGCCAGCGTCACCTTGATGCCACTGCTGGCAGGGAAGTTGTATTCTGCCATGCCTGTGAGAATGAGTGGTACCGCGACGAGCACGAGAGCATAGAGTGCCCGCGATGCCATCGCGATGTCACCGAAATTGTGAGTCTCCCCCTGACCAGCCTCGTAATGATGCTTCCTTTGCTGACCGTCCTCGAGGTCGATCCCGAGAATGATCCTCGCGATATTCGAGACGCCCCCTCACTTCCCGACTATGGCGGCACAGGTCCCGGTTTCTTCTCCCACAACCATGACGCCGACTCTGACCCCGAAGAGGGCGATATCGACGAACATGTTAGCCACGCGCCGCATGGGGTCTTCATGCGGCGGACAATTTTCCGACCGCCTCCGAGGCCTCAAGATGGGACACCCGGACCGGCGCCTAATCCTAACGAGCGGGTCGACCCCTCCGACGGCGATGCCATACTGCGGCGCTTTACAGACATGTTGATGAATGACTTCAACGCTGGCGCACCAGGCCGCTCAGGTCCGGATGCTCTCTTCCAACCTCGCGATGGGTCTCCGAACTTCTTCTTTGGGGCTCCCCCAAGGGTCCAGCGGACCACCATTACAGGCTCGGGATTTGGTGGCGGACGCACAACCTTGACGATATCGACGGGGACATTCCGGAGCAATGGCGCAGGCGGCCCTGCAGGACCGGGAGACTTCGACACGTATGCAGGCACTTCCCCACCTTCCTCCCATGCTACTGGATCGCCACCTCGCGGCTTCGCAGTCGTCGCCTTCAGGATCAATACTGACACACGTGGCAGGGTATTTAGCAACTTGATGGACCACATCCCGCCCCCGAACCCTGCTGATGCGAACGATCCAAACCGTGCTGGAGGTGCTGACGGGGCTCCCGGAGCTGGCGCAGGGCCACAACAACGCGCCAACATGTTTGCCGTAAGCTTGCACGAAATTCTTGGTGCTCTCCTCAATCCGGCGGGAGCGGCCCGGGGCGACGCCGTGTACTCTCAAGAAGCTCTCGATCGGATCATCACGACTCTCATGGAGTCGAATCCCCAGTCAAATGCGGCACCGCCAGCGTCTCAGTCTGCCATCGAGAGACTCGAACGCAAAAAGATCGACGACGCGATGCTGGGACCCGAAGGCACAGCCGAGTGCACAATCTGCATTGATGCGATTCACAAGGGAGACGAAGTGCTGGTGTTGCCCTGCAAGCACTGGTTCCACGGCGAGTGTGTCACCATGTGGCTCAAAGAGCACAACACATGCCCCATCTGCCGAAGCCCAATCGAGGGAGGCAACAATAGCAACACCGCGCAGCAACAACAGCAACAGGGACAGCAACAGGGACAGCAACAGGGACAGCAACAGGGGCAACAACAGCCTGCCCAGTCGTACACGGATGCAGCCGGACCAAGTCCCGCGGCTGCTTCGGCGAGCTATGTGCCGAGCCGGTCTCGTGGGGATAGATCGTTCCGGAGTCCTAGGGAGAACGAGGAACGTCTCAACTCTATTCGAAACCTTGGCAGCTACCGCTCTTCACCATCCACCTCGGCGCAGAACAGGCGCAACTCAATGTCCCCACCAAGTTCACGAGGGCAGTCTACTTCCGGTCACTCGTCCCGAACTAGGGTCAGGAGTCCCTCGTTTTCAAGGGATCGGGATCGGGATAGGGATCGAGACCACAACCGTGACTGGCCCATGTCTGGAACTGAGAACGACCGGCATCAGGGTGGCAACACCCGTGATAGTGGCAGCGAGAATCATGGCCATGGTGCGGGGCCATTGGGTTGGCTTCGTGACCAGTTCTCGCGAAGTTCAGGTAGCGGATCTAGCAATGGCCGCAGACAGCAATGAGTCCAACAAGGATAATATCTCTTTGGACATAGATCGAGTTTCAGTCCGTCATCTATTATCATGGCTCTGTCGCATGATCTCTGCGAGAACAGTCAGAGCCTGCTTGCTCTCTGTTGTGGAAACAACTGTACATATAGACTCTCTTCGCATTGGGGCATCTGTCTCTTTCTCTCTCTCTTGGGGGCGGTACCCTTGATAGGGGATTTTGGCAGAATGTGGGGAGGGGCGGAAACGACCAAAACCGGGAACCCGTTGTACGCCTTTGATGACATGTCACGACAGCATTTCTTATTTCTCATGCCGGGGGAATTTCTGGGCATGGAGCCTGCTGCGTTTGCACCAGCTTTGCATTCATTCTGGGGAATAGGGTTTCACGGCTCTTCAGTTCTCTACCGCGTTTTATTTTCTCAACGGACTCCAAATATGGTGGCTGGGATGGGCCTAGTCAGGCGGAATGGCAGTTAGGCGGTGGGGAACATTGCCATCCTTCCTTGGCTAGGTGGAGATATAGCTGATAATCGTCCCGAGAATATTAGACGGGACAACCGCTTGTCGTTTGTTTCTTGGAAGGCCCAACCTTTCCAGCCTTGACCATAGGTTGCCGCGGTGCTGTTGCAACGTTGTGTAAAGTAAGGGGTAGATTTAACGGTGCAAAAGGTAGACTGGCGCACCAGATTCCATAGACGATACATTGCTTCCCAAGAAAATCAGATTACAAACGTTGGAGGCAACACATGTGAACGCCTGGTAAGGTGTAAGAAGATTATCATTCAGGCCTACTATCTAGATGAGCCCCCGAAAGGCAGAGCGGTAATCCAACCCGTCCCCTTTTGGCTCACCACTCACCAAGTTAAACTGGTACAATGCTAATGCGTACATGCCCTTCCATGCCCATGTTGGAGACAGACGTATATATATATATATGCAGGTATATGTAGGCAGGCATCCCTATTCCAAGCCGCGACTACAAAAGGTCGCGGAGGACCTCGATCCTCGTCCTTGCAGTCTCTGACCCACGCTCACCCTCGGCCATAAACTGCATGATCTGAATCATACGCCCTGCAAGTCGGGGGAAAAGTGACAGGGGTTAGTCAAAACGTTCCCCCTCGAAACACGCGATCAGGGGGAGGGGGGGTGCCTAGGATGAGACCACTCACCAATATCGGCCCTCGCCCTGACGAAGAGCGGGTCCTTCGCGACGGCGTCGGGTCCGTCGGGCCTGGCGAGGGTCTCGCGCAGGACGGTGCCAACGCAGAGGGCCTCGAGGAAGGCGCGGTGGTTGAAGACCCACCAGACGCGGGCCTCGGACTCGAAGAGGGCGAAGAGCACGAAGAAGGAGGCGATGGCGTCGTGGGCGGCCTCGAGGGTGCCGCGCACGTTGACGGGGACGTCGGGGCTCTCCGAGGCGTGCACGAGCATGAGGTTGTGGAAGTAGTTGCTCGTCAGGAAGAGCGTCTGCCGGACGACGCGCTTGTTGGTCTGCGCCAGCTGCGAGAGCGAGTCCGGGTCCCATGACCGGAAGATGTCGGGGAAGGAGCGGTACACGGCGCGGAAGTCGGCGACCAGCTTGGACTTGTGGCGCGCCGTCGTGCAGATGGGGAGGTCGAGCGAGCGCGGGCTGCAGATGGTCTCCTGGACGAGGTTGGCCAGCGTCCACGACCCGCGGATGTAGGCCGTGTCGGTCGGGTTGCTGTTAGCGATGGAGGACGAGTCGTCGACGAGGTCCTCGACGTTGACGTCTGTGTGGGTAGCGTTCGGCGGGAGAGAGAGCAACACCGTCAGGAAGGTGTCCTGGAGCAGTACTGCTTGCCATACCTTGCGACGCTGTTGCTTTTCGAAGCTGGAGGCATTCGGAGTCACTGGAGCGGGTGAGCGAGCATTAGAAACCTTCCTTTCGCCCTTGTTTTGGCCCAACGAGCTTCTGGTTGACATACCGATGTTGGGATCCCTATGGAGGCCCATGGCGTACGCCTGTCTCATTAATATGCCTGCAAACGCCCAGCCGTCGGAGGCGTGGTTATCGTTTATGAGGAAATACGTTATCAGAACCATCGCCTGAATGGACCGTATCGAGGCGGTGCTGAGGTAGGAACTCATGCGAAGTGCTTGATTACTGGCGGAGGCGTAGAATTCTGCTGTTTGTTTCCTATCCATCGGCGAGGTAGCTGTGACGAACTGGGTGCCCAGGGCAAGTATGACGAAGACCAGTGCGACAAAAGAGGGATCGACGCCATCCGGACTCGGCCGGGGTAGAGACCAGAAATGCTCATAGTCGGCGTAGAAGGTCTGCCGATGGAGCATGGGGTAGACGGGGTCGACGCACTCGAAGTAACAACTGACGAGAATGTCGGCCTGCAATTTATCGGGGAGCACCGAGATGACTTCTGGCAGGCCGCCCTCGCAGGTCCAGTAATTGGCGAACGGGTGCTCAGAACCGATACCAAAGACATTCGAGGCGCCGTCGACAGAGTAGGGAACGTTGGACAGGAGGCCGGTGGACAAGGCGACATACCCCCTGGCATTGGTTCGGACATTCCCGATGACCCGATCCGCGAGGTTTGGAATAAAGGATTTCACTGCATCTGGCTTTTTCTTGGGTGGCTTGGTCATCCTACGACCATTGACGGCATTGCGTGACGTTTCTCTGTCCCGGAGTCAGTATCGGAATCCGACGGCTGGGAAAGGGGAAGGGGTGGCTTACTCCAGCAGATCGGCGACATGGGCGTATTTACACTCAGTCTGACGCTTGATGCCTAGACAGGGGTTAGAAAGGCGTGGCTTGGATTGTGATACGAGTACTACACTTACAAGCAAGGCAATGTGGTCGTCCTCGGTCGCACTACAGAAAGTCATCAGTGAGGGGACTCTCGGTGAGATGCCACAGTATTGCCACTCCAGCGGAGAAGCACCGCCCAACTCATGGCAACGAGAGATCTGGCCTAGTTATACAAGAGGCAATTCTTTCAAGCTCTAGGATCGGAAAGTTCTTCTCAGGGGAGAGTGAACGGGAACGGCGGCTTCAAAGCAGCCACGCCTTCTCCGGAAGCGGCGGCAATCCGCTGGAGGACGTTGGAGCACTTGCTCCAGTCAATTGAAGCTGTAGTGGGCTGGCTACCTTTGTCTTCCTCTCGACGCACTCGAAGCACGACAGAGTGGGTTTGTTGCGCTTCTGTTTCTTCGCCGTCGCCTCCGACGGCGACACGGTGCTACCATCTCTAAGGGGGCCGGGCCCCGCATTCAGGGTCTGCTGTGCCCGGGCGACATCCAGCGGATGGCGTCTGTGGGAATACCGATCATCGTCATCGCCGTGGGGAGTCGTTGGGAATTCCCGTTTCAGACTTGTGCCGGCGCCCTGCAGGTGCTGGTGTCCGGGTGCTGGTGAGGCGTAGGTGGAAGCAACCGAGTTCGGCGTCAAAACGGTTTGGCCGAACAGGGACTGCTCCATCATGACGACATCGCAGTATTGGCTTTCTCGGGGTCCGGGAATAACGTCTAGTTGATGGCTTGGCAGAAAGCTTGACAGGCCGGGGAGCCGGGGAGGGGAGACGGCTTTGAGCACTGGGAATAAGGAGGAAGGTCCGCCGAGAAAAAGGATTGGGAATAATTTTCAATAAATGGGGAAGACAGGAAAGGAAAGGAAATAGAGATACATGCTAGTGGGAGTAAATGAGGGGAAGGCCGCCGTCGGCCAGGGGTGTCCATCTCATTCTCGACCGACGTAATTGGCAACCTAGTCGACCCTTCCGAACAGTCCAAAGTGGTGTCTCAAGTGTCCTTCTGTGAGCGCGGTTTGATATGGATTTAGGCCTACTCTTCTCTCTAATACTATTAATACCCTCTTCAGTGTGTGGGATTGACGGATTATATTGTTGTCTTTCTCTGGGCTGCTGAGTTGAGGTCCGTTGCAAAGGCTTTGAGCAGATCCCCGCAATAATGAATCATCGGAAACTCTACCAGTTCAGCGAGTAATCAACCAAATTGCCCAGTCAAAACCGGATGACGACCCGGCCAGCATCCCGATTTCTCACGTCTCTAACATCGAAAATGTCGACCCGCCAAAGCCAGCCAGCTCCGGCCCCTTGGCGCGAGCCCTTCCTCAAGCACATCACCTCCATGGCCCAGCCGACATTCGTCCTCGCCACCCTGCACCCGGTCCCGACCTCCGAGTCACCCTCGTCCCTGCCCGTCGTCCCCCGCGCCCGCACCTGCATCTGTCGCGGCCTCTGGGCCGACCTCCCGGCCAACGACCGGAACCCGGCGCCCCGCAACCCGCCCGCCTGGGAGTCGGACCTGCCCGTCCTGACGACGGACGCTCGCATGGAAAAGGCCGCCGAGGTCGTCGACACCGCCGGGCTGGCCACCGGCTCCGGCGGCGGCGCGACCGGAGGCGGCGGCCCCGTCGAGGCCGTCTGGTGGGCAGAGAACCCGGCGACGCAGTGGCGGGTCCGGGGCGCCGCCTGGGTGCTCGGCCCGGATGTGGAGGGCGACGAGGGCGCGCGGGCCCGGGAGGCGATCCTCGCGCGGATGAGGCGGCGCAAGGGGGACACGGCCGGGCAAGACGGAGAGGAGTGGGGCTGGAAGCGGGAGTTGACTGCGCATTTCGGCAACCTCAGCCCTGTCATGCGCGGGACGTTCCGAGCTCCGCCTCCGGGGTCGCCGGTAGCGATACCGCCGGAGGGGGGCCTGGGACAGGGCCAGGAGGTGGATGACCTCGAGGACGAGGTGGCGAGGTCTAGTTTCCGGGTGGTCGTGATTGTGCCTACAGAAGTCGACCAGGTCGACTTGTCGGACCAACTGAGGCCGCGGAGATGGTTGTACACCTACCGTGGGCCCTCAGGCCAGTCTAAACAACCCGGCGGAGAGGTCATTGGAGAATGGGAGAAAGTAGAGGTATGGCCATGAGGTATTTAGTGAGGATGCTATAAGCCAAAGTTACGGAATACATCTTGTCTATCCACAAGCAAGCTCAATAATTAAACGTCGCACCCTCCACAATGTCTACCTGATATTGGTGTTTTGGCACTGCATTCGTCTTATGTAGGGAGTTAAGTGTAGCTCAGTGGTATGGGAAGAGCTGGCACCGCCACAGAGGGCGATGATGGTTCCTTGCCACAACCCCCACGTACCCCACAAGAGTCGGGATGATGTATAGAGAAATACCTATTCCGTACCACAGTAATGACGATGACGATATCAATTTCCTCATCGTCTGAACAATCAAGATCAGTTAAACCCAATCCCAACACCAGTAGGAGCGCGAGGCCAGTGGCCCTGTCCAGCAGAGATGGAAGCCGAAGTAAGCTTCAGATGAGCTGCCAAAGTCCCTTTCCGATATCGCCTTTCGCCTCGTATCTCCAGTTTCTCACCGTATCATCAATCTGACTGTCTAGGAACCCCAATCGCGCCCGCAACCCATCACTCGTAAATCAGTTGCATTTATGGAAGAGAACCTAGTGGTGGATGTAGACGGCAGTGTCGCCGTGGTTTCCGCACCCAACGATGGGTCAAATGACTCGGCGCAGTCTCACACGCTCCGTACGCTGCCTCTCTCTGCCGCCCTCGGGGCCTCTACTGATGCCTTTAAAGTCGCCGAAGCCGCCGATGACGACGAACTCGACGAACTCGACCTCTCGCTGCTAAAGAAGAAGAAGAAAAAGGCCAAGAAGGCCGAAGAGTCAGGTGCAGTTGGGTCCGATGGCGAAGCCCCGGCCGGCGGCGAGGACGAAGCAATCGACCTCACTATGATGAAGAAGAAGAAGAAAAAGAAGGCACCGATTAGCGACGATGACTTTGCCAAGAAGTTGGAGGCGCTAAATGTTGAGGGCAACGACGAGGAGGAGGAGGCTGTCGACGAGCAGGAAGGCGATTCGGAAAAGGGTACCGGTATTTGGAAGCATAGCGAGGTCAAGCCTATCAAGTACGACCTCCTTCTTTCTCGGTTTTTCGAACTTCTGGCGGAGAAGAACCCCGACCACGCACTTAGCGGCTCCCGATCCTACAAGATCCCACCGCCGCAGTGCATGCGCGAAGGCAACAAGAAGACTATCTTCGCCAACATCCCCGAGATCTGCAAGCGTATGAAGCGGACGGACGAGCACGTTACAGCTTACCTCTTCGCCGAGCTGGGTACCACCGGTAGCGTTGACGGCAGCAGGCGGCTGGTGATCAAAGGTCGCTTCCAGCAGAAGCAAATCGAGAACGTGCTCCGGAAGTACATTATCGGTACGTTTCTGAGTCGGATCAGCACTGTCCCTCTGGGCCCCTTCTTAGCCCCTTAAGACTAACTCCTGGCCTCCAACAGAGTACGTAACGTGCCGGACATGTCGGTCTCCGGACACGGAATTGGTCCGTGGCGAGAACCGGTTATACTTTGTCACTTGCAACGTGAGTAACTCCATATTTCAACCGCCTTGGTTTTCAATGCACTTTGGGGAATTGTGCTGATTTTTTGGTTTAGACTTGCGGCTCCCGTCGTTCGGTCCAGGCCATCAGGACAGGTTTCTCGGCCCAGGTTGGCAAGAGAAAGAAGATGAGGGCTTGATCTTGGTCCGTTGTGCTCCGGTCTGCTTTTCAGTATCAAGGTTGCATTGTAGATTTGGGATAGGCATGGCCATACATGGAAAAGCTAAAAGGGTAAATTGAAAGGTCATTCTCTCTATTCGAACAACCTTGCCGTTTCTGCTACTGGCTATGGGCAGTCTCACCTTGGTGCACGCGCATCGGACGTGGGACTTGTTCAACCTCCTTACCCGTATCGGGTGGCAAGTGGGTTATGGTTGGGAGACCACAGCTAAGGTTAGCAAGAGGAAAGAGCGTAAGCGTCCCACAGTCCGCGCCGGGAACTCCTGAGGCCCTAACAGCTACGTAAGCGACGGCAGAAGTTATATGAGTGTCACCGCCGACACCAGACGCACCAGTGGTGTGCCATTATTGAGTGGATATATATTTCTTGACTTCTCTGGTGTCGCACAAGCGGCGACCTGTCAAGCCGAAGAATATTACGCCGGCATGGAGGGCATCTGCAGCCATTTATCGGTTATCCTCAAGTCTGTCTCGTCTGGCCTAGAGATTGACAGATGCAAGACTAATATCGAGGATTGCAACGTGTGCTTCGATACCGGGAAGATGGGAGCGAGGAGATTTGGGGTACCCCGGGTATTTTGAGCCGACCTGTTCAAGCGCCGGTTTAAACTTTTGATCAAGCATGAGTCGTGACCTGTCCCAATAATTCAGGCCCAACCCAAAAGAAGACAAGCCAAATTATGGGGGTAGAGTTGTAACTTCGCGCAGAACTAGTCATGAATTATATCGGGCATACGGATACAACTAGTGCAATATCCCTTACTTTTAAGGCGTGGCACTGTGGGACTGTTAACGCTCAGGGGGGCCAAGCAACGATGGGTCCGCCAAGACATCCGTATTACTGCTAAATAGGGAATTCAGGCCTGCCATGCTGTTGGGACAATTCAAGCCAGGGATCGTGGCGGCGCAATGGTAAGCAACATAAGGGCGAGGGCGATAGGGCATTGTCATTGTATCATACAGAGGCGGGAAAGATAGTAGGGGTTGCGACCAAATGGCGGCACACAAAGTACCTACCTAGGTACCTAGGTATGCATGCGATTGTTTCCTGCCCCATTTAGATACCGGGAGGTCGTTTAAAGATTGGAGGGGTCGGTAGACCGATTGAGGAAGCTGTCGCCGTCGCCCAGCCGCCTGGACCAGAAAGGACGACACACTGCAGCGATAAGGGGCGCTCGCACCAGAGTCATTTAGCTCCCAGGTACCTAGGTAGTTTCTCGTCTTTGACACTACACACAATTTTCCCACTTTTATTATCTCTTTGCCCTGTCATCCCGTCGGACAATGCCTTGTGTTGAAGGCACGGAATATCAACATCATCACCAGTAAACTGTGGGGAAAATACGCTGGCGCCGTACCGTTTTCTTCATGCAGCTCCCTAGTCCGCAGGTGGCCACACTAGTGCAGGTAAAGTGCGGGGACAAGGTCCCCAATTCCCCCCGGACCATGGACCATCCCTGCAACCTCCCATGATCCGTCCCGCTGGACCTTGATCACTGTCATAGGCTACAAACCCTGGACAAGTTCGAATACTTCAGCAGCTTAATGCATGGTGTAATGGAGATCGATAGATTGGTAGACCTCCATACGTGATTCTGTGTATTGCACATACAACTAAGGCTCCTCCGAAGTGCAGTATGTAGCTGTCAGGTTTTCCATCCATCGGAGGCTCAATGCGCGGGATGACCCAAAGTATGGAGGTGTTGTGCATGTGGCTGATAAGCGCATGGTCGCACCCGGCATTGGTACTGCTGATGTCACTTTTAGTGTACGGTGCCACCCTAGAGGCACCCACTATTCTTTCTCCTTTTTCCATTCCCAGTCTCCCAAGTTCTGCCACTCCCATTTGGGATCAAGTATTTGCTTGCCAGGTCATATTACATTACCTACATTATTAGCCTTGTCCCGTTTCCCACGGCCTCTTTTCGCCTCTCTCTTTCGTTCTCTTCATTTTCCCTCCTCTCGCTGCTCAGCCCTTCTCTAATCCGCCAGAATATCGTCTTAGTCTGCTACATGTTGCGACAGTCCTCCGCCCACGTCGTGCATGTTCACCCGCGACTTTCCCACGTGCCATTTGCCGCCAAGGTCCCCCCCGAGGAGTGGCCTGAGCACCCGCAAGCCACCGATTCTTCAACAGCAAGGAATTCCATCAATTGACTTGTCTCGCCCAACAAAGCCTCCGCGAGATTCTGGGCTCGCCATCTGGTCTGGCCCAACCACCCCGCTCGTCCCTCTACGGAGGATGACGAGCGTGGCGGCAACCCCCCACTCCCGGCATCATGTCGCTCTATTCCGACCCCCCGCCACTCCACGACTTTAGGTACGATAAGCCGACGCTTTTGGTATGCTGGTGGACCACCATTTTCTGCACCGTCATCATCCTGCTGCGCGTCGGCGGGCGGTTCGTGCGGTCCGAACGGCTGTTCGTCGAAGACAAAGTCGCTGCACTTGCCCTTATACCCATGTATCTGCGCATGGGCTGCGTCCATGTCATCTTGATTTACGGCACCAATAATGCGCAATTGGCCGACGCAAACCTTTCCCAAAATGACCTCCATAAACGGTCAATTGCAAGTGGGCTAGTCCTATTGAGCAGGATATTCTACGCCGCAACGTATGTGGCTGAACCCGGGCCGACAGCGACGCTGGGGTCGGAATCTGTTGTGCTAACCATCTGCGCAGGCTCTGGATCTTGAAGAACACTATACTGGAGTTCTTTAGGCGCCTCAATGTCACCTGGGAGAGGTCCTACGAGGTCACGCTCAAGTTTATCCGCGGTACCTTGATAGCGACTTTCATCGCCGTTGTCATTAGCGACCTTGCAGAGTGCCAACCGTTCTCACACTACTGGCAGGTTCTGCCTGATCCTGGAGGTAGATGCCGCCAGGGATACGCACAGCTCTTGACCATGGCAACCTGCAATACGCTCACGGATCTTCTCCTGGTGATATTCCCGATACCCATCATCATCCGAAGCGGCTTGGCTCTCAAGAGGAAGACGGGGCTCATTCTCTTGTTCTCGCTGAGCCTTGCTGTCGTTGCAACGACCATGTATCGAGTCCCTCGGATTATTGCAGATGGAGGAAGCCAAAGAACCCGGTCGTTATACGCTTCTATCGAACTCCTATTTGCTACGGCTGCCGCAAACGCCCTGGTCCTCGGTTCGTTTGTGAGGGATCGTGGCGTGAAGAAGATGAAATTCAAATATGGCTCAGTCGCCGCCGGTTCAATGGACCGTTCTTCGGGATCCGAGTCTCGACGGCCCACGTTGAACAAGCACTGGGGCAGCCTGGAAGATCTGGCCAGGGATACGGGCTTTGGTGTACAGCCGGAACTCCGGGATGCGGATTCACCCACAAATGCTCGTTTCCACATGCCCGCTCCGATGACAACCATGCCAGATGGCATGAATAACTGGGGCTTCTCCGGGCGGAGGCGGGCCACTGTTGCCCCGAGCCAGGGTTCCTTCAGCCCACGAGATCCACTGCTCTCGAGGAGCAATTCCGCGGCAACCCCTCGCAGAGTCACCTTCTTTGATGTCGGTGGCCTTTTAGACGACGAAGAAGAGTCCAGTCGACGCGGCAGCCACATCTCAAGTTCCGATCCTTTGTCTCCTCGTGCCATGCCATCACCATCATTGCGAGCTAATGCGACGGGCTTGCGGCGGGGTTCGACGGTTTTCCTTCAAGATATAGGGGGACGATTAAATCCCCTGGGTTCGAAGTCAGCCTCGCCAAAGGCGGAAGAAGCGACCGAATTACGACCTCTGCAACGCCCAGGCCGCCGGCCATCACTCGCGCCGCCAGAGCATGTCACTTCAGCCGGAAACCCTGAGCTAGTATGGAGTGATCCTGGTGGGTTATTGGACAGGGACTGACACGACTACCATGATCTTGGAATAATCTATTTTCTTTACACCTCTCTTTTCTCTCTCCGTTCCACTTGCTCCTCACACAAGCATCTGGCGATCATAACTGCACATCACGGACTGGGCGCTCTTTCTTATACAGGACAGGATATTTGCGGCGTTGGGTATACCCGGGGGGATGGTGATGACTGGAACGGCCGGCTTTTGATGGGCTGTCTTCCCAACGAGTTAATAGGACACACATTTACGCAGAACCGATAGAATCCGGTCCATGGATCTCTTTATATATATACCCGGCGAAAGCCTCAACATTGTCACCCGTCTATTGTTAGGTTTTTAAATACAAAAAAAGCTGCATCGTTGAATCGAAAACGAATATGGGTGTATCTGATGATAAGTCCATGTTTGAAGTTTATCCCTCGTAGCTGTATGTTGACGACTTGGGAACAGAAGAATCGAGACTTGTCCATCCGACCCAAGGGTCTCTGGAGAATAAAACTGCGTCAAGCTACAAACACGCCTGTCCGTGCCCACCAAAAGGTTGTACATGGAGCGAAAGCCGTAGGCTACGCTCAAGTCACCAGGCCTCAGGGGCCAAGAATCGAATCAGCGAACCACACTACCACAGCCCAGGCCAGCGCCATCGGCAACGGTGGCCGGGGGCGGTGACAGCAGCCCAGCGCCATAGGCAACGGTGGCCAGGGGCAGCGACAGCAGGGGGGGCGGCGACAGCAGGAGAGGTGGCGACAGCAGTTGGGGCGGTGACAGCTGCAGGGGCGGTGACAGCAGCGGGGGCAGTAACAGCAGCGGGGGCAGTAACAGTAGCAGCGGTGGAGGCGGCACTCGACGCCGCAGCAGAGCCCGCCGACGCGCCACTATCCTCCTCCGCCACCACAACCACGGGCTCAGCATCGGGTATCGCCCCCGGCACAGGCGCCTGCGCGACCTTCAGCTCCCCGGCCGCGACGGCCGGCGGGCCGACGAACCTCCCGGCCCCGCACGCGGCCTGGATGCCGTCGCACTTGCGGCCCCAGGCCTCGCACCCGGCCGAGCCCGTCGGCGGCGCAGACGCGTAGCACGCCGCCTGCTGGTCGTAGCACGCCTCGGACGCGGCCCAGCATCCGGCCTCGCCGCGGTACGAGGCCACCTCGTGGCCGCACCAGTTGGCGTTCTTGGCGAGGCAGTCGGCCGGGATCCGGCCCTGCGTCTGCTGGGCTTGGCCCGAGGCTCGGCGGTCGGCGGCGTGGAGGCGGCGGCGCCGCGGGGGGCTACTGCTGGAGGAGGGGAAGTACACGGCCGGGCCGGGAATCTTGTACGGCAGCGCCAGGGGCCGGGCGTAGATGTCGAAGGTGACGCCCGCCTGGCCCGCCGCCACGTGGCCCGGGATCCTGACCTGCCTGTCGGCGGGGACGTTGAGCGTGTCAGCGGCATCAGCAGCCCCCTGGACGAACAGCTGGGCGCAGCCGACGTAGAACTGCGGGTCGGCGGCTTGGACGTTCTGTAGCGCGAGCAGCTCCGGCCGCACGAGGTAGTAGCCCGTCGGCAGACCCGTCGGCAGGGCCACGGACAGCAGGCCGGCGTTGTCGATGAGCTTCTCGGTGCACCACTTGCGTGCGCCGGCGTCGTACCCGGACTCCCAGATCTTGAACCAGCCATCGCCGGCGGCCGGGGTGGTCGCCATGTCGGCCACGCGCTTGAGGTAGACGGCGCAGGGGCCCGCGTGGGACTTGTCGATGGCGCCTGGGTTGGAGGCGTCGGCCCACTCACGGAACTCGAAGGTGAGCTTGGCGCCTGCTGGGGCTGGGCAGGTGAATGCTACGGCCTTTTGCCCGTCGCGGCCTGGCCGTTGGAGGGAGGAAGCGTTAGCGATACACCCCGGAGTCGTTAACGACGAGGGGTATGAGCCGACTCACCACAAGCCATGTCCTGACTTTGCAGCCCGGCGATGGGATTCGTGCATGTGTCCGGGTCCATGGGCATGCGGACGCAGGTGCCGTCGCCCTGGTTGACGTCGTTTATGAATAGGGTGGTGAAGACCGTGTGGGCTTGTGCGACAGAAGCGAACACGCCCACCAGGGGGAGCGAGAGATGGGGTCGCATAGTGACAGTTGTCGGTTATAGGTCACCGTAAAGATAAAAGGCAGCTAGGGGTGATGTGGAATGTTCAAGAGCGCAGGAGTATAACGAGAGTCGTCCTCAAGTGGTATCCTATCCACTAAGAAACGAAGAGCTTCCCTGAAGCCACAAGAGCAATAACCGACAGAACTCGTAGTGCAAGTCTGTTTGTAAATCACAGGGGCACTGGGGCCTCTAAGCTGTAAAAGAGCGACTGGAAAGGAATGTGGAAACAGAAGCCTGGCAGCCCTTGCATCCCCCCCAATAGAGCATACTGAGGGCGGTTTATATAAACGATGTGCCACATGAGTTAGACGCCAGAATGCGAGGATGGATGTAGCCCCTATTCAGAGCCACATGTCATCCTTGTCAGGGAAGGGCTGAGAATTATTACAGGACCAAGGATAAATAACCAGGACGGTCCAGCAGCAGCCAACTGCATAGCTGGCGCAATACTTAGCTGCGTTGAAACTGGTAGAGCCAACAAGATCTGTTGGTCTACAAAGCCCCCGGTGCTGATCCGGAGATCCCCCAGTCTCCTGTTGTCAACCCAGAAATTCGAAACATGTTCCCATGGCATCTACTAATAAACCACGATGAATATTGCTATCCATCTAGACTTTGCTTCTATTCTCAGCTTGAAGGATGTATTTATGGGTAGGAGGAATTCGCACCTCCTGTACTCGCGCGAACTGACCCCTGCCGCGGGTAATAAGGTTCGAAGAAAGTGATTCTCTCAACTTGAAACATTTTTCAGCGCGTTTGCACACCCAACTCACTGGGAAAGGGCGGCTGCAGCTACCCGGGCGCCGAGGGATAAAGTGACGGTGATATTTTGGGCTGCAGCCCACGAGCAAGATATCCTGCAACCTGGTTTATGCGAGACAGACGTACCGAAATAATATCACTGAGACGGCAAACGAGAGATGCCAGAGAGCGGGAAATGACGGAGAGGGCGAATGACAAGCTAGGAGTGGAGATCTATTCCCTTCCAACAAAGCCTAGATCACCCTGCAGGGACCGACTACCTGAAGACTGCGCCGAATTACACCCTTCTATGCAAGACCGATCCTCATCAGAGCTCTCTCTCGAGCCTTGAATTTTTTTTGGTACATGGTATGGTACACGTCGTGATTCCACGGGGTATCTCTACTCGTTGATCTTCGCCAGAATTCTACACAGATGTTAAAAAAAGACGCCAGATGGGGAGAGTCGTGGGTGTGAAGATGTGCACTCACTCGCTGTCCCGGAATAGGTGGAACTCGTCCTCTCCAACTTTGACGGGGGAACCACCGTACTACGTGCCCGTTAGAGATCAGTTGCCCCAAATCGTGTCAAGCCCGGCCGACCGCGCATCATGGGTGGATGGGTGCACATACTTGCGGGATCAGGACCCGGTCGCCGTTCTGGACGCCCATCGGCAGCCGCTTGCCATCCTTGTCCAGGCCACCGGGCCCAACGGCAAGAACCTTGGCCTCGTTGAGCTCCTTCACACTCGACTCCGGGAGGAAGATGCCGCTGGCGGTCTTGGCCTCGGCCTTGATGCGCTGGACAAGAACCCGGTCCAAGAGGGGGACGAGGGCCTTGATGGATCGGATTGAGGTGGCCTAGACGTGCGGCAAGACGATTGATTAGCTTCCTCTGGCTTGCGCATGACATTCAAGCTCGGGGGAAGCTTCGGATAAGCTTTTTGCGGCAATGTTTCGGAGACCAGAGCTTGCAGCCGAGGCTAATACGACCTTGGAGGAAAGGTCACTTACCATTGAGAAATGGGACTAAGGAGTCTGAATCGCCTGCTTAATTGTAGGATCGTTGATTGTGAAGTTTCTTGGGCAAATAATGAGCTTCGTCGGAAATGGGAACTCCAAACTTAAAGCTTCGAAATGCAGAGAGCCGTAAAGAATAGAATCGACACTTTTTTCTGGGGCCGGTGCACGGATATTCCGCATCCGATGGGTACGTGCGTTTTGCCAGACCCGACTCCTTTCTGACCCCCTTGACCCCCTGGGATGCCATACTGTGGTACATCTTTCTTGAGCAAGTGTTTCTTCCTCAAAAGCAAGGTAAATACGTATTATATATGGAAATTCTATGTCCTGTGATGAATCAAGCCTATGCTAATTGGAAAGCCATCTTTTATACTTCCGAGAACCCTCCCCTCTAATTAAGCCCCTTTCTGATGGTCCCTTTTAAGAGTTTTAAGTCGCGCTCATCCTCCCAATGCACCGTCCAAACGAAAGGAACCCTTATTTTACACCCGTAACTCCAGAATCCTCTCAATATGTAAAGATCGGCATTATATGAAGAAAGGCCGCTGCCACCTGCGTTTTTGCCTTTCTGGACCTTCCCCGTACTCTTCTTCCCCGGCACCTCGCTCTATTTTTGCGCCGGCGGCTCGAGAACGTGAGTGTGATCGGTCGCCTTGATAACATAGCCAGACTCCATCTGCCTGCAAATGATGGTGTTGGAAACCCACGGGTCTTCTATGATGTCGTCCATCTTGGCTCGTTTCCTCGGGTCTATTTCAAGCATCCACCCAATTATATGGCGGCTCTCTCGAGGAAGCAATCTGAGAATTCTCCAGGGGCCACGAATGACTTCCTTTTTCTCTCCAGGATTATCAGACTGCGTCGGCGCTCTGACCTGGGATTTGTTTTCGCTCGATGCTGGCCCCCCTGCCGGCCTCGGAGCCCGTTCCCTTTGGGTGGGTTCGGGTTCTAGGTCCCTTGCCGGTGTCTCGTTCAGGGCGTTGGTGGATTTCGATGGCGGGAGGATGAGCTTCCTTGGATCATGGCCTGGCGTTGGGTCTGCGGCAAAGAGTTTAAACGAACTATCTGCAAGCCGAGGGACTTTCCAGGGAAACCGCCGAAGTGTCATGCAGCAATAGATGATTGCCAATGACCAGATGTCCACAGCCTGCGGATCATATTTCCTCTCGTCGTACACTTCCGGTGCGAGGTAAGGGTCCGAACCAACAATTCCTGAGTCTTCTGTTAGCAAGAAGAGCCAATCCGAGGGGAACACCTTTTTGACATACCCGAAGCCAAAACGATTCCGTTTTCGAAAGGATACCTGAAAACATGCGCGCTTCCGAAATCTATGATCTTCATGATGCCCTGATCACTGACTACCACATTGTCGAGCTTCATATCTCGGTGCGCAAGGCCCATGCTGTGGAGGTAGGTCACTCCGCTGAGGATTTGGAGAAAACAACAGCTGATCTCCTCTCGAGACATCCTCCCGGTCATCACTATGGCGAAGAGGTCATATGGTGCGTATTCCATGACCTCGTACCACTTGCCCTTCTCCTGAACAATATCCAGAGTCTCGATGATGTTGCCGTGGTGTAAAGACGATCCCATGCAGTACTCGGCGGTTAGCTTCTTGACATACTCTCGTTCTGTCTCATAAGAGTGCCGAGGTCTGAATTCTTTCACAGCGAACACTACGCTGTCTTCGTTACGCCTCATGAGCCGGACCGACCCTCCGGCTCCGGCCCCTAGGACCCTCCCAAGCTTTCCGTATTTGGACGCCAGGCCGTGGTCGCTCCCGAACGGAATCTGAACCGAGGATTTAGAGCTAGGTGGAGTTCTTGTGCCTGACTTGACCGAGGAAGCAGGAGAGGCCGATTTCTTCATCTTGTGGTGGGTGCCCATCTTGAAAAATCTCTTCAGGTCCGCCATAGAGCTTGGTCGAGTTGAGAAGTTGGTCTCTTGCTGCGCCAGGTCGTCTTTCTTGCCGCCAATGCCAAGCAGATTTGAATGCCGTTTGTCTGGAGTCACTTTGGGCAGGCTGATTACCGACGAGCTAGGCGACCATTGCTTCTTCTTACGGGGGAAGACAAATCGTTGCTCGATTCTGCTCTGAGGTTGGCGTTTGCTAGCAGAATAGGGGTCATTCGCATCTCCAGCTGGCGTGAAAGGCCGAGTGTAATACTGTGCCGCGGGGGCCGGACTGGTTTCTCGCGAAACGGGCAGAGACCCCGTCGACGAGCCGCCTGTGGGTCCGACGGAGAAGAGACCTTTCCGATGATCTGCAGCCAGACCATCCTCCCTCCCGTCCGAAGAACGTCCTCTCTGGGGAACCTGGTCAGATGATCCGGGTCGCTGGGCCAGTCGTCCAATCGGGGGTGATGACTCTCGCGTAGACTCTCGTGGGGTGATAATATCTGGTAGGCGACCTCTCCTATCCTGCTCGCTCATCTGATCTTGCCGATTTGCGTCTTTGTCCCCCAGGCCGGTTCCTGCCGGTGTGAGCGGCGGTGTCTGGGCATCGGCAATCCGGGGGCTCAAACGTGGCGAATGGTGACTTGTCGAGCTTTGAGTGGCTTGCCGACTCGGCTCCCGAGAGTCGTCTTCATTGGAGGCAGTCTGTCGTACCAAGTCAGCATTCTCCAACAAATCCACAAGACTAAGCAAGAAATGTTCTGCTCCCGATGATGGCAGCTGGGGACAAGTCGGAACAGGGACCACATTGGATTGGTGGCTGCTATTACTAAGGGCCAGAATGGACCACATCAAGCGAGAGTTGGATGACGAAGAACGAGCAGCAACGTACCCTAGAAGCTGGCAGAGAGAACGGCTGGTAGGAGGAGAAGACGTTCATCCTTTGGTCTTGAAGCTGGTAGCCCTTGAGGGACTTGGAGAGAGCTCGAATCTGGTCGGGAGTAACCTCTCCGGGGTCTCCGAGTGATTGGTCCTGCCCACCTGAAGTTGAGGACAGCGAGTTCACAGCCGGGGCTATTTCCTCAACGACGGATTTGAATCGCACAGCAGGCTGAGGTTGAAACCTGGGCTCCTCGGCATTCGCAGCAGCATCGGGCGCATCGTGAGAGGGTTCTATTGATTCCGAAAATACACATGTTTAGCTTCAGGGTCTCAGAGTCATGCGGCGTGGGGAGGGGGGTCAAATGTCAATTAGGTGAGGGGCAGTCATGCACAATTACCTTCATGCCATTGCGCTGATTGCTTCAGAGCCTCCTCTTCTGGGATGCCAGCCATGATACTGAGGGGGAGAATGCGCGACAACCAGTATTAAGCAGTAGATACAAGAAGGAGAAAGAAAATAGAGATGCGGAAGAGGCAACAAAAACCTAGTTACATCAAGGTTGGGAGCAGCAGGATGCTTCCCAGCCCAAGAACAGATGTCATGGTGGGACGCAGGTTAGTGTGGTACATCCTCAGATTCTTGAGTTTGATTGGCTACCTAGCGCCACTGCCAAAAAGTATCTGACATGGTAAGACCAGCAAGTTGCAAAATGAAATCCCCGGAGAAAAGCCCGGACCTCGACAAATCGCTCCCCAGTGCACTTCGTAAAGTCGGTTAGGATCGGAGCTTGCAGCATGGAATGCTACTATTTCGCTATGAGTGGACATGTCCGCATCCACCGACGATGCAAGGCCACCATCGTCGGTCATTAATTGCAAAACGTTCAAGGGCCGGGTGGGCAGGTCTATGGATCCGTACGGGTGCGTACATTGTACATGTACATGCGGTCCTTAGAGTGGGGCTTACCAGAATTTTTAGCTCAGATATGTAAGACCTGCGTCTCGTGGGCTCTTATTCCCAGGCTTGTCCGTCCCGGCTTGTCGTTCGGTTTTGTACGGTACTACCGTGTGTACGTAGCGGTTTCAAGCCTCGGGTTAGAACGAGTAGGTATCAGGAAATATAGGTATGTGAAAGAAGAAGAAGGGACCAAGAAATTTCGAGAAAATACGCAGTACATAGTAGATAACTTCCATGAATGTTCCATGCCATACCGGATGCCGTTAATAGCAGGCTGAGTAGCCGTTAGGCGGCCAAGTGGCTTGGCCGTGCATGTACATGTGAAGTACTTGCCTACCTATTCTTGGCAGCCCTTTCCTCCGTTTCCGTCCCCGGCCTTGCCGAACAGCCCGGCCCAGACCTACATGCCCGATGTTGGTTCCGCATCCCGAGGAATCCACTACTGTGCTTTGAGGTTATATATATCGCGCGGTTAATGCCATGTAGGACCCGGCAAACGAATATGAATGCAATCAGGAGATTACGATTTGGGTTGTGTATTCGTACAATATGTGTACAATGGCCCCCGCATACACATAGGTGTAGCTCTGCGACCCCCTTCGTTCGTGCTTCATCCAATATGCCGAAAACCGTAACGCCCAGATGCTTACAAAAAGATGCCCAACAACTCATGCCACGACTGAGACACCCATTGTCTTGGCTTGGTAGATAATCGCCCGGCAGAGCCCCTCTAGAGAGAGACCGGAGAGTCGGTGCTCGGATTGCTTGATCTTGGCGATCTCGTAGATATGCTTCAGGCTCACTGTTCCCACAACCTCTTTGCCCGGGTTAGATGCACCCCTTTTCTTCCCACCCTTTCCAATTGGAGCGTCGGTTGCATTGAGGAGGAGCCAGGAGGTCTGAGGTGTTCGGATGTCGAAGTGAAATGTCCTGTCGGGACGGACCGTTACTCGGACTGGCAGAGGGGTGCCGGTTGTGACGTGCTGGGTTCTGGCATTGAACTCCTGTATGTTATATGTCAGAGACACTGGGGTTTCCGCCGTCGCGAGACCGAACGAGATACGGATTTGAGCTAACCTTGCAGAAATCCATCGACTTCACGCCTTTGCTTCCTAAAGCAGGACCGACAGGCGGGCTTGGACTTGCTTGCCCGGCGCCAACTATGAGCTTGACAATCTGGTCCACAGCACCAGCTCCACGAGACTTGGACATGTTGACGGGCGTCTACATATACCTGATCGCGTCGTGTTAGAGGCAATGCGTCGCTGGTCTGAGCCAGAGGTTTGTTCTCGAATGTCGCAAACGCCCTACCGTGAGAAGCTTCACGCAGTAGAAATTTCCGACACAGGCCAGCCACACACATGCATGCAAGTTTAGCCACACAGACATATCAATTCGGGAGTCCGTGCTTTTAATCAATGCACAGGCCTAACTGATTATCACGTGCTGGATTGACCCTTCGGGCCGTGACTGATGTCAGTGTGGATCGATCAGGTATCGCTCCAGCCACAGCAAAGCTAGAGCCCCTCGTAACCAACTCGGTTGCCTCGATGGCGGTGAATCTTCCAATCTTATTCCCGAACACCATCCTACCAAGAATATTGTAGCATCATAAAGTATTGCTATATCTCTGCCTTCATTCACGTCGAAACCGTTTGTCTGCAACATATATCCCGATATGTTTAAGTGGGCGCAGCAACAGTAAGCCTGAAGCCTCTGGATTTACCCCTCCACGAACCTGGCAGCTTGGCCGTGCTAACTTTCATCCAGGCTGGCCAATGTCGCTGGTACCCAGGAGCCCATCTATGGGTCCTCGGCCATCAAGTCTGTTGCTGAGGAAGCCAAGGAGACGCCGTACTCGGAACTGACGCGGGATGACCTAAAATGGAAGGGCATGGAATCGACCTGCGTCGAAACACAGACCTTTTATTTCACTTCGGATAGCGGTCATTTCGGCATGGCCCAAGTCATATATAGTAACGTGGCGTAGGCATATATTCCTCGTTTCTTGGTTTTAGGAGGTAGTATCGCTAACGATTGACAGCGGCATCCGAACGACCTGCCAGTTCAATTCCAAGGTCTTCTCCCTCGACGGATCGAAGCCTCACCTGTGGTGCTCGACGGCGCTTAACAATCACGATTTCACCGAAGACAGGACAGGGTTCTATGCCGACGACTGCGCCATAGAGTTGTCGGAAGATGGGACAACGTACACGATCAAGTCGATGAACGACGAGCGGTCCATTGTGAATTTGACGGTCAAGAGAATCGCACCGGGGTTCCAGGTCGGGAAGACTGGTACTACGCTGTTTGGCACGGACCTATCCGACCCGTGGGGCTCCATGCGCCACGTCTTCTGGCCGAGGTGTGCCGCTGAAGGAACGATCACTACTCCGGATGGCCCGGTCGACTTCAAGGGAAAGGCCCTCTTCGTCCACGCGCTCCAGGGCATGAAGCCGCACCACGCTGCGGCAAAGTGGAACTTTGTCGACTTCCAGGGACCCACCCACTCGGCCGTCATGATGGAGTACACGACCCCTGCTTCATATGGCTCAACGGTGGTAAATGTTGGAGGCATTGCCAAGGATGGCGAGATTGTGGTTGCTGGCAGCGGAAGCACGGCCACGTACGTGGAGTCGAAAGAGGACACCGAGAGTGGCTGGGTGGAGCCTACCAACGTCAAGTGGACATGGAGCGGGACTGGCAAGGATGGAAAGCCCGTCGAGGCGCTCGTCGAGGGCTCGATCGAGGACAGGCAGGATAGGGTCGACGTGATGGCCGAGGTCCCGGCATTTGTCAAGAAGATTATTGCTGGCGCGGCTGGCACGAAGCCATACATCTACCAGGTTCGTGGCGAGATCGCCCATCCCCGCTCCCCGCTCCCAGACCCAGGATGCTGGTTACTAACACTGTTTTAGTACATGCCTCAAAAGTCTAAGCTGAGCCTCAAGTTGAAGATTGGAGGAGATGAGATCACCGAAGAAGGAGAGTCGTACAGCGAGGCTACTTTCATCACTGAGTAATGACGTTCATGTAGCTAGGCCGTGAGAGCCGTAATCTTGGGTAAGGGGTACCTAATGTAGAAATTCAGAGAGCAGGTGTCGGGGTTGGCGTTTGCATAGTGGTAAAGGCTTGGTCACTCGTTAGAGTCTTGTCATTCAAAGAAATAATATATACATTTAATACCCAACCCAACATTCATCACTATTGCAGATCCGCTGCAACGCAATCCATTCAAACAGTGGATTTGACGCAGGCGTCTTCGAGACATTGTTTACCTACATGTTAGTGCAGAGTCCAAGACGCAAGCGGCCGGCGGTGAAATCGTCTCCTAGGATACAGAGGATGAAACGGGAGTCGCTTCCATTCTCTTTGTTTGCAAAGCGGGCCTGCAAAATGCGGCGCAAACCAACTGATGGCGTTCCACTTACCGCTCACTTCCATCCCTCCATCCCTACTATAAGGTACCCCGGAAGCTCCGTGCCCAAATTCATCAGACCCCCATTTCCATGTTTCCCAACCATCCCTCAGAGTTCATCAAACCTTCCGCCCGACTGTAAGTTGGCCAGAGACGCACCTGTGCCGACTCACAAAAAATTGCCATGCCGCCCACTGTGCCCCAGCGAGGCGGACCGAGCCGCGGAAAGCAGCGCCCAGGCGCCGTCTCCGGAAAGACTGTGCTTGGAGGCAAGCGCCACAGGTATTGAACATTAAAGCGGCGGCCCCCCCCCCCGCCATTGCTATTGGCATGAGCGAGACAGTGACTGACGGGGCCCCGCGCAACGCTAGGAAGATCAGGAAGGATACGATCCGAGGAATCAGTACGTTGGACCGCCTTGCTTGAAGGCTCGACGCGGTCCCTTGTTTTTCTTTTTCGATTCTTTATTTACTGACATTTTGTCACCCTCCGTCCAGCCAAGCCAGATATCCGGTAAGTCAGCACCAGAGTATCTCCATCTCCCCTTAGCTACCGCGATACCGCTCTAGCTACAGACTAGTACGGCGCTTTGCGCCGTGGAACGTGGTACCTCCGTGAAGTCTTGAGTCTACTCTTCGATCCGGGTTCAGCCATTTATGTCACCAGCCTTGCTCGCATTACCATCACATCACATCACATCACATCACATCACATATCTGCAGTATGCTGACTGTGGTCCTCCCAGACGTCTTGCCAGGAGAGGTGGGGTAAAGCGAATCTCGGCGACGATCTACGACGATGTCAGGCAGGCGCTCGCGGCGCGGCTGCGAGAGGTGAGCACCCTATCCTCGCAGCAACCGGCTCTCCGTCACCCGCCCCTTCTAACAGACGACCCATAGATTCTCGGGCGCTGTGTCATATACACCGAGCACCGCCAAGCAAAGACCATCACTGTGAACGATGTTAGTTGAACCCCAGTTGAGGAAAAGGACTTCTGAGAGGGGAGAGTGTGTGGAGAGTGTGTGGTGAACAATTATGCTCACAGTCTATCACAGGTCATCTTTTCGCTGAGGAGTATTGGCCGGCCTATCTACGGTTTCGATCCCGATACGTATAAACACAACCCGAAGAAGCAGACCGAATCCAGTCAGTAGGTAGCTTTGCTAAGGGGCAGGGCCTCTTCACGCATCTGAAATTCCGGCGCTTTTATCAGTTGGTCAGTGTATATTCATTCATTTGTTCCAGCCTGGCTGGTGGATACCCACGTGGCGCTGCGTTGCTAGGCATGGTCGGGGATGTTGGTGTTGGGCCTTTCAAAAAAGGAAGTTCTGGTTTTGCTATGTGGACGGACTGGCTTCCTGGGGAGTCTGCTTTGGAGTTGCTTGTATGACTGTCATGATATCTGTGTTTAGCTGTGGGAAATAAGGCACAGCATTTGTTCTACTTAACCCTCGAGTCTAGCCGGCAAGCACTGGTCTCGAGCTGCAAACCCTCACGTCTCACTGGATATTCGTGAATTACCAAGACAGGTCAGGTATCACAAAGTGGAGAGACTGGCAGAAAAAGTCTATGTGGTATCTCAGAAAAAAAATCCGAATCACCAAACAACCCAGGCAAACCCCCAAGCATCAGCTTCTTCGTCGCCAAACATCGTGGTAAGCCCCAGCCCCTGCCGCAGCTGCCGTCTCTCACCTCTTCCTCCTGCTCCGATCCCAATCAGCTAGCACGGCCTCGAGTGCCCTAGCGGCCCTGACCTCGCCCCCCCTGAACGCGCCGTTGAACATGTCTGGCAGCACCATGACGCTGTTGGCGTGCTCCTTTGCGAAGCCCACCTCCGCGTCGCGGCCGCACCTCTCCCTCGTCACCCGGACAGCCTCGCGCAGCATGTCGCCGCCCACCCCCCTGCCGCGGTACCGCAGGCGCGTCGTCCACGCGCGGATCACCCCCCTGCCACCCTTGAGGAGCGTCTGCGCTCCAGGGCCGCGGCCCTTCTTCCTCCCGCCGGTCCCCGTCCCCGCGGCGGCGGCCGCGGCGGCCGCGGCCGGGTTCGGCTCGAGGCGCAGCACCAGGGCGCCGACGATCTCGTCGCCGTAGCGCGTGCCGATGACGACGTCCTCCTCGGCGGAGGTGGCGCCGTCGCCGCCGGCCGTCAGGAAGTCCCACCGCACGTCCTCGGCGAGCTGCACGTAGGGCCCGGCGAGGTAGCGGGCGGCGAGGAGGTAGCAGGTGGCGACGCCGCAGAACATGGTGACGGTCAGGCCGAGGTCGGCGTTGCGGCGCGCCCAGGCGAACTGGTACGCGCCGGCGAGGGCGGCGGCCAGGACGGACAGGCAGAGCGGGTGGAAGATGAGGCTGCGCGAGGCCTGCTGGCGCTGCTGGGCGATGCTGTCGGCGACGAGCTTCAGGGCAGCGACCTTGTCGTCGCGGGTGGCTAGGACGTCGAGGGAGAGTGGCGGGATGTCGTCGTCGACGCCGATGGCGCCACGTTGGGTGTCATCGGTCAGCAGTTGGGATACGGCAGGCTGGGTCATGGTCTGCGAGGTCGTCGGCTCGAGGGATGGGGTTGAGACGTTGGAGGACATGGCGGAGGGTGGGAGAACGAGGTTTGCGCGGAGGAAGGTGAAGAATGCTGGAGGCGCGGGAATGGTGGGATTAGAACGGGTGCACCGCGTAGAACAAGGCAACTGTGGGAGTGCTGGTGGGTTGAGAGCAGGTCGGCGGATGTTAAGGCGCAGGTATTTGGCCTTCCCCTGACGTCTCAAGCGGCTCTCTATCTTGTGGCCAGCGACCGGTTTTGAGAGTGCAGAATAGGATATATTCTGCGATCCTCAAACAAGTGCTCTAGCTCTGAACTGGTGGTAGTTCAGACGGTCGCCAAGCTTTGGTAAGATATATCCTTGTCTTAGACTGCTAGACAGGTGGGGAGGCGATGTGAAATGGGGAACGAGCCGCAGCGGGAAGTCTTGGCTTTTAAAGAATTCAAGGGAAATAAATGTGCTTCCCGACTTACCAGCGCTGGGCTTCAGCCCGGGAACAGCATTGAACTTGTCCGCTATTGAGCTGGGGTGACAGGCGCTCAAATCGAGCTCCGAGATGGTCGAGGTTGCCATGTGGTGCGATGCGTCCATATCATTGGAGCGCTGCTAATACATGGAAATTTGCTAGGTCCGGTCTCTGCCTCGTGCATCCAAGTAAACGGCGCAGTCCCACTGTTGACGGTCGGGAGGTCGCAAACTACTAAGGATAGGGGTCTTGAGCGAGTGGGAATATTTTTCGAGGTTGTCAGGCCAAGGATCTACATATTCGATATTCGATATTCGTCGATTTGGCAGTGGGTGCGAGAAGGGGGGGAAAGATAGGGCCCGGGACCAAGGCCGGGCAGCGGGAACAGATAGACATAGATATAAGGCAATATGACGCCAATGAGATATCCAACCTGTCGGGGTCGTCGACGGGGATCAGCGGCGAATGGGAGGGCGGCTCTTGCTTATCCTGGTTCCCTTGCATGGACTCTAGATGGCATCAGACCCCCCGCAACAGCCAACAAAAGCTTGGATTTGTTCCAAGAGGCGATAAGCCGGGGCGGTCTAGGCCAATGGTGCTGGTCAGGAGACGCCATTGCTAGCGGTTTGCTTCCTCCGGACTCTGGACTACCACTGGTCTGGGAGTTCTACCAGACGATGTCCGCACCACTCGGACTAGGTGATGTGACAGAACTAGGCCAGTGTTGCGCCCAGGTCAAGTCCCAAACGTCAGGCAAGTTGGGTGGTGTGGAACCCGAAAAGGCTCATCAGTCTTTTCAGCCGTCGAATCGCTTCCCATGCCCTCAAGATGAGCCAGGATTAAAGACTATAATAACTTAACATACCTATCCTAACCAGTCCCCTGCCGGAAGGTTCTTCCTATTCGTAGATCTCCCTGCCCCTCACTGGGAACTCCCACACAAAGAACACAGGTTCAGCCCCAGGATAAGAAGCATCCCTTGATGCCGGACGCTGTCGTCAATTCTAAGGTTGGAGCTAGCTGGGCATCTTGGGATTGCCGTCTCCTGTGCTGCTGTGTAAAGTATTGTGCGTAGGTATGTACGTTTGCATGCCGTATGTCATGAGGGTGTTTGAGCAGAATAGCGTCTGAATAAAAGGTGTCAATGGAAGAGTGGATACATGCTGATTTAGTCCATCTACCCCTCATTCAACGACTTCTGAAACTTCAAACATTTGCCTGCGACCTCCTGCATCAGGTTCTCCACCAGAACTCACGTAAGACTTTCGTCTAAGTGGCCCCATAGCCATATGCGATCGCAAGCAGCTTTGTGTTGGTGATCAGACTGCCACGCCAAGAGAGCGAGTACCGAAGATGATTGGCCCATCGCCGCATGCACATTCCACCCAACGGCCAGAAGGAATGGACGCTCTCCTCGCCTGCAGTCGTCGTTCTTGAGGACTATACGGAGTATTCAGTGCTAACTGCTTACTGCCAGAGGCCATCGCCCTGTTACAGTCAGGTTTCAATGTTCTTGGCGGAACTCGCCTTACCTTGAGCTTCAATTCCACCTTTGTCCGTCAAAAGCCACAACATATGGAACTCTTCTTATAGCCAGCGAGTCCAGATTTGGCCAAAGCTTCCTGCAACCTCGGCCATTCTTGCCTTGACGGCTGCCTGCCGCGCTGACCGAATCCGTGTTTTTGACCGAGGCCGCTGTCTTGTACGAGCATGCCGTCTAGGACTTTGCTGATCTCCTTGTCGCAGTTCTGGGCAGCTTCACAGCTTCATTCTACCCGTTGTTTCTCGGCCAGGTTTTCTTCTGTCGGAGCGATGGAGGGTCGTAGGTGACTTCTGTTTTCTGTGTTTTTCGCTGGGGACTGTCAAGTCCTTTCAGCTGTTCCGGTCCGGGATGGAGAAATCTGCCTTACGGAAAGCCAACCCCCATGCCCTTGTCTGCTTGTGCTTCTTCATTGGCCAGCGAGACCACGCAGGGTCAGACAAAAAGGCAGAATTTCGTCTGCCCTATGCTTACGTTGTACAATCAAGCCATCAACTTGCATGATCCAGCCCAGTGGCGCCCTCCAGTAGATAAGCACTTTTCCGCTTTACGGTGCATCTGCGGGAGGGAACCAATCTCTGGCCTACGTCGTCACCCTTCCCACCCTGGACCACCTGAACCGCACATGCGCTGCAGAAGTCCTACATCCAAGTCCTAAGCAATTCAGTGGTCACCTTGAACTGAGCTAGGACCTCGGTGACGTTTCTCCCCGCCATCCAAACAAACAGAATATAACGAAAATGGGTGGCGGATGATTCGAGGCTGGTGTGCGCATTGTTCTTTCGTTTCCTAAAGCCAATTTTGGTTTCGGGGTCTGCATCTAGCGATGAAGTCCAACAACCCATTCGCCCCCCTCGTGGACGACTTGTCCTCGGCCGGGTCAAGTCTGACAGCTGTTAGGCCGCCATCGCCGTTTGGAACCGGTCACCTGCTCGGTGGATGGCCGTCGTCCCCACGTGCAGACACATCTCGCCTACTGGCCGAGCCCAGCCATCCGATCTCGTGTGTGTAAGTTCCCAGCAGAGGACTGTTTCTTCGTTTGTTTGACTGTGATCTCCTTGCATTGACCAACGCACACAGCACACGGGAGACCTTCCCAGAGGACTGTGCGAGGCACAGGTTCATCGTCTGGGCGGCCGTTAAACGCAACTCGAGCTCACGCATGAGTGCCGAGAAGAGGCTGGAATGCCCATTGCTACGATGCACCCAGCGCTTCCTCAGCCATGAGATGATGCTTCGGCATCTTGCGGGGTGCGAGTTCCTGTCGTCGGGGGAGTATTGGTGTTACGATCATATGAGGGTTGAACGGTTCGATGACGTGAAATGCAAACATTGCTTGGGCCACCCATCGAAGAGGCGGAAGATGCTATCCATGGCGAAGCGCTTCTTCCACTCTCTCGGTCACAAACATAAGAAGGCCCCCGGGTTTGCCTTCGACCCTGGCGATGCTGCCTCCCTCCCTCCTCCAAGCTATGAGTCGCTGCACATAAGCCCACAGCCAGCCGACCCGACTGAGCTTTCAGCCACTGAGATTGTCGAGATCGATTCCAATCCGGTCACGGTAACTGCGACGACCCTCGTGCCCAACTACGATGGCGCTATTGACCCGCAAGCACTGCTCATCCCGGAGCTCGAGTCAAACCCGCTCTCTTCCGAGTCGTTCATGCAATGGCAGCCGGCTCCGGGTGTGATTGGGTCCTCGATGTCCGTTACTCCTCCCGAGGAGAGTGAGCTACCGAGCCCAGTTAGCAGACCCTTTCTTCAGGTCAACACCCACGGGTTACAGGGAGGTCGAAATGTCACTCGTCCTCGTCCCGCCCCTAGATCGGTGGCTCCGTTCCCTCGCAGCAAGGATCTCTCGCCAAGTTCGTCTGTGAGATCAAACGCCAGCACTGCGACCACTGCGAGCAACGCGAGCTCTCTGGTCTCGCCGGTTTCGAACTGGAGTGGGGCTTGGTCCATGGCATCGGGTTTCGATACTAGCTTGACATCCCCGGCCGAACTCACCAACCCGGATGAGTTTTTCTCGGACAACCCACTTGCTGGATCGTACGATGCAAGCAATACTGCCTATACCGGCTTGCTCCATGACTTCTGCTCCGAGCTCCCTGCTGATGTTCCCAATTTGAATGGCCCCGAGAACTTCTCACCCGAGCCTCTCCTCTTCTCCTTCGCCGGGGAGCCCTTCGCGAATCCATCCTATGCAACGGATGTCGAGCTAATGGAAGACTCGATCGACCTGTTAGGCCTTGATGATGCTGAGACTGGGGAATCCAGCAGCTGCTGCTCCGAGACAAAGTCATTAGTTGGCTCGGCTTGGGATGCGTTACAAGAGCATATTGTATCATCCATGCTGAAGATCGATCAAACCAGGGGAAACCCTCTTGCGGACCAGCTACGCTCAAAGTCCACCAGATCGATAGTCACCGCTGGCCTCCAAGCCCTCCGCTCACTTCTTGGTGGCAACAACTCAATCTCCGCAATAGACACATTGTGTTTGGTCCATCTCGTCTACGCATTCTCCCTCGTCATCCACGAGCAAGACACAGCCGATAGGGCCAAAGACCTCTTTTTTCAATCGTTGTCATACGCTGCCCACCTTGGCCCGGGCGAGCAAGATCTATACACCCAACTGACTTGCCAAATTTGGCAACCGGCTAGCACCACACATGAACAAATCAACAAGCATTTCTCTGCTGGCCAAAACGGGGCGTTGAGCCGATCATCAAGCCTCAAGGGCAAAGCACCTGAGGCGAGCGCATACTTCTCCGGCATAGTCGGTACCGACCCTTTTCTCACTGCTGCTTTCAATTTCTTAGATGGTAAGTGGAATGAGTCTCTACCGCCGAGATGAAGGTTTGTCGCACCATACTAATTGCGACCGCTTGCAGAACTTGAAAGCTCGGTTGTCTTGGGCCAGCCACCGTCATCTCTCACAGTTCAGACGTCGGATTTGTATGCCAAACACCTGGACTGCAATCCCCATGCTGGCGTCAATACTCCGTTTTCCGTCACGGTCAACTTTGTTTTGGCGATGCTCATTCGAGATTTTTGTGACGTAAAAGATCTTGCTCCTAGCCTGAGAGGGCTCCACGAGCGTGTAAACAATGGGGTCGTGTCAAGCGTCAGAAGGGTCGAGCTTGAGCTACTCAGCGCGGGCAAGGTAAGAAGACTTCGTTCTGGCTAGTTGAGTTGTGAAAATGGCTAACAAGACTGGAAGGGCTGCATGAGTAGGTCAGCATTCTTTGGTACCTTCGTTCCGAAAGTTAGGAGACTCTGCGATCAGTTCTACGATCAGCATGACTCGGGCGATTCGGGGCGTGCCGTCTATCACAGGCTGGGAACGTTGCTAATCGAGAGCATTATCCCTGAATTCGACCTGTGCAAAGCCGAAACCCCTATACTTGACGGAGCAAGCGACCTGGATGACTTGCTTGATGCATTTACCGCGACGCACGAGCAGGGCCACCAGGCCGTAACCTACCCAGCAATGGAACCGATGGCAGCGTCCCCTTTTGGCACGATTGATCCCTCGAACCTTGATGGGACAGGAACCAGCGACCTGCAAATCCCAACAATCACTACCACAGCACCCGAAGAATCGTCTAGCCGGATTTCCAGCGCAGCGCCTAGACCTACCCAGCCACAGACGGAGCAAGCAACGCAACAACAGCAAGGTCAAGCGCAAGGGCAGAAGGCTGAGGCCGATGCCTCCTGCGGTATCTGTGGTTACAGGCCTAAGGGCGCTCCGCAATGGTTCAAAGGCAGCATGGCCAAGCACAAAAAGCTGCAGCACTCGGCCGAACCGCCCAAGATATATAGGTGCCAATACCCAGGCTGCACCAGCCAGTACAGGAATCGGCCCGACAACCTTCGACAACACCAGATCGAGAAGGGCCATTTTGTCGGTGAGGAAGTGGCATCGCGACGACCGAGCAAGCGCAAGAAGACGGCAGAAGATGATGGATGATGGCGAAGAAACGAGCTGTTATACAGCATTCCTCGAGAGTGGCTAACACGCCAACCACCCTCCTTGATATTTTTTCTCTCTCTCTTTTGCTGTCGTTTTGTTTATACGTGAAGATGAACCGAACAGGGTCAGAGATCCGGATGTGGTCGGCAATGGCGTTTGAATCTAAAAGCCATGAATATAGGGATCAGGCTTGGAGTGATAAAGCTGTACTATAATACCACTGCATGGGAGGCGTTTACTGGTCATGCCATTGGCTGCATTGCCTTGTATTTCTCTTGCAACTGGAAGTCGAATCAAGACAATTGGAGGTCGAATCAAGACAATAAGGCTGCCAAGGTACACTTGGAGCAGAAACATCTTCATTCTAAAATGCCTCTGTCACCACTCGCACAATTTATACAAAGTCGTGTCGAAATCCTGATACACACAGGTCATTCCATCGTGTACATCGACCGAGCCAAACCGAACGTCGTGGTAAAAGCGGAGCGTATCTGGATCGACGGCACGCCATACGACAGGGCACCATCGGCCGAGAATACGAGCTACCACCTCAGTCGTGAGAACACAATCTATACAGCTCTGGGCTCTCACCAGTGCATCACGAAATGCTTCGGCCTCGACTATGACAACCAAGGTACTGCCATCGCGCTAAAGACTGAACTTGCATCTGAGGGCAATCTGCGGCACTTCATTCGAGACGCCCCCCGCCCTTCGATATGTCGGCGCTTGGAGGTCGCGGTCGAGTTCGCTAGGGGTGTTGTACACCTGCATTCTATGGGCGTCATCTGGGGAGACCTTTCCACTCGGAATGCCCTCGTCTCTACCGACCTGAGTATCAAGCTTTGCGACTTCGCCAGTTCCGTTCTCGACGGTGTGTATCCTGAATTCGGAGACTACACATATGAGCCGACCTATCGCCCGGCCTTACCAGAAGCAGAGGTGGATGAATTGGCCATGATGCAGCAGGAGCTATACGCCCTCGGATCGGCTGTCTACGAAATCATAGAGTGGAAACGTCCGTACGCAGAATTCGTCGACAAAGAGGGTGTGGACATTTGGGAGGTTGTTGAAAGTGGCGTGATGCCTGAAATCACAGACCACAACGTTGCCCAAGATATCATCCTGCGATGCTGGCACTTTGAATATGAATCGGCACGGGACGTCGCAGATGACTTGGCAGCTCTCATCACTAGCATCCCAAGAGAACCACTTGCTCACAAACCTGCCAAGCATCCAGATGCGGCTCCCTGCCGTCATCCCATTCGCTTTTCCCCAACAAACGTGCAGAGATCAAGCACAATGCAATGTGCAGGTAACGCAATCTTATGTAGTTATGTACAACTAGGATATGACTATCCTCCTGGTGCCGATCCCGGTGTTAATCATGGCCCCGATGGATCCCATGCTGATTGGAGTGTTTTCTTGAACAGCATTTGGGGAGTCGACATGATTTCCCGCTGGCAAACATATTCAGAAGAGAATACCGCCTGAGACAAGCCATCCATGTTACAACGGTATGGAGCTACGTTACTAGACACGACGCGCTGTTCTAAGCCAGCTGACTAAGACACCTCAGCACGCGTTACTGGACACTACACCCTGGAACCGCCAATTGAGGCTTTCGTGTCATCTCAAAGCCTTGTCCTGTGGATGTTTATTCTGACTCCTGCGACACCGGGCATTTTGTGCTCACATTTATTCACAATTCCGTTAATGGTCTCTTAACCCTCCATTCGGCGGTCTCGGCACCGCAATTCATTCGTTTTTCCAACTTCTATTTCCCAATGGCGAACTTCTGGAGTCTTCCCCAGGCACTAGCCGGGTCCTTGCTCGACTTCGTGATCGAGACGCCATTCCACCTTTTGACTCTGATATTGGCCGCCCTCGGGGTGCTTGGGTTATTTTTTGTAAGCCATATCGGCCCTCTAACTGACGAGCTAGATTCGCTTACGCAACCCGAAACCCCAAGGCCTACATTGTCTTACACCTTGTCGCTCCTAAGCCGCGCCCGGTTTTGCCCTCGGAGAAGAAATACCTCGCGACCAACCCCGACGGCACGAAAAGCTCTCCTCGCCAGCTTCCCTGTTGGTACGACCGCTGGCTTGCGGAGCGCCACCTTATCGAGACCAGGCCTGATGGCCCGGATGGCTTCCCCGTCCCCGAAACATGCGCAATCGAGCCACCCGAGGTGGAAGTGAGCGTGATCATCCCAGCTTACAACGAGGCGGACCGAATATTGCCCACCCTTGAGGAGATGGTAGCGTACCTCGATCAGCGATTTGGGCGGCCCAACCCTGGAGGACTCGCGCCGCCTGCGGGGAAGGGCAAGAAGAAGATGGCCAGCCCCACGACGCCGCACCGGCTGGTGTTTAAGAGCCATCCGGCCGAGAAGCCCGTATCGGGCTACGAGATTATCATTGTGGATGACGAGAGCAAGGACAGGACGGTCGAAGTGGCGTTGGAGTTCTCGCGCAAACACGGGCTCCAGGACATACTCCGCGTCGTGTCGCTGGAGAGGAACCGCGGCAAGGGCGGCGCAGTCACGCACGGTTTCCGGCATGCCAGGGGAGAGTACGTCCTCTTCGCAGATGCGGACGGCGCGTCCAAGTTCAGCGACCTGGGCAAGCTTATCGAGGGCTGCGAGGACGTTGTGGACGGGTCGAACAAGGGCGTGGCTATTGGTAGCCGAGCGCATCTAGTCGGAAGTGAGGCAGTTGTCAAGGTAGCTTGCGCATTTCCCCCTTCCTCCTTTCTTGTCTCCAACCTTGTGCACCGCTACGTCGACCTTCTGCTGACTATAATACCCACTCGCAGCGCTCAGCTATCCGTAACTTCCTCATGCGCTCCTTCCATTTCATCCTCATGATCCTGACCCCGCCGGCAACCTCTCGCATTAGGGACACCCAGTGCGGCTTCAAGCTGTTCTCGCGCGCATCTCTCCCCCACATCATACCCTACATGCACACGGAGGGCTGGATCTTCGACATCGAGATGCTGATGCTGGCGGAGTCCGCGCCGGCCACCCCGGTGCTCGCCAGCGACGGCACGGTCATCGGCACCAGCTATGGCATTAAGGTCGCCGAGGTTCCCATCGAGTGGCATGAGGTGGATGGGAGCAAGATGAGCCTAGTGCAGGATAGCATAAAGATGGCCCTTGGGCTGGCGGTCCTAAGGGCCAGCTGGATGATGGGCGTGTATAGGAGGCGCCTGACGTGATCCACGAAGCTTCTCGTTTTACTCTTTACTCGTTTCCCTTTTTATGATTACTACATAGGTAGTACGGCGGCATGGACAAGCGAAGTATAGATACGGGGTGGGCAGCGATATTCCATGAAGATAGGTAGTCAGTATAACTTGACTGGCATGCGCACCCAAAACCGGGCTCATACAACCTCCGGTGACAATCGTACAAACGCCGAACACAACCCCCCGCCGGCCCCCCAATGGCGACACCGCTTCAGAAGAACCGCTCTCTAAGATTAGTATTAACTCTCTAAGAACCTGCTATGCGTACAAATCTGACCGTGACCCGACTCTTTAAAATAAAATGACATTACTCGTCCGTGGAGAAAGGGAGGTTCCAACCTTCTAGAAACCTAGACAAGATACTACTATACATGCCATACCCCTGCCAGAAAGAGGGATCGAGATCCCATTCCCCCATGAGAGAAAGGGGCCCCTAGCAGCTTTTGACGGACATTACGCCATAAACCCCGAAACAACAAGGTCTCTCTCACTGCAACTCTGTCCACACGACCGGCAAGAAGACCACGCACGCCCTCCAAAGGATGAGCACGGCGTCCAGGGCCACCAGCGGCAGCTTCCACAGGCCGAGCAGCCCGCCGCAGACCTCGACGCCGTGGATCCAGATGGACAGGAACGCGACGCTGAAGAAGTGGTACGCCAGCAGCGGGGGCCGGCGGATGAGCCCGCCCATCATGCCCAGGGGCTCGTCGCTGAGGCCGCGGCGGAAGTACGCGAAGCACCCGCGCTGCAGGGCGCGGAGCTGGGCGTCGTCGTCGCCGCGCGCGGAGAAGAGGCTGTACAGCGCCTGCGCGAGCACGTTGACGATGCTGCTGAGGGGCTTGCGCCGCGAGTGGAAGGCCGCCATGGCGTCTCCGACGGCGGCGGCGTCGTCGAGTCTGGGCACGCGGTTGGGGTGCAGCAGCTCGGCGAGCAGGATGGCGTCGTTGAAGGCCACCGTCATGCCGCCGCCCGTCAGCGGGTGGCGCATGTTCATGGCGTCGCCGAGGAGGACGGCCCCCGCGGCGCGGGACTGGCGCGTCGGCGGCAGCCAGCTGTTGGGCATGCTCTTGGGGATGCGGCCGTCGGCCAGCGCGGCCAGGATGCTGGGCCGCACCGAGGCCGGCAGCGCGGGGACGGCCACGTCGCGGATGTAGGCGCGCACGCCGCCGGCCGCGGCCGAGGCGGCGGGGAGGTCCGTGGGGACGTCGAAGAGGGCGCGGGTCTCGTGCGTGCCGATCTGGTAGAGGAGGACGATCTCGGCCTCGCCGATCACGACGTGCCCGAAGCCCGCCGGCGGCAGCGGGCAGTCGATCAGCTCGAGGCCGTAGAACTTGCTGCGCGCCACGGGCTTCTTGCCCACCAGCTGCTCGCGGAAGATGGACGCGTACCCGTCCGCGATTATCGTGAGCTGCCCGAAGAAGTAGTCGGCTTTCTTCTGCCCCGTTTCCCTATCGCGTGTGACCGACTCCACCCCTAGGACGTCGGACGACTTCTCGCCCCGGATCGTCTTGGTCACCTCCGTTTCCACGACCGTGATGTTCGGATGCGCCAGACACGTCTCCCGTAGCTTCATTATAAACCTCCCGTGGTGGAATGCCCGCCCTTGCGCCCTCCGATACTGCTTGTCCCCCCCTTTCGCCGCCCCATTCGCGGACCCGTTCGCGGACCCATTTGCCGAGCCATTCGCCGAGCCATTTGTATGTCCACCACCACCAGCAACATACTCCTTCGCATTCGTCGTCCTCTGCACAACAGGCCTCACCGTCCCCGCGTCGTCGACCGCCGGGTACGGCAGCACGACGTCGTCGCCGTGGTACAGGACATGGTACCCGTGGCAGGGGATGGCGTCGATGCCCTCGAGGCAGTGCGCGAGGCCGAGCCTCCGCAGCGCCTCGACGCCGCCCGGCTGCAGCAGCTCGCCGACGATCCGGTCCGGCTCGTGCATCCACCGCTCCAGGAGCAGGACGGCGCGCCCCTGGTCGGCCAGCGCGTGCGCGACCGCGCACCCCAGGATGCCCGCGCCCACGACTACCACGTCCGCCTCGTGGTACTTCGTCCGCCGCTCCGCGCTGCGGGCCTCGGGGGTCCCGGCGTCGATCGGCATCGGATTGGGTATGGTCGGTGGTCTGTGGTCCGAGGGTGGTGGCTTCGGCGGGCGGGTTGGTTCAAGTGTTCAGGGGGTGGGGGGAAGAGGCTAAGGATAGGGGCAAGGGAAGATCGGAAGCATGAAGTAGGTCAGGGTATGGTCTAGGGCCTTGTATATGTGACAGAAACGCAGGACGCAGAGGTCTAAGTTCGATGATGCTCGACAGTTCGAAGGGATTGGCGGATATTTCACTTTCAGGAACCGGCTGCGGCAGAATTGGTACCATGCCCATGGCGCAGTCCCTGGATTCGTTAACAGTGGTATCCAAAATTTAAAATCGAATCATACCATATCGGGAAGCGCCACCGCGCTTGGGCCAATCACTGCGCCGTCCGTAGAATTTGGATCGTGCTATTCGTTGACCGCCATCTTCACATGTCATTCGATGCTTAAATGAGAGAAAACCCGGGTGCTGTTAACGTGCCCAAAAACGGCCGATTGCTTTAGCGTGGGAAAAGGGGTCAGGGTCTAAAGAGTCCACCCTGCTGAGGTTTAGTGGGGCAAACGCCCAACGTCAGGGCATTGAGGCACTCATCGGCTCATAATCAAAAAGCTCGTAAGGCGACGAGGAAAATGGGATTCTAGATCAAGTACTCCAGCAAGTTCTGGAATCCTCACTGCATGAATGGAAGACCTCTAACACCTTGTTATTATCTTTCCATAGCTTGTAGATACCCAACTAGGTAGGATTGGGATCTACACCTCGAGGAGAACAGGGCAAGAGTACTACTTCCTTGCACAAGTGTCCTTCCTCCTCACCTGCCTCTCCCACGCCGGCATCGCCCACTTGACCATGTACTCAGACGCCATGAGCCGCTCCGCCGTCGGCCGCTCAGCAGGTTCAAACGCCATCATGCTTTTAAGCAGATCCTCCAGCGCGCGCAGCTCACCGCCGGCGACATCCCACTGACATGTATCGGGCGTCTCGCCCCGGCCCATCTCCCACAGGCGCTGATGCAGCGGGCGGAAGACGGGCGTCCTGATGCGCTTGATGTCGGGGATCCACTCTCCGTCCGGCTAGAAGAACTCGGCGCGCTTTGCCCACCGGCCCCACCATCGCGCGGGCGGCCTGCCCAGCGTGCTGATCATCTCGCCGATGATGTCATCTGGATCCCACGCGAAGGTCTCGAAGAGCGGGCGTTCGCCCATGGGTTCGTACAGGTTGACGCCAAGGGTCCAGATGTCCGCAGCGGGCGTGATGGGGTCCTCAAAGAAGGCTTCGGGAGGAAGATAGAGTGCTGGGGTGGAGAGCGTTGGAGAGGGATTCTGGGACACGACAAAGGAAGTGCCATAGTCGGAAATGACAATTTCTGGGTCGGTCACTTCGTTTTGCGGGCATGTTTGGAATCATCGGATAGATCGCATGGGGCGGTGCGTGAGGTCCCGCTGCACTTCCGTCAATGCGTCGTACACGGACTTCATCAGGCGTGCCGTAACGCTCGTAGAGATCAGCTGTGCTCATAGAATCGAAGTTTGGAATCCGCAAGAGGAAATTTCTTGTGTGTAGATCTGTATGATGACATTAGTTTCTGAGCACATTTAGAGAAGGGATATAAAGTGCTTGCGAGGGCCCTACCTCCGTGCCAAATGCCACATGCCTGCAAGTATGACAATCCCATGATGAGCTGGGCGGCGATAGACCTCGCAGCATCGACCAGAAACATCAAGTCCACACTATCCTCCTGGCATCTCGCAATACTACATCCAAAAGGCTGGCCAACTAGGCACAGATGGTGACCATTTGGGCCATTAAATGAAAGTTGGTCCAGAAGCAGTGGGATAAATTGCTTTCCGATGTGAGCCGAGTCGCCGTTCCGAAGCGTTGAGAGAATCGTTCCTTCAGCACATTCCCCTGATGCGCTGGCAGCCAGGATTTTTAGCGACACATAGCGCTGGAGTTGTTGGTCGCGAGCGAGCCAAATGGTCGAGTAGCCCCGAAAACCAAGTTTGTGGACAATTGTATACCGATTATCACAGAAGGTATCTCCAATAAGGGTTGGGTGGTATCCACCGTGTCTGTATTCTTCAAAGTTCTCGACATCAACCTCTGGGAAGTAGATATCCTCTGCTAGGGCAGGCGATGAATTAGAATCAGTCAAATGAAAGTGTCGAGATTGGTCTGTCAAATGATTAAGCCTGACTAAACGAGAGCGATTCTGTACGAAGGAATAAAGTTGGCGAGAAAATAGATGGTGCCGTCGCGGGAGTGTATGAAATTGAATACGCAATGGTGCTCTTGTATGGAAGAAACCTCTCCAGCAGCAGCTCTTCATGGTTGACTTGGACGGGGGAAGATCAAGTCGGCGTTGGCAACGTGGAGAGCGATGTCCACCACTCTAAACCACGTTAGGTCTCCTTTCCATCGACTTCCGCCGTGCTACGCCCAGCTTATCGTCCTTAATGCTGCCACTTGGCCAACCCTGGATGAATTCATAACCTGGTCCTCGGAGGAGACTGGGGAGTGAAGCCGCCTGGCGATCAATAACTCTGGTCAGTTTATTGCATGACACGTATCATTACATTGGCTTTGTTGGTAGGGCGCACAGTCGGGTGACGTGAACCTAGATATGTTGTAGTATGGCAGAGCGAAGGAATTGGACGATGACCCTGAAGAGGCCAATGCGGCAGCTCATTTTGGCGTGGGACAACGGAACCAATTTGAAGAGATCAGAAACATTAGCTTAAAAGGTGAGGACACGTAGTCTTTACGGCTGTATAAGTTTTGTATAACACCACTCTTTTATCTTTCCTGAGGTTGGCCTTATTGTGCACCTAATATATATATATATACACGGATACAGAGGGAGCCACCTATCCAGCTAGAGACTCAACAGGGAGATGCCGTGGCTCAGGCACCTTTCCCAAGCCAACATGGTTCAACCCACCCATGTCCTCCTCTAATCCCATGCCTTCAAATCCAAGGCCGTCAAACTCGAGGTCTAGACCCCTGATTCTCGGCTGCATGCCGAGGAGAGACGCATCTGCAAAATCAGCAGGTGACGCGTCCGCAGCGGCCTTCTTCATGATCTCAATCATCTCCTCCTGCATAATATGCCTCTCCTTGCGGAGCTTCTTCCGCGCGCCAACCGCCTCCCCAATCGCCTTTGTTATCACCTCCCTCGAAGCGACGTCGGATTCGACTCGGCAATTGCCTCCCGGCGGATCCAGCCTCTTCCTGGCCCGCTTGAGAGCCCTCAGACAATGCAATTCCGTCCAGTAGTCACTCGATCTCGCCCTCGAAATAGCCCATCTAAGACGCTCCAAGTCGCCCATCTCCGCGTAAGACGAGATCAAGATCGAAAAATTGTACATGTTGTAACACGGCCCCGACTGGTCGAGAGCCCTTGCTGCTGCCAGGGCGTATTCGACAGCTTCCGCGTAGCGTCCCGCGTTCAGGCAAGAGAGCGCGGCGAGATTCAGAGTCACGTCCGATACCCTGATCTCTTTATCTCCGAGCTGGCCCATCAACTTTCGGATCGCGTCCACCCTGTCCTCCTTGGCCAGACTGAGGTTGATGTGCCTGATCTGCGCGGCCAGGAGTGGTACGGCCGCACCACTGACGTCCTCCCCGCTCCGCTGAGCACGTTGGATGAGGCTGTATGCAGCCTCGTAGTTGTTCTCCCGCACTCTCAAGCTCGCCTGGACCGCGAGCCGAAGGGCGTGAGACGAGAACGGCATCCCTTGGTGCAAGGCCCTCTTGTATATTCGGAGAGACTGTCCCGGGCGGCCGAAACTAAGTTGCTGCCTCATCGCCAGCACCACTTCCCGTTCAGGGGCGCACTTGCCCCTGATTGCCAGTTTGCCCGGATCGATCTTCAGGGACACAACTCGACCGACTGCGGACCGGCTACCGCATTTGGGATCTGAAAGGGCAGCGTGCACCATCATGTCCTCGGTACATTTGTCCGCAAATTCGGGGCTCATGGCGCGAAGCTTCAGGAACATGGTGCGCAGATCACTGAAGGGTAGTTTCCATCTCCGACGACAGTTGGTTAGAATGGCATTGCTGAATGCCGCGTCCACCTTGAAACCGGAATCGGCGCAGTACTTCAGCCACTGCACCAAGGACTGGATATCTCGCACGGCTCCGTAATGGTTCGCCATGAGGGTGACGGTATAGGCGACGATCGGGACTTTGAGTTCATCAACATAGAATCGCAGAAAGTCCTCGGTCTCGGTTGTCGTATGGCCTCGAGCGTAGATCTTTAGAATAGGAACAAAGACCTCGCCATAAGCATCAGAGGCTTCCTTGCCGCTGACGCTCATGGCCTCAAAACTCATCCGTGCTCCATCCCAGTCCCCAAGCCTGGCTTTATGTTGTGCAAAAAGGCCTAGTAGGCGGATATCCGAGGCGAGTCCTGGCTTCTCGCTGACGATCTCATCAAAGTAGGATTCAGCTATTTGAGGCCGATCTGCTTTGAATGCGATCTCCATCATGACGCGATAAATGCCGTCCGGATGCGCCACGACATTTCTCAGGCCGGAGGCACGCAATGCCCTGAAAATTTGCTCCGTCGCCTCGAAATCATTATATCGTTGCCAATGCGAGCTCAGGAGCCTCATTACCCAAGCTGTCTTCAGCATACAAGTTCCGGAACAGAGCTCCTCCAATGCTTTCAAGACTTGCCCAGCCTTCAAGTTGCGAGCCGCCGCCACTGACTCGACAAGGACATCGCCGACGGCGTAGAGAGACTCCTGGTTTGGCGACATCTTTGAGTAACAGAGCAAGAAGTATTTTATCGCGGATTTGTGTTCGTTCTGCTCGTGCAGACGTGTTAGAAACCATCCAGTAAAGTCATAGTCGTCCTGCCGATGCACGAGGCATCGCCAGTAGAGTCCATCGACATGCTGGAGTTTGTTGGTGGCGAACGACAGCTCCAGAAGCCTTCGACCGATATCGAATGCCCTTGGTATCGCCAACCTCGGCTTTTCTGTGAAGGTGGGCAGGAATAGCACCGATGCCAGGTCCAGTTTGTTTGCCGTAACGGCTTGTTCAGTGGAGGCAGACTCCAGTTCGGAAATAAGCCCTTCTACCAACTCCAGAGGGTTGAAGCTGTAGTATTCCTCCTCGCGAAGCGGCCCATGAGCGACGATCAAGCGGAGGATTCTCCCTGCATCGTCGAGGCGACCGAGATCCTGGCACGTCCGAGTGAGGAGCGCGGCGGCTTGTATTAACGGGGTGTCTGGGTCGCGAGGCGTTTTTGCGACTGCCAACGCTTCGTGGACTAGGTGTATGGCAAGATCGAGTCGCCGTGGGTGTTTGCTCGTCGTAGACTCCTGTACAACGTCGATAATCTCCTCGGTTTTGGGAAAAGCGAAGACATTCGTGGCTTTCGCTCCATATGCCATTTGGTTGGCTTTCAATGCCGCCTGGAGAGACTCTGTGGGCTGGCTCTGAAGAAACGGGCTGTATCCGGTCGGTAGGGTTGGGCTTGGGTCCACAGCCAAAGGAGAGCTCTTCCTGCGATTGCCATTGTCGTCCGCCCTGACTGCAGCAGACCTCTCGCTCCGAGAGGCCTCTACCCGATGCCTTTCGGCAGAGCTTTTTGCAAACTCTAGCTCATTGCGCCTTGCCCAGTTCTCCGTATGGTTGCTGAATTCCTTGGCTCCTCGTGGAGGTACCCAATGGACTAGGCCAGGCTCAAGCAGAGCTTCCTCCTCCAGCGCCAACGCAAGCTCTCCTCCTCCAGTGCGGTAATTCCTAGCTGACTTGAGTCTCTGCGCATTCTGTACGGCATTGCGTGCGTTGTTGATACGACGCCGGCGGTCCTCGGTAATCAGGACGAGGGAACAAGATGTGCCGACAATCAGTCCCCGGATGGCGGTCACGGCGACCTTTGACGGCACAGGAAGGGGTGAAGACATGGCTCATAGGTCGTGGCTGCCATTTCGGAGCCGCATCGTAGTTGGGGCTGGTCGTTCAACGTCGTGGAAGAGCACATGAAGAAGCATGGGCTGATCCAAAATTAATTCAGAGCTAACCTCGAGACGCATGGGCAGAGTCTCCATGCGCAGTGGGTCTGTGCGTAGCAGGTGGCCGCGGGCCGGTAGAAAGTCTGCCACCTGGCTCCACAAGTGCCGGCGGTGGCAGCGCCTGTCAAGTGTCTGGCGGCCCGGACTACGCACAGATCCCCTACATATGGAGACTTCATCGGGTATACTTACAGGCCACGTGATCCACCTTAACCACACCTTCAAGTTTAGCTACCTCTTAGGGCTTGCTAAGAAGCACCAAGATGCATGGAAGTACAACAAGCATTGGGGTTGCAAGGAGAGCGCGGCGGTTGTAGGTTGTCGAACCTTCTAGTTGTCGAGTTTCTCGTTTGTCCAGTTGCTAGGGCAACCCCCGCCACAGGAGAAGGTATTTGGATTGTTTGGATTTTGGGTGCCCCTGAAGCTGTCCTCTTCTCTGGCACACGCACATCCCAAGAGAGGTTTCCCCTTTCCCAAGTCAACCGGAGTCGGTTACTCCTTTCTCCCAAGCACGCGGATCTCTCGCTTCTACTCATGCGCACACAACACACTTTGGATTTCTTCCTCTCTGCTACCTCTCTTTCTCACACACACACCAAGATGGCCGAGAATCGCCACGCCCTTCGTCCTTTGGCAGACGTGGCCCCTGGAGTCACATGAAAAGGTTTCACCCAGGAGAAGGCATCGTATGCAACGGAGGACCAAGGAGGATAATTATGTTTGAATCACTCGTAGAGAGGTCGCATGTAGGCCAGACGGGTTGAAGCCTCACCACACCTAGGGTAATATGTTTGCTATAGTCTAGTGCCCTAGCTCTTGCTCTTCAAATTGGAAGCTGCCATTGCGCGCGCCGAAGACAACTCCTTGAACGCTAACCTTCTGCCGCGGCAACCGAGGTCGTCCTCTTGTAAAACCCACGGGTGTAGTGGATAATCGCAGCCTCATCGGCAGGGTCGACGTCGAATTGCAGCGATTCGCGGACGCATCCATCCAAGTGTGATAGCACTGCGGCTGGCCGAGCAACGAAATTGGGGAGGAGAAATACGATCCGCCGGTTGGAATAGGCGATTCTCGTCTGACTTTCGAGTCGGTCGAACTGGCGATCCGATTCCCAGGGCCGGAAGATCGCGTCGAAAAGGCGAGGAGCCATGAATGGGTGTGGTCGAGGCATGAGGGCGAGAATCTCGTGAATCTCATACCACCTATCCGGCATGAAGGTACCAGAGAGGAAGAGGCCTCGGCTATATGACAATCCCTTGATTGCCGCATGACGCTTGCCTTGATCGCGGAGGGCATTCTGGACTTCATCCAGAACGAGGAAGCAGATAGAGGATCCCGTCTCCTTAAGCAACTTGGAGAAGAGGCTAGCCTTCACCCGCTTGCCGTTATCGGCCTTGTAAGCAGCGTTAAAGAACTTGTATTTGGCAAGGAGTTGATCGTAAGTTATGATAACCCAGTCCCACTTTCCCTCAAGGAGGTTCAAGGCATCAGGGTTTTAGCACGTTGACCTCCCCGCAGTTGACGACATTGGTCGGCCACTTTGAAGACAACCAATCATCGCTGTCTTGATCGTCACCTTCTTCCTCACTGTCAGATGGATGAGGGCTGGCCTCTGCACTCTGATATTCACTTTCGCGTTCATCGTGTCTGCTGGCCATGGCAAGAGTAAATTGTTCGTAGAAAAGGTCCAACATATCGGCGATTTCAAACGCGGGCATCACTCGCAAGCGAAAGATTGCGTCCAGTTCTGCGAGCGCTCGCTCATATCGCGACGCCATCTTGTGGGCATGAGGGGTTTGAGAGAAGGGTATTGAGACGAGATGCAAGGAAGCCCGATTGCAAACGAACGGGGAAGAGGAAATGTTGGACAATCCTTGGAAAAAGAAAGGCTCGGGGAAGCCGCTGAGGTACCAAGGTATATCCCGTCGGTATCAAGTTGGAAGGTGGGAGTTGACCGAAATGTGAAGGGGGCTTTTTGCAGCAGGAAAACATTCATTTACCTCTGCACCTTTTTTCTCTTTCCTCTTCCTCCTTGACTTGACGGACGCGACCTGGAGTTAAAATCTACGCACCTATCATATCTTCCTACTAAATTCCCTCTCACTAAACTCAAGATGGACTTGGTCAAAACAGCGATACAACTTATCGACGAGCTAATTGTTATTTCGGCCAGACTCGAAGATGGAGAGGGCAGACAACATGAGCCAACTGCTCAAGACACACGAGCGAGACTAGGGTGGGATCAAAAGATGGAGCGCCTCAGGACGTGCATCCGTGATATTTATCAGAAGATGAGGATTAAGATGGAAGTTGAGGGCATACGCGGACAGGCGCTCAACAACGACGAACGCATCGCGGCAAGAAGGCTTCACACTGCTATACTGGCTGCTAGCGGCGATGATGGCCATGACGGGACAGCTGCCATGGAGAGAGTCAAGGACGCATCTTCTGAGTTCCACAACGCTATCCAACAGCGTGGCAGTGACCTTTACCGGAAGAGGAAGCGATAATGGCGTCAATGTGGATGCCTAAGAAGTTCAGCCCAATCCTGATTGGTATGTCACCAGTTCTTAAGCCCCCTGTCCCCAACCCCATGGGGTGGTAACTTGGCAACATGTCAACAGTATCTATTCTATCAGAGAGGGACGAGCTCGGCAGAGCTGTAGCAACCGTTCAAGAAAGCGATTGCGAAGAGCAAGGTGACGATTCCGAAGATCAAGGTAGCGATGAAGAGTGGACGATTCCAGATATCCCTGACGCAACCTGGGCTCAGCTCCAAGAAACTGTCTGGCGTCGTGGGAGTGACGATGATGGTCAAGCCTCACAGCCCCTCGCGACTGCGATGGCGGCGGCGCGGTTGGAGCAAGAGGACTAGACAATCAGTTATTCGAGGACTTGCTTCGGTGGGGCTAGAAGATGAATGGGTAGAGAGATCCTGCAGCATTGACTGATGAGCCAAGCGCATGAGTATCTCGTCGAAATGTACCTACAGTGGCCCCCGAGATAATCACAAGATCCAACCGATCAAAGATGACTGAAAAGGCGTTCCCCGTTGTCGCAGCACAAGCATATTAAATGGCTCACCAATCCAGAGCCATCTGCGGCTCCGACGAAGCTGATAATATCCCATGTTGTTGAGAGTGCAGAGGATAGTCAGGAGGGAAATAGGATATTTATACGAGATGGGGATGACACCCCTTAAACCCCTGTACCCACATCCTACACGTATGTGTGCCCGCTGACTCGGTATGATAGCACGCCACATCAGACTTGTTGTGGAAACCTTGAAATCAACCAGGTGAACCAACTGGATGTGTCCAGCCTTAGCAAGAGGGTTCTGTTATATTAAAGGACGTCTCGTACTAAGTCTAATATGGCGTTGCCAGCTTCCTCTTGACAAAGCCATGTTGAATCGGAGTTTAGGCCTGCCTGGATACATGTCGCAGCCTCTCCACCTAGGCGTCCGGTATATTATATTATCGCCCCGTGTAAGCAGTCTGCTGAAGCGCACCTCGCCGTCTAAATGCTCGCCCGCCTTGGCGCCATGGTGCGGCGCAGGGCCTTCTTCTCCTCCGTCTCCTCGATGAGCGGCAGGAGGCCCTTGCCCTTGAGCTGCTGCAGGAACTCCTGGCCGTAGCGATAGCCGACCTGGCAGATCTCGTCGAACTTGCCAAAGTCGAGGGTGCCGTAGTCGTCGACGGGCGGCCGCATGTAGAAGCAGCCCTCCATCGTCTTTGCGCGCTCTAGCGCGTCCACGCTCGACACGTAGGCGAGCCTAGCTTGGATCTCGGCCAGGGTAGGTGGGTTCGGCACGGACGAGAAGGGGTTCCAGCGGTTGAAGAAGGCCCAGAGCCCCGAGAGCGTGTCGCCAAAGGCCTGCGGCGTGTTGTCGTCGAGCGAGCCGACGTCGATGGAGAAGATGACGTCCGCCCCGAGGGACTTCATGTGCGACACGGTCAGGTTGTCGATGTAGCCCCCGTCCAGGAGCATGCTGCCCTCGTCGCACAGCGGCGGGAGCAGGCCGGCCAGGGACATGGACGCACGGATGTATCTCCAGGCGTAGCCGCTCGTGTGGAATTCCGGCCGGCTCTTGCTGATGTTTGTGGTGTTGCAGTAGTACTCGAGCCAGAAGTCCTCGATCTGCGTCTTTCCGAAGGTCTTGAATATGCCGCGGTTGAACTCGTGGCCCGTCGTGTAGGAAGCCGAAGGGTATGTCAGGTCGAGTGCAAACCTCCACATGCTCGCCATCCTCCCTGCGAACTTTTTCGATAGGCCAAAGATGGGCACGACGTCGGCGTGCCTGGCGTACAATCCGCCGATGAATGCGCCAATCGATGTCCCGCCCACAATATCAATGGGTATGCCAGCCTCTTCCATCGCCCGGATGATGCCAATCTGTGCGATACCACGGGCTCCTCCACCGCCAAGGACGAGGCCCACGGATTTCCCGCAGAGTCTCCTCGCAAGTCGGTGGAAGTCTCCCTTGATAGGAGCATCTGACGAATAGAATGGCCCGTGGCGGAGTTTTCTAGAAGTGTACTTCTGAATCTCTGCTTGTAGGATCTGCACACGCTCCTTCAGACTTGGTCCCGAACGCTTCTCCGGGGGGTGTATTGGCATGGCGTTGGTACCGAGAGCCATTTCCATATGATGATGGCCTCCATTGATCCACATCCTGTTCCTCAACCACGAGCGAGTTAAGCCTGGGGAAGAATATCTTTCCGAGTGGAGGAGAACCAGGACTTTCCGCGCCGTGGACTTCATGCCTAGCATGAAACGTTCATACTCCCCAATCTCTGGCGACCCGTCGGCAAGACCCACGAGCAAGATGCAATCGGCTTGATTGATACAAGTTTGAGTCCACGGTGAGTTAACGTTGGTATCTATCATGATGGTTAGTAGGGATAGAATAAAGATGAAGAACGCAGGGGTAAGTGCATGGGAAGGAGTCGCAAAGTGCTTACCGGCCACGTAAATAACCAGTCCGTATTTCTCCTCCAGATCTGCCAGATACTGAGAAAGCTTCAGCTTGCCCATCTTGTTGAAGGCGTGCTTCCCCAGGTGATTGAGAATGGCGGATTGGTTGAGAGAAGTCGCGCCATTCGGAGTCCCGACTTGAGCCAGAGCGTTCATGAGCCTGTTGCCGAACTCGACCACGGGTACTCCTGCAGTAACTGGCAGCACTGCAACTGTCCTGAGGTTGAGTGTCGACGAGCTCTTATTGATCGACGTCCTCCATGTGCCGTCTTTCGAGACGGTGCCCGAAGGATCATTGATCAAGGTCCGCATGCGAGAAGCAATGATCTTCGATATCTTGATCGTGATGTTCGGGTGCTCCTGGGCTAGACTGTTGAACAAGGTACGAGGGAACTTGACAAGCTCTGTATCCCGAATGGCATGCAATGTGCCGGATCTGGCAGACTCTGTGAGAACTTCGAGCTCGCCAACGCTTTCTCCCTGACCATATTCCGCCTTGACGTTTACCCCACCGTCAGTCCGATCTTCCACGAGTCGCAGTCGCCCGTTGAGAACTATATAGATGGCCTCGCTCTCGTCCCTGTTGTGGAAGATGACCTGGCTAGCGTTGACCTGCAGCCATTCCAGAGCAAAGTCGATGTGAAGGATTAGGCGAGGTAGGAGATGTGTGAGCCTCTTAGCCATGGTGAGGAGGACAATGGGGTAGCGATCGACGATCCTCTCAATGGACGCACGTGGCAGAAACCCGACGTATACATCCGTCTTCGCCACGACATCTATGAACGACCTGTACGAGGAAATGGTGCCAACGTACCCTGCCAGCCCACCCGGCTTAATCAGAGCCACGCTTTGGCGCCGTAGCCTCTTTCCCCGCTCACTAGCGGCATCACCGTCTAGCCCGGAAGATGGAAAGTGCTGGGATGAGGCGGGATGACTGGCGTCTGCGAGGGAATCGGCGCTCTCCATTGCTGTGAATGACGTTCTGTTGGAGGAGTGGAGGAGGTCGGCACTCGACTCCTCAACCGTCATACAGATGTCGAGAAACCCATCCATGACGTAGTAAAGGCCGGGATTGCGTTCCCCTTGCTCGACGAGAACCGACCCTTTCGGGAAGAAGACAATCTCGACCTCGTCACGCATGTCTTGGGCGAGGAGATGGACGTTCGTCGTTGGATGCATTGTAAGTCCGCTCGAGGTCATCGACTCGGTATCACCTTCAACTGAACCGTCCAGGGCGTCCATGAAGCCGAAGGCGTTATTGCCGAAGACGGCCTTCTGCCGCCGTTGGTCAAATGTAAACAGCTTTGGGGATCCTTGCATCGATTCTGGCTCGCGCGTAGCGCTCCCGTTGCTGGCCAAGCCAATCGCCTTGAACATACACTCCAGAATGGATTCCCGGAAGATGTTGTCCTCGTCGAGCATCTCCCGCTTGTCGAGAGAGATGTGCGGGTTCCTCTGCGTTGCAAAAGGATTGAATGCCCTCTGAGCCAGTGGGGATACCCCGTCCGGCCGATCTAAGCTGACCTGCGAGGAGTAATCGTTTGGTGTCACAGAGGTGGTTGAGGGGTGGCCACCAGCCCGAGATAGCTGAATGTTAGCCAGCAGATCCCCTGGGCTGGGCGTGCCGATAGAGGTACGCTCTCTAGGAGGGGCTATCGTCGAAGCGACGACGGAGGTGGGCCGTTGTCTGGAAAAGGCCTGCAGAGCGGCTTCTTTCCGGAGAGTCGTGTTGGATCTCCTGCGTCGACTGGCATGTGCATTGTGAAGTGCGATCCCTTTCCCGACATCCTCTTCCCCGGCCCTTTCTCTCTCGCGTTGGAATTTCTCCTTGAGCCGATCTAGGGCATCCCCTCTCAACTCGTTGGGGAGCTGACACATGGTGTATTTCACCATGTTTCTTTCCGTCTGCATGACTTCGCCGGTCAAGCCAAGATAGCTGAATGCTGTTGCCAGTGTAACCCGTTGGAACCTGGAGAGGATTACATGCACTATGTGTGCTGTCGCTTTCGGGTATATTCTAATAAGACGTCGGAAAGCACTCGCTGGTATGATAGCTATGGTGGTATCTACCGTAGCCCGGGCGATGATATCCGGATGCACAGAATTGGTAGATCTCCGCTTGGGTTCTGGCCTTTGGGGACGAGAATGGAGAGAAGGGTCCAGATCCATTGGTGGTATCGTTGGTAGAGCTGAATTAGTAGAACGCGCGGTAGCTGGGGCTGTCTCGGTCGATCCGTGGTTGGTTGCCGAGCCATCTAAATGGGGAGTGTTGGGAAATGACACCTGCATGCCATGTACTTTCCGAAAGTCTGCACTCAGGGGATACCTGGCGTTATTCGTGCTCGCAATGCCGGAACCAGGCTCCGATCCGTCTTCTTCTGTGTGGCGGAGTTGAACATCCTCTGTAAAGAGAGACATGATGGAAAACAGGGACGACATTGGGGCTCCATTCCGCACCTCGGTCAGGAGCTGATACCGCTGTTGGCCTGGTTCAAAGTGCTCGTCGTCGCTCGAGTCAGTGTCGGACAAGGGAGTCCCATGGGTAGTTGTGGCCGGATGTCGATCATGGCGAGAAGACTTGACAAAGATCTCGACCAAACCGTCCACAACCAAGCAGAAGCCCTTCTCTTCCTCGAGGTTAAGAGTCTCGCCAGCTATCAGCTTCCTCGTTTGCATACTCCGAGTTAGCTCGTGGAAAACCGGCCGTTCCAGAAAGCCAAATATCTTGATGGCACTGAGGAACTCATCAAGATAGCTTCCAAGGCCAGACTTCATGCCCTCCTCCTGGGTGTCTGGGAATAGATCGACATCAGGCTCCTTCCGCTGTGGTTCAGGAGGGAGACGCGAGTACATGTTGAGATAGCGATATCTGACTACCCAGCTTACTGCGGATATCATGGCAGCCATAATGACCATCCTGCAATAGCGTTATTAGTTCCATCCCCGTCACAAGGTCAGAGGGAGTGGCTTACAAGGTAGTGGCATTCATAGTCACCGTCAGGCTCGTAGAGAAGAGAGCGAATAGAAAGGTGGGGATGGATATCGTGGCTAGCTTAATCGCGATGTATAATAGACTCGAGATGGTATGAAGGATCCAGAGGATGAGCCTGGCGAATAGGCCAAGCCAGGATGAGGATCCATGTGCTTCAACGACATCATTTGCTCGCGTCACAGCCGAGTTGAGGGCGCCCGTAGCGACCTCGGGTATCGCAGACATTGTCCTGGGGAGCATCGAACTCAGCGTGGTGGTGGTTGACAGATCCATGATGAAGGCCGCTTCTCAAGCTTGCCCTTGCACAACGCAAGGTCCACTCTTTACTAGGACCACATGCCGGCGCGTCTGGCTGAGATTTTAGAGCTCAAACTTGAGTGCGCCAACTAGTCGTGCAGAAAGCAAGGGAGCACTGATGGCGGCTTCTGATCATTAAGCAGGTTGAGCTCGAGCTCGTGCTAGTGTAAAGCTACACGCTACCTTGGCATGGCATGTGCCACCTACCATTCCTCCTCCCTTTGGTTGAAGCTGGACCCCACTAGGTATTTGGGGAAAGAAAATGTGGCGTAGGAGGTGCCGCGCACCAGCCACACCCCACCATCCAGTGTGTCGACAATTTAGAAAAATACGACCATCCTCGCAGAAGAGACGTCCAACAAAGAACAAGTGAGGCAAAGAGGCAACCACCGTCATTTCTTTTGACGCCCAACCCTCGACTTCCACAAAGCCTCGCTCTCTCAATCATTTTCACTACAGTTCATCAGTATTGTGGATTGCCTGGTTCATCCAGTTTCGGACACCCAACTTGCCTATCGATTTGCCCCGCCTTGGATAAGGCACCACCGCCAACATGTCGTTGACAAATTGCCGATTCTACGAGGAGAAGTATCCGGAGATTGATAGCTTCGTTATGGTGAACGTGAAGCAGGTCAGTACTAGGCGCTTATTCCAGGATGTGCTGGATCAGACAACGGTGGCGCCTCTCCGTGCCTCGGCACATCCTCCGTCACTTTTGCTAGGCGAACATGTTGGCATCGCGCAAGTGCTTAGCTGTGGGCTGGACGAGCGAAGTGACTGAGAGGCGACACCTTTCTGACCCTGCGGCCCCGGCTCTCCTTTCGTCTCTCCTTTCGTATGTACGTGATAATCTGACGGACTCTAGATCGCCGACATGGGCGCTTATGTTAAGCTGCTCGAGTACGACAATATCGATGGCATGATCCTTCTCTCCGAGCTGTCAAGACGCCGTATCCGAAGTATCCAGAAGCTTATTCGAGTGGGCCGCAACGAAGTTGTTGTTGTTCTGCGAGTGGACAAAGAGAAAGGTTGGTTCTGCTACCGCCAGCACTCTATAGAGAGCCATGCTTAACCGAGACTAGGCTATATTGATCTTTCAAAGCGCCGTGTCTCGCCAGAGGACATCATCAAGTGCGAGGAACGGTATAACAAGGGCAAGATGGTCCACTCCATCATGAGGCACGTTGCCGAAAAGACCCTTACGCCGATCGAGACGCTATACGAGGCCATTGCATGGCCGCTGAACAAGAAATACGGCCATTCTATCGATGCGTTCAAACTCTCCATAACGTGGGTCACATATCCACGCCGGGACATATAATGAGAGCTTGGCTGACACAGCTTTAGCAACCCTGATGTTTGGAACGATATCGTTTTCCCCAGCGACCCGGTAGCCGAGGAATTGAAGTCATACATCGGAAAGAGATTGACACCCCAGCCAACGAAAGTCCGTGCCGACGTCGAGGTTACATGCTTCGGCTACGAGGGAATTGATGCCATCAAGACGGCCCTGCGGACTGCCGAAGCACGCAACACGGAGGATACCCAGGTGAAAGTCAGACTAGTCTCTCCTCCGCTCTACGTCCTCACGAACACCTGCTTGGACAAGAATGCTGGAATTGCACGGCTGGAGGAGGCCATCGTCGACATTCGCACCAGTATCGAAAGCGCTGGAGGAAATTTGATCGTAAAGATGGAGCCGAAGGCGGTCACCGAGTCGGATGATGCGGAGCTCCAGGCCCTCATGGAGAAGCGGGAGAGAGAGAATGCTGAAGTCAGCGGTGATGAGAGCGTGAGCGAAAGCGACGACAACATCCCCGCGCCGATCTAAACATGGGGTGGAGAATTATTGAACAGCCACTGGCCCATGGCCATGTTGGTAAAGAAACAAGCCTCACCATTGTATCTAGTCATGTTATGGAAATGGCGTCTGGGAGAATGAAAAGTCCCTTTGGAAGAAGCGACGCGGGGCATCTAACGATGGGGGACCACCTAGAGGCCAGCCACCGTTGGGAGAAGCGGGACCATGCAGATAATGAAGCTTATGCAATGATCGGGGTTCACAGCCAGCCAGAAAACGGCGAAATTTGTAGCCTGAGCCAGATCATGAATCCATAGATCTTATCCTTGATGAACAACACCAAAGAAGCCACCGGCCACTTGCCCGTCAATACCCATGACTCTCGGCTCACTGTGGGCACGGGCAAGAAGCCGGCCGATCTTTCTCCGTCAGTTCTCGGTCTACCTGTTTGGCCTTGCAACATGGGTTCCGGCCATCATTTGGTTCAATACAAACGTTGCCGAGTTCACCGTGATTGATGGGCCGTCAATGTACCCCTTTCTGAATGACAGAATCAACCAGTCACTGCGCCGAGACCTGGTTCTAAACTACAAGCTGTATGCACAGGATAATCTTGCGCGCGGCATGGTGGTGACGTTCAGGTACGCTGCGCCCCTTGCAGTGTCAAGAGAAAAGCTGCTGACCTGGATCGGAACCATAGGAGCCCCCTCGACCCCGAAAAGATGGCAGTGAAGAGGATCATCGGCCTCGAAGGCGATGTCGTGCAGACCCGGCGGCCGTATCCGAACGCCTACATTCGGGTTCCTCCTGGTCATGTATGGGTCGAGGGCGACTCGGCAGATGAACGGAAGACCATGGACAGCAATACATACGGACCCATCTCGTCGCGCCTCGTAACCGGCCGTATAACACATATACTTCTGCCTTGGCATAAAGCTGGTCGGGTGAAGTGGTGGGAACATGAAGACGGACGAGGAGTCATGTAGCCATGACCTCGCTCTCGAATATTCGACACTGAGCAATTGGGAAGCCGGCTTTCTCGTATGAATGGGTCCTATGTAAAATTATATGCGCGTACTATTTTCAATGGGCTTGACGGAACTAAGCATGTCGTTTTGCTCCTGTTAGTGGTACTTGGTAGATTGTACATCTGTATGAATCAGGCCGTCTTTCAAAATGTCCAGGCCGTAGCTCGGAGCTTTCGGAACCGCCGATCTGATGGCCCGCGCGTCGGCCTTTGTCAAATCACGCACGGGCCCAACCTCGGGGCGCAAAAAATTGTAGGAGGGAAAAAAACACAACCCGGGTGCAGAGTCGGGACTCACTAGCCGTAACTTATCTCGACGACGACTCCTTCTCGAAAGCGCCCACGACGGGAGCTGCGCACACCTCCTTCCTCTATACCTGAAGGGCGATGGTGTTTGGCTCTGGTGCCGGCAGCTCCCTTTCTTCACCACCGAATGGGCCAGGCGACCACAACCTCGACCGAGTTTCTGCCCTGCTCGACGATGGACTTACATCCCAGACGGGCTTCTGGTCGGACGTCAATACAGCAGGAAGGAACTCGCACATTGGCGATATGAGTCCTCAACATGGGGAGCTGGAAAACCGGCCGCCTTACATTCATGTATGGCGTCGCGCCTTTTGCGTACTTGGCCTTGCCCTATCGTGCTGATCCTCACATCTACTCTAGTCCATGATTGCCGGAGGTTTGGGCGGAACAAGCGGCGACATGCTGATGCACTCGCTGGACACTGTGAAGACGCGACAACAGGGCGATCCACACATGCCACCGAGGTACACGTCCCTGGGCTCCTCTTACTACAAGATCTTGCGGCAAGAAGGCGTTCGAAGGGGCCTGTATGGCGGCTGGCTCCCGGCACTTCTTGGCTCGTTTCCTGGAACGGTCCTCTTCTTCGGCACATATGAGTGCAGCAAACGTCATATGCTCGACTACGGCGTCCAGCCCCATCTAGCGTATCTTGCAAGCGGTATGTAGTCCTCAGATCCATGATAGGAGACAGAGAAGTCTGACAATGCGTGTGCCAGGCTTCCTCGGAGATCTCGCTGCGTCAGTTGTCTACGTTCCGTCCGAAGTTCTGAAAACGCGGCTCCAGCTCCAAGGGCGCTACAACAACCCTTTCTTCAACTCGGGATATAACTATCGTGGGACGCTTGATGCCGCACGAACCATTGTGAGGCTCGAAGGGTTCCCAGCGCTCTTCTACGGTTACCAGGCGACGCTGTACCGAGACCTTCCGTTTTCTGCGCTCCAGTTCATGTTCTACGAACAGGGTCAGAGCTGGGCCCGAGCCTGGAAGGACAGCCGAGATATCGGATGGCAGCTGGAACTCGTCACGGGCGCCGCTGCTGGGGGCCTCGCCGGGACCATGACTTGCCCTCTTGACGTTGTCAAAACCCGCCTCCAAACCCAATTAAATCACGATGCCGGGAGCTTCCATCAGGAGCCGGTGGCGAGCAAGGGACAGGGCGCAGATCTGAAGGATGGCCACACGACACAGGCGACAGCGACGGCGAAGCAAGGCCCTCAGAAACGCCTAATCTCGACCTCTTCGCCATCAACATACACACCACGGCCCGGAGCGGCCAACCTACAGACCTCGTCGGTGTACGAAGGACTGAAGGTGATATATAGAACGGAAGGCTTTGGGGGGTGGTTTAGAGGCGTCGGCCCACGAGCTGTTTGGACGAGCATTCAGAGTGGTTGCATGTTGTTCTTGTACCAGACCATCTTGCGACAGTTGGAGGTGTATTTACCAATGGAGAGGCCGGAACTTGGAGCATGAATGGATGCTCATCTGTATAAACACTGGGTACGCATGTATTATTGTACTGTACTAATGGGGGGTCAAGCATGGCGTTCAGGGCTTAGATAGACGGGCATTCAGCATAGACATGGAAATCAGAAGAAACCCCTTCACTTCACGACTGTCGACTCATCGGATGCGATAACCTCGACCATTTATTACTCGTGGGGGAACCGTCCGACGACGACGCTGACGTGACTTTGCTACCTCAGACCTCGCAATCCTGTGCCAAGAGTTTGCCAATGCAGCGCCTAACATGCTCTTTGGCTACAGGCGCCAGGTGGCATTTTCCAGCTCCCAAGAGATACAGTTGATTCCCTAGGAGAAGGCTTGGTGGGCAACAACGAGGATCTCCTTCTTCCGTTCTTCGCCATAGAGTTCAAAGGAGACGGGCCGTCTCGGTTGGGAGTTTGCGGGTTGCTACAAACCAATGCATTGGCGCCTCTCTCTGGTGTGTCAACATCGCCGAACGGCTCAACAGCCGGTTGGGCCGGAACTCGATCATAACAAATGGAACCGAAGCCCGCATTTTTGTATCCTGAAAGGAGAACGAGCTGGATTTTTTGTTGAGAGAGGGAGACGTTTCTTGCCTGTCAAACCCAGCGCACCAACCTTCAATTCCGCAGATATGTCCGAAACATTCTCTATTAGGGCCGGCCCAGGCCGGACGATTGACGAACGTTCGGAATGCCTTAGATCGTCTGGCGGAGAACGGTCTTTTTTCGCTTTTTTTGAATCCTTTCTAGTGGCCCATAGGGCGGCAGAATCGTCGTTCGAAAGTCGACTTGGGGCCGGCTTGCCCCTATTTCTAGCGAGAGTGCCCCGATATCGTCTTCACAGAGCTGTATGCCAGAGAGGTCACTCCTCTCGCAGATCCCCTTCACGGGAAGGGCGACATGCTCAGGGAGTTCCTCCCATAGATCCCGTAGATAGATGTGGCTTGCCGCCAAGTTATACTCTCGGTATAAGGGTAGCTCGAATTTCCTTTCGAAGAACGTGGAACATCTGCCGACTTGGCTATATCGGCGCTCCCTGGCGGAACTGGCGGGACTGACGGGACTGATGGACGGGGAGAACGGGAAACTGGTCTTGACGGGATCAGAAATCCCTCTATATGTCGCTCTTGCCGTTGCTGTCTATCGCTCTTGCCGTTGCTGTCTATCGTTCCTGCCGTTGCTGTCTATCGTTCCTGCCGTTGCTGTCTATCGTTCCTGCCGTCGCTGTCTATTGCTCTTGCCATCGCTGTCTATCGCTCTTGCCGTCGCTGTCTCGAAGCAGTAATGCCACAGCAAACTACTTGCAGCTTACTGACTCGCCTCAATAGGTCATATTTCCGGATCTCTTCCAAGGTGATGATCACTTGCAGGTGAATACCATCAAGCAGGTGGTCCAAGGCGTGGCGAAGGCCAAAATCTGTCTCGAATTTAGGCAGATCCAACCATTCTTCGCGATATTTGAACACCAACTCCGGGCCCACAAGTTGTCCCATCTCCGGTCCAAGAACAAGGACCCAGTGCTTGGACGGACTGGCCACATATCTGGAGAGCCAGGTTAACTAGAACGCATCGAGGGATGGGAGCTGAAGAGGACCGCACGACAGTGGGGTTTGACCAGCTGAAGCGGCTCTGGTCTAAGTACACGGGCGAGCGCGAGGAAGAGGTGGCAAGGAGACTTGCCCGCCGCATCGGGAGGATTGAGTTAGCCACCTTGGCCGGAAGTGTGTTATCTTCGGCGGTGGAAAAGTTACTCCAGTACGCCAGGTCCTGGCCAGGGAATCAAGGACGCTGGCAACAACGGAGCCATGGAGGCTGGGGTAGGGGCAAAAGGGCCCTTCACCTATCACTAGCATATTCTCTGGGGACGTTGGGGCCGGGCAGATTGTCGACACATAGAACCAGTTCTAGCGAACCTTTTCCCTATATTGGGGTGTTTTGTGTGCCCAGCTGCATACCCAGTGCCCGTAACTTGCGCCCCTCAGGGAATTTATATTCATCTCCGGGGAAAGCCAAGACTATAGACAAGCGGCAATCGACCAAGCCATCACCTGGAGCCGATCTATCATGTACACGCCGTTTAAGTCTACTCCCTCTGTATCCCCTCTGCCAAGTCTACAAGCATCTGGAACGCCATCTGGATGTGTTCTTCCTGGGTAGTCCGTACCCCCGTCATGAGCCTGATCGCGAACCTCCCGTCCAGCTCCGTGCTCGTAACCCACATCTTCCCGCTCGAATTGACCGTCTCATACAGCTTCCTGGTCAAGGTATTCCGCACCTCAAGCTGCGAGTCTTCCCCACCAGCCTTCTCCGCCTCCCCACCCACCATCCTGAAAACCGTCAGCGCGAAGCTGGGGCCGGTCAGGATCTCAAACAGGTCAGGCCTTCCCCCAAGCAATCCCGCAAACGTCTCGCCGAGGCGCGTGGTCCGACGGATGTGAGACCGCAGGCCCTCGGCGCCGTACGACCTCATGACGAACCAGATCTTGAGGCTGCGGAACCGCCTGCCGAGCGGGATCTGCCACTCGCGGTAGTCGGTCACGAGGCCGCCCGAGGACGCCGCGTTGCTGTAGACGGCTTGGTTGACCGTCAGGGCCTGTACGAACCACTCCCGGTCGCGCACGAACAGGCACGAGGCGTCAAAGTTGGTCAGCAGCCACTTGTGCATGTTCATGTTGAACGAGTGGAAGCGGCTGACCAGACCGATCTTGGTCGCCTCCTGCACCTCGGGGCACACCAGCGCCGCCCCCGCGTATGCGGCGTCGACATGCACCCAGACCTCGCCGCCGGCCGTGTCGGACGGCAGGCTGGTGGACTCCTGGCGGAACGCGGCGAGCGTGTCAGCGATGTCGGCAAAGTCGTCCACGGCGCACGTGTCGGTCGTCCCGAGCGTGGCAGTCAGGAAGAACGGTTCGAGGCCCTTGGCCCGACAGCTGTCCAGCTTGGCGCGCAGGGTACGCCCCGTCAGCGCGTAGTTGTCCTCCGCCGTCACCGGGATGGTCTGGAACCGCACGCCGAGGATGATGGCCGCCTTCTTGGTCGAGCTGTGCGTCGTGCTGCTGCCGAGGGCGACCATCTTGCTACGTTTCATGGCCACTGCCTCCTCGCGCTCCTCCCCTTCCAGGTGGGCGGGTACCGTCTCCCGCAAGTACTTGTCGCGCGCGGCGACCATGGCGGTCACGACGGCCTCGGATGCCGAGCCCTGGATCACACCGCCACCCCGAGTCGGGCCCGTCGAGTGGAAGCACTCGGGCAGGGCAAGCAGCTTGGCCAGCCAGTCGAGAACAATGGTCTCGAGCTCGGTCACGGCAGGGCTGCAGATCCAATTGAAGCAGGCGCCGCTCAGGGCGGCGCTGTAGAGCTCGCCGAGGATACCCGGAAAGCTAGAGGCGCAGGGGAAGAAGGCGTGGAATGAAGGGTGTTGCCTATGCAGGGCGAAAGCCAGTCAGTCAGCTACAGCATTCGCAGCGTTGCCAGATTCTCCTTTCATGATATTCGTGGCTTTCTCCAACGAGTACCAGATAAACTGGCTGCCCTGATCAAACATGGCTTGACAGATGGTAGGATTGACCATACCAATGCGTGATCCCAGGCATGATCTTCTCCTCGATATCCTTCTGGATATCTTTCCACTGCTCGCCCTCTTGGGGAGCCTCGGTCGGGAGTATCTTTCTAAGATACCCCGGCTCGACCGTGGAGACTACCTCCCGTTCAGAGACATTGTCATAGTAGTTCACAACTGGTGGCAGCGGTTAGCAAACTTTAGCACAGGGTTTTATCACAGCCACGACAGCGAGGAACCGCAACTCACTCTCGTCAATTGAGGAGATGGCGGCTTCTCTAAAAGTTTTGGAATCCATATTAGACGGATTGAGGCGTACAGAGAAAGTCGGTGGTGTAGTTGAGAAGTAGTTGCAGCTTTCCAGGAATCCTCAGCTCCTCGTAGAACTGCTTTTATAACGATAGCTACCGCAATATATAACAGGCACGACCGAGTTGAAACTAGGGGTGTCCCTGCAGAAGCCGGATCTCTATAGTGAATACTGAATAAGTCCTGCCGCAGAAAACCGGGATCCACCGAGGTTCGGCACAAAATATCTACCCGTCCTCGACGCCAGTCATTGGTGAGTTGGGTGGATGGATGGGGATGCATTAGCTTTATTTCTGAGTGTCAAGTTTGCGCCCTGCCTGTGACCTGAATTGACAAGTTTGACGAGAAGTTGCCACCACACCACCAAGGCCTTGGGCCAATACCTAGAGTACCTAGGTAGGTGCCCCTGCAACAAGGTACCTACCTAGGTAGTTCTATTCCACAGACATAGAAGTGAAAAAGACGTACTCGCTCATGGAGATATTCCCATTACACTAAATTTATGTACTAATATTTATCATGGGTGTCTTGACCCCAGATATCTTATATACTGACTGCTATTCAATTTGTCTCTAATCATATTCCTGGAGCACACTTTGAGGCTTGTCCTCGCGGCGAGCGAACCTGCTCCAAACGCCGGTTTCCCCTTATCATTATGCAGCCTCAATGCGCCTTGGACAATGCAACAAACCCCCGTCTCTCAATTCATGTTTCGTCAATCAGTCGGCCTTGATAGCACTAATGACAAGTGGGTTAGTAAAGCCAGAGTGCCCGTGTTCGGGGGGTGACGCAAACCTACCCGTATATCTTCCGAACGAACAGATATGCGCTCAAGAAGCCAACGGTGCCGGTCAAGAGGCCATAGACGCAGCACGCCATGAAGCTGTAGCTGAAGAACAGCATGCTGCTCACGAAACCCGTGATGTGGAGCTTCGTGAAGTAGTACCACACACAGTACAAGAACACCCACAAGGCGCTTCCACCGCCGACGAGGAAAGACTGCCACCACCAATGGTAGTTCTCGGAGCACAGCTGTACATATATGGTGACGACGGTTACCTCGGCGATGGTGAGGATCAGGATAGTCGACACCACGGCCAGGAAGCCGAACACGTAGTAGTAACCACTCTTGTCCTGCCACATCGACTGGAAGACGAAGAGCAACTCAATGAAGATGACGGCGAACGGGATAAGGCCCGCCAAGAGTATTGCCTGGGCGCCCTTGATATACCAGGCCTGTTGTGGTATCTGGCGAGGGATGGCGCTGGTCTTGGTTGGGTGATCCCAAGCCCCTGCACGAACGTAGCCGTACCAGGACCCGACATAAACGAGAGGGCCCTGGACACAAAGCCATAGGAAGACGATGGCAATGAGCGTTCCAAAAGGAATAGCCGTGCTAGAAGCCTGGGCCCATACGAAGAGGTTGAGGACGAAGACCACGGCAAACAGCATCCCCGGAAAGAGGACAGCCGTGACCGCCATGTTCTTGCGCCAATCTTGGCCGCCAAAAGTCCGGTAGACCCGGGCCGAGAAGTATCCAGAGAAAAGACCCGCGAATACGAACAGCCCGACACCAAAACTAATGAACCCTCCCCTGAAGCTGGGATTCAGAATGCCAAGAGCGCTCAGGAAAACCAATCCGGCGGCCATGAACAGGAGCTGCATCCCCGAGCCCACCAACGGCGCAAGCAAGTACCCATAGGCCGGTGCGCGGAAGATGTCAGCATGGAGCAGTTTCCATCCCGTCACGTCCTCCAGAGCCTCCTCATCCGAAGAAACATCGCCGTCGTTGTCAGCGGCTCCCTCCTGATCGAGGAGACCGAGTCCCTTCTCGCTCAACTTCGGCGTCCGGGCGGCTTGCCTCGAGCGCGCCTTTCCATCTTCGGCTGAGCCTTCCCTGTAGCCCTTGATGTCGGTGCGTATTGTCTTGGTCAGGATCATGAGGACAATGCCGGTGAGAAGGCCGCAGATGATAAGGGAGTTGACGATGGCCAGCCAATGAATCCTGGAGCCCTCTTCCTGGTTCACAAAGTATAGATCCCACCGATGATTCCACTCAATCGAATTATCCTCTCGGAAGTAGACAGAGTATGAGTACGGTATCGTGAGCTTCGCGTCATCGTCGATATCCTCTGTCGCCTCGGGATAGTATGATGAGCGAGGGTACTCAATCCCAAGATCGGACGACGTCTGATTTGGTGGCAGATAGAGCTCAAAATGCTGGTCAACATCATGAAGATCCGCAGGGCAACCGTCGGAGTTCCTCTTGACATTAGCGCCAACGCTCTTAGGGTAAACCTCAAACCCAACCACGACCATTCCCCCTCTATCCCCTGCCCTCCCGGGAGCTCGGCGGTAGCGGATCACGATGGTGTGGTGGTTGTTCAGGAAATAACGTGACCTTCCGCCAGAGTGGTCGGTATAGCCCAGTTTGAATCCGGCGGCGTAGTACTTCCGCGTCTTGTCGACGGTCACGAAGCTGGTGGCTCCGGGGAGGTTGTCCACGATCCACTCGACCACATACCCATCCTTGACCATCTCCTTGGCGCGCTTCAAATCCCTCCTGCTAATCTCTCGATTACACAAGGACTGGCATTCGTTGTCTTGGTTCATGACCAAGTCAATATCAGATGCCTTTATCCTGTCGCCCCGTAGCACCTCGCCCAGGTTGAGGGATATGCTCTCTCCGCTAAAGAGTCCCGATCCGGGGCGCCGTTGGCCCGTCGGCGGGCAGACGAAGGGGAGGTCATAGTAGGCATATTGTAGCTCGGTGCTATCGGAGTAGACCTTGTTCACTAACAAGGGGATCTGTTCGTTCTTCTTGTAGCTTTTGACGGACCAACCTGGATTGCGTTAGAGCGAGCAACGGCAGCGAATGATCGAGAGCGCCGGCTTACCAGGTATATAGAATGCCTCAACCTGCAACAGGAGCAGGCCCAAGACAAGCCACCGGACGGCCGTCCTTATCAACTTATCCATTGTAGGTTCTATTGTCTCCCGATCCCTTTCCTCAGTCGAGTTGTTCGGGCTGTTTTCGCCAAACCATCAAGAGTCCGTAAGCGTGGTGTGGGCAGGGTCGTAGTGATAGCGCAAGGCGGAAAGAAGTCGGGTCGCGCTTCAAGGGTCCAGCAAGGGGCGCAGTCCAAAATAACGAGTGTAATCGGCACGGAGTACCTGGATCTGCCTGGAGTGCTAAGACAGATTGGCCGGGCGATCGTAGGGGCAGATCAAGGTGCTGGCGACAGAGATCGTTCCTGGGGGCGGAGGAAGATGCACACGTAGTCCATCTGTTGCGTGGGATGAATCGGGATAGGTGGGAAGACTGAATGCTTGGTAAATTGACAGCTACCTAAATTTAGCCAAAAGCTTCGGGCTAGTCGGTACCTTTAAAGTTACACGCGCCCGGATTGGCGCATGGAAATCAGGAGAATCTCCCAAGTCAAATGCCAGTACGGAGTCGAGCTCCTTCACCTGGCTGCCAGCTGACATCATTGTATCTCCGCCAATGGCGGTCCCCCTTTTTGAAATGAGGTTAGAAACAGCTTCAGTATAACTTCTTGCTTGGCAGTTCAATTGTCTCGAGTCGGGACTCTCGACTAACAGCGGTTGGTCCAGTCTCTTCACGCCCGGTGTCGTGTCGTGTCTGTTTGCATCCCTTTGCGTATGTTGATATCCAGGCCCGGACCGGGCAGGCTGGTTGTGACGACTAATAGTGAGCTTGGGGCAGATTCTGTAAGAGAGTTAAAGTCTAAAACAGGCATCTCGAGAGATTGACTATCTGTCGATGTCCATGAGTGTACTCGCGAGGGTTTCCGTCTCTCTCTCCCCTATTCTGACAGAGGCTGAATATGCCACTTTACAGTAAAGTCAAGATCAAGATGGTACGGCGATGCATCTCATGAGACACAAAAGCAGGTATTGGTATAATAACGTGTACAGTATTACTAGTAGAAGCCAATTATTTTCTATGCCCGACCCAACGCCGTTTCTATAGATTTCCCAGTCCCATCCAACAAGGTATATACGCATTCAGCGACCAGACAGCCACGCTTCAACAGACGGACATAGAGACAGACCAAAGAGATGAAAAAATTGACGTATCGGGGTATCCAGCTAAGAAGAAGTCGCAACCCATTCGCCATATCCCGGTAGCACGCTCGTCGTCGTGTATTCCTGCTCGGGGACATGGATCAACCGCGGCCGCAAGTGCTCATCCGCCTCGGCCTCCTGGACGGCCGTCTCGAAGCTCGGCAGCCCCATGCCGTGCTCCAGATCCGGCGCCACCGCCACCTGGAGGGGCAGCGACAGGCTGACCGTGTTGACGCTCGAGCCCGATGCCAGGGACAGGGAGAGCTGCAGCGTATAGAAGCGGGAGGTGATGCAGGAGTGGAAGGTCGGGATGAAGGTCTTCTTGTCCAGGGGTAGGTTGATGGGCAGCCGCAGCGTCGTGGTGTGGAAGATGGGGGAAGCGGCGCCCACGCCCGTCTTGGTCTTGGCCCCGCCATGAGACCTGCTTTCCCGGCGACTGGACTTGTTGGCTCCTTCGACGTCCAATTCTGAGCGAGACCCGGTCGAGTATCCCGAATCCCGACGGACAACCGACGGGAGATTCTGGGCCCATAGGGCATGCCCGACTGACACCTCGGGGAGAGAGGCAGATGCCGAGTAGGCGCCGCGCTGCTGAGTAACTGCATCCCGAGTCCAGTCACCGACGTTGGGGAAGTCGCTGATTCCGCTGCTGCTGTAGTAGGTATGCGCGACAACCTTGCCGGTGACGCCCGTCACCTTGGGAGGGACTATATCGGCAGATGCCGGGTCGAAAGTGAGCTTGATCTGCGCCGTAGTCCCCGACATGGCATGCCCGTCCGGTCCCAGAGTGACTGCGCCTGGTTGAACGGCCTCGGCGGTCAAGCGGCCCTGCTTGCCCGAGAGGAGGCCCTTCCTCAGCGTCTTGGACTTCGTCATGGTGTACAACCTGTCGTGCTTGGTGAGGCTCAGTGGAGGTTCCTCGGCGGATGACGGGAGCACTTGGATCTTCTGGGAAGCTTCCATGACCTTGACCTGCTTGCCGTGGAGGTCGGGCTGGCTGAAGACGCGGGCCTTGATGGCGTACTCGACGCTGGCCATATGCGGCGCCATGTCGTCCTTCTCCCATGACCCCATCGAGGGCGGGAGTAGGATGTGATGGTCGAGTAGTTGAGGGGACCGAACCTTGTGGTTGCAGGCGCTGACCGTGAGCTGGTTTGGTATCACGAATTCGAAGGGAACTGTGTAGGTCTGGCCAGGGTGGAGGACTCTTGGGACGGGGTATGACGACTCAGGAATCGGCATAACCATCTTCAGGAAGGTATGTGCGACTTCGCGGGCAGAGTTGACACCATCCACGCGAGTCCTGGTAGTGCCGACCAGGACGATCTGGATATAGTCGAATCGCACGTCCCGTCGAGTTCTGATAGTGACGTCTCCGGTGACGGGAGAGCCCGAGGTGTAGACCTTGGAGTTGAAGTGGTTGCTAACGTTGACCTGAATGCTAGATTTTTGGAATCCCATCCTCATGGTGCTGCTAGTTTGTCCGCTGGACTCGGTGGTGAACGAAGACATGATGGACGATGTGTTGGCAAGGCTGTGCCTTGCAAGGAAGATGTGATCAATGGACATCAAGATCTGGATGCTCAGAGAGACAGAGACTCGTACTGTTTGCGTGTTTGCTTGTTTGGTTTCATCCAAGACTCGGACACAATGAAGGGGCTCCTATATAGGTATACTATGCCCACCTCTGGGAAACTTTGACTCATTACCAAGCAGAGATTTTGTCCATGATTACGCTACGATACTTCCATCACCACGGGTCAGACATCCCACCCCCCCCCTCCCCGGACGGATGATTGGCGCATGTCAAATAAAGGGTGTGCTGGTGTGGGACTCCGTCAATGACTGTTGGTGGTTTCCACCTGCAGCGTATCATGTGCCTGCGCCATTCCGGGACCGGTATGGACAGGTTCGCGTACGCCCTTGGAACTACGCGGTACCTGATGGACGGCGCCCATGCAGTTTGCCTTGGGTCTAAGTCTGGGGAGCCTGCAAGGTCAGTCATCGAACCTACCAATCCCTAGCCAGCGCTATGGACGTAATGTACAACCCGAAGGGCGCGACAAGTGGATCGCCGCGCGGGATGAGATCCACCGGGGTGACTGTTCACCGATTACCCGGGCCTAGCTCCGATCACTATTTATTAACTCCTTAAACTCCTTACTACGGACCGAGCACGTCTCGCAGCAGGCTCTGCCTCTTGTATCCTTTGGTACAGCACTCGGTGAGATGAACCTGCATCTCTCATGATAGCACGCCGCATTGTGCGACACGAGCGTACAGATACTAGCAGGCAACTCGGTTATGTCATGTACCGAGACCTAACCCGCTTCCCAAGAATGAACACCATACTAAGCTGCTTGTTTGGTTGTCTGCATGGTAATTACGTTCGCCAAATTTTTTTTTCTTCTTCACTTAACCAATCGCTTGCCCTTACCTTTAGAGGCATAGGTAATCACTGGTGTTGAAGCCGTCCGTCGCCTAAGCTCCGAAGAACGGAGACCTCCCCAGATTCAACCTTAAGTAGTGTGGGACCAGTTGATTTGTTGGAAACTTCTGGCTTCCTCTGTACGGATAACAAGGGCCGCCAGCCTGGGCAACAGCGTGCTAGCTTTTATAAATATGGACCTTACTGGTTTGCGTACCTCGATAAGTTTCAAAGGCTGGGAAACAGCATAGGCATAGGCATTCACGACACAAACGTCGTTTGCAAGAGATGAGCAACTTGAGCTGAGGGAGGTAGGATCGAAGAAGGATCGAAGGATCGAAGGATCGAACTTATGCCGTACTACGCAGTCCTGAATCTTGATATATTGAGTAGCATTTGTAGCTCAGTGACACATCAAAAAGCTTGAACGAACCCCAGAAAGTCTCGGTTTCCCTCGGGGGTCCGGGACTCTGGGTGGGATTACACATTGACGACCCAGGACAGCCACCATTTTGCTCATAAATGTTTCCTGTCCGCTCAAAGGCCACCATAAATGGTAGCTAGAGAGGCAGAAAACCGTGGCCTTTGAGCGGCAAAATGAGGCTATAAACTGTCGCATTCTCGTGAGGAGCCGGAAACTGTCTTCACCTTAAATTACATGACCACATTTACTTTTGCTGACTCAGCGGCGTTTGTCTCCGTTTAAAACGGAGATTATGCTTCCAAAACGCTCGATCCATAAAACTGACAGTTTACACAACCGTATTATTTAACTATACCATGGTGTGGCCCTAATAATACCGTGCCCCCAACATTTGCTTGGGCCACCAGCATCGCAACCTTCAGCACAAGAATCTGGCTGTAGTCTCACATTATATTTCTGGGCAACGTTCAACTCTCCTCAACCCCTGTCAACCCGGAGCGTTCCCTTTGGTTAGTATCCGGAATTTACCCAGATGGGAGAGATCCATTTTTGTACGCATTGCTAAAGAGTAAGACACAGTCCAGGCGATTAAGTGGGCATTCTTCCTGTGCTAATCCGTACACTCTTCTTGGATTAGGTGTCGTGGCTGCTGCGGTTTACGCCTCGAGAGCTGCATGAAGGAGGAGCTGCTGCTTTGTCAACTGTACTGATATCGGAGCCGGGTGCAGTCAAGAGTAGTCGAGCAGCCAATTTTCACAAGCCAAGTCTTATCAGCCGCCTCCAAATTATCCAGCATCTCAGACAGATTCGGGCGACGCCGCCTCAGAGATTCTGTTAGATAGCACTGTATTCAATTGACTAACTTCTCGTTCTTTTTTTGGCAAAGAACGTGGAAAAATCCGCAAGCAGGGAAGATCCACTTAAGGCTCAGGACCTGGCTCTTCAGCAGCAGTCAGACAACATCGTGGAAAGCAAAGAGAGCAGCCAAGCAGGGCGCAACGTGACGGAGCATAATATGCAGGGTGTCTTCGGATCGTGACGATCCCTTTCTCAATTGAAGAATGGAGTTAGTTGTTCTCTCAGTGTAGTCCTGATACCATGTCGCATCAATCATGTGAGCTCCATCAACCGCAGAACCAGGCACGGCAAAGCCCAGAGCGCAGGAACCGATTCGTCCGCGATAGAATGAGTATTCACGCACAGGACGCATCGCAACTATCACGGGCAAAAGGGGCACGGAAGGACCGTACGGACGAGCAGTAGGCACTAAGGGGGTCGTCAAGGTAAATACCCACACTCTTCTTGGAGTCATGAAATGGCTTGGGTACCCAACACTCCTTGCGCACGATCCAAGCCAAGGCTCGGGTGCTTCCTCCATCTGGCGTAATCAGGCGCGCTGGATCATGGCCTCACGGTCGGGACCGGTGCCAATGTACTTGATCTGCGGGACGTTAGCAACCGCGGGCTTGGACAGTATGTGCGGCCACGTACCTTGACTCCCACAAACTTCTCAATGTACTGCTAGAGGTCAGCACCATTGTTCGCTATACGAGCCCAATTCGAGTGCTTACCTCCACGTAATCGCGAGCCTTCTTGGGCAAATCGTAGTAGGTCTTCGCGTTGGTAGTCGGCGTTTGCCACCCTGGCATCTCATGGTAAACCACCTCAGCTTGTTCTAAGATCTTAAGATCCGCAGGGTAAGAGTCCAATTCCTGTCCAGACGGTCAGCGTCACTATCATCTATTATGATCTCCTTGGCATCACTGACCTGTCCGTCGACCTTATAAGCGATCGCAATCTTGATCGTTTCAAAAGTGTCCAAAACGTCGAGCTATAAAGTGTTAGGGTATTTTCATATATGTAGGAAGCATACCAGGCCTACCTTTGTCAGATTAAGGCTGGTGTAGTAGTTGATTGAGTTGCTGTACTTGACAACAACAAGGTCTGTATGTACTTGTTAGTTGCGTTCCCAGTTCCGTCAATCCCTGAGGTTTTTGAAGTTGTGCGTACCGAGCCTGAGAGCAGTGAGTAAGTTGATCAGCAGCTAAACGCTAAAGTGATTAAAGCTCACCATCCACATCGGCGTCTGCGGCCGGTCGACGTCCCCTATGTCTTGTCAGCGGTGAAAGCTCGAATTCTCTGGGCCTGCATGTAGCCTCACCCATTCGCGTCCAATCTCCTGAAGTTTGGTGCCAATCCTGAGGTTTTCAATTAGTCTAGAGTGGCTTCGGGAAAGTAATAAAGACGCACTCTTCCGTGTCTTCGGTCTTGAAGGCACCCCAACCGACACGGGTGGTGTCTGTTGCCAGTCAGCAGTGAATGACAGCCTTAAAGCAATTAAGAACATACAAGCCTTAACCACTCCAACCGTCTCTGTAATGTTCTTCGGGTTCAGGGTGAGTCCACCAATGATGCCAGCAAGCGTGGTACTTGACGAAGTAACGAACTGTTATCGATTATAAGCACTGGTGCAAAATCGAAGAACGACGTTAACGCAGACTTACTGGGTACGAGCCATAATCAATATCTAGCATCAGTGCCTATTGAAGTAAGCACTGTTTGTTTAGCGTTTGGGACGAGAACATTACGTTTGCGCCTTCGACCACAATCTTCATGTCGCTCTGCTGTGCGGATGTCATGAAGGACACGCCGTCCACGACGTATTTCCTCATCATCTCCCTATACTCCTCAAAAGAAGCAAGCTCGGCTTTGATGTCGTACTTGAACAGTTCACCAAAGCGCTTTTGATAACCACCAGCTAAGCGCTTCACCTTCTCCTCGAAAAGTTCAGGATAGAAGATGTCAGTTAATTTGATGCCAGTTCGCTGGGAAAGTTAGCGCACCGTGCGACCCCTCGTCAAGCTAACTTCTTACCGCTCTGCTTGTTTGGTAGCATGGACCAATGCCTTTGGTGGACGTTAGACCCTGTTGCTTTAATAGAATCACTAGCCCTGCAGTTCATATATGGGAGTGCTTGTAAAGGGGCAAAGCAGCATCAAGGAACAACCCAGCGTGAAGTTCTGAGGGTACATTACCGCGCTTTGTTGTTCCAATAGCTGCGTCTGAGGTTTTCATTAGCTGCTGTTTCTTAAAGAGAGCATCGAAACCATAGGACGAACCTCCGAGCTCCTTCTCCTCAAGACCATCCACTGCCATGTGCATGTCCAAGAGGACGTTGACCCTGTCAGAAACAAGGATTCGGTCGTGTACCGCGGTCAGGCCCTCTGAGCTATGTTAGACATACTGATGCTCAAAAGACTGGGATACCCTGCAACATACTCTCTTCAAGCTCCTTGAGCTCGCTGAAGAAGGTCGGGCTAGAGGGACAGAGTCAGTCTTATTGACCTGTTCAGTTGAGGGGTGCGAGCCAGGCGAGACATCAATAAGATGCCTGTCTGGCGATCGATCGGGTCATAGTCGGAGGATTTTGTGATGACGCACATGTGAAAGACCACACCGGAGCCGATGAAGTTCATGCACCGCGGATTCATGAGGCCGGAGGGCAAGAGGTGAAAGCTACTGCAAGTCAGTAGCCAACCACAGCTTAGACACCGGCCCGTTCTCTACCTGTAGGAGACTCCATCCACCCTGACTCATTAGCAAAGAAACAAATATATCAATTGATCGATTGAAAGCGTTTGACGAACTTGATCATGTGACCTGAAACCGTCCTACCAGTCAGCGCTGGCCCCAATTGAGGCCGCTCTAGAGATTTGCCTCGCGGCAGATAGGCTGACCTGCATTAGATCCACCCTTGAGGGTAGTTAGCAGGTATTCCACCGGGAGATAGTCGATTGCGAAGGGATCGTGGAAGCTGTTGGCGGCATTGGTGCCTTCGTTGAACTTACGGCAGCTCGGCAACAGAGTTGTGCCTCCCGGGACAGGATATCAACCAGCTTTCCCTTCTGAACACACAGTATCATTAATGTCTGGATGTCGGGCCGTATTGGGTTCGGATCGAGGACTCACGCCTTCGTCGCCTATGAGGTTATCGTTAGCATCGTGAGAGCCAACCGATATCGGCCGGGCGCGATATCGACCGGGCGCAATATCGACCGGGCGCGATATCGGCCGGGCGCAGAGGAAGGACGCATTCCAGGCAAGGGAGGCAAGGCAAACTTACCCCATTGGGCCCCGAGAATGACATCGATAGTCATTTTGTGCGAGATTGAGATTGGTTGTCGTGGGTGCCGTTGTTGTGGTTGAAGAGAATACTTAGTACAAGACGATGTGCAACAAGATTTTCGTGGACGCGGTTGGTGAGTCGGCAAAATGCCGGGTCATCAATTACACTGTGCAACAAGCCAGATTTTGCTTGGCATGCCTTTTGGTCAACACCAACCATCAATTTGTGGTTTACCGCAGCCGACATCGGCAACGCAATGCTTGACCGATTAACTACCTACTGCGAAGCCAACCAGGCCTGGATTGACTTTGTCATCAGGCCTAATTACTAATGAAGCTGGTAGGTCACTTGTCTGGTTTTCGACTCTTCGTGGGTGGTAAGCTCGGAGGTGTTGATCCAGAAAGTGCATTTCACCATACTATCAACTGGTTTTAGGAGGGAAAGTATGACGTGAACTCAGAAGACGCAACTGGGCTCTGAAATGGTGAATTTACCCGCTTCTATTACACCCTTCCATGTCGTTTTGTAAACCCCAGATCTTCTACCGAGAATCAGTGCACTCTCTATCATATGCAATGCAAGCCACGACACATGCCGCGTAAGACCATTAGCCTCTCCCAACCCCCCTTATGATGTAGGTCCCCAGCCAACGTGGCCAGTCCAGAACCGGCTCAGTCATGCCACGAGATCAGGAGCATGATGCCGGCTCCGACGGCGATGGCGGCGAACTGCACCAGCGTCTGCCGTAGCTCCTGGGCCTTGTTCGGCCCCGTCTGGAGCAGCTCCGGGATGACCGAGACCGTGCCGACGTAGAGGAAGGTGCCCGCCGTGAAGGGGAGCAGCATGTCGCCCCAGCTGAGGCTGGTGCCCCAGAGTCCCCCGCCCATCGGCACGCCCGTCCCGCCGCCCGCCCCGCCCAGCTCCTGGACCGCGATCCCGATGAGCGTGCCGAGGAGGGCGCCCAGAGCCGTGACGAACTGCGCGCCCATCGCCGCCCGCTTGGAGAAGCCGGACTGGATCAGCAGTGCGAAGTCGCCGACCTCGTGCGGGATCTCGTGGAAGAAGACCGCCACCGTCGTCGTCGCCCCGATGGTCGGCGATGCGTAGAACGATGCCGACATGGCAAGCCCGTCAGTGATGTTGTGCGTGAAATCGGCACTGTAGATTGCGCCGCGCGGTGGCCATGATTAGACCTGGAGATATCACACACACGCTGGACGTGTACTAGACCTGCCCTGAAGGAAGGGCAATCTCCAACTTACATGAGGTTCAAGTAGCCTCCCAGCTTCACACTGGGGCTGATCTCCTTCACCGTGTTCTCCTGGCGGCCCTCTGCCTTGCCGTTGGCATTCTTGGCGCCGCTCTTGCCACGGCTCTTGACCCCCTTCGAGTCTGGAGCCTCAATGGCAGTAGACGAGGCGCCGGCATCAGATTTCGGGTGCTCGTGTGCGTGACCGTGCGAGTGGTCGTGGCCCGCGCCCCCCGTCGCGATGCGCAGGCCCTTATCCATGGCGACAAAGGTCATGAAACCGACCAGGATGGCGACGCCGAGTAGCAGGTTGCGGTTCGGCTCGACAAGCATGAACCGGGCGTTCTCCGAGCCGTGGTCCCCGAGGAAGATCTCGGGCAGCAGGTGGAACAGGGTGTCGCCCATCAGGCCGCCCACCGCGAACGCCACCATGACCGAGAGGGAGGCCGGGTCTATGTTTGGCGGGCAGAGCGCGAGCAGGAAGTTGGGCGGGCCCGAGATGTAGAGGGTCGCGAGGAGGGCGTTGACCGCAGGGCTGCCGGGGAAGAGGACCGCGAAGATGCGCGAGAGCGAGGACGAGGTCGCGTGCCCGTGGGCGGCGGCCCTGTGGGCATTGAGCTCCCGAACCACTGCGCATTGCTAGGATACAGAGTCAGATAGCTGGCCCAGGAGCTACAGCTCGGGATTTGCGCGTACCTGGAGCTGCTCGTCGAGCTCTTCCAAGCTCATGAGGTTTGCGGGTGTCCGTTTTTCGGAGACATGCTCTGCCAAGCAACAGGTCACAGCAATGGCACAGAGCGCCAGCAACAGGCGGTTGACTCGAGAAGAAGGCATTACGGGCAGTAATGTCAAATGGACCAAGTCAATCGGAATTGCTCAGCGCCTGTTTCAGCGGCAATTTGGTGGGAGTTGGCGAATTCAGGGAGCACACGACAGCTGTCGTGGGGCTGATCCTAGGAAGTTGACTTTGACATTATCGGAGCAGGAAGCAGCGAAAAGCGCAGGGCTGCGGCGCTGATCCGTGCCTTGCCGAGCCAATAATAGAGAGAGAGACAACTGGTCCATGGCCATGATTCACAACATTATTTAAACCATCGGAAATATTAGGTCTTTGGATTCTGTTGGCTATGACGAACCTGTTTGTTGTTATGCAGTTTTGTGAGTTTACGTCGAAGTCTCACCCGGTTCTCTACCTAAACAGCTAAATAGCCGGTTGAGTTCCAGTTAATGCACCAACTGGGCACCATTAGCACACTGCGTTAATGTTTCGGCTTGTCCCGAAAAGCATTTCGCACACTCCTCCTATTCTGCACCAGTTGGAAGACGAATGGCCCCTGAATGGCTGAGCCGACTGCCGAAGAATAGTACAGCCCTCATTATTACTTAGCAGTGCCTGTTCTGACCGTGTGCTCTAGGTTGCTTACAAGTGCGATACCTAACGGTTTCCAGCAGCTACTCCGGAATATGGCACAGCTTTCCAATGATGTCCACTCGCTTATGTTTGGTCTCCCCCGTGGAACAGTCTACAGTGATGCCCTAACAAGGTGAATATTACTTTGCGCCTTGGTCTTGGCTGAGCATATCATCCTCCAGCACTGCCGGCGTAATTCCCGTGATGTACTTCCAAGGCGAAAGTAGGCTTAACTTCCATAGTCACACAGGTGGACCAGAAAGCCAAGGAATCAAGGATCAGAACCAGGCAATACCTACATGCCATGTGAGGACGGCACCAAGGTCGAAAACGAAAAGCAGACCGAACAGTCAACTCCCCACTCTAGAAGCGCAAGCCTTGCCCCATAACGCCGCAAGCCGAGAAGGTTGTCCATCTGAAATACCTACCTGATTGGGCTTGCGGGTTCGTCCGCAGGTAAAGTCTATCTGGCGTGTCCCTGCAGTGCCGCCCTTGCAGGAGGTCTAGAAGAAGCAAAGTATCCACTGCCTCGTCGATTGGGATGGAAGGGTTATATGCATTGCATTGCAACTTTGAGGCTCAGATTCCACCAGGCTAAACGTAACCAAGTGCTGATATCTTAAACCTCTTCCTGCCCCTATGCCAGCGGAAGCTGAAATGAAGAATGCCATCTCTTGAGTAGCTTCAAGACGACATCTCATCGAGGGCGAGGGAATTTAATTCGGCCTCTAGACTGTTACAACAATAGAACGGGGGCTGCGCGTGGCCAACCAGAGCTGAGCATCCGAGTCAGTGTCTTGATCCCTTTAGGTTCCAGCGCGGTTCTTGACTCAGTACTGCGGCTCTGTAGGTACTCTGTACCCACGTTGAATTGGAATGAGTACAGCCGCCTGCTGGCATTCCTGGGTTTTGGGCCGTACCAGGAACTTCCGGCCGATCCGTTCAGGACTGATCAAACAGTTATGATTGGTTGGTAAAGCTTGCCAAGCATCTCCATCCCGGGTTTGGGTGAGTACATCACCAAAGGACTTTTGAAGTCGAGGTCCCCTGCCTCAGTGTAAGCGTACCTACGTATGTAGGTACGGATCCGTAAAGTAAGGACGAATAAGTAGGTCCTCAGCTATTCAACCAGATATTAGATATTACGTATATGCCCAGATTCCATTGTTTTATACCGGCACTAGCAGGTTTTTGTTCAATTCTATTCCCGTACCACCCTTCCATGGTGGAGCATCAAATGCCCTGTTTTTTTTTATCTTTGTCGTTCCAATCTGGGCCGTCTGCGTGGCAATAACTCGTATTTCCACACCACCAGATACCGATTGCGTATGTTTCTCCCAACCAGATCTTTAGCGTATAGCATGTCCTGTCTCAATCGCCACTAGCGCAGGTACTCCCTCCCACTTGTGCCCTGAATGCCAGCCAAATCCTTTCTTCGTGCTTGACTCTGTTTGGCTGGCTGTTGTTGTTGCTGCATGTGGGACGGCTGTGAGAGAGGTCAGTGACATGGTAACCCCACCTTGTTCTCGTATGACGCTGTAGGTCCCGTCGTTCACAGCATTGGAGTGTACATACTAAGTATGGAGGGTACCTACTTATATTTCATACTTCTTACCCAACTATCATAGTACGGTTCTGCCACTCTTCCACTCTTGAGACCTGTAGTTGCTCTCCAGTCTTTCACTGTTGTTATCTTGGACAACAAACCTTCGTTTAGACTGCCATCCTACTACTATCTGACCACCTTGCTTGGATCTCCCACTTGCTCGACCACGACCTGCCCATCATGCGTGGAACTACAGGTCTTTTGGCTCTTGCCGCCACTATCTCTTCGGCCACGGCCGCCTTCCAGGGCTTCAACTATGGTGCGACATTCACCACAGGCGCCGTCAAGGTCCAGTCTGACTTCGAGAACGAGTTCAACGCTGCCCAGGGCCTAGCTGGCACCAATGGTGCTTTCAACAGCGGCCGTCTCTACACCATGGTGGTAAGTTTCTGCTCGACTAGCTCTGGAAATAGTTCTGGACGCCTTTGCCTGAGATTCATGACTAACGATCGCCACGCTAACAGCAAGGGGGCACCTCCAACTCCCCAATCTCGGCCATCCCGGCTGCCATCAAAACCAAGACGAGCCTACTCCTTGGTCTTTGGGCTTCTGCAGGTGACGCCGTCTTTGATAACGAACTGCAGGCTCTCAAGTCTGCTATCGACCAGTATGGAAGTGACTTCACCAGCCTCGTGGCCGGCATTTCCGTTGGCAGTGAGGATCTCTACCGCGTCTCCCCCACCGGCATCCTGAACATGGAGAACCCCGGTGCTGAGCCCTCGACCCTCGCCGGATACATCAAGCAAGTCCGTGACGCCATCAGCGGCACTGGCCTCAAGGGCGCCCCGATTGGCCACGTCGACACGTGGACTGCCTGGGTCAACGGCTCTAACCAGGCCGTCATTGATGCGTGCGACTGGATCGGCTTCGATGCTTACCCCTACTTCCAGGACACCCAGGCCAACTCCATCGAGAACAGCAAGGCGCTCTTCGATGATGCTCTCAGCGCCACTAAGCAGGCTGTCGGAGGGAAGCCCATCTGGATTGCCGAGACCGGCTTCCCCGTGAGCGGCAAGACCGTGGGTGACGCTGTCCCGTCTCTGGAGAATGCCAAGACCTACTGGGACGAGGTCGGCTGCCCAATGTTTGGGGAGACCAACGTCTGGTGGTACACCCTGCAGGACGCCGCCCCGGACACACCGAACCCGAGCTTCGGCGTCATTGGCAACCAGCTGACCACGACCCCTCTCTATGACCTCTCCTGCAAGGACGTCGACAACTCGTAGGTTCCTCACTTCACCGCCTATCTTGGGAAAACTCTTGCTAACCCCAGGCAGCTCCTCCTCGTCCACCGCCTCTCCGTCTTCCACGGGTTCCTCCGGTGGTTCCGGCACCAAGTCGAGCGCCAATGTCGTACCGACCTCCTCTGCCCTTAATGGCGGCAGCCCCGGTGCCGGCAACGGCATCCCGAGCTCTCAGCTGTCCCTCGAGACCTCGACTCTGACCGGCAGTGCCTCCCAGCCAGCCGGAACCGGCTCCGGCTCTACCGCTGGTTCCGGTACCGGTGGCGGCGCGGGTAGCACCGGAGGCGGCTCCGGCGCCAACGGCACGGGGTCCGCGACCGGCACCGGCGCCCCCGTCCCGACCGCGAGCCCCAGCACCATCCCTAACGGTGCCTCGGTCCTCTCCGGCTCCATCGGCGCCGCCTTCGCCGTCATGATGGCTGCTGTTCTTACTCTGTAAATCTCCCCCCCCATTTCACCCATTATAAAGTATGGGACTGGCGTTACCCTGGGAAAGGAGAAGGCGCCAGGGGGCAACCATGGTTTCTGCACAAAGCGGGATTTTCGCATTCGGACCATAGTCGAGCGAGACGGCTCGCAATTTTTGCATCCTAAGCATTGTAATAGGCCACATTCACCATAGACAACTTGGTATATATTTTGGGGGCCCTCTCCCACCGGCGCTTCGGTTGGGACTGGGCTAGATAGGGGATACATAGGTTATGGCTTCAAGGGCAGACTTTGCATTTTCCTGGAATTAGCTGCCGGCACACACTCCTTGCATTGAAAAGAAATAATCGAGACGAAGGACTTCCTTCTTCCTCTATAGGACCAAGCGCACGGCAATAATGTTTCGCCCTGAAATCATGCGAGAGACTTATCCTACGTCCCGTTTCCAGGCAGATTCCTAGTTTCCCATAAACCCCCGAAGCCCGAGTGCTGGTTCTCACAATGGGTAGATAGATGCTATCTTCGCCCAGATCAATGATCCACTGCATCACCCATACTCTGCAACAGTTTTCGTAAAAGCAAATGCGCCATTTTGATTCCACTTATTTCGAGCGGTATTCGCCGGATGCATCTATACAGTACAGGGAAGATCGAGTTTCGTTGCCTCCCCACAAACCCACGGTATTGCTCCTGCGTTCACAGGAGTCTAAACCCTTTTTCTAAGCACACCCAAAGTCATCAACCTGATAGGGTAAAGACGCCTAGTCCTCCTCGGACGGCGCATCCTCTGCGACCTGGGGGTCGACGTAGGTCTCCTCCGCCTTGATCTCCGGGTGGGGCTCCACAGCACCAGCCTCTTCGGTGGCCGACTCCTCCCCCTCCTCCGCCTTGACCTCGTCCGCCTCGGCCTCCCCCGCCTTCGCGTCCTGCTCGCTCTTCTTCTTGAGGCTGATGTTGACCAGCGGGGTGGTGTCGTTGAAGATGCGCAGCAGCATGGCGCTGCGGTCCTCCTTGGGCAGCATGAGGTTGAGCGACTGGAAGCTCTTCCACAGCGGGAGGGCCATGCGCTCGTTGAAGTCCGGGTCGGTCCCGTCGGGCTCGACCCGGAGGACGCAGCAGCCCATGCCGACATCGCGGACCCTCTCGCCCACCTCGCCGAGGTTGCTCCACAGGCCGTCCGAGATCTTGGGGAACATCTCGACGAGGAGCTTGCGGAACGTCTCCTTCTCCCGGAGCACGACGACGCGCTCCGGCCCCACGTAGCCGTGCAGGATCGGCATGCCCTCCGACTGGATCCGCCACCGGCACACCTCGGCCGACGGCGAGTCCTGCTTGACGAACATCTTGACGCCAGCGTGGATGAACTTGACCCCGCGACCCTCGTTGAGGATGAGTACATCGCGGATCAGGGCGCTCGTGTAGTAGATGGATTTTGCTGGCGTTCCCAACATGTTCCGCACCAGGTAGCGATCCGTGGGGAACCTGGGTGAGATGTTGTAGAACTTTGTGACATCCTTGATCACATCATTATCAGAGGAGATATATTTGAAGGGCTCTTCATATGGGCCCTCCTGTTTTCGTTTCCTCTCGATCTGAGGCGCACCGGAATTTGGAGTCTGCGCATTTAAGGGGGTCGCTGCCGCCGAATCACTGACGCCGGTCATGGCCGCATCAACTTCAGAGGCGGGTTCAGTGACGGATTCGGAGATGGGTTCAGGGACAAGCTCCGGTTCAGTCTTCTGGTCATCCTTCTTTTCCTGGACCTCTGCCGCGCCAGCCGTCGGTGTTTCGCTGCTGCCGTCGACTTCGGAAACCTTCTGTCGTTTGGTGTCCTCGCTCGCCACAGCATCGTCTTCCCGCGGACGCTTGGCACCATTCGCAGTGTTGGGGACCTTCCTCGCATCCTCCGGCTTGGCTTTGAATTCGGCCTTCTTTTCCAAGACAGTGATGAAAAAGCCACCCGTGTCCTGCAGATGACCGTACACCCTCATGCAGCGATCAAGGGGAAGATCCGCGCAATCGCTACCCTCGGGCCTTGGGAACATCGTGTCCACAAGACGGCTAGGGGCCACTCCGTCCTCGGTGGTCTTCGCGAATTTTTCAACCTCCGCCCAGGTATTCCACATGCGGCCGGTTTTATCAACGACCTGCCACTTCTTGAGCCCGTCTCTCCTCTTCAAGAGAGGGAGCTGGTCGGCGCAATCGAGGATCTCGATGTATTCCGGCCCACGACATCTCTCGATGGCAGCAGCGACTACAGCTTCATTCTCAATGGGATTCATGCTGCAGGTGGAGTAAACCACTCGGCCTCCAACCTTTAGCATCTGCATGGCGCGAACCAAGATCCGGACCTGTGTAACATGGAGCCCAAGAGCATTGCCAGGGTTCCAATCTTTCCACAGGTTCACGTTCTTCCGCAGGGTTCCGTCTCCAGAACAGGGGACATCCGCAAGGATCCGGTCGAACTTGAGGTAGTTATTCTTGGACGGGTCCTCGAGGTTTGGTATCTTGATCGAAGGGAACATGGTGGCATCATGATTGGTGACGACCATGTTCGGGGAAGAAAGCCTCTTCAGCTGGTGGATAAGCATGTGGCTCCGCTTGTAGTCCGAATCATTCGCGATTAACAGGCCTGTGGCCCTGCCGTCGTCGCTCGGATCCGCCTCTAGCCTGGCGGCCTCGTCTTCTGCCTCCTCGGTCTTCACTCCATAGCCATTCTCAGAAAACGAGCTGATGACCTTGTGCATACGGGCCTCTTCGCCCCGATGGACCATCTCGAGGAGCTGAGCAGCCTTGCTTCCAGGGGCCGCACACAAATCCAAAACTACCATGCCAGGTCGAACATCGATCAACAGGGGTGGGATCATACTGACAACCTCCTGGCGACTGATGTTGCCCACGCTGGTTTCGGACACGAGGAACTTCTGGAAGGCGGCAAACGGGGGAAACTTCCGAATGACGTTTTTCGGGGTGGTCATCCACCATGCGAGGTTGTCGGGATACCATGGCACTGGCTTGGGCGGATCGACAGCCTGGCCATCCACGTTGGTGATTTTGGTGATCTCGGGGATATATCTAGACTGCAGAAGTCGCTTGACGGCGAGGGCGTGTCTATCGCGTGTTAGAAGCAAATCCAACGTTGACAATGGAGAGGGCCCATTACCCTTTAGAGCCGCAGAATCTGAAGCTGTTGGGAAGCTCCCGCTTGAGCGCATCCCAGAACTCTTTCTTCTCCTCATCAGGCAGGTTGAGCAAGGCATTGTAGTACCCCTCGAGCCTCTCGTTCGCCTTGGGAACATCGGGGTAGCTTTGGTAGGGGCGCGATCCTCCACCGCCGCGACGGGTATCTCGTCGGAAGCCTCCACGACCGCCACGGTTCTGCGCATGCAATGTCAACGCAATCCAGCGGAATTAGAGAGATCATAGAATGTGACAAACCTTGAACTTATTTCGTGCCATACTATCAATTGAGGCCCTCCGACTGCAAAAATGATTCAAAAAAAGGTCCTCCACATACACCTCAAATTTGGCAGCGCAGGTTGAAGGCCAGTAATTTTTTTTTGGACTGGCGCTTCGCAGGGAGAGTTTTATCGCAGCTTCTTCCCCTCCCCCACTTTTGAGTCAAGTTAGAGTTTAGAGGGACGGCCGCCGAGGATCACCCGAAGGGTGAAATGCAACCTGGAAGCTACTATGTACACTGCGAAAAACTAAGGCTCGGGATTGATGCATGAGTGATGTTACATAACGGCCTCGGAGACTATTTACGATATACAACACGGAAAGCTCACCCATCAAGCAAACCAACTGTCCAATGGACTATCCTATCCACACCATGCCCATTAATGGCACTGACAGGGATAGCCACGCAATTCTCCGTCCACCCATCCTCGATCCCACTCGGATGAGGCGTGTCCCCTCTGGTGATGCTGCCGAGGTATTCCCTTAGCTCCTCGTAGTTCTGCTGCGTGTCCGGCAAATCGCCCTTCGTGGCCACCACAAACCACGGCTTTGCTGCTATATGCAGGCCGGTTGGGTTGGGGGGAGGTAGCGGGCAATCCGCCATCGTCATCGACCCCATGCCCTGGGAGCCCGTGCCGTCTGTGCCAGCTCCGATGTCCCAGTCGATCCGGGAGTCCCTCTCCCGGTCATTTTCCTCCTCTTCTCGCATCCTGGCATAGAGCCCGACTTCGTTCCAAAGTGCATTCAGTGCCTTGACCGCATTCCCGGCGCTCAAATCGATGACGAAGGCGAGGACGCCGGCCCGCTCCACGTGGCGAAGGAAGGCAATTCCAAGCCCCCGGTCTAGATGGGCGCCTTCAATGAGACCAGGAATATCGGCGATTGTGAACCTAGTTCTCCGTTCCAACTCCGTCTCTGCTTCCGCGGCGGTAGCAAAGGGATCAGGGGACTCCGAAACAGATTTCCGACGATAGCTGGTGACGACCGGGCGTCCCTTGTTATTGTCGAGAACGACGGTGCCGATGTTAGGTAGTAGTGTTGTGAATGCCCAGTGACCGACCCGCGCCCGACTGTTGCTTAGAGCCCGGATCAGCGTGCTTTTGCCGGCGTTTGGCAAGCCCACTAAGCCAACATCGGCTAAGAGTTTGAGTTCAAGCTCAATCTCCATTGAGATGGCCGGTTCGCCCCTGGTCGCAAAGAGCGGCCTGGGGTAATCCCTAGAAACGAAATGTGGATTTCCCAGCCCGCCAATGCCTCCAGCAGCCAGGAGGATCGGCCGGATAGTCGGTCGGGAAAGATCCAGATGGATCGGCGAGGGAGGTTGCGCATACAGGCGGTCACGACGGGGCAGCCGTGGCACCACAATCCTCGCAGCCTCGGAAGATGACACGCCTGGATAAAGCAGCCACTTGTGCCGGTCGGGGTCTTCCGCCGGTTCGCCTTCAGCGGTCGCTTCGGGTGCGGGTTTGGGAGGGGCTGGCGACCGAGTTCTGCGCCGCCGCCTATCCGCCAAGAACGCTTGCGCTGCTTCGGGGTCCTGCCGGCTCAACTCCTTCACGACGGTGCCAACAGGTACAGTGATGATCACATCCTCCCCCCTTTGGCCGCCTTGGGAGCTCCCCTGCCCGTGTTTCCCCCTCTCGGCACGGATGAAGCGCCTTCGGGCTAGCTTATGGAGCGAGGTTTCGCCATGTACCGCCTGGATGTAGACGTTCCCCCCGTGACCGCCGTCTCCGCCGTTCGCAGGTCCCTCATCCACGTAGGCCTCGCGCAAGAAGGAAATGCAACCGTCACCACCGCCTCCTGCATATATGGTCACTTTCGCCTTGTCGGCGAAATTGGGAGTGAAGAAATCATCTGGCGCCGGGTTGAGTCGGGATCGGGGCTCGGCGGATTCGCTTTCGGTGCTGCTAGATCGACTCCAAAATGCTAGCAAGGGAAGTCGCCGAACATTGGTACTCTGCCTGACAAAGAGAGACGGGTAGAGAAACGGCAAGAACTGAATCGGATTAGGTGAATATCGAGGAGGCATGTTTAAGTTATTGAGACCTTCATATGTACAATACCATGGAAGGTAGGTAAAGCTACCTAGGTGGTCAGGTTAGGTTCCTTCTTCAAAAACCGACAAGTTTAAATTGGGGCTGCGCTCGTAGCTGATAAGATAAGGCGACCTACATACCCCTGGACCCTGGTCACATGCCTGCCACTGTTGGGGAATTCAGTTATCGACTCCATCAATGATCAAGGGATATCAGTATAGCTGCCATTCAAAGAAACTCAATTTGCTTTCCGCGCGTCGGCTGAGTATTTGTGATTCTATGGCTGAGGCATTGTAATGTCGCTGCTGCTGCAAGGCTCTTGTCACCTGCTTATTGGTTTGAAGCTGATATACATCTGCAAACAAAGTATGTTAGAAGGAAGTCAGATGAGGAGGCTATACATAATAATGAGAATGATGGCGAAAGATCTTGCTTTGTACGAATAACCCAGTTGTGTGGGAGTTGCATGATGCCAGTTGGCATCGCATCTGTAAGTGGAGACCGATGGACGGCTGTGAGCGAACAACAGCCACCCTTTTCTAAGAACCACCAATGCATGAGGTTTTGAGATTGATTAAGAGGTCTACATCGTAACTCTTCCGTCCCTTCTAGCTAAATCGCATCGCTGTGGCAACGCATATCTGCTCAAAGAACATCTCAGACATTGATCCACACCATGTTTGTACTCTGTAGACATGAGTCAAGCGTTGGTGGTTATAAGAGATATAAGAGCTATAAGAGACTCAACCTAACTCCTGCTGGAAGCCATCGTCTGTGTAACCGACTAGGTACAGGTACCCGTAGGCGGGACCGCTGCAGCTCAACGGCACAATTTTTGCCCGATACTTTCCCCCCTGGGGTTGCCGGCCGGGGTTGCTTGGGCAGTTAGGTCGTGCCGCTCACTCAAATCCTCCCCTCCACAAATTCTTTTGCTGCCCCGCGGGAACGTTTTCTTAGTTGGAGCTCGCCTCATCTCGTCGGAGCGGCATTCTGGCTCGAGATCTGAGTGGTGCAAGGCCCGGCGAAGGCAATTGAGGATAATTGGGCTCAGGCAAGACCAAATCATCGGCGAGCCGTCCATTGGGCCGCTGCAAGCTGCAAACCAACTCGAGGGGTGGCCCGCATTCGAGCCACGACACAAATTCCAGTCTAAACGTGGTTAAGCCGGGCTCGAATTGTGGGAGCAGCCAACCCTCACGAGGGCGAGTCCCATCCCCATTAGAATCTCGTCCTGCTGCACCTCTCCGCCAAAGAGATCCTGCTCCTGCCCACTGCTCGACCCTTACTCGACGGGCCCGACTGCTCGACTGCTCGACCGTCTGCTCTTGCGACATTCCCCTCTCCCACTCTCTTCTCGATACATGCCCTCCGCCCTTGCTCGTTCGCTGCCAGGCCTCGAGGCGTTCACGACTGCTGCATGAGACCAGCAACCTCGCATTACTGCCATTCCTCCATTCTCCCCCCTCTTACCTGCCAGCGCTGCGGTGCTCCAAGGAACACTTGATAAACCAGGTCAGTCAGTTTTTACCTCGTCCCTCCTCTTCTTACTCTCGTCTCCTCTTCCTCCTCAATCGATATTTCTTCCCACCCCTCCCCCACCACCTTCACCAAACACCACAACCCCCCCTTGGTTATTCTCATCCTCCCTCTGGGCAGGACCCTGGATGGGGTTTGGGGAAGAAATGGTCCATACCGATGCTGTGCACCTATCTGTATTATTATCTTCTATTTTGTCGTTTGACTGGCATTACATACCATACCGTTATTTCCCGCCGTCCTCACCTCCCGCACTAAACCATGTATACCAGCGACTACCCCTACAAGTCTCGAAAGTCGGTCATCAGGATGGACCCGGACTGTGCTATATGCCGTGCTCCGGCCACTCGAGCCTGTGATTGCGAGGCCAAGGGGCTGGAGACCGCCGTCCGCCAAGCAGAGGCTAGGATGATGCAGTCAATATACAACGACATACGGTGAGTGTCGTCCCAAGTCCTCTCCCGGAAGATGCCCTCGGCTAACCTCCCTTCCAGTACCTGGGTGCGGGCACACGCTCAAGATTACATACTCGAGTATTTCCGTTTGCTCACGGAGAGACGAAAGACAGCACATACTGCCCACCTAGAACGCATATCCGCCCACGCCTACCATTACTACCACGCACCCCCGCACCCCAACGAGATCGCCGCCGCTCAAGCACAGCTGAAGCGCGGCATCGACGAGGACTGGCAAGCCTCGGTACAGCGGTATCCTGAGGTGCTTGAGTACTTTTACAGCCTGGTCGAGCTGACCCTCCCCGACGACGACGAGCCCGCCGTCAAGGACCCGCCCCTGAGCGCCCTCAGCGGCTCGCGGAAGGCCGGGCGTCGGGGCAGCGGCGGCGCCGCCCCGACAATAGCAAGCGGACCGAGTCTCCACGACAGAGACACGCTGCCGCGCGGCAGGACCCCGCCCCCGCTGGAACACCTACGGGAGAGGAGGACGCCGGGCCCGCGGGACCGGAGGAGCCACGGACACGGATACAGACCGCCGCCGACGCCGGCGCCGACGTCGTATTACATCCCCCCGGGTTACTAAAAAAAATACCTATCTTGACTCGGGCCACCCAAACCCAAACCGAACTCTTTTGTTCTCCTTTTTTTTTTTGGCTGGCCTCGAGGCTCGCTCCACTCATTTTTGACGTCTCCTTTGTCAACCGACCGCGAGTTAATGACGATGCCTAACGAGATCATGACTGAGAGCATGAGAACCAATTTTTTTTTTTTTTTTTTTTTTGCTTTTCTCTTCTCTTTACTCTCCATGACTAACACGCATTGCATAGCGCAGGCTGTGGCATTTCCTCTTAGAAAGGGCTTATTTTTCAGCGTATTACGACCCCCGCTCCCCCCTATTTTATGGTTACCCAGGGACAGAGGGCCAGAATTTTTTTTTTACGATTTATGTGCTAGCTTCTGGGCTAAGCGGAGTTTGGAAAATACTGGAGGTTGTTGGGCATGGGGCTTCATCTTTTTTATTTATTTCTATTTCTTTTAACGGATCGTGGACCATTGGGAAGGCAGTTGGATCTTTGGATATTTTGGAACCCCCGTCCCCTGGCAAGGCCACTAAACAGACCGAAATAATGGCGGAGATGAAGAGAGAAAGAGGGAGAGATATTGAGAGGAGAGATAGTATCGACCAGGCTCTATGGGGCACAGTATGTATATGCCATAGGAATGATACCAAAGACAGATACCCACATGACATGGAAGCTCCTCCTGAAGCCAACCGTAAGACTGCTCCGTGATAGCCCATGCTCGTCGCTATCTTTTCGTGCCACGGTGCCTGTCCCTTGATCCGCAATCGCGTGATGGTTGCGGGTGATGATAGAGCAGCAGCCTCGACACTGGTGAGGACACCATCACCACCAACCAACCAACCCACCACCAGCTGCAGGCCGGCCGCCACATGCCCAACGCGTGAGTGCCCGATTCCTGGTCTCCGGTTGCCGAGGAAGGATAGCAATCGTACAACAGGTTTTTTGCAAGAGGGAATGATGGACCACCACACCATACCGCGTAATTAGGCCAAGATATATATATATATGCATTGCATGCAATGCATGGGCGAAAGGAGGGTTGGAGGGGGAGCTCAGCAAAGATAGGTCAAGAGTGGTATGTGTGTATGTAAGAGTGCCGGCGCGCCATGAAGGGTTACTGGTGCTGTTTCTTTTTATTCAAGTGTACCAACCAAAAAAATAAAGAGTTAGGTAGTTACAACATGATGGGTGATGGGGGAGCTTAAAGACAGCCAGGTAAAGATGTCCTTGAGACCAGAGAAGAAAATACGGAAAAGGGGCCCGCCTGCGAGTATAAAAAGTGATCCCCGTGGGAGTAATCTTGAAAGACCCAGCGTTGGTTACATATGCTAGTACTCTTGACGAGAGAGATGGGTAGTTTTATTTTGCCAAAAATGTCCACGACGTAACTCTGTCCGTAGGTAGGTAGATATGGTAAGAATTTTCCCAGCTTTACGCCTTCACCTCTTCCTTATCTGCGATCGAGGTTTCCTTTAGGTCAGCCGTCACTTCAGCCACAGGCTTGTCCTCGCTCTTCTTGCCGTTGGCACCGTTGGTAGTGGTGGTGGCGGTGCCGGACGATTCAGCCGCCTCTGCGGCTTCCAGACGTTCAATCTCCTTCTTGGCCTTCTCTATGTTCTACAGCGAGGGTTAGATTTGCATCCTTGGCAACGAAACCTGACGAGGTCGGGGGGGGGGGACGTGACTTACCCGATTGGTCTGCTCAGTTTGGTCAGCCTTCCAGTGGTCCAGCTTGGCCTTGACCTTCTCAATAACGGTGGGGACATCGGCAGAGCCCATAGGCGGGTCGACACCGACGAATGCGCAATCCTCAATGACGGAGGGGGGGCAGTTGAAGAACTTTGCGGACGACTCTGCGGGGCCCGTCTTCTTGCTCTTCTTGCCCTTCTTCACGGCGGGTAGGTACTCGTCTTCGCGATCCTCCTTCCGAAGGAGCTTGGTGCCCTTGATGTTTGCGTCGTCAACCTTTCGTTGCGCCTGGGCGCTCAGGCCCTTGCTGGCGAGCAGAGGAGACTTCTCGTCGGCTGCCTGGTGTGAAGGGTCGAAGAAATGCAGCAGGCTATTAGCCCGGCGGATTTCCTCCAGGTACGCAGGGTCGCTGGCCTCGGTAAGCAGCTTCTGGGCACGCTCCATCTTCCGCTCCTTGGCAATGCGGTCCCGCTCGGACTGGTGCCGTTCCCGAGCACGCTGGCGGGCCTCGCGCTCGTGCTGCTCAAATGCCTTCTTCTGAGTGTAGTATTCGTCCTTCAGTTTGCGAATGGCCTGGAATTTCTGCTGTTGCTCAGCCTGGAGCTTGGATCGCTCGTCGCGCAGGCCCGACAAGTTTTTGTATACTTCGTCTTGCTCGGCCTTGATGGCGTCGAGTTCGGCCTGGATCTTGGAGTACTGTTCGCTCAGGGCCTTGGCCTCGGGGTCGTCCATGCTGTCCTTGATTTCCTTGATCTTGGCGCGCAGGTCGTCGATCTGCTTCTGCGAATCATCGAACTGGGAGAAGTTCTTGCGCACCTTGCGGAGGTTCGAAATCTCTGCGAGGGCCTTCTTCTCGTCGACAAGCTTCATCATGCCGCTATTGACCTGGCTATCGAGCCTCTGAATCTCGCGGTCGACATCCTCGGCGCTCTTGAAGGACACCTTGCCCCGGGCGGTCTTCTGCTCAGCAATGCGACTGCGGACCTGCTCATCGAGGCGCTTGATCTGTTCCAGCTTGCCACTGCGGGCATTCTTGCCGCCAGCCTGCTTCTGGCGGATCTCGTTGGCCTGGGTGATCAGTTCCTGCCGGCGCTTCTGGGTTGGGTTCTGGGTATCCTTGTTCCTGTTGTTTGGCTGGGCAAGTTCAACCTTGGCCTTGATGGCATTCTGAGAGGAACAATCATGTGAGCTTATGTATCAAGCAGCTTTGCAGGGAGGCTTTGTGGGTATTCAAGATGCACCTAAGCGGAGCTGCAAATGAGGTGAGACATGTTCCTCTACTCACATATCTAGACATGGCATCATTGTACTCTTTCTCAGCCTTGGCGACCTGCTCATTGAAGAGTTCGACATTGGGCTTAACAAGCTTGGCTGCCGGGGCAGCAGCATCGTTGGATTCAGCCATGATAGATAGAGAGGGAACCGGAGGCAAGGTAATCGAGGACGGGGACCCTCTTAGACGGGAGGATTAGACTTGTAACAGTCTCTCCGTCTCTCCTGCAAGAGACGAAAAGTATGAGCTAAAGAAGCGAGTTTCAATTGCGAAGAATCTGACTAGAACTCCTCGAGGAAGAAATTCGTCTTTCCCCAAATTCGTCGAGGTTTTTGTGACCCGTGTCCCTGTGTGCCTCGTGGATCCACGGTCTGTGCGTCTTTAAGCAACGACTGGGTTATGTAATATAGGCATTTTAGTGGGTAGCCTTAGGCGAGAGTGTGGGGTGTCCGAGCTCCTTGCAGAGACAGTGAGTGTGCCGCCGTTTTCTAGAATTTTTTTTTGACGAGGCTGATGGACGCGCTTGGTTCTATTGACAACGATCCTTCCCTTTTGCAACCCCTCAACCCTCGCCCTTTCAACCATCGCAGCTCGACACACAACATGGAGGACGAATCTAAGTCAGGAATGTGGACCAAGGAGGTCACGAGGCTCTGGCGGGCATGGAGGACGGTACATGAGATGGTACAGGATAGGGTACGCGACCACTCTCCTCTTCAACACCAAACCACATATCGCCGCCTGCGTTCGGGACGGCGAGCATCTTCTCGTCAAGTTCTGTAGCCACCTGATTTCCGGGCTTATGCGCTGACCTGCGACAATCCAGGGATATGAGCTTGCTGAGGATGAAGTGAAGATATCGCTCGACCGGTTCAGACTAGAGTACACCAATGCCGATGGGAGTCCGAAGTGAGTATTCTTTCTCTCCTCTCTGAGAGCGCCGGCTGCTCCCATCCTCAGTAAACTGACCATTTCCCCCTTCCGAATCGTAGCCGAGGAAAGATGCAGTTCTCCGCGCGCCCAAGCGAAGCCATGAACAAGAAGTTCACCCTACCACCGACACCGAGCAATCCCAACCCCTCACCGGAGTGTGGCACGATCTGGGTCGAATTCGTACCGGAGAAGGGCTCCATCGGTGTCGCTCAGATGAAGAAGTTTGTGCAGCACTGTTCCGTGAACAACTTCAAGGCGGGCATACTGGTCACCTGCGCCGCGCTGAGCGCGCAGGCACGCAAGGTCGTTGCGGCCATGCAGCAGTACACCCAGATCGAATGCTTCTTGGAGGAAGATCTGCTGGTCAACATCACCCACCACGAACTCGTCCCGAAGCATATCTTGCTTAGCCGCGAGGAGAAGACGGCCCTGCTTAAGCGCTACCATCTGAAGGAGACCCAGCTGCCGCGGATCCTGCAGAAGGATCCCATCGCGAGATATCTTGGCCTGAAGAGGGGCCACGTAGTAAAAATCATCCGGAACAGTGAGACGGCTGGTCGGTACGCAAGCTACAGGCTCTGCGTGTAAAGAAAGGAGAGGGCGGCTGAGGATCTCTCGGCGCATTTTGCACGCTCCGTGTCGTGTCTTGCGCCATGACCGCTTCGGATTAAAGGTTGTTTGTGTTGCCGGGGCGTTGTATATCTGCTAAGGACATTGCTTTGGCGTTTAAGGAGCTCGAGAGGTTGTAAAATTCCTGGCTACAGAAATAACAAAACGAATGAATTTGCCGCCATGGGTTGGGTGGCTTTATGACACTCTCGGGCGCGTTTGGTTCTGCCCAAGGAATCGTAATTCTCGAGACCCAGTTCTATGTTTTCCCTCCAACTCCGTCACCTTTAAGAATATGGCACAACGTCTGGTGGGGGCACACTGCAATATCCCCACGTGGCCCTCGCCGACGGTGCTCCCTGTTTATTATGACGCCCTCGCAATCCCATAATTAAAGGTTCGATAACACCCTCGAGAAATGCGAGGGATTCGAAATGTCCAAGCCACAGCGAATACAAGAATGATGACACATGGAGCAATAATACATACAGACCCTTGGTACTCCGAGGAGGGCAAGGGAAAGGGGGCGGATTGGAAGGGATTCAGGCGAGAAGTTTGAGAATGTCGGCCGTTCTCGTCTCCTTCACCTTCTTGTTCTTGCCTTGTTTTTCCTGGAAGGCTTTATTGACGAGCTGTCTCTTTTCGGCCTGGATATTAAGAACCTGCTCCTCGACCGTGTCCTCCATGACCAGTCGCCACACGGTAGTGGGCCTCGTTTGGCCTAGGCGATGGACTCGGTCGACAGCCTGATCCTCAATTGCGGGAGCCCACCCTAGATGACGGTCAGGGCCTGGTACAGAGGGCAGGAGTATGGTACTTACAACTGTCTGCGAGGACGACCGTATCTGCCGAGACGAGGTTCAATCCCACGCTACACACGCTCAGGCTGGCAAGCAGGATGCGCGTCTCGGGATCGTGATCGAGGGCATGGATTGCAGCATCGCGCTGATGCGGAGCCAGGCGTCCGTCAATCCTCGTGTAAGTGTAGCCGTGGTCGTCAAGTTGACGTTGAATGACGTCCAGGAATGAAGTCCACTGCGAGAAAATCACGACTTTGGAGCCTTGGTTTTTCAATGTTGCCTGCAGGATCTTCATCAGGGCCTCGGTTTTGGAACTCTTCTTTTCCCCGTCGTACTGCTGCTCATCTTCCGCGGGTGTATCTTCCGGTGCCGGTTCGACGAGCTTGTCCTCGGAGAGCTCTGCGCGGCACATGGGGCACTTGTGCTGCACCTCTACCACCTTAGAAATGCATGGTCTGCAGAATGAGTGCTTACAGTGGGTGATGACTGGCATTGTTAGCGTATCGATGCAGACTGGGCATTCTTCCTGGCTCTCGATGGCAAGCCGAAGGGCTTGCTGTAACAAGGCTTTGTTCTTGTCGTTCAGAGTCACCACTCCCTCGGTCTCCAAGAACTTGAGAAGGTCTTCAACACGTTCTCTGCATAACGTCCAATGGCAGCAACTAATAATACCACTTAGCCATGTTCATCCTCAGTTAGGAACACTCCGTTGCTTACATTTGACGGAGTCGAAGAAGTCTCTCGAGGACACTCTGGAACATGCCCTTATGTCCTGTCTTGGACCTGTTTTGGAAATCTTTCAAGGCGCCTCTCGCCTCAGATCTTGGAGAGGGTTAGTCGCGGAGCCCGGCTTAGGGAAGGAGAAGTACTCACAGGAGAGCATCATATTTGGTCTTCTCGTCAGGCCGGAACGTGATCCGGTGGATGTACTCGGTCTTGGGCGGAAGATTTAGGTCCACGAACTTCATGTCTTTCTTACGCCGGAGACACAGGTCCTGCATGAGAGACTGGAGTAGACGTTCAGCCTGAGGTTTGCCTATGGCCAGAGGCCGCGCAATCAAGGCATTGAATATCTGGGATTGTTCGATGCCACCTGTTATACGCAGGAACTTGAGCAACGAGTGCAGATCCTTGATATTGTTCACACTATCAAACGGATCCAAGGTTAGCAAGTCAATTCGGAAGGGGGAGAGGGCATGATCCAGGTCTGCAGGTAACTAACATTGGGGTCCCAGTCAGAACCCATCTGGATTGTGCCCTCAAGCCGCAGGTTGCTTCGGCCACCTTCGTACTTGCATTCCGGATCGTGTGGCCCTCGTCGAGAACGACACGTCGCCACTTCCTCTGGAACAGGGCGCCACTGGGTGACTCGCTTGTCAGGGTTCCGTAGCTGGTAACGACAACGTCGAATGTGTGTAGCGTCTTCATAGCCGATTGTCTGGAGCTGCCATGGTAGATGAGAACACGCGGGGCATGTTCCTCGAGGACGTGGCGCTGGATCTGCTGTTCCCAATTGCTCATGACACTGACAGGGGCAACAATCAGGGTGCTACCAGGCCCCGCTGCGAGAATGAGGCTGATTATTTGCAACGTCTTGCCTAGCCCCATATCATCGGCCAGGATGCCACCGGAGAGCAAGCTAGGGGTTTGCTGAACGGTGAAGCTGGAAGCGAGATTGATGTACCGGCCTCGAGCATCACGCTTCCAAAGCTGCACAGACTCAGAGCCGACAGCTGGGAGCTGGGGGTTCTCCTTGGCCATGAGCCACGCGAGACCCTGGGCAATAGTCAGCTTCGTCATTACTTCCATAGGCAGTGCTGGGTGAGTGTGGCTTAGGAGTACCTGTAGCTGATATGGAAGGAGCTTGGCGCGGAGCGTCTCTGGCTGGGTAGCCTTGGGCATCTGGGAGAGATAGTCCTCGTCCATAACTAGAGTCTTCACGATATCATCGGTAGTCCGGAGCTGGACAGCCTCGCTTGCCTGTGTCAACTCTTCTAGAGAGGCTTCGGGCTGGGTCGCATGGCCATTGCCCCCAAGACCACCACTGGCCCGACCGCTAGTCAGGGGCATTTGCTGCCGTCGTTGAGCCTCGTTCTCCGCTCTCGTCTGCTTCATTTGGGTAGGCTTGAGAAGATTGTCCCTTTTCAACTTTGCCTCTAGATGCAATCGACCAAATCTGCTACTTGTCCCATAGATGTAAAGGCGGATGGGAACATCGTAAAACCCTTTCTCGGCAATAAGCATCCCTTCGACAGAGATCTCCTTCTTGTCCTATGGCGCGTAAGATCAGGCCTCCCCAGTGTAGCAGATGCACCTACCATGTAAGGGGCAAGTTTTGCCGCAACTGTCCTGGGAATATGCCCAATTTTGGCTCCCAGCACATTGGTGACTTGGATGGCATTAGAGTCATACTACGGCATTTGTTTTTCAGCCAAGACTCTGAAATTGTCAAGCGGTATATCCAGACGAGACAGGCATACCTGATTTTCCGGTTCACGCTTGCATGTTACCACTTCACCGGCAGTAGCAAAGCCGTCATAGTACCTGACGCCTACAACTTTGTTTTCTTCCACCTTTCGTTAACAGAGGCTTTTCGAGGGAGAGAGCGGCTGCGACAGACCAAGAAACCCATACAGTTCGAGGGAGGGCCCATCGTCGACCTGAGTGAGATCGTAGACTTCTAGTTCTCCATCATCAGCAGCCACCTGTGAGGACGAAGGAAACCCTTGAGTCAACCAGGCACCCGAGTTTTGGGAAGACGGCTGGCTTGGCCTGGTTGGTAGAGACGGTTGGCTTGGCCTAGGTGGGAGAGACGTTTGCGAGCTGGAAAAGGGCCGGCTTGAGCTCGCCGTTCGGGATGTCAGACTGGAAGATGGAAGTCCAAGTCGAGGTGACTTGGATTGACGATCGATGGTGTAGTCGTCATCATCGCCTGTCAAGTCGATGACATGATATGGTCGCTTCTTGGGAGGCGCCATTGTTTGATCAAGTACCAAGTGGTTCAGGGCCTCCACTTATGTGGTATGCACTGTACTTAGGTAAGGCTGGTAGTTGGACGGGGAACGCTTTAAAATCTAAAATTCTCCGGGCGGGTCGGAGATGGGCTCTATACCTAGGGACGCGTGGTGAAAAAGTGTAGAAAGTGGAAAAGTCGCGTCTGGGCCCTAAATAAGACAGGTGGGTAACGCGTTAATCACCCTAGCCAGAGCCTGCAGGGGCGCGGCGCCACGTGAGTGGGGGGGCAGCTCACTCAACCCTAACCCTCTATACTGGAAACCATAGATGCGAAATTGCGAATCACTTGTTTGCGATTTTTCTCCCTCACCTAATCTTCATTAGCTGCCGGGCTGAGATCTTGGCGACTGGGCATTGGTGGGAACTGGAGCGGGAGCCAGGCGACAGGGGATGACGAAAACAGACCCGTTAGGTGGCGGTCCAGAACCAAGGAAGGCCAGGGAAGGTTCACTCAGCTGCATCACATCATAGGGAACAGCCGCAGCCTAACCACCTGCCGTTCATAGCCGCTCGAAGCACGCCCAATGCGGGGACGCCTTACGCGGCGTCATCCGTCCAACTTGGATCTCCTTCATTCCACATGAACCCAGTTATAATAAGGAGGATCCATAGCCCAGTCTCAGTCAAGCTGTTTCGAGTTGCTCTGTCTACTTCGTGTCTGCTTTATCGTCTCATACCGACCTCAATTTTACCTTTTCTACTTACATCGAGACCATTCTCTTCGCATCTAGCAATTATGCCTACCTACATTGTGCGCAACCCCCTCATTCCCGACTGCGCTTTTTGATTGCAAGTAACACTAACATAGGCGACCCCGGCGACAGGTGACTTGCAAGGACGACGCGACCCCGGAGCAGGTTGCGCAGTAAGCTCTCCCCGTCTGCTCCTCTACAATAGAATCATGGGCGTCTAACATGTTCCTCCCAGGGCCAAGAAGCATGCAACTGACCAGGGCGGCAAGATTGGGCACGAGTACTCGCTGATCAAGGGCTTCTCGTATGTCAACTACCTACCCAATTCTCCTGTGCGAACAGCCTGTCTAATAACGCGCGCATTATAGTGTGTCATTCCCTGAAGACTCCGTCACCACTCTCGAGAAACACGAGCATGTCAAAGCTGTTGAGAAGGACCAGGAAGTCAAGACTCAGTAAGGCGTCGGGGGCGGGGGAGGCTGCGGGGACTCCACCAGATGCGGCGTGAAGGAGGGGCTTGAATGGAGGGGCATAATCGTGGAGCTCGTTTCCATGTACGGATAAGGTTCCACTAGATTCATGTTATCGTGTATTCCCCCCATGTCCATGAGTCGCCCATCGTATTACTTTTGCACGTATTCGGACCTTGTTGGCTGTCTGTAAATCAATAGCTACGCATGGTCTCGTCCTTTCTAGCCCGACTGCGGGAAGGGAAAGGGTTGACTCCAGCGATCGTTGCCCAGGCCCATGTACACTACCTAGTATTGCGGGTGACGTAGGGGTGGTGGTGGAGGTCCCTGCTCAGTGCCCGCTAGGATCTGATGACTCCGATTCTCGGTTGCAGCCAAATTCACATGCCCACGACTGAATCCTTACACCTCGTCCTCGCAGTACTCTGCAGAAAGTGTGCAATGCCGAGATGAACTCGATTTCCAGGCCATTGAAGCGTTTGGCTCCCCCGAGGGCCACGCTTCACGGCCAATCATGCCGGCGAACAGCGTCCACGCTGAAGAACCTTAGAGAAGCGTCGGCATGGCTATCGAGGCCACCCCACTCGCGTGAGGAGCACCTCGATCCGTCCGTCGCAGACGACGATGTACCCTACCTCGCCAAACAGCGCCTTCACCCGTTAAGCTTAGCCGACCTTGTAAAGTAAGTTGAGGCAATTGGCCTCCTTCTCCTCCGATTTGGGGTGAAGTCGACTTGAGATGAAGCCAGGGCGTTCAATTGGATCCGTGACTAACAATCTCCCTCCGCTCCCCCGATTCTAGACATGGAAGGCCGCCGCTGTCCGCCGAGGCTCTCCTCTCCTCGGCGCGCTTCACTCTCTCGCTCCTGCCGATCCGGCTGGCACACCGCATCCAGGCGCTGCGCAGCCTGCCGTACATCGTAGTGTCGAACCCAAACATCAACAAGATCTACAACAACTACCAGCACTCCCTCTCGACCCTCCTGCCGTGGAAAGAGCGCACAATCAGCAGTCTCGAGGACGAGATACGCTTCACCGAAGTCCTTGCCGAGCTCGTGCAGACGCACACCGACACGATCCCGATCCTGGCCCGCGGCTTCCTCGAGTGCCGCAAGTACATCTCACCGGCCGAGGTGACCCGCTTCCTGGACTCGCACCTGCGGGCCCGCATCGGCACCCGCCTCGTCGCCGAGCAGCACATCGCCTTGCATTACAGCAGCACGCCGCACTTCAACCCCGGCGCGAGCCCCACCCCGTGCCCCGAGAACCCGACCTACATCGGCGTCATCGACACGGCGCTGCGGCCCGCCGCAACCATCGACAGCTGCGGCGGCTTCGTCGCCGACATCTGCGAGCTCAAGTACGGCGTGCGGCCCCGCTGGGTCATCGACGGCAAGCCCGACACGACTTTTGCCTACGTGCCCATGCACCTAGAGTACATCGTGACCGAGCTGCTCAAGAACTCCTTCCGCGCCACCGTTGAGAGCGGCATGAACAGCGAACCCATCGTGATAACCGTCGCGCCCGAGCCGCCCCAGCAGCAGCAGCCCCGGCAGCAGCAGCAGCAACGGAGCTACGCAGACGACGACGCCGGCGGCCAGCCCGGCGGCCACGTCACGCTGGACCCGCCCGCCGACTCCCTCGGCGCCTTCAGGCCGGACCGGATCCGGCCGCTGGACGACAACGCCCCCGGCGTGACGATACGGATCCGCGACCGCGGTGGCGGGATATCGCCGCACGTGCAGCCCAGCATCTGGTCGTACTCCTTCACCACCTTCTCCGAGGACTACGACGTCGTCTCCGGCTCCGGCTCCGGCTCTGGCGCCGACCTGTCGGCTGGCGGCGGCAACGGCAACGGCGGCGACGATGCGCTAGCCGTCATCTCCCAGGCAAGCAATGGTAGCAGCTCCATCGCCGGCCTGGGCTACGGCCTGCCCCTGAGCAGGGCCTATGCCGAGTACTTTGGCGGCGGCATCGCCGTCCAGAGCCTGTATGGCTGGGGCACGGATGTGTACCTGAGGCTCAAGGGCGTGGGGAGGATAGAGTGAGTTTTGTGGTCTCCCCCTCAGTCGCTATTCGTGTTGTGTGTGTGGCGTACCGACGTGTGAGCGGAAGAACTGACCGCTGACCACGACCTCAACCCCCCGGGCTAGACAGAACACGGTTGTAAAGACATGAACGGACATATATGGGCATGTGGCATACATAGTTACACGGATTAACTGAGAAGTGCGGGCAGGTGCAGCTATCAAACACTAGCAGGGCCAGGAGCAAAGGGAGAGGAGGGCTTTTCAGGAGTATGATGTACATACAGTACATGGATTGTATTAGAGTGGTTCTAGCTATGGAAATTACCTATGCAACCTCAACGGATTTGGATCAAACGCCACAGCAAGTTAAGGAACGTGATGTGAATATGATAAGAGACTCTCGACTCTCTCACGGCCCCTTCCCGACCAGACAATTTTTACAACCCAAGCAAGTTCGGCTAAACAGTACGACAAAATAGAAACCCCAACAAGAAGGAACTGAAAATGAGAATAAATAAAAACGATACGAACGCCCTCCCGATAACCCTTTATACGGTGAAGACCGGTCATGACGCATGGATCCCTCCCTCCACATGTATCCGTAGATCAAGAGTATTAGTTATGTATGATAGATAGACAGGTAATTGGGATATGCGTCGGAAAACCACCCCATTACATGTTGGCCAGCTCGTTGTCGATCTGCCGGTCCATGAATGTCCTCCTCTCGCCCACCAGCTCTGTCTGCAGCCTCTGCTCCACGAGGGCGCGGACCTGCTTCTTGGTAACGGTGTCGAGGTCGACCTCGCCGAGAACGGACTGGATGGCCTCGATGATGGCCGCGTCGTCGGGTCCGACGTGGCCCCGCTGGAAGTCGAACGAGAGAGTCGACTGGTGGCCGGACTCGGCGTGCAGTCCCAGGGGCGGCCTTCCGCCACCCGAGTAGCCCATCATGGTGGAGGACCGAGGTGTTGCCGCTGGCATGCCGAGTGCCGGCGAGGTGGTCGACATGCGCAGGTTGCCCATGCTCGGCCTGTGGCTGGCAGTGGCGCCTTGATACGGAGACTGGGTACGTTGGACGTCCTGGAAGCCACCACCCATGGACACCATGGACTGACGGTTTCCAAAGCCGGCATCGCCATACGGCGAGGTACCGAGGAAGGTCGAGCTGCGAGTCACACCGCCGGGACCGGAGAACGGCGCGGGAGACTGTGGTGGCATGTACGCACCAGCACCGTGACCATGGAGGCCGGTGAGAATCGACGCCTGCCGAACCGACGAGTACACCGACTTCATGTCGTCAAGCTCGTAGTTCTCGTCGTAGACGGCGTTGTCATGCCCGACTTTCTCCATGTTCACGCCTCGGCGGCCAGGGAGGCTGTTAGCCAGCGCGTAGTCGTCCCACCTTTGCAACGGGATGCTGCGAGGATCGAAGCCCTCCTTGTCCACTGCAACAACCTTCTTGTTGCCTTTCTCCCCGATGACTATGCGAGTGTTGCCCCACGAGAAATTGTCCTGGTTCCAGAAGGAGTAGATGGGAAGGATGAACGAGTACATGGGGAACGCGATGATGTAGATGATCATCCAGCCAACGTGCTGCCACTGACGCTTCAAGATGAAGATGAGAGCCTGGAGGCCGTAGACGGCGGCCAGCATGATGATCGAGATAAGCGGGAACTGGCCTTGGTGGGTGGCGGCGACATAGATGATCCAGCCCAGGTAGACACACGTGGCAGGAAGGATGATGGTGCCGAAGAGATCGATGAACACGACGAACCGCATCGAGAAACAACAGAAGCCGCACAGCTCCTTGAGCCACATCAACTCCACCAGGTTGTGGATGGTCGAGTTGATCCAGCGACGGCGTTGGGATAGCAGAACACTCCACTTCTCAGGCGCAGCTGTCTGGCAGTAGGCGTCGGGAATGAACTTGTACGACATGAACGGGAAGTGCTTGGTCATCAGCGTTGTGAGATAACGGTCTTCTCCGAGAGACAAGAGATTCTTCTTGTGGAGGGTGTCGACATGGCAGTCACTGTACTCCTTGATCACGGCGTCAGAGATGATCAGGGGCCTTCCTTTATCAGCCGTTCTCAGACGGTACATGGAGAAACTGTATATTTGTGAGCGATATGCTTTAAGGAAGGAAGGGCAATAAAATATAATAAAAGGGGGGGGGGGGGGTGGGTTACATACCAGCCGGGCAGACAGGTAACACTGCCAAAGAGGGACTCGAAGGCCTTGGCCATGTGGTGAGAAATGAAATACTCGTAAACCTGAATCATGGTCCACCAGGATCGCTCCTCGTTCTGCAAGCTCGTTTCGCCACAAATTCCGGCAATCTTGGCATCGTTGGCACAGGCGGCAACCAGACGGTTGAGCGAGTCCTCCCGGACGCAGGTATCGGCATCGACCATGAGGAGGTACTCGTAAAGCTCGGGATCCACGCCGATGATGTTGTTGATCTGATGGAACATCTCCAGCTCGAGTGGATTCATGGGCGCGCGGTGGTGAACACGATTGAGGAAGCTCATGATCATGATTTGCGAATCGCGCTTGCCACGGTTGCCGGGCTTTGTCATGCTCTGTTCGGATTCCTTCCCGACCTTGACGACGATGATGTATGGCACCACGTTGCCCTCGTACTCGTAGAGGCCCGAGTAGACCTTGCCATAGTTGAGCTGCTCGCTGCCGTTGCCGACGGACTTGAAGGGAAGGGCGGGTGGGTCAACCTTGGGGTCGACGCCGAGGATATCCAGCACAATCTTGGGGGTGGGACGGTCGTTGCCGGCACCGACGATGATACCGTCGCAAATAACGCAGATCAGCTTCCGCTTGTTGTCGTACTGAAGAGCCGTGAGCGAATCCAGCGCCTTCCTCAGGGCATCTTCGCCTTCGGTGTAGGCGGGGACCTGGCAGATGACGAACTTGTCCTGGGGGGCCGGCCTTCGCTTCGAGCCGAACTGCAGCGCCGACACGAACTTGATGAGGATCACGGAACAGATCATGACGGTGAAGGCGAGGAGGATATAGTTGTTGACTTGGCACCGGGCCGTGAATCTGAAGTCAGGAATGCCGACGTAGAAGGCATTTTGGACGCAGGTGATGCTGTTCCGCACATTGACATGGGCCGTCTCATTGCCCAGACTCCTCTCGACGATGGAATTCCAAGAATCGGTAAGATCCTGGCCGGGATTGTTTCTGACGGCGTTGATGAGATCCGCGTTGAGGAAGGCGTTGCTCGGGAGGTTCTTGGTCCATTTCAACGTGTAGAAATAATCAGTAAGGTCGTACACGGCACCCTCGTAGATAAACCACTCATGGTTGTTGTCCTTCCCGTCCGACTTGATATCCTTGACGGACCAGACCAGGTCACCATGGTAGTACTCCTTGATACGCGGCAGGAAGGTACTCGTATACCAGTTCTCAGAGGCCAGTTTGCTGGTGGGATCGGGCTGGAGGCGGCCCGAGATGTGCATACCCTCGGGATTCGTGATCGTGGCGTTCGTCATCAGCTGTACGGTGTCGCTGATGCCAAGCCCGCGGCAGAGGAGAGGAAGAGGTGCTACGAAGTACGGGTCCAAATCCATGCCGGCGAAGGGCATCATCAAGTCCGAGGTGGTTTCGATGTTACTATCGCTGTGCTGAAGCCTCCAGAACTTGGAGATGTCGTAGACCTTGCCACGGATGCTGACCCAGAAGTCATCTCCGCCTTGGTGCGTCTTCACTTCGTCTCGAGACCAGGCCTTGTCGAAGTTGGGGCAGAGAAGGCGACCAAACCAGATAATCCAGAATACGACCATGGCGTTGAGCAGGAAGATAAGGAAACACAGGACCAGCTTCTCCCGCCACGCCATTCTGACGTCTGGCCGCTTCATGCGGCCGACATAGCGCAGAAGCGGAGAGGGGATCCAGAAGGTCAAGGCCCAGACAACCACGACCCATACCCTTCGTGAGGTGCTGGTTGGGCGTTCCTCTATGGACTTGTTGTTTGCGAGCTCCTCGTCCAGGTTCCCAATGAATTCTCCCTCGCTGTTGTAGTACACCTGGTCGTTGTACGTGTCGCCCTTGTTGCCGAGTCCGTAGTCGCCATTACTGACGTTCCTCATGGCGGTGGGCGCAATGGATGGCGCTGCCAACGGGCTGGGGCCCATGGTGGGCTGGCTGAGGTTTCTCTGGTGGATGAGCCGCTCACGACTGCCGCTGGGTGTGACATCCACTAGAGGAGGCTGGAAGAACCCGCTGCCGTTTGCAGAGTATCCGGACTCGGGCCCGACAGTGGACATGGCATTACCCATGCCCATGCCCATGCCCATGCCCATACCCATGCTCATGCCTGGCATGTGGCCTCCCATGGGCTTCATGTCGAGCATGGCCTCGGCCTCCCACCATGCATTCTCGCGCATCCATACACGCTCGTTGCCGATGACGACCTCGCCATTGCTCCATCCTCGTTCCAAGATCCAGCTTTCGATACCGTCCCTGCCATCCTTGCAGCCCAATATCTGGTATCGCTGCACAAACTCGTCGAGATCAAAGTCTGCGGTGAAATCGAGGTGCTTGTTGCGCCTGTTGGCCCACTCAGGGAGCCTCCAGGCACGTAGTTGGCGAGACACCGTTCCTGCCGACCACGCAGAAGTGACAGATGGCAGGGCGGCCAGACTAGCAGGAGACTCATCGGTCGGGTGGATCGCCAGGTGGTACCAGACTCTACTACTGCTCAGCAAGGCAGGCAGGTCGAACCGGGCATTGCGGCCGAGGTTGATGCCCTCGCCCTCGACGGGGAATAGGAGCTTCTTCAAGAAACCGTCCTCGTCGGCCGAGAAGGCAATCTTCTCGAGTATCTCCTCTCTCTTCTCCAAGACATGCTGCCGGTCTCTGCCGGTGGGGCCGTTCATGTCCCCCAAGTCAGGCCCGCACTCGGATACAGCGTTCTGCATCTCTCGGACGACTGAGCTTCCGGCAGGAGTCATATCCATGCCATCCTGTTTCATCTCCGAGTTGATGCCCATGCCGTCGTCGAATATGCCACGCATGGCGACCGCCTTTCCCAGCGTAGGGTCGGGGATTTCAATGACGGTGATGCAGACGGTATCGCCATTGTCCTCGTTGGTGTTGGGAGTTCTGGCCCCGCGCCCGCCATCGCTGGACTCGTCTCCATCTCGAATGCGTGTCATTTGGGCCGCGATGGCCTCATTCGCCTTGGTGATGACCCAGTCCACGAGGGCTTCGTAAAGGCCGCCGATGAATGTCGCTCTATCGTCGGTAGTGCACTGCCGGGCGAGGATTGCGGGATCCATGCCCAGAAGTCCGCTAACGTCCTCGCAGATCTCATCCAGCTCGTCCCCATCAGCCTCGTAGTCGAGAGTGTTGCCCAATTTCAAGAGGCCGGCAAGTGTAGAAATGAAGTTGCGATGTGCAGAGCCCTTGATTCCGATTTCCTTCAATGCTGTGCGGAAATCATCCGCCGCAGCCGCATCGTCGGCAGTTGGCAGGTATGACGGAGGATCATATGTGCCTGACTTGGACAGGAGGGAGTAGCTGGAGGCATGCTTGAGACCGAGGAACTCGCGTTCCGCGGGAGTGGATGCAGATGTGAGGAGGTAGTAGAACACGTCGAATGCTCGATAACCTGCTTCGGCCGGAATGCTGAGAAGGCCTTTCCAGGTGTCAATCCCGCCCTGCGATAAAGCAAGAGTGGCTGCTGTCAAATTTCCGGCGAGGTTGAGGGTCAAGGTAGCGCCAAGAGCCACCTGGCGTGGGGTTGAGGGGTTGTAAGGGGTAACGCAGCGGAGAAAGGGCTCGACGGCTTCGAGGGCCTTGAACAGAGAACTCGGAATGGAAAGGGGCATGGAGGCCAGGAAGGGGGCCAGCTGCGAAGGCGTAGAGGTATGCAGGGAGCTAATCACAGGTTAGTGACCGTCTAAGCTTAGAGTCGAGAAACGAGTATATTGCATACCCCAGAATGATACAGCCATCCTCAGCACGTCGTCGAGCATGCTCCCACGCTCTTGCCGCCAAAGCTGTGTCGACAGTCCCCCCAGCACGTCCATCCGGGCTAGCTTGGGCTGCGGTAAGCCAGGTGTTAACTACCAGGCTTGACCCAGCATCGAGCCGGTATGGCTGGGAAGAGAGATAGATGTTGTGTACGGCGTTCAGCAGGGTGGTCGTCGAGACTTGTGAGGATTGCTGGCCGGCACCGCGGGGACCAGTCGCACCATCCGACGCCACGGAATACATCGACATCCGTGGGTTCGCCATTCTGAGGCGGCTGGGATGGTGGTGCCCCTCCGAAGCGGATGAGAGTCTTAGAATTCCGAACTCGATAGGTGGATGCCTATCTCAAGAGCCCGGGGAACACAGATGTCAAGCGATATTTCACAAGCACGGCTAGGGATCCAACCAGAACTACCAACGGAGAAGGTAGCCAAATTGAATAGGTATCCAAGAAGAGTCCAAACGAGGGTGTCGAATTAAGTGAGTGTCCCGAGACGTGGAAGCAGGTTGCGTGACGGGCGGCTGGTTCGCTGAGCAACGTCAAACAGGAGGCCGAGCTCTTTGTTGACTTCAGAGACGCCCTCGACGCCGGTGCAGGAACCGGTTTAACGACTGGATGAAGAGGCCACTAGAGCGAGTGAGGCGGCCAAGAATGCAACGGAGCAGTCAAGCAGAAAGGAAATCGATGGTTGAAGCAATGCTTCATGAGTTCTCTGCCGACCAGGGGCAGGAGACAATCAGCAGAAGCAAAGTGCCCACCCAAAGCCAGAGACGATGGTCATTACGGCGGGCGGCAGGAACTATTGATGCACCCACGCCAAGCCTGCAGGGGTAGTGGAATCGCCGCCACTGGAATTGAGGCCTTCCCGGTTGGACGAGGATGATCCCTCCAATCCTGGCATCGCTCCGAAAACGAAGTACTTGTACCTTGGTACAGTCTATATATGCAATTGCATGTGGCGGGGAGCAGGGGGTGGGTGGATCATACTCAGCTGAGAAAGGAGAGAAAAAGAAAGGAAAGGAAACAGCAAAATGAATACAATCTTGTAGTACGCCGTGCGCAAAGAAAAAGAAGAAAAAAGGACAAGATTGCTCATAGCAGCTGTCCATCTGTCCGTCCGATCTTGGGCATACCCGCCGTACACTGAGCTGCAATGCCATCTTCATCCATGCTATGCCACTTAAAATCCACAACTAAGAGGGCGAATACGAGAGTGCGTTTCCAGAAAATCTCACCAGAGTCCAGACCTGACCTGTGGGATGATGCCACTGGACTGGGTGGCACAATACGAAGACTTCTGCCGCCGACGTGGGCGCAGCAACCGGAACCTGCTGCAGCGCATGACACTGTATAACTTGTTGGTGGGAAGCGTATAAGACCCAGGCCATAGGCTGTAATCGTATGGCTCAAGGCAAGGTACAGCTGCGGAGCTGCTGAGTCTGCTGCCAGCCAGATCTGTGCCACTGCATCAAACAAATTTCTTTTTATAGGTGCACGCTACACCCCATCCCCTATTTCTCTCAGCGAAGCGTAATACCTCGGTATATGCGATTATATGAATAATCAGAAAACCGTAAGGCGAACTGCCCATCCGAGACACCAAGCAGATCACTTGTGATTCCGAGCTCCACCACAGTGAGCAAGCATGCATACCTACTAGAGTGTTGAGAGTTAGAGCCGGATGCAGTTGATGCGAGGAAGTGATGTCAAGTTTTACTTTACATACACGTATGTACGTACGCATAAGTAATAAAGTTGCCACAACCTATATGTATGCGTCCTGCATGCCAAACAGGGTGCTTTTTTATTAACCTGCCAAAGGCTATCCCAGTATCCCTCGTCAACTGGGGCTCACCGTTCCGGAAATGACGGCGCAAAAGGCGGCATACACATATATATGTATATGTGGGACTAACAGGCAAGAGGCAGGAGGAGGTCGTCGGCTCTTTGGGGCACTCTTCGACCGCCCAGTTCTGCGAATATGTTTCACACGCACTCGCCACCGCATCGGTCTCTTCGCTGATGTTTTCAGTTTGGATTGAGATTCTACGGTCAATGTCTTGGAGCTGGATCTCGTAACTTGTGGGCCGATCCTAGGATGGCGGGACACTATTACTCCTTTACTAAGCTACCACAGTAAGTATATATACGTACATGCAGACGAAATATGCACGTACACCGTTGCAGGACTGGAAACTGTCTGTGAGTAGGGGTTGCAAAAGTCACGGAACATGCGATGATGCTGTGGCACAGCCCTATTTGGAACCAGTTTCAACTGACTGGCTGGCCCGTGCAACTGCTGATTAGGCGAAGCGTGCCTTTGGAGTTTCTCCATCGTTCCCCAGAGATGAAGATAAAGTTAAGTTACTGGTTCACTGCCATCCGTCGTCTGTACCAGCTGGTCCCAGAGATGAGACTGCCACTCCCGTGTCCGGGCAGTTTATTTTTCAACCTTCACATGGGATGCATGGAAGCTAAACGAACGCTGGATCGCGGCTAAGGAATGGGGCTGGATGGGGGTGCGCCAATCGTGATCCACGGTTTAGGAACCTCGTATGGTGAAATTGCGCGAGTGGCTCGTACCGCCATCCCGACAGGAAAAAATAAACTCGAAAAACAACAGGGCCCAGGGGCAATCTCTTAGCTCCAGGGTCGCACCAGTGCTTGGCCTTCTCCTATCGCATCTGGACGTTGTGTTCGCAGTAGTAGTGCTGTGTCAGGGAAGAGAGAAGCGGCGAGACAAAAGCTTCCCAATCTTTTTGCTTTTGACCTTCCATTCGGTCAACACTCGTTCTGTTTCCTTGACCTCGACTTTCGTTTCGGGCCTTCGTTACTCGGCGTGTGCTCCGTGTTCCGTGTTAGTCTCTCTGACTTGCACGACTCGTCGGACTGCCCATTCCTCCTCCTTTCCCCCCCTGCACCACTATCACGAGGCGGGCCAGTCTCAGCAACATCATTCTCCGCCGGCCCTCCTCTCGAACATCCGTCGACCGAACTTGAGAGTTGCCTCACGACCTTGTTTTGTTGGCTAGTTACTGGCATCGCTCCCACCATCATGGCTCTAAACCTGCCGTCTATGGGTGGGAATGGGGCCCATACACAACCCTCACTACCCTCGTTGCCGTCACATCTTCAGTCTGATACACACTTGACTGCACACCTTGCCAGTCGCTTCCATGTCTCCTTACCTACTGCGAAGCTCTCCTCCCACGCGCTCATAGCTCTTAACACCTACACTTCGTCCCTAAAGGGGATCGATGGCACGAAGGAGGGAAGCGCCATGGCCGGCGCCGAGGATGTAGCAGAGAGGGCCTTTCTCAGGCTGGGCCACCGTTCGGAAAACCAGGCCGTTGTTTTCCTGTCCGTATATATCCATTCATGCCCCCCAGCAGCTTGTCCGTGTCTATGTCCGTGTCTGAAATTCTAATGCCTTGGAAACAGGGGTGAATCCGGAGCAGGCAAGACGACCGTCCGATCCCATCTCCTTACTGCGCTCCTCAACAAGTCCTCGACGCCGCTCTCTAACAAAGCCTCCCTCGCCGCCTATGTGTTCGACACCCTCACAACAACCAAGACGGCCACAACACCAACTGCCTCCAAGGCCGGGTTGTTCTACGAGCTTCAGTACGACACTTCCTCCACGACCAGTCCTATTCTCATCGGCAGTAAGCTTCTTGACCATCGTCTAGAGAGGAGCAGGATCACGGATGTCCCAACTGGAGAGCGCAACTTCCACGTCCTGTACTACCTTCTGGCGGGTACAAGTGACGCGGAGAAGGGTCACCTTGGATTTGACCAGCCACACGGCTCGGCGCAGAGAAGATGGAAGTACCTTGGCCATCCCACGCAGCTCAAGGTTGGCATCAACGACGCCGAGGGATTCCAGCTGTTCAAGACGGCCCTGCGGAAACTCGAGTTCCCTCGGAGTGAAATCGCCGAGCTATGCCAGACCCTCGCCTGCATTCTCCATATCGGTCAGCTAGAGTTCGACCATTTTTCCAATACCCAAGCGACCGGCGATGACAGCGGTGGCTTCTCCCACGAGGGCGGCCAGACCGTGACGACTGTCAAGAACAAGGATGTCCTGGGCATCGTCGCCGCCTTCCTCGGCGTTGGCGCCCAGGACCTTCAGTCAACTCTCGGTTACAAGACCAAGATGATTCACAAGGAACGCGTAACTGTCATGCTTGACCCTGCCGGCGCCCGAGCCAACGCAAACGAGCTGGCCAGGACCCTCTATTCTCTCCTCGTGGCGTATGTGATCGAGAACATCAACCAGAAGCTCTGCGCGCCGGAAGAGTCGATTGCAAACACCATCTCCATCATCGATTTCCCAGGATTCTCGCAACAATCGTCCACAGGTTCTGCCCTGGACCAGCTTCTCAACAATGCCGCGACCGAATCTTTGTACAATCTCACCTTGCAGCACTTCTTCGACCGGAAGGCCGATATGCTTGAGACGGAAGAAGTCAGTGTCCCCGCGACCAGCTACTTCGACAACTCGGATGCCGTCAAGGGGCTCCTCAAGCCCGGAAACGGCCTGCTCAGCATCCTCGACGACCAGACCCGGCGCCATCGTACCGACATGCAGCTCCTCGAGAGTCTGCGGAAGCGCTTCGAGGGCAAGAACCCCGCCATCACTGTGGGCTCTGCGACAGCTAAGCTCCCCGGGAGCAACTTCATGTCAGAGAACAGTGCAGCGACCTTCACGGTCAAGCACTTTGCGGGCGAGGTTGATTACCCAATCAAGGGACTGGTTGAGGAGAACGGCGAAATCATCTCGGGAGACCTGTTGAACCTGGTCAACTCCACCAAGAGCGAGTTTATCGCCCGCCTGTTTGGACAGGAAGCCTTGCAGACTGTGGTTCATCCGCAAGAGCGGACGACGGTCATGCAAGCCACTGTCATGTCGAAGCCAATGCGAGCCCCCAGCGTCATGTCACGACGACCTGGCCGGGCCATGACTGCTCGCGCGGCCCGTCCGGCCTTGCAGGAAAGAGAGGCATCTCTGGATGAGGTGAGCGAGGCCGGTGGTTCCAGGAAAGGGACGCGGCACAGCGAGCAGGGTGCTTCGGGGCAGTTCTTGTCATCCCTGGAGAATGTCACCAAGTCCATCACCGGGTTGAACACCAACTGCTATTTCTTCTTCTGTCTCAAGTCGAACGATCGCCGCATTGCAAACCAGTTCGACAGCAAATGCGTACGGGCTCAGGTCCAGACTTTCGGCATTGCCGAGATCAGCCAACGGCTCAGATCAGCCGACTTCAGTCTGTTCCTGCCGTTTGGCGAATTCCTCGGCCTGGCCGACTCCGACACGATCCTAGTCGGCAGTGAGCGGGAAAAGGTCGAGCTGGTGGTGGAGGAAAAGAGATGGCCCAGCAACGAGGTCCAGATCGGTTCCACCGGTATCTTCCTCAGCGAAAGGTGCTGGATGGAAATTGCTCCAGTGGGCGACATCGGCTCGCAGTCCGGCCGTTTCGGCCTGCCGTCAGAGACGGCGCCCTCGGATGCCGCTTTCGGCGCATCGAAAGAGCGACTGATCTCGGCGAGCAACACGCCACATTCTTTCGGGGACAGGAAGGCCGGGTATTTCGGGAGCAATGATGTGGATGCTCGCTCCGACGCCGGCGTGTCTGCCTTTGGGGGTGGCGACATGTTTAAGAACCTCGACACCAGGGAGCAGATGGCGGAGAGGGGCAACGAGAAGAAGCTGGTCGAGGTTGAGGAGTTCAAAGACAGCTCTAGCCGGAAGCGCTGGGTGTTCATCACCTACCTCTTGACCTTCTTCATCCCCGACTTCCTCGTCAGGTTCCTGGGGAAGATGCCGAGAAAGGATGTTCGCATGGCCTGGAGGGAGAAGGTGGCCATCAACATGATCATCTGGTTCTTCTGTCTCCTGGCCGCCTTCTTCATCGTCGGATTCCCCATGCTCATCTGCCCGCGGCAACACGTCTTCAGTTCGGCGGAGCTGACGTCGTACAACGGCAAGTCTGGCAGCAAAGGCGCCTATGCCGCCATTCGCGGCCAGGTCTTCGACATCGGGTCGTACGCTCCAAGGCACTACCCGAGTTACCTCCCCACCAAGATGCTCACCCAGTACGCCGGCTTAGACATTACCGCTCTCTTCCCCGTCCAGGTGTCTGCCCTGTGCCAGGGCAAGGACGGTTCGATAGATCCGCATGTCACTCTGGACTACAAGTCGACCAACGTGTCCGGATCTCCGGCCGTCATCAATAGCCAGGACCTGAACGCCAAGTACCACGATTTCCGCTATTTCACAAACGACAGTCGGCCGGACTGGTTCTCCGAGTCCATGATCATGCTGAAGGCGGGTTACAAGGTCGGAAACGTCGGTTACACGGCAAAATATGTTTCCACGCTGGCAAACAAGCAGAACTCGATCGCCATCCTCAACAGTCGTGTTTACGACCTCACCAAATACTTGGCCGGCGGCCGTCGTCAGGAGGCCGCCCCGGGAGAGCAGGAGCCTGACGATCCCGATGCTGTCAACTTCATGGACCAGCTCGTCATCGACTTGTTCCAGCAAAAAGCGGGCGGGGACGTAACCAAGTACTGGCAGGCACTCGCCCTCGACCCTCAGAAAAAGGCAGCCATGCTTCTCTGTCTGGACAATCTCTTCTACGTCGGCGATGTCGACACCAGAAACTCGGTCCGCTGCAAGTTTGCCGAATACCTGATCCTGGCCGTGTCGATTATGCTCTGCAGTGTCATCGGCTTCAAGTTCTTCGCCGCTCTCCAGTTTGGGACCAAGAACACGCCCGAGAACCTCGACAAGTTCGTCATGTGCCAGATCCCTGCGTATACGGAAGACGAGGACTCGCTGCGCCGCGCGATTGACTCGGCCGCCAGGATGCGATACGACGACAAGCGCAAACTCCTGGTTGTCATCTGCGATGGCATGATTATCGGCCAAGGCAACGACAGGCCGACGCCTAGAATCGTTCTCGACATCCTGGGAGTGTCGGAGACGGTGGACCCCGAGCCGCTGAGCTTCGAATCCCTCGGCGAAGGTCTCAAGCAGCACAACATGGGCAAGGTCTACTCGGGTCTCTACGAAGTCCAGGGCCACATTGTCCCGTTCCTGGTCATTGTCAAGGTCGGCAAGCCCTCCGAGGTGTCACGCCCTGGTAATCGTGGCAAGCGAGACTCACAGATGATCCTCATGCGGTTCCTCAACCGCGTGCACTACAACCTACCCATGAGCCCTCTTGAGCTCGAAATGTACCACCAGATCCGGAATATCATTGGCGTCAACCCCACCTTCTACGAGTTTATGCTACAGATCGACGCCGACACCGTCGTTGCTCCCGATTCGGCCACTCGCATGGTCTCGGCCTTCCTGGACGACACCCGCCTGATCGCCGTCTGCGGCGAGACGGCCCTGACAAACGCCAAGTCGTCCTTCATCACCATGATTCAGGTATACGAGTACTACATCTCGCATAACTTGTCCAAGGCCTTCGAAAGCCTGTTCGGTTCCGTGACCTGTCTGCCCGGTTGTTTCTCCATGTACCGCATCCGGGCTCACGAGACGGGTAAGCCCCTTTTCGTGAGCCGCGAGGTCGTTGAGTCGTACTCGACCATCCGCGTCGATACGCTGCACATGAAGAACCTGCTGCACCTCGGTGAGGATCGATTCCTGACGACGCTCCTGCTCAAGTACCATTCCAAGTACAAGACTAAGTACATCTTCGATGCTCACGCCTGGACTATTGCTCCGGACAGCTGGAAGGTGTTCCTGTCACAACGTCGCCGCTGGATCAACTCGACCGTGCACAACCTAATCGAGCTGATACCCCTGGCACAGCTGTGCGGATTCTGCTGCTTCAGCATGCGCTTCATCGTCTTCATCGACCTCATGTCTACCGTGGTCCAGCCGGTCACCATCGCCTATATCATCTATCTTATCGTGCTCGTGGTCGAGAAGTCGACCGTCGTGCCCATCACGGCGTTTGTGCTGCTGGCCGCCATCTACGGTCTGCAGGCCATCATCTTCATCCTGCGCCGCAAGTGGGAGATGATCGGCTGGATGATCCTCTACGTGATCGCCATCCCCGTCTTCAGCTTCGGCCTGCCGCTGTACGCCTTCTGGCACATGGACGACTTCAACTGGGGCAACACGCGCGTCGTGGCCGGCGAGAAGGGCAAGAAGATCGTCATCACCGACGAGGGCAAGTTCGACCCGGCGTCCATCCCGCGCAAGAAGTGGGAGGAGTATCAGGCCGAGCTGTGGGACGCCCAGACGTCGCGCGACGACGCCCGCTCCGAGATCTCGGGCTTCAGCTACGCCACCAAGCCCAACATGCCCGTCTCCGAGTACGGCTTCCCCGGGAGCAGGCCGGGCTCCATGGTCGGCTACCCGCTGGGCGGCGGCGGCGGCGGCGGCGGCGTCTACTCGGACAAGACGCCTCCTCCCCTGCCGCAGATGCCGCACAGCGCGAGCCGCATGTCCTTCGCGGCGTCGGAGCTGATGCCGGGCAACCGCGTGTCGCAGTTCGGCGGCTCGCAGCAGCAGTTCTTCCCGCACAGCGCCTCGCAGCAGGACCTGGAGCTGTCCAACCTGGCGGGCATGCCGAGTGACGACGCGCTCCTGGCCGAGATCCGCGAGATCCTCCGCACGGCCGACCTGATGACGGTGACCAAGAAGGGCATCAAGCAGGAGCTGGAGAGGAGGTTCGGCGTGTCGCTGGACTCGAGGAGGGCGTATATCAACAGCGGTATGGTCCCCCCCCACCCCACCCCCTTTATAACTTGCAGTTCCCCGTTGCTGACTCTCTGATTCTAGCTACCGAAGCGTTGTTGTCCGGGCAGTTGTAGAGCCCGTCCCTTCTTTTGTTTGGACACGAGCGAAAGTCCTGTTTATTTTTGGGAGGATTTACAATCTATCGTAATCATCTAATGCATCCGGAGGAGGAGGGTGGTGGGCAAGAGGACCAGCATAAATGAGAAAATCAACACCATTGGCAAAACACTTGGGGTTCCTTTTTTGGACTCAGAATATGCTCGGTTTGAAATTTACGACGACATATCCGGTTCTATCTTAGTTTGTATGCTTTGTTTTCTCTCTCCTTTTTTCCTTGTGGTGCTTTCCTCGCGGCTACGGATGTATTCGTATCAGCGTAGCTAGGCGATGCAACCGGGGGGGGGGGGCTTTCCCTTTTGGCTGTAAGATCTCATTTCGATGGACTGGTTGGATATATTAGGAGTTTTTATGGTGCAGCCAGATAGAAAGAAAAAGAATACAGCAGCGCCTGCTAGTCATCTCACTGCCGCTCTTTCCTACTTCGTTTGACAGATGAATTCCGTGCTCTTCGTTCCGTCCTTGTAAGTCCAATTACACCTCCTGGACACACCAGCACCAGCACCTGCTCCTGCTCCTCCTCGGCGATTACCGCTTCCCGGCCGCCGCGGCCTTCGCCGCCGGGACCTCGTCGTCAAGCCCCAGGATGTCGGGCAGCGGGCCGACGGGGGTGATAGACAGGGGGTTGATCTGGGTGTGGCTCTTGGTGTAGTGGAACTTGATGTGCTGAAAGTTTGTCGTCTCGCCGAAGGCGGGCACCTTCCAGTACAGATGCCGCATCCAGCGGTGCAGGGCCGGGTAGCCCGACCGGATGTCATGGATGTTGCACTTGAAGTGCTGCACGTAGACGGGCTGTGTGGGGGTGGTGGTTAGTTGGGCTTTTTGGTTTGTGTGATGGGGATAGGGGGTGGGAATGATAGATGATTTGAGTATGGGGGGAAACGAACATCAAATCGGATTATGGTCACGAACCTGTAACGGAGTCTTGTCAGCATTCCCCCTTGCTTTCATACAAAAGGTCCGAACAGGAGAACCCAAGAGGCTCGGATTTCCACTTACAGCCGGATATCAACCTCAGTGATCTCCTTTCCGAACCAGTAGGGGCCCTCGCCGGAGGCCAGATGCGCCTCGGCCTTGTCGAGCGCCTCAAACAGGGTTGTGACGGCCTTCTCGTACGCCTCCTGGGTGGTGGCAAAGCCGGACTTGTAGACACCATTGTTGATCTGGTCGTACTGCCAAACGTGTGCCTCCTCGATCTGCTGCTGGAGTTCCTTGGGATACAGCACCACGCTACGGTATTTCTCATCGATAATGTCGTCAAACTGAGCACAAGCGTGAGCAGATGATCCGATAAGCAGCCTCTGGAGGACACAGAACGCAGCCCTAGCACCTAGACTTTTCGCCAAGGAAGACCTGGTGCCAGGCCGCAAGTCCCAAGACTCAACTAACCTCGGTTCCAAACATGCGCAAGATCTCGCTGCTCTCGTTGTTCACAATGGTCTTCTGAACCTTGTCAAACAGGACAGGCACTGTAAAGCGACCCTGGTACTCCGGGTCGACACTGAAGTAGAGGTCGCGCAGGTGCGTGAAACCCTCGTGGCCTTGCACGGGATCGGGGATAACGTTCTCGCCCGGGGCGTCCTTGTCCTCGGAGGTTGGGAAGCGCCATCCTTCGGAAGGAGGTTGAGCATCAGCATATCAAATGGATTGCATCTCCGCCCGGTGAAAAAAAAAAAAAAAAAAAAAAAAAAAGGAGTGGGGGGGAAGGGGGCAGTCGTCTCGTCTTACCTTTCGGGCCCATGTGCCAGTGGACGGCGGAGAAAGAAATAATGTCTTCCAGACCCTTCAGCTTTCGGGCAATGAGGGTACGATTGGCCTTTGGAACTAAGTTAGAAATGAAATTCCACTCCCATCTTGGCTCCAGGGAGGAGCGGTTCGGTCAATGTCACTCACCCAGGGGCAAGCATAGCTGATATACAGATGGTATCTGCCCTTCTCGGCCGGGAACTTGGCGCCCTTTTCCTTGGAGATCCAGTTTCTGAAGGAGCTCTGCTGCCGCTTAAACTCCCCCGACTTGTCATTGGGGTTTACCCAGTCGGTGATCTTGTTGTCTTTAGAGGTCTATATCGTACGCCTGTTAGCTCTGATCGCCTCTTCCGCCTCATGCGTGCAACCCCAGCCGGATGGTCCAAGCCAATCAGCCATGAAATAATGATACCACGAAGAGAATCCGTCCTCAATGGTATTTCAACCCTGCCCGCTCTGGCATTACTTCGGCCAACTACCTGACCAACCTGAGAGGGGTGAAAGGGAGGTAAAACGGCAAGAAAACCCACCATGGTGACACAAAAGCTTCGAGCTGTGGCCGTAGGATAGCAGTTTCCCTGTCTCAATGTTCGACGTCCCAGGAATGGTGAAGAGGTTAGTCTCGTCGTCGTTATCGTCCTTGATGAGATAGCTCGAACTTGGAAGGCTGTAGGGCGAAGCTTTCGAATTGGGTAATTAGACTTGGATTGTCCAATGATTCTGGAGACAGCGTGCTTGATCTCGAGGCTCGCGAGGGGAGCTCTTAAGAATGGCATAGGCGTCAAGGGTATATGCAGGTATATACACATGAGCTGCGCAATTAGTCAGACCATGAGGGTGTGGCGAGGTCCGGCATCTGATTATTGGAGTGCTTTCTTATCTCTTATGCACCCCTCTAAGCACCCTCTAATTCGTAGCTGCTGGATTGACAAATAGTGACGTAAGCCTCAAGCCTAGGTAGGAGTTTACTAACTCTTAGTAATGCTACTTAGAGCTAAAACCAAGGTGACGATGTGGATTATTCTTTTTTTTTGGATATTCGAGAGAAAATTGAAAGTATTATAGAGCGATTAGAAAGATCACAATCCTCTCAGGAGGTACCCAGGGGAGTGTTGAGTGGATTTACAACTATCTACCCATGTCCCTGGCTCTGGCCCAGCGAAGCAACTTCCTCCATATACCTAGGGGAGCAAATTGCATCTATAAGTGCCATGAAAGTTGTGCAAACAACCCACAGGCAAATCCATACTGTCTATAGCCCGTCCTTCTTTCTACACAGAAGATATGCAGACATGAGAGATCCTAACCATGTTCAAAAGAAAGTGGGATAATCCAGTTCCGAAAGAAAAGAAATACAAGCTTCTTCCCCCCAGTCTGGATAGCAAATGCCTCCCTACCAATGCGTCGTCAACCCATGAACGAGCCCGAAAGCTAGGCAGAGGAGCCGCCGCTCCATAAGGGGCCATTCTACCACACGCCTACCTGATTTTGACCTTCAGGTACGGCACCTCGACATCCTCGCCACTGACATCCTCGACAACGACCTCGAAGATGACTTCCTTCTGGTGTTCTGGAATGGGCTTCTTCGAAATGGTCTCGAGCAGCTTGCTAAGCTTCAACTCGTACCTATCCTTGAGCTTGGAGTTCGGGAAGAACGACGCATAGAGCAGGCTCACGCCCGAGCTCAACATCGAGATAGATAAGCCGCGCTTCTTGAAGTCCTCAATGAGCTCCTTGAGAGTGATGTCCTCCAGCTCGAAGCGATCCCAGATTTGGTCCAGCGTGACCTTGCCATCTGGGCCCGTGTACTCGATCTTGGGACTGGGAATCGGCTCGCTGAAACCAAAGAAGGGCAGCGCCAGGTTGATAAAGCCGTTCTTGTACTGCTCGATATCATCCTTCCCGTCAATGATCTTAAAGAGCTCCAACACGACCAGGCCCGTGACCAGAGCGGTCGTCGTCGCGATAGCAGGGATGATCTTGCCCGCAATGAACTTCGTCTTGTGTCGGTCCGCCTGCTCGATCTTGTAGTTCTCGGCACGCAGGTTGCTGGCTGCCGCGATGAAATCGATGTGATGGTTGGTGTCATCATCCTTCTCAAACTCGACAGGAGTGAGCTTGAATCCTGCTAGGGACTTGGGTTCCGGGAGCTCATCCCTGAGGTTTTGCAGCTCGGCCGTATCGTCGAAGGCGCTCGCCTCGGCGCTGGGTTCCTGCTCAAATGGTTAGCAAAAGGTCTCGTCCCAAGCGACGGATGTGCAACTTACAGGGGGGTTCTTGTCATCGACCTGGATTTTGACGTCGGCATCCGGAGTAAAGTCGGGAATGATCATCGAGTCCAAGGCTTGCAGGTAGTCTGCCTTGGTCTTGCCCCTAACATTGATATTGTAGTTAAAGGCGTGCAGACTCGTGGCCGCGACCAGGAAATCATAATGGGTCCGGTTCTCGGTGTCGAATTTGAGCGGGTCTGGAGCTCGCTTGGGGCCGGACCAGAAAGGAGTGCCCGTTGACATGACCGAGTCCTTGGGGAAACTGTAGAGCAGCTGCTGGATCGCATTGTTGTACTGTTTCTCGAACAGCATCCGTGCCCACTGCACGCAGTCTTCGAAGGTCAGAGCCCGCTCGTTCTTCAGGTAATCCCGCAACGTCTCAAGCATGACCTTCTCGTTTCCGCCTTGCTTCAGGGTTGTGTCGAGATAGTTGGGTTGGCTGAGGTAAAGGTTGGCGGTTTCGGCCGGTTTGACAAACGAATTCTCAAACAGCTCGCGAGCCCATGCGATCGTGTGCTCGATCTTGTTGGGGAAGCTTCGAAGAGTGCACATGGGGAACGACTGCTCCGGCGGATCTTGAGAAGACGAGTACGACTCGGTGAGACGCGGGAGGACGACCTGAGTGTTGCCTTTGGTTCCCAACGTCCCGCTCTCGAGGAGCGGTTTGTGGAAGAAGACACACCTCCGATCGACGTAGGTTCTGGTTTCGACGTTGTCCAGCGCATTGGTCACTCCGTCCAGAGACCCCCAGAAATCTTCGTTGAAGGTATCCTCGGTATCTGTGCCCACCCGATCCTTAAGGGTCACAATATGGCCCTCGAGGTCGGGGTTCATCGATGTCACGGCCTTGGCCGCACAGTCGCTCTTCATCTGGCCGACGTCTTTGGGTCGGAACAAAAACTGTCGGTTAAGGTTGCTCTTCTCGATCGAGTCCATATCAGTAACGGTGATTTTGCCCTTGGGACCGGTGCCGAGGCCAATCATGGCCCAATTCTTGAGCATCTCGCAGCCGATTGCTCCAGCGCCAACCAAGAACTGCTGGACATTGGAGATCTTCTCTTGGTACTCCTTGCCGAAGACCGCGATTTGACCGTCGTACCGGGTGCCTAGGGGCTTGCAGAGCTCTTCAGTACGCGCCGAATTAGTGGGTAGCGATTCCAGCGAGTCGAAGTACATCCACTGCTTCACCGGGTGGAATTTTCCCGATACGGCTTTGAGAACCTCCTGAGCCGTGAGGCCTCCAAAGAAGGCCGCCATGGGGCTTAGATCGCCATGGGCCTGGTAGCTGAGTTCCTTGAGTAACTTCTCGTCCGCCTCGATGTCGACGCCCTCGGCCTCCATAAATGCACGTGCCGACGCCACAATGACTGTCGCATCCTCCTCGTTCATCGGACGTGGGAGACGGTTGTGGGTCTGGACAAATGCATGGAGTGCCTGCAATCCAATATGCAGCTGCTGAGGCCGGTCGAACTTGGCGAAGTCGGACATGACGAATTCGGCGTCCTTCATGGATTCGGAAATGCTCTTGAAGTCGAGGAACTTGGGCATCTTGACCTGCTGGTACAGGCCCCCTCGCTTATACTGTCCGAGGCCAGATACGTCGCCAATGGAGAAAGTATAGGGGCCCTTGACCGTGATCTTGCGGGGCTCGCACCCGTTCAGGCCCTCCATACCCTCAACTTCGGTGAATGTGACGTAGTCGCCATCCTCGAGGCCATGTCTCGCATCATCCAGGGCAGACACCAGGCCTTCCTCATCGATCGAAACAACAATGCCGGTGAGGGGGTTCTCGCCAGTCGGGTCAATAACTGTGAAATTCTTGCCGAAGTCGCAGAAAATCGAGCCGAACAGGCCAAATGTGTCTGCGACGATGAAATAGATTCCCTTCTGGTGGCAGTAGTCTCCGATGGCAAGCTGGTCCTTGAGTGGGGTATTCGTGAGGACGACAACTTGGTATTTGTCGAGCTGGGACAGGTTCCCTCCGAGGCTGGTGTAGGCGAAGGTGAGGTGTTAGCCTTTGCAGGAGGGGAAGGGACATTGGGGAGAGCAGAGGAGCTTACGCTGCAGACTCGTGGACATGGACTGGGGTGTAAGCATTTAGCTCGGCAACCCGGGGAGCTGTGACCTGATCCCGAGGTTTTCCAACATCGTCTGGTCGGAGGAAGAACTGGGAAGAAAGGTCGGCAATAGCAACGGGGGCGGGATCGTAGAGGGTCAGGCTCTTGACGCCAGCAAGAGCGACGTTCTTGGCAACCTCGACACCGAGTCCCTTGAGACCAGCGATAAGGACATGGGAAGCGCCCATGCGCTTCATGGCCTCGTGACCCAAGACATAGAGCTGCCGGCTGTAGAGAGACTCGTCGATGTCATTTGTGCCAACCATGGACTCGTCAACCTGCATCCGGGTGACCAAGTCAACCTCTGGAAGCTTTTGTCCCTATTTGGGTTGCATATGTGATTAGCCCTTGCTCAGCCGCGCAGACAGTCTCGGATCATGGATGTGCATGGAGAGACGACAGCATGGTGGCATAGGGTTTGCGGATGCCATATATTGGGCTGATGAACCATCGAAGCAGAACCTTGGGCCAGGGCATGGGGAAAAGGTCGGGCAGGCATCACTCACAGTCATGGCTTTCTTGTGGGATTTAGGCCGGTCGCCGATGGACAATTTGCGCTTCCCCAGCTTGACGAAGGTATGTTGATGGTGCAATAGGGCGCAGTAGTGAGGACCGGGAGAGTCGAGGAAATGGGAATCAGAATGGGGAATAGGAATCCAGGAAATGTGACGCGGTTGTACTGAACTGAGAGGTTGAGGCCAACCAACCCCGCTAAGCTTGCCGTCACCTGAAAAGGTGGGGGGGTTGTTTCGGGGAGCTTGTTTTAGTCTAGGCTGTTTTAGGAGGGAAAAGCGTATGTCGTCACCTCTAAAGGCCCGAGGTCTTGGTTTGCTGTTCAGAAGTGGACAGGGAGAAAAGAGTTTTCGAGTAAAAGCAGAGAACCTCAGCGGCGGGATGTTGGATCCATGGATGACATATATGGATCAGATGGAAGCCATTGGATAAGGTACCTAGGTACCTATACTGCTATGTGATTTCTAAACAGAAAAGAGGCAATGCAGGGCTGCCCCTCCGTGGACCGTGCGTGTCCAACCCAGCTTTGACCTTCGCCGAGAATCTACCGAAAACAGAGGCCATCGATGGGAGACTGGAGGGGTTTCCTGGGCTCCATGACAAGTCCTTTAAAATGTCCAGGCTTCCTTCCTATAATCAAGTTGGACATGTGGCAGTTAATTTCCAAGAACCTGGAGCAGGCAGGCACTGACAACCGTATCGATGATGGTACACCACCTAGGTAGGTAGGAAACAGTGCAATCATGTGTGACTCCAGGGAACGGAGAACGTAGGGACCACAGAAAATCGACATCAAACAAGCCTCGACGAAAACGAAGGTTTTATCCCAAGTAGCTGGAGATAGCTAGAGATAACTAGCTAGCTACCCATCACGAGATATGCCATGTACGGGCATAACCCTACTCGGTCGCCCAGGCAAAAAGAAAAACCCCTTCCAGATATTCACTGCCCTCTTCTAATCGCACCATGGCCTTCTTCCCTTATTGTTCAGTTGATTTTCTTGAGGTAAACATCGCTGAAGTTAAGAATTAGCAGGTGTCTCGGACAGCAGGGGCAGGGCAGTGCGGGACTCACAAGATCAGGTCCGCTCGTGGGGGGATATGGCCAGTGAATCCTCTGGAGTAGTCGCCGTCAGTCAGTTATAATTCCCGGATGGACGATAGCTAGGCTGCCTGTCCAGATTTCATGCACAGCCAAAGCAGGCAGTCGAGATGATCACTGCGCGAAGCTGGTATTGATAGTGCTTACCTCTCTCCATAACCGTAGTCACTGCAGGAAGAAGGATGGTCAGCATGTACGTTCAGGGGTAAAGTATGTAAGCTCTTGAACAGGAAGCACTCACCTTGTGATATCGAGAGTGGCCTTCTCGCCAACCTTCATGGCCAAGACGCCCTCGTCCCAGCCTGGGGATATAGAATTAGCCCTGCTTGTCCGTGACTAGCGTAAAAAAGAAAATGAATACCTTTGATGACTTGGCCAACTCCGATACTGGTCACAAAGTCGCCGCGGCCAACAGAAGAGTCGAACCTAGAGGGGAGGGGAGATATGTAGGTCAGTATATAGACGACAATTACAGGGTACCTATAAGCTTGCTGGGGTTTGGGGCTTTCTCACTTGTTGCCCTTGTTGTCGGGCTTGCTGGTGTCCTTGATCCAGCCAGTGTACTCGATTGTGACCTTATCTCCGGCCTTGGGAACGGCGCCGTTGCCCTCCACATGAGTAGTCTTAGTGACGGCCATTGTGATGTTTTGGTATTGGCGATTGCTGCGATAGTCTGTCTAGGTGAGTAAATATGTACTGGGGTAGGTAGTTCTTCGAAGGGGGATTTGTGTACTGGGTAAGCTGTTGAGGAGCTCAAGCTTGATTGCTGATGTGGGCCCCCGGCTACGTCGTAATAAGTGGCGGGAAAGTCGGATGCTAGTGGGGTAGCTAGTAAGTGGTGGGGTTTCTTGGGAAAGAGCGAGAATCAGAAGATTCACAAGGAAGCATCTAATGTGTATATGGAAGCTGCAGGAGTGAATGGGAACGGCGAAGGGAGGGGGTACTCGGTGTATTTGAAGACAACTAGTAACCACCTAGAGACGCCAAGGTTCATCTTCCCAAGCCCTTTAAGGTGTTTTGTACGCAACGTAGGTACAGTACGGTACCTACCTAACTACATCACAGTCTGCCGTGGGGATTAGCCCAGGTCGGCAACCAGCAATGGGGGATGGGGCAAGGATCGAGGTAGCATCTACCATCTTTTTGGCCTGCTTGGCTACCTTCCAGTATGTAGGTAGTGCATGTCGCATCTTATTTGTTCCAGCGCAGGATTTGGCCGATCTTCCAACTCCTTCCTACAAGGCGCAAGCCACTAAAAGCCAAGCCAGCATGGGAGGCACGGATGGCCATGGGCATGAAGCATGGGAAGCGGTGGAAAGAAAAATCGTGTCCATGTGTTACTCTGTTCACTAACTACACACGGGTATCCACTAACAATTTATCCTACGGTCCTCTCTGATGTTGTTAAGGAGTAACGTATCTTAGTTTTTATGCAAGGTAACAAATGGACCGATTTTCCTTTCCACCGCTTGCATGGATAGGTAGGGTACCAGTATGAATTACATGATCGGTGATGGATCATTGGTAACCACATCAGGCACGTGTGATGTGATAGCGACGAGAGATATACCTCTGGTGGAGCACTGACGCAGCGCAACCTCCCTGTTTTAACTTCGAACGGGGCTATATGCCCTACACTACTCCGTACTCGGTACCTCCATCTTCTTCAGATGCAGTGCGAGATCTCGCGCGGGGGTTAGTTCACTTGCGGGGCTCGACAATCGCATGTTTAATCTTATATTTCATTCTTGTTTTCTCCCACGCTGGGCAAGGCATACGCTTCGATGCGCAGCTAAGCTGGCTGAGACTTGCTGCCGCGAGATGTAGTCCTGGCACCGAATCGTCGTGCGCATCTGCAGTCGCAGCAGATGCGCCGCCAGCAAACCAGCTAATCATAGCTCCCCATCAACGGACCCTTGTAGTCGCCCAAAAATCATGGCATCCAGAGTTCAAGAACGGCCCACCTGCTGGTCCAGTGATACCGCGAGCATCACCCTCCGCCAGGTTTCGCTTGCGTGATATTCCACCGGTCTGCGAGCCGAAGAAGTATTGTCTCGCTTCATGACAAAGTGACAATGTCAGTGGAACAAGGGAGAGAGACATCTAGCCCCCTGGTAGACGGGCGGTGAGGGCGATCATGGCGGCCCGCGATGTCGACTACTAACTGCAACTGGCCAAGCTGAGCTGCAGATGGGATCCTTATTATGGCGGCATTTTTCGACTGCGGCTTCGATAGCGCCTTCGGAGGCAGCTGGGGCAAGGGAGGGAGCGTGGTAACAGGAGCTAAACTGGCGTGGTTGGTGACCGAGCCATCGATGCAGCATACAGTCAGATCTCACATTTGGCGACTCGGAACCCGCATCTGTCGCTTCATCGACTCGGTCCGGGGCACTGGCGGTGCAGCAATGACGTTGCCATCGCCTGCCGGCTGGGTCTGTTGGGAACCTCCATTCATGTCTGGACGCCATGTCGCCCAGATGCCCGTTGGTTGGCGTCCGGAGTCTCGGAGCTGCGAGAAGAAGCCGTCTAGGTGCAAGACAAGCTAGGGTCCTGCAGCCGCCTGGCACGATAGGGCCTGACATTGGAGGAAAACGTGGGTGGTCTTTCCTACGGCGGGCAATGGCATACCGAGCGGACCCGATCAGTGCGGCCCATGTCCCTGACATTACCTTTAAGGTAGGTATTCAAGCTGAATCGGACCTAAGCCTGCCGCCAACTAGGTAAGCCAGCTGGACGAAGTTGACGTGGCCAGGTGCTGGCAGGCGTGGACAAGTTAGCTGTGTAGGTTGTCCACCGCAGCACCTCGCCGGGGGACAGGCCGGTCCCCCTTTTCTGATCTATCAGCTACCCTCCATTACTCTCTGCAGCGTCGATCAACCCACCACTTCTCGCTATTGCGAATCGGGATTTCATCCTCGGCCGAAATCTACACAAATACCGCATAGCATTTCCTATAGGTAATGGCGGGCTCTGTCATCTGAGAGACCCCTTTTCCCTTCCCCCCACCCTATTTTTCTTACTCCATATGCTGCGCCTCCTGCAGCACCTGCAGAGCTACAAAGTTGCGCTGGCGGTATGCAAATATGATTTTTGGCGTCGGGAAATTGTCGCTTCATTCATTGGTCTTCACCCGATTTTGCTTGCGAGATCGAGATATGGGTGTGGGAGGCCTGGGGCGGTAAACACGTGGAAGCAAGCAACTGGGCGATTCGGCTGCCCGAGGACCCTCGATGCGATCGGCCCAAGGTTGATCTCCCAGAATCCGGGCCTAAGCGTCTTGGCTGTTATGCAAGACGGAATCTTCCATGGCCAAATCATGGGGGTCTGGAGGGCCAGGGTCCTTAAGCATGTACAGGCAACGTTTCCAGTAGCTCGAGGGGAGGAGTGGAGAGAGAAAGAGGGAGAGAACTTGTTTACCCTTACCCTCTCGCGGCGGGGTAGGCCTTGGATCCCTTTTGGGCCCCTTCGAGATGAGGAATAATCACTAGATTTCCTGGTTGGAAATATCAGAGAGGATGCCTGGGGAAAAAGACTTCAGAGGGCTTGATATTCCGAGCAGGGAACACCTCATGGGCCTAACAGAAAACCATCTGCAGCCTTTCCACTCCACTTCAGCAACGCGAAGATAATGAGAGAGATACCCAATCTTTCTATTGACATGGGATGTGTTTTAACCCCAAGGATGAGACTCTCAAGTTACTTTCAAGGGTGAGTTTGATGATCGGGCCAATCTTTGGTAAGCCCCAAGCAACCCGGGGAGCCTTCGCTGACACAGCTGAGTGTGACTAGACCAGGCAGATGGATATGTCATCCAGATGCCATGCTCTACTGAAACGACATCGACACGACATTAGGCCGCGGAGAACAGAAAGACTGCCATACGAACATCTATCCCAAGCCCGAGTAACTCCTCTAATACGTCACGGAGGACGAGAGGATATCCGTGGCTGAAAGTTGGGGCGACTTCCCAAGACTAGCTGGCGACATCGGCACCGATGTATCAAACAGCCGCCTGCTATCGTTAGTCTGATCAGGATACCCATGGCACCGCGCTTTGCACATTGATTCTCCCTCAGATGCCGAAATTTCTGTCCCAAGTTCATCATTCCGTGTGGCCGAGGTAGGGAAGGCTGGATGGAGGTTAAAGTCCAGTCTGAAACGCGACTTCCAAGAAACGGGAGTCTGTGTCTCATCCCTGGGACGATCTTGAAACATCGTATTAACTGTCCGAGAATCATTCTGGGAGTCTGTCCTCGAAGCCGCGGAGAGTGTTATCAAGTGCTGGAGAGCTCAACGCAATCTGGAACAGAGCGAATCGTCATCAGGAGCCTGGGACGTCGGCAATACCTGAATCCCTGGACTCCGCTTAAACCACGCAGCTCAGTGAAGGCCTTGAGAACTACCGATGTTCTTGGGAACATCCCTTTCTCACGTCGCCCCAGTCTCCCGGTTAAATGGCTCCGCTCCGGAGAGATATTCTGGGGGTTATCAATCTTGGAACCATGGCTCTCTAGTGGATTAAACATGCTAAGCCCGAACTTATGGTGACGGGGCCGGCCCCAACTCTTGTGATATGGGAGGCTACAAAGTATTGCTATTGTCAACGGAATATTAAACGAGTGACAAGGTAAAATAAACGAGCTTATCCAGCTGAAGCGGCCGGGAAAGCCAAGCAAGCTAGCTGAAAAGACGGAATTGTATGGTGAAGGGCGGGATACCTTCCTTTGGTGCAATACCTACGCAGGGAGCTGATATGGGTAATAAGATTCGATTGTGCTGTTCCCCGGTTTGTTGGCTCCGTCTCTGCGATGGCCTATCCTCTGAGGAACACACCGCACTTCGCCCATGGGCGACGCTTATTGGAGAGCCTTGGCCTCCAATGTCCGGGCTCCCGTGTTCCTACTGCCAATTTCTTTCCATCACAATGGCTCCAATTGGGGCCCTGAATCACCACGGTAATGGTTGCTGCCCTGAAACGGGACAACCAAGGACAGGCATCTGCTCCAGAGGTCATCGGAAAGGAGGCCACCCGCGGCTTGCGGGTCATAGTCTGTCCAGAGTCTCCAGACCTGAAAGAAGTCAGAGAGCGCAGAGCGCCCTTGATTTTCGTTCCACTTTGCGAAAACCGGGGTTGCATTCCAGGCTATGGCTCAGCAGACGATTTTTAAGACAGTCTGAGACTGAAACCCGCTGGGGCTATGCCATCAGAGTCATCGACGTTGGCTTCGAAAGACTTGACTGCCTCACCGACTCCGCGAGACAAAGAAGACGCACTGGGGCTTTGACGATTGGTTGCTAGCTGATTGGGTGGCGAGGGACTGGAGAGGTCAATATTTCCAAGCCCGAGTCTATAAAGGGAGCAATGAGATTTGTCATCTCGCACAAAGACGTGTTCTCAGTTGATATCCATCTTAGCTGGGCGCCCAGGAAGTTCTTTCGATTCAATCAATATATGACGGTTCTAGAGGGCGCCGCCAGCTGCCTAGTTCAGATTCATGCCATTAAACTGATGCCTGGATGGTTGAGGTGGCCGTGATGTTCTTGTCCAGAGCAAATATCTTTGAAGGCGTGGAGACGGACGATCGGCACTGGAAGGCGGCACCGCACGGAATGGAAGCCACATGTCACGTTACGGTTACGGCACCGGACCCAGGCTGGCATAGGAATCCGAATGACGGAACGGGCTACGGAGCTCGGAAGGATGGACCTCCACCCAAAAAGTGGCGAATTTTAGGAAGGAATTCCCAGCAGCGCCAGCCACGCCAGCCTCTTTCAAGTTTTCAGGTTTTCAAGTGGTGCATGGCTTGCTTGTCATTGTCGTCGTCGTCGTCCTTTGTCAAAATTCCCGAATGTGCAACACCAAACAAACCGCTTTGGCCCGCCCCCCACTTGGCGTGACATGTAATTAGTGCCAGTTTTGGGCCGCAGGACCCACACCCTTCAGTATATTGATTAAATTATATGGATTATTGTCTGCGGATAGCGAGGTCAGTGGGCAACATACCATGTGAGGGGTACCAAATAGATGAGATGACGCCGACTTTTATGGCCCTTCAACAGTCAGTTTTGTTGCCATGATACCTGGTTCTCAGAAATACGTGCGTCTTGCGCAATCTCCAAACGCACTGCAGATGAGAGGGCGCGCTGGTGATGGGAAGTGACTTGAGTGAGGCTGTGCTTCTCTTGAAAGAAAAACGTAAAATCCCACAAACACGAGCTGCATTCCCACTGGCGCACAGCTTGGTTGGGCGCATTGCACCCGTTTCACGTCCGGACAAAGTCGGCTGATGACTAGGTACGCTCCTCTCTTTGTAGTTTGCACAATTGATGGAGTCAATTGGAGGGAATCCTTGACCATTCCAGTCACCCCGCGCGCCATGGCCATGAGGGCAAACGGGGAATGTGCGAGAGGGGGTGGCGGGTTCGGAAGCTGCTAGAAATTCGATCAAAACCATCGCCATCATAATGCCGGTCTGCTATTATCTGTTCTATAAGCTGTACGGAAGTATTTGCCAGATGCCCTCTGAACAGAGAGAAGGTAATCTGCTGATCACTGGCCATTCATCAGCCTGAGATGGGTTGGGAGAGTTGCGAAACAGATCTTTCCCTTGTTTAAACTGGGAGTGCAGGGATCAGAACGGGGGAGAATGGAAAATTGCTCTTCGGCGGTAGCACGAGGGAGAACGGGCCAATAACGGTTGGTTCTGTGGAGAGGGTCCCGGCCTTGGGTGGATTGGGGCCTTTAATGTTTCTTGCTACTTGCACAGCCCTTGTCAAAGACAAGCGTGGCACGTATTAATCCTGCGAGACAAAGAAGTCACAACCACGAGGCCCACATGTCTCTCCATTTTTAGGCCGGACCAAGCTCTGCCGCCAGCGCGCCACCACCCGCACACAGGCACTGTAATCTTAAACCTGGGCCCCCCTTACGACGAAATTGAAGACCCCACGGGCCTGCAGATTGGAGGCTTCAAGAAACACCAAAAAAGGCAAGAGAGTCGAACTCGAAGACACGTAGGGCCTGTTGCAGAGACAAAGAGCGTCATCCCCCAGCTTCTGGAACGCCACGCCGCTTACAGTAAGTTTTAGTTTTCATTTCTCCCTTGAACACATCATTCCGTTCCCCCTGTATCCGTACCTGGGAAGTTGCCAAGAATCAGGGCACGGCGCTAGCAACGCTGACCTCGCGCAAGGGGCTCACTAACGGGGTACGTACCGCCTTACTAAGTGGCATGGCACAGGATGCAACGGTCAATGAGCACCTCACCCTCTTATTGGAAGTGGATCCGCACGCAACATTCAGGCACCTGGCCCCAGCCTGGTGCGCAGCTACCTACTTCGTAGGCTCACACAAATACGACCCTTGCAGGTGCATCGACCGCGGTTGGTTGCTACCCAGATTCCCTGGGCACTCTCCAGCGGGCCAATCTCTCTCCCCTTTCCTGCTTACTCCGTTCACCTTCCTGCACTCTCACTCTCTTTCACCTCACCTTCCTTTTTCCTCTCCTTCCTCTCCGCACTCGACCTGACAAGCCGTTCCCTTGAGCGAAGTCGTCCGCTTTAACGCCTTCACGACCCCCGCCGAGGCTCCTATTGTTGCCGATTCTCTTCCCCCCCCTTCAGCAACGACTCGGACGAGGGAACCTTCAAGAGGGCAACGCAGATCCAAATGCCAACCCTGCCATGAGCCCTTGGACGTGACAGCCCGATACCCAGCCCTGAAGGACGATTTGCAAGACCAACTCTTTTGACGATTTTTCGTCAAGTCACTCTTTTACATTTGATTTGATATTTGCAGCAACACGTCGTCCCCGAATTGGAGAGAGGCGGATTATAACACCTAAATGTGAGTAACGCGATGGTCCACCCGTCTGGTGCGCATTTTGCATGAAACACAAGCCTCCGGGGACTGGGAGGAGGCCTTAGGAATCTGCCCTGGTCAACTTAATTTTCGAGTCGATCATGAGGATCATTCATGCACGGAGCACGTTGTGGGTTGTTCGTTTTTGCTGACGCCTCTGCCTTGGTTAGACACGCTCGTTGCCAATATTGTCAAGTACACTCGTTACTATTACTCCTGACAAGTGAGTCCGTCTTGTTCACCTTGAACGCGACGTCTCAGAGGGCTAACCTGTGGCCGGGAAGACCCCCCTATTCACGCGGCAATTCCTCTCCCTCCGAATCCGATTTTCGCCAGTGACCAGTTACTTGCATGACGAAATAGGGTTCTGTCAGAGAGCATGCGTTCGAATACACTGTTGGTGGCCGCTTTGGCCGCGGCAGCATCCGTCGCCGCCGTAGAACCTGCGAGACCGAGGATCTATTTTCCGCGACAGGTGAAGCGGCAATACACTAATGCCACAGGGACGTCGGATACGCCACTTGCGCAATTGACGTCCTTGGTCGAGCCACTGGCGGAGACGACCAAAAGAGAGCCAATTCTGAGTGGCGTGTTGGGCGGCTTGGGTCCCCATAGAAGTCCAAACAAAGGCAGCAGCGAGGCCAAAGTTACAACCATCATCATCGCAAGCACGATCGTTGTCCCTCCGTCTACCCCGAGTACCACATCCACTTCTTCGCCAGAGACGATCACTCCGACACCGACTCCGTCGAGCAGTAATGCCAATGAGACTGTTAGCGAGGGAGAGTCGAAGGAGACTTTCCCCCCGCTCATCGTACTGCCGAGCATCGGCATCGGCCGCCAGAGCACCACTACCGAGAGCACGACAGATGCTAGCACCACCACCGACGCTAGCACAGCGAGCACCGAAACCGCGCCGTCGGAATCCGTGAGCTCGGCAGGACCGTCGAACTCGACAGAGTCGGCTTCAGCATCCTCGACAGAGTCAGTTTCAGCATCCTCGACGGAGTCAGTTTCAGCATCCTCGACAGAATCGTCAGATTCCTCATCCTCGACCGTGACGTCTTCGACTTCCTCGACCGCTTCGACTGTCACCTCGACTAGCTCGACGAGCTCGTCGGGTATCCTGCTTGCTCCGACAGGCGTGGTGACAGCCACTTCGACCCTCAACCCTCTCGCACCCATCGGCTCCCTGATTAGCAGCGTCGTGTCTGAAGTTACGGGGGCGATTCTCCCGACGGCGAATCTCACCGACATCATCGATCCGACCCCTACGGCTCCCACTGCGACCGATTCGACCATCACTGTTCCAGTGACCATCCTGCCTGGAACCGGGAGCTCCACTCCGACTACGCCTCCAGACTCGTCAACGGTACCGACCGACGTTTCCACGTCGGTTGATCTACCGCCAGTTACGAATGCGACTGAGACCGCACCGCCAACCAAGGAACCAACCGTCACAGTCACCACGGACCTGCCGCCGTCAAATCCGACCGAAGTGCCTCAAAACTCTACCGTCACAGATGTTCCTCCTACCGATTCCAATCCGGAAACGACTCTGCCCCCAACAGCGCTCCCCACAACACCGACCAGCATTGTGACTATTTCTCCCAACACCACCAGCGTCAACACAACGGCCCCGGAAACTACCTCGCTGCCTCCGGATACAGCCAGTGGCGTTACCAGCATTAGTGCAACTGGAACCACCGTTGTCGAGCAGCCATGGCTCCCGACAACGATCATCATGGATCCTACGCCAACGACGACGACGGCCGGGTTGGCCCCTACCAGCGCTGTAAACCTCCCAACTGCCCTCCCGAAGGCGATCACTCCAGAGTCGGCCGACAATCCTCCGCCTGAGGATACAACGCTGATCCAGATCGGATTCGGCTTTGGAATGAACTACCCATTCGTCGTGAGCAATGCGAAGGCTGCAGCCCAGATCTTCCAGCTACTTCCCACGGCACTCAGCTACGCCGGAGGGTTCCCAGTGGAGAAGGTGCAGATGCGGAAACTCATCCCACTCAACACCCAGCAATCGCTTGGATACGTGACTACGCTCGCCATTGTCACGTACCCTAGCAGCATGGTCGAAGCTCTTCGGATGGATGTCAAGATCCCCAGTTCGCCACTCTACAGCAACAGAGAGCAGCTGGTCTACAACCTGACCCAGCAGATCAACTCGGCGATCGACATCATTCTTGGTTCTTATCCCGAAGACGGAGCCGCTTCCAGTGCAGATGGGGGAGCAGCGGCTACTTCCACCTCGACAGCAAACAACGATCCTTTCGACAACGGCGACGGTGATTCATCCAATTCTAGTTCTGGCCAGAGGGGAGCGACAGCAGGGATTGCCATGGGCGTCGTTGGCGTCGCTGCCGCGTATGGTGCTGCCATGTTCATCATTGCCCGGCGATACAAGAGGAAGAAGCAGGCCCACCGGCGGGCGAGCTCCATCAGCGATTCGTCAGGGATGCGCACTGCTGGTAGCCCGCCACTCATGGGTGGTGCGTTACTGAGCAGGGACTTCTCCTCGTACGGAGGCGTCGCCGGTGGCCGGGATAGCCATGGTAGCGGCAGGAGCGGGATGAACAACTCGGCACGGACCGCCTACATCTCGGCACCAGTAGCGGCGGAGAACTCCCTCGGCTGGAACTGATGATGAATCTACGAGCAACATATTCCCTACTTTGACCCCGTCCAATTTTTTTACGCTTCGATACCCTTTGGGGAGGTCCTCGTTTTGGCTTCGATGCATATAGCCTCGTTCCCCAACGATGCAGACCTACCGAAACCCATAGAAGAGAGCATGACTCGAGCGGCTGCCTTGTCGTTTCCCCCCCTTTCCTTTTTTTTTTTTTTTTTTTTTTTTTTTAACATCCTCTTATTACCTCCCATTCTTCGATGGAGCTGGGCCTCTCTGTGTGGCCCTGCCGTCCCATTTTACCAGCCTCGTCACCACAAAAGTCTGGAGCCCACCCCTTTTCTTCTGCCTCCTTTCTGGTGATGAGTAGCTTTTTATTCTTAATTCTTTTGGTTTGCGGATTGTCGAGGGCAGGTGTGCGGATTTGGCAAGATGTTTGGAAGCGTGATGAGCTGGACGGGGTTGACGGTTGATAGCGAAAGCTGCCCGTGTGATAGGCGTGAAGGAAGAGATGAAAACATAAAAGGAACGCTCTCAAGGCAGTCGCCGAGGATTGTTACAATCTAGAAGGTGCTATAATGTACATTTCCTGCTAGGCCGTGGGCGGGAAGTCAATGGGAAGAGGCTTGGCCTTCCTCGGCGGCCCGCCAACGTTTTGGGTCGATATGGGATCACTTGCGAAGACTAGCTCCATCCCTAGGATCGTCTTCCCTTGTAATGTTGAAAACCACCTATTTAACAAATCAAACCCATAAAATCACTACTCTATGTTGACGATGGCCGCCTGTCTGCTCCAGCATCGATTTTCGATGTACCATTCTGCTAGCCTGTTCTTGGCCCGGTATACTCCGTCTCCTAATAATAAGGGTCGGGTAGCCGCAGGGACCGAGGACATGCCAAGGACTAGCCCCAAGCCTGGCTTGGTCGGCTGATTGCGAAATGGGTACGAGGCAAGATACCATTGGCTAATCGATAGTCCCGACGATCGGCGTGATTCGCCCCGTCTCCTCAAGAGGAGCCTCGTCGGCCACAGCCAAGGAAGCTTCGTTGTTGGAAACGTCAGTTTGTTGCAGACGTTGCAGAATGCCAACATGACAGAGGACCAGGCAACCAGGCTGGCGACGGTGACGGCGACGGCGACTGCGACGTTGCCAGATCGGTCGACGCTCGGACCCGACCACCACCGCTGGCTCCACCAACCCGAAACACCCTCGTCCTCGGGGCAGGCGAGCGATCAGCTCACCCCGGACAGCGACTCGGGCGGAGGAGATGATGACGGCGCCACGGACGAGGCCGGGCCGCTGGGCCGCCGCGGAGCCGGGGGTTATGGGCTCCAGGGCGGCTCCAAGTCCGGGCGCGAGGCTGCGACGGACTACGGCTCCGACGACTACGGCAGCGGGGCCGGGGAAGGGAGCGGGGCGGGGAGCGGGGCGGGGAGCACAGTCCGCAGCTTCGAACTGTACACGCCTGACGAGGAACGGGCGGTCGTGAGGAAGTTGGATCGTCGGCTGGTGCTCTTCATGGCGATGCTGTATATGCTCAGCTTCCTCGATCGCACGAGTATGCATTCTTATCTTGGCTCTTAATTGAGCAGGATTGATTTCAAGCGTCGCGTGGGAAATGCTAACCTCCCCTTGCGCTTAAACTCCCAGACATCGGAAATGCCCGCATCGCCGGGATGGACGACGACTTGCAGTCCACCCCGAGGCGAGACGATTGGTACGAGTGGGCGCTGACGGCCTTCTACATCGCCTACATCGCGTTTGAATGGATGGCCATCCTCTGGCGGCTTATCCCCGCCCACATCTTCGTCTCCGTCGTCGTGCTGTCCTGGGGCTTGACGGCCTCGCTGCAGGCCGTCGCCGTGAACTACCCAATGCTGATATTCCTGCGGACACTGCTGGGCATCGGCGAGGCGGCTTTCACAGGGGTGCCCTTCTACCTGTCCTTCTTCTTCAAGCGCCACGAGCTGGCGTTCCGGACCGCCATCTTCATATCCGGTCCGTGATACTCCGCATCTTTCTTGCTTTCCATTTTTCCATCCATCCCATCCCTTCCCAACCTCAGTTCTCTAGCTCCATTATTCTGAACCGCATATGCTCACACGACCCCTACTAGCCGCTCCCCTCGCATCCACCTTCGCCTCCTCCCTAGCCTGGCTCATCGTCAAGCTCGGCGAGTCCGGCCCCATCGCGCCCTGGCGCCTGCTCTTCCTCGTCGAGGGCCTCCCGTCCGTCCTCGCCGCCGCCGTGGCCTGGAACGTCGTCCCCGACTCCCCGCAGACGGCCTCCTACCTGACGGCCCGCGAGAAGCGCGTCGCGCACCTGCGCCTGCGGAACGAGTGGCCCGAGCCGCGCCATCACCGCCGAGGGCGGCGGGGAGGAGGCAAGTCCGGCGACGACGACGACGACAACAACAGCGGCGGAGGGGGCGAGAGCGCCGGCGGGCTGGACGGGCGCGACGTCCTCTCCGCGGCCCTCGACCCGGTGGCCTGGCTGACGGCGTCCATCTTCTTCCTCGCCAACATGGCCTACTCGTCCCTGCCCGTCTTCCTCCCCACCATCCTGACGGGCATGGGCCACTCCCCGCTAGCAGCCCAGGCCCTCGCCGCTCCCCCATACCTCCTCTCCTTCGCAACCGTCCTCCTCGCCGCCCGGGCCTCGGACCGCGCCCACGCCCGCGGCGCCTTCATCGCGGGCCTGGCCCTCGCCTCGGCGGCGGGGTACGGCGTCCTCGCCGCGACGGCCGGGCGGGTGTCGGTGGGCAACCCGTGGAGGTACGCGGCCGTCTTCCCCGCCGCGGCGGGCTTCTTCGGCGTCGTCGTCCTGACCGTCGCGTGGGCCGTGGGGAACTCGGGCTCCCCCTCGCGGAGGGCGGGCGGGTTTGCCCTGCTCCAGGCCGTCGGCCAGTGCGGGCCCCTCGTGGGGACGAGGCTGTACCCCGTGGCGCACGCGCCGTTCTACGCGCCCGGGATGGCCATCTGCGCTGTGGCAATGGTGGGTGTCGCGGTGCTGGCCGTGGGTTTGCGGTTGTACCTCGCGCGGCTGAATCGGAGGATGGACGAGGAGGCGGAGGGCGCTGTGGCGGCGGGGGAGGTCGGGGAGGCGGAGGAGGCGGAGGGGTTGGTCAGTCGTGCGAGGGGGGGTGGTGGCGGTGCGGCGAGGGATCGGTTTAGGTACATACTATAGTGCGTTTGCATGTGTTTGTTCCGCTTTGGCGTTCGACGGTGGCGATACACTTGCACGGCATTGTCGAACCGCATTCTAGTTTCTTCCATCTACCTACTACATCTTGCTCGGTCACACACCAAGAGATATCGAGAAGGGGCGGCCCCCTGTAGAACAACCTACCCAGGCCGTACGCGCAGCCCCCAGGCCCACGATCAAGCGGTTTCGTGTCTCGTAATAAATGGTCGGGACCTCTGAGCTGTGCCACCCGCAGCTTGTTGTCCGGCCGCCACCATGCAAGTAACCATATTATTTATTCACAAACCCCCGTGTCGCCAGAGAACTTCACGAGTCTCCGATAGATGACGCGTCCTGAGATCCCGAACGGCTATCCCATCCTGAAGAGAGAGAAAACGCTGTTTCTTGTTATTTCTAACTTCTTCTCGTCCTGTTACTCCGCTGCCATGCCACCTCCCCTTTCGTCTTACGCACTTCTCGGGTGGGTAAGCTTGCTTGCGTATGTATCTGTCTGTCCCACCACCGATAAGCCATATATCCCCATCGCTTCCAACCCTTACACGAAGGCATGAAAAATCCCGCTGTGCTCCCAAGCATGCCTCACGCACCGCGCGCGCCTTTCCGTTGCTAGTTTGTGCCCTATGGGCTCCATTATTCAAAATGGACATGGCGTTCAGGCACTGGTTCCCGAGCAGCAGGTTCTGGCGGGTCGTTGGATTCTGCTGTTGACGCCGATTTCTTTCGCAACTTGTGTCTCCGCCCGCCCTCTCTGCCGACGAAGATGTGGCGAAGCTTCGTCGTCATACTTCTACTAAGGCTAACTTTTGGACGAGGCAGGTTTCCAGCTGGGCTAGCGGCTATGTTTTGAGCCGGCGGTTCACTGACTGCATTAGGTGGATTGGGAGTTGCAATATTCCCACCTCTCTGTCCCAGAGCACTGGGTGGGTTACAGGTTTGGATTCCAACGTCTCTCTGCCCACCAGAGGAATCTCTCGCAGCACTAGGTTTGACGTCTCTCTGTCCACCAGAGGAATCTCTCGCAGCACTAGCTTCAGCGTCTTTCTGTCCGCCGGAGGAATATCTCGCAGCACTAGGTGGGTTGCATCCTGCGGTTTCCCCATATGTCCGTCCACTGGAGGGACCCCCAACAGCAGGTGACTCGAAGTGCTTGAAGGCAGCTGCAACTTCCTTGTTTAGCTGTTCATCGAAGGAATCGAGGGAATCGGAGGAATCGGAGGAACCGTACACAGCAGTAGGTGAGGTGAAGGCTGCGAACTTCGCATGTCTCTGTCCACTAGAGTGACCCCCCACAGGACGAGCTGGGTAGAAGGACTTCAGGGCTGCGGTGTTCCCACCCCTCTGTCCACCGTTGGAATACTCCACGTCACTAGGTGGGCCGAAGGCTGCGATTATGCCACCGCAATGCCCACCTGAGGAGCCGTCAACCGCATCAGCTATTATCATCCCCGATGCAGCGCCTGCACTCGTGGTGGAGCCATCGGCGATCTGTGTGCCGCCCGGGCTGTGAATTTGAGTATCGGCCACAGCTTTGCCCTTGTCCTTGGGGTTGCAGATGCGAATAGTCGGTTCAGGGGCCTCGGGGGTCCCAGTTCTGGAGGTGACGTTGGTTTCGCTGGATAAGAACTGAGGAGTGGTAACGGGGGTCACTGAATCAAGGTATTCAGACAGCATGTCGGGGTTGGGCGGGGAGCGCGATCCGGCTGACGTCCGCATTCCCTCAGCGGAATAAGAAGAGACACTCGGATCATGACTAGAGGAGGGGTGTGTGTTGTCACAGTCCTCACCCGCCTCAAGAGGGCGATTGGCTTCTGATTCTTCAGAGATATTCCACAATGTGACGAGGGAGTTCCTAGGAGAAAGCGGAGACACATCCCCAGACCAACGCCCGACATGTGGTTCTTCACGGTCCGTCTCGAACGAGAAGGCGGAATGCGTGGGAGAACCCTCGGGCGCACTCTCGGGCGCAGAATTCTTCGGAGAACCCTCGGGCCCATGTTCGGGCGCGGGATACCTCGGAGAAGGCCCCGGCCAAGCCTCGGGCGCACCGTCGGGTACAGGTCCGGGGGAAGTTGCATCGTATCCTACGGAGTAGATGTTGCCACCGCTCTGGTACGAGGGACGCGGTGTTCGAACAGAGGACCAGCGACGACTGTGATCTCTGAGGGCAGTCGACACAGGCGGCTGTGAGCCTCCGGCCTCTGCGGTCTCGCCGATAGGAGGCGCGTCTCGGCTACTGGTCGGGCCCTAGCGGCCAGCAAGTCTCGAGCGCAGGTGAACTGTCCGTCTTCTCACAAAGGCGGCGACGCCCCCGACCGAGACACTGGGTAGAGTTCCTTCGCTGTAGTTGTCCGACGGCAGGTCGCTGGCTTTGAGAGCCGGCGACTCTGGCGATGGCAGAGAGTGCGAAGAGGAGGGCATGGTGAGCCGATTTGCGATAACCAAATGAAGCTAGGATGTGGTTTGAATTATAGGCTCTTTAGCACTGCAATGGGCATATGGGATGCGGTGACTTGAGGATAATGACAAGCGTCCGGCTTTTGTTGTCTCTTACTCGAGTCAATCCAAAAGGAAGAGGAGGGCGCTGTCATAGCATGGAAGCTACCTAAGGTAGGAAGGTATACGAGACCATACGCCACCTTTCATACTAGAGCAGTGCCTTCCTCATACGGCAGGCGGTACTATCGCCCTGACTTCCAAGGTTGGCATCTGCGTGGAAGCAACACCTTCTTCTGCAAGGCCGCTTCAGACAGATTCAACCGACGAACCGTGCAGTACCTAAGCCCCATACCTATTTTGTTCCTTGGACAAGCAAAGGCCCGGAACGCGGGACAGGATGTACTGTCGAGAAGTGTTGACTTGGAAAGTTGTTATGGCAACGCCAGCCAAGGCTGGGTCAGGTGTTTATAACCTGAGGTCAGATGATGCAGTGGATCATGCCAACATCGCCGGGCAGCTTTGAAGCTCCACAGAATTTTCTGCGCCGGACCTATTCAGCGCACAATTGGCTACATAGGTATATATATAAGTTTTTACATACGTGGAGATTTGGGATCTATAAGTTAACCTTAAAAATCCCCTACTTGTTTATGCGAACGGCGGCAGGTTGCTCTCATCACTGATCGAGGTCGTATTCTTCACCATCAGCCCCACTCAGCTCACCAATACATACGGATACACATCTCGAAAGAAGAAAAAAGGGGAAAGGAGAGACAAAAATGGCATCCAAAACCCCCCGCATCACCGTCCTCGGGTCCCTCAACATCGACTTGGTATCCTACGTCCCGCACCACCCGCTGCCGGGCGAGACCCTGACCTCCAACTCCTTCGCCGTCTCCCCCGGCGGCAAGGGCGCCAACCAGGCCGTCGCGTGCGCGAAGCTGTCGCGCCCGGGCGCCGGCGGCTCGGCCACCCCGGGGGGGCTCGAGACGGCGTCGGTGGGCATGGTGGGGTGCGTCGGGGCCGACAGCTACGGGGCCCTCCTGCGGGACAACCTGTCCGCGCACGGCGTGGACGTGTCGCGCGTCGCGGTCCGCGAGCAGCTCAAGACGGGCGTCGCCATCATCGTCGTCGACGAGCCCACGGGCCAGAATCGCATCATGCTCTCGCCCGAGGCGAACCACACCCTGCGGCCAGACGACGTCTCGCCCGGCCCCGCGCTGCTGGAGGCCTTGGGCGGCCGCCCTGACCTGCTGATCATGCAGCTGGAGGTCCCGTTGGACACGGTGCTGGCGGCGCTGGCGAGCGCGAGGGAGGAGGGCGTGCCTGTTCTGCTGAACCCGGCGCCGGCTGTGAGGCTGCCGGCGGATGCGCTGAAGGGGCTGGCGCACCTCATTGTGAACGAGACGGAGGCAGCCATCCTGGGGGGGTGCGAGGAGAGCGTGCTGGATTCGGAGGAAGGCATGGAGGCGGTGGCGAAGGGGTTCGTCGGCCAGGGGGTGCAGAACGTCATCATCACCCTGGGCGGCAGGGGCGTCTACTACATGAACGCCGCTGGCGCGAAGGGCCTACTGCCCGCCCTCAAGGCAAAGGTCGTTGACACGACGGCCGCGGGGGATACCTTTGTGGGACAGTACGCGCTCGAGGCCGTCTCGGGCGCCAGCTTCGACATCGTCGGGGCCGTCAACAAGGCGAATCGCGCCGCTGCCAGGACTGTCGAGAGGTTGGGGGCACAGGTATCCATTCCCTGGAGGGACGAGCTAGAGCAATCCTCTTGATTTGGCTAGGTAGCTACGACAAATGACACCTAATTCTACATTCCCCCCCCCAAAAGAACCATCCTTGTCGTCTGTCTGTTTGAGTGGCGACAGTTATGGATTCACATACGCTGGCGCCAGCTCCTTCCCCCCTTTGGCTACAGCAGTCTTGACGGAATGGATGTCAAAATTGTTGAGTATCCGAAGCGTCACTGGCAGAAAGCCTTGCGTTATAGCCCGCATCTTTCGGGATGCTTCCGGCTGGGCTGTGATTTCCTCCTCGGTAAGGGGGTTTTGGTCATTCATGATGTGCACACCGCAGGTCTTGCAGAAAGCCTTGCGATAGTTGCCCGACCCGAACACGTAGTATGACAGGTTCTCCTGGCCTTGGACTACGACCTGTTCATTCTTCGGATAGATCCAGATATATGCGCCCTGCGACGACAGGTCAGTCTCGGTACGGGATGCGTTGTGCAAATAACAGCAGCCTCTCATACCCGCTGGCAAATACTGCAGATGCATTCAAGTATGGGACCGGGGTAAGTGTCGTCCAAGGGTTCGACCTTGACAGCAGCAGTGACGGCGCCACAATGGCAGCTTCCCGTGTAGACCTTGCCACCCTCGACAACGGCCGAGGGCTCGGGCCCGGCAAACACGGGAGCCGCATGGATATATTCGGGGTTCAACTTCTGACCATCAAAGCTAAGGTAGTGTGAGTAGTGTGCCACGACGTATGTTATGGATCGGGGTGTCCTACACCTTGCGTTCCAGCTTCTGAATGTCCAGGTCTTGGAAGGTCCGGACCTAAGAGTTCAATGTTATTCAGCATCGTTATCCAGGGCGGGAGGCTATGTTACATACATTAAGCGCAATCTCTTGCCCTGCAGGAAGGTTGTCATTCCGACCCATGACGGGTGTGCCGCATGTTGGGCAGAACTAATAAATCTCGGTCAGCATCAGGAACGTTTTAAGTCTAATCCGTAGAGCACACCAACTCCACCCCCGCCCCTGAGGGCATTACGCGATGGCAGCCCGGCAACCTCGACCGGCTCCCATGAGTTCGGATCCGGAAATAGTAACTGCAGTCATTCTTGTAGTGCTGTCGGTTCTACCATACCATGTGAACCGTTCTCTTTGGACCGAAAGTGTACTCCTTGAGGGATCCATCTCCTTTGACGATAGTCATAGGTTCTGCCGGGATGGTCCATAAATAGCCCTTCTTGGTGCAGATGCTACAATTGCACGCCGCCGCTGATGTGATCTCGGGCGCCCGGGCCTCGAAGATAAAGGCACCGCAATGACAGCTGGCACGGTAGGTCTTGATGGCTTCTCTTTCAGCCATGGTGGCGATTCACCGACAATCGAGAGAGACTTGGCTTGGTTGGTTGACTGATTCGTCGGCTTGCTGGCCTAGGTTTAGAATAGAGAATCAAGTAAGACTGACGGTGTTGTTGGAGGTTGGAGGCAAGGGGTTGGGGGGGAGGAGTGATGGAATTAAGAACAACTGAGAAGCACCCGTCCCCACGACAACCTATCGAGAGGACAGGCGGCGGTGAGACTGTATGGCCGACGCGACAATCTTCGCGCATGCTTACGCGCTACCATCCATGCTGCGGCACGGTATCAGCTGACGAGTTTTGTTGAAGAGCTTCCAATCAGGCATCAGCCCTCAACAAGTCATCCATCCCCCGCATCATCAACTCGGCCTCGGCTCTCATATTGCCCCGGCTGGTTTGTAAGGACCTGAAGGTTAGTTCGTTGAGGAGGGGCGAACAGTTCCGGCCAAACTGTCTAAACCGCTCACTCCATGTGTTGATATCCCGGGCAAAGTACCTTCTTAGGTATGTGCGCGGCTGGCGTCCACTGAAGATCGAACAGCCTTCCCCGCACATCATTTCTGCACCTCGCCCTTTCCATCGACATGTTGTGGTACACATGGAGCCACCCACGTCGGGTTGACTTCGACTAATTACTAAGGACGCACGCAGTGTGGTCGTCAGCCAGTCACACCTCGGTTGAGGCTTTGGCACCCCTCGTCTCACAACACGATGACGTCGATGAAGCTCTCAAGTTCTGTCATGAGGCATGAGAAACAACAACGGCGACTTTTTATCGAGGTGCTTAACTGATTGACTGTCTTCTACACGGGGTGTGTCTTTCAAATACTTGCCGATTAAGTGCCTAACTAAGGGGAGCAAGCTAGGTAGAGAGCAAAGTTAGCTTAGGTAGCACAGGTGCTATCATTGACGGTGCATACTTAAAGCGACATTGCAGAGACGTCGGCTGCTTTTCCCTACTTGCCGAGACCACCGCCCGTGTACTGCAGCTTGTTAATACCAGGCGCATGCTGGACGAAGTTGGTCGTGGTGGGTACTCCATACAGCCCTGCCTCTTGACATAAACGAGCATGAAGAGGGGGAGTACTACTACTATGTGTACGATGTAGTCGATACAACAGAAAGCACTTGACAAAACCCACCTGCCCAGGACGGTAGGTAATGTACCTAGGTGTGCCGGGAGGTGTGGAAGCACTATTCCTGTTCCAGAAGGGACTCCTCAAGCCAAAACAAAGGCGTACTCCACGTTGAATTGCTAGATTTCGAAAACTGGGAAGTGGTGACGATGCCAGTGCGTCAGGTCGCCTGGGCAGAGCAGGTCCAACGTCCCTCCCCTGACCCGTAGTGTATAACGAGGTACCTGTCACTCTGGAGCCTGTCACTCTAGAGCTGCCGGCCCCTCTCTGAGCGCTTTGGTTACTTGCAGCTGTACCTACTGTAATCACATTCAGACATGGAAGGTACCCCCAAATAAACGTTGGGTTCTAGACCCCACAGGCCAGACAGCCAAACGGCCAAACGGAGAAATCCATGGATCTCACCAAAGTCGGAGATACTTCGCGGTCAACAGTCGAAGTGAGATCCAGCACTTTGTAATCGCATTTCGTCAGGAACAATCATGCTCACTTGCATAAGGGTGGCGCTAACACCCCGCCGGATAGCCTGGGCGTGGGGCTCTCGAGCTGACACGCCGCGATTCTGGCCCTTGATTTGTTCCTGGCCTCAACGCCTCCCACTCTTTCCCCAGGATGAGGCAATGCTCGATGCATCTTATGACAAAAGGTTTTCAACATTCCCTTCTCTCTTCCGTGTTAATATGCTTATTGCCGACGCGAACCATTGCGTACCTCTAGATTGAACCCTGCAAGCTCGGGCAAGATGTGGATGTGTGTATGTGTTGTTGGTACATACCAGAGTAGGTATGTACCTGTCTTGTTTGTTTTGGCGCTACCGCGTAGGGCGGCGTTCCCTGAATCTCTCCCTACACGCCCTACATCCGCTACTCAGCTATCCCCAATATGTTCCCATATACACTAAATGGCTCGTTGTGAGCCACCCCAAGGGCGCGGGAGGTACATCTCGGGCGGGTCACCTGCCCCCATGGCTTGTGGGCATCGTCGCTTGCTATTCTGTTTTATATATAGACTATTAGCTTTCGCAACGAGAAGTACCTCGACAGATATACTTTTTCTCATCCGTCTAAACCGCTGCTCAGTCTGCAGCTCAACCTCCAGTTCGTCCATATAAACCTCAGGTGCATGGGAATAATAGCCTTGCCGCCTGTCCAATAATTATCCTGCCCTAGCCATCCATCACACTGTATCCCTGGGTTGTCCCGTCTGTTCGAGAGGGACAAAATGCCAGCCCTTGCAGAAGCCGCCTTTGCCGCTCCGTACGAACTTTCCCCTCTCCTCAAGGCAGGGAAAGAAAACGGCCTTTCGGTAGCCCCTAAGGCTAAGGTTGACATCATTGACATCCGTGGCGCGGCTGTCGAGATCAACCTGAAGGAGGACATTCTGTCACTGTTCAGCCCTGAGAATGGGCCTAGGAAGCTGCCCACGCTTCTCCTTTACGACGAGAAGGGGCTGCAGCTCTTCGAGGAGGTGGGTCCTCCCTCCCTCCTGGCAACGATTCCTTGAGCGGCATGAGGCTAACACCAACCAAGATCACGTATCTGGAAGAGTACTACTTGACCAATGACGAAATTGCATTGCTGAAATCTGCTTCTGCTGAAATAGCAAAGACAATCCCCTCGGGCTCCGCGATCATCGAGCTGGGCAGCGGGTAGGTTTCGACTTAGCCAATGCGTGGACCGGCCCTCCCGAGCTGAGTTAACTCGTCTAGCAATCTTCGCAAAGTAAACTTGCTTCTGCAAGCACTGGAGGATGCAGAGAAGCGGGTAGACTACTATGCCTTGGACCTGTCGAGAACGGAGCTGGAGCGTACACTGGCCCAACTTCCGGCCTATCAGCACATCAGTTGCCATGGCTTGCTTGGGACGTACGACGACGGCAGAGAATGGCTGAAGGTGCCATTCAACGTCTCGAGGCAGAAGTGCATATTGAGCCTGGGATCGAGCATCGGTACGTCTGCTACTTATCCAGCCACCTTCATCTCCATTCAGCCAGTGCAGGCAGCTTATTGTTGGAATATAGGGAACTTCCTGCGAGGTGATGCTGCCGACTTCCTCGGGGGGTTCGCCCATGTCCTGGGCAACGGCGATACTATGTTAATCGGGCTGGACGGATGTCAGGACCCAGCAAAAGTATAGTGCGTCTCACGTATCTCAATCTTCGCAGTTGGAACAAACCACTGACAACCAACACTAGTCACGCTTATAATGGTTAGTCCAACTCATGCAATAACCTCTTGTTTATTAACTGATATACTTAACCTCGCGCGACCACAGACAGGAAAGGTCTCACTCATCAGTATGGCCCACGTCCTCTTGTCTTGGTCATGCGGGTTGGGTGGCGATAAGGTGCTGACATCAGCGTTAGATTCATACTCAATGGCCTCGCCCATGCCAACGAGGTTCTTGGGCATGATGCCTTCAAACTGGAGGACTGGAGGGTCATTGGCGAATACGTCTTCGATGCTTGCCAAGGAGGACGTCACCAAGCGTTTTACTCGCCCCTTCGTGACACGTTAGTCATGGGAGAGCTCATCCGGCCTCACGATCGCATCCAGGTGGAGCAGAGCCTGAAATTCTCCGAAGAGGAGGCCGAACAGCTCTGGCAGACGGCAGGCATGATCGAGATTGGCCAGTGGAAATACCAGGACGAGTATGGTATGTTCGGCTCATACCCAACCTGTCTGAAATATGGCGAGCCTTTACCCTTTCGAGAAGTCCCATGACATCGACCAAGCCTCCCTTCCCTCCCTCCCCCCCACGCACGCCGCACTTTGCCGGCATATGGAACAAGTCGGATTGAATTTTCGAGCCCAAAAGGCCTTTTGTTAATAACCATACCTACACTAAGCCCCGCAACCCTATGGCCTGATTGATCATGTTGGACTGCGGGGTTCGGGCTGTAACCCAAGCACTAAGCAACCGCTTATCTGCTGGCTATCATCATCATCATCACTATCACTGACAAGACTGACAAGACTGACTGTGTTCCCTTCCTACAGGACTCCATATGCTCACCAAACCGAAGATGCCATTTAGTCTAGTGCCGACCTCATACGCAAGCTCGGCCCTGCCCACAGTCGAAGACTGGCAGGCACTGTGGGCTGCGTGGGATGTCGTCACTCGTAGTATGCTGCCGAAGGAGGAGCTCCTGGACAAGCCAATCAAGCTTCGCAACGCCTGCATATTCTACCTGGGTCATATACCAACCTTCCTCGACATCCAGCTGACTAAGACCACCCACGAACCCCCAACCGATCCGGCTTACTATCACGGCATCTTCGAGAGGGGCATTGACCCCGATGTCGACAATCCGGAACTCTGCCATGCTCACTCAGAGATCCCGGACGAATGGCCGCCCCAGGACGAAATTCTAACCTACCAAGGCCGGGTTCGGGATAGAGTGCTGTCGCTGTATTCGAATGGCGCGAAGGCGATTCCGCGGAATGTCGGCCGGGCCCTGTGGGTCGGTTTTGAGCATGAGGCCATGCATCTGGAGACGCTACTCTACATGATGCTCCAGAGCGACAAGACATCGCCACCTCCCAACATCCCGCATCCAGACTGGGAGGCACTTGCGGCAAAGGCACGCTCTGCGAGAGTCCCGAACAGATGGTTTGATATCCCTGCGCAGGAGATCTCGGTCGGCATCGATGAGCCCGAAGACATGACTGATCCGGATGCTGATTATGGATGGTACGAGGAATATTGCAGCCTCGCGTGCCTTGCAACACTGACAGACTCGTAGGGATAACGAGAAGCCTCGCAGACTCGCCAAAGTAGGTGCCTTCCAAGCACGGGGGAGGCCGATCACGAATGAAGAGGTAAGTGTATCTTTGAACTGAAGGCTGTTTTCTTGACACTAAGAATTTCAGTACGCCCATTATATGTACGAGAGGCACATCACCAAGGTGCCAGAGGCTTGGGCTGAGGTCGGTCCCGACACGCCGGCGAAGGAGACTAATGGCCTTACCAACGGAGCCGGGGCCGTCAATGGCTTTGTTAATGGGCACAACGGCCATGCAAACGACACATCGGATGTTCTGAAGTCGTTCCTGGAGGGCAAGTTTGCCCGGACGGTCTATGGACTCGTGCCGCTCAAACACGCCCTCGACTGGCCCGTCTTTGCATCATACGATGAGCTTTCCGGATGTGCCTCCTGGATGGGCGGCCGGATCCCCACGTTCGAAGAAGCTCGCAGCGTATACTCGTATGTCGATGCTCTTAAGCGAGAGGAGGCAGAAAACAAGCTCGGGAAAACCGTCCCTGCGGTCAATGGGTTAGTACTAGCACCTTCCTAGTCTGCCAAAGCCCGTCGTCCCCTTTACTAACTCCACCGCAGTCACCTGTCGAACGATGGAGTCGAGGAGACGCCCCCACACCCGGATGCAGATGGGGTCGATGAGGGTCCATCCGAACGGAATGAACTCTTTATCGACCTCGAGGGTGCCAATGTTGGATTCCAACGTTGGCACCCGGTCCCCGTCACGGCCAATGGCGACCGACTGGCCGGCCAGGCCGAGATGGGGGGTGTGTGGGAATGGACGAGCTCCGTCCTCCGGAAGTGGGACGGCTTCACGCCCATGTCCCTGTATCCGGGATATACGGCCGACTTCTTCGACGAGAAGCATAACATCGTCCTCGGAGGTTCATGGGCGACGCATCCGCGTATTGCCGGAAGGAAGTCCTTGTAGGAGTTGCCCCTTTTCCCCTTACGCATCCTTATGCAAAGTAGATGCTTTAGCTAACACACTTGGCAGCGTGAACTGGTACCAGCGCAACTATCTGTATGCGTGGTGCGGGGCGAGGGTTGTCCGAGACAACAATTAGCTCTGCCCTATTTATATTCCCGCGCTGGTACTCCCAGATGTGCCTCCTATCCCCCGCCAGTCTTCAACATAATTGCGTGTAAAACTTGTCAAGGCGACTCAACTTCGCCCGATCTAAGGCGGTACTGGCTCATAAGAAAGGTGTTTACGGCTCTATAGGGCGGTCGGTTCTTTGCAGATGTCCCTGTACGGACCCGTGTCATGCACGCTATGTTTTCATTTTTTGGATCAAAGTTCTAAGAAGGGGTTGGACTCCTCCCCGTCGCCCTCGTTTCGGTCACTCTTTTTGGGAATGCTTGGATATCGTAATCAATTGGATACACGTAATGGTGCGGCTCTGGATGGCTGGCAGGATTAAGAGAAGCGTGGCATATTGCACAGCTTCATCGCACAGCTTTTGAAAGTCCCCGAACCGACCCGTATCTTCGCAGCCACTCGGCAAGGCCCCGTGGCAGTATCTCCTTTGGGGGTAAACTAATATACACAGACAGGCCTGAAGGGTCGTAGGCTCTCTATCGCGAGAGGATTGATGAACATCGCTTTCCCGCCCAGGGGCTCTGCCCAACCACAGACATTCCTGGCGGCGTGCATATCCTAGCGCAACAACAGTCAACACAAGGCCCCAGGCCGGGCTTCTGAGAAATACTCTTTGCCCAACTGCCCAACAAATAGCGATTTGCCGCGTAATCGGCACTGGAGTGTCAACCATCCCAACCCAATCCTCTCTCCATTTTTATGCGGGTGCGCTTCGTGTTCTACTCATCCTCTTAAAAAAAGGCCGAATGTTCGTCCTCGTGACTGCCCGCGAAGCCCAACGATTCAAATCCGAGTGCAGGGCTCGCACGCCAGGCCAGGCACCAAAAGCCACGACCATACGACCTGTTCCTCCAACGTGTCGTGTTCGTCGTGTACAGGAAGAGGCGGGGCCTGAGATCCCATCCGTGTGGCCTTTTCAGGTGTAGATGTCCAGCAGCATGTCGTAGACGGCCGCCGGGTTCTTGACGCCTTGCTCGGTAATGATGGCCGAGATCAGGCCAGGGGGCTGTTTAGGGTGGGGGGCAAATTCTTGTCAGTTTCACTTTCGCGCAAAGGGATGGATCCAATCCCAATCCCACTCTCACACACGTACCGTATAGTCGACTGGCACCTGCCCCGGCAACTCCGTCCGACCGCCAGCCTCGCCCTTCCCGCCAGCCTCGACCCTCTCGCCGTCGTCGTCCGTCCGGAAATCCAGAATGTCCTGCTGCACGCCGCACCGCGGCAGGTCCGCCTGGCTGAGCGGGTAGAGCCTGACGATCTTGTGCGTCTCGGCGGCGACGTAGAAGGGCGTCCCCGCGGCCCGGCACAGCGTCGCGAGCTGGAACGTGCCCATGCGCGACAGCAGCCCGCCGTTCTGCACCACCACCTCGGTGCCGACGAAGACCATGTCGACGCGCGCCGCCGAGAGCACGTGCGCCGCCGCCTCGGGCCCGATCGTCGCCGTTGGCACGCCGCGGGCCCGCAGCGCCGACACGGCCGCCACGCCGCCCCTGTTGGTAGTAGTTCCGTGGTCGTCGTTTTTGCCGTCGTCGAGGACGTGGACGACGCGGAAGCGCGGGGACCCCCACCTCGCGGTGTGGCGGTCCGCGGCGCGCAGGAGCAGCGCCGCGACGGTGCGGGACGACCCCGCGGCCAGGACGACGCTGCCGTCGAGGACGTAGCCGCTGCCCCTGTCGGCGATGGCGTCGCGGGCGGCCTTGGCGCGGGCGGCGAAGAGGCGGCTGTTGCGGAGGAGGTGCTGGCGCGTGGCGTCGAAGGACGGGGGCGGGGCCGCTGTCCCTGCCGGTCCGCCTGTGGTCTGTCCCTTAAGAGACCGCAGGAGGTACTGCTGGAAGAGGTCCGTCCCGGCCGTGAGGGGGATCGGGTTCGGCACGGCGCGCCGCAGGCGCTCGGCCTGCGAGCGGACGACCGAGACCGTCTCCATTGCCGTCGTCGCGGGCGTGGAGCCCAGGAGGGCAATCAGGGCCTCGATGGCGGCAACGGGCATCGAGATGTCCGGGTCCGAGAGGAGGAGGTTCTTGTATGTCTCGACGATGCTGGGGGGAGGTTGGGAGAAGGCTGTCAGTGCTTGCACGAGAGGTTGGGAGGGAGGGAAATAAGGTGGGTAAGTCAGTACTCAAAAGGCGCGGAGCCATCTTGCGATGTCGTCGTTGTTGTTTCGGGCTTGGAATCTGTTGTTCGGATGGCTAATGGTTGGGAGGTCGGCTCCCCAGCCTGCTCTCGATTTCCTTCCAAATCGCCCGTCGCCATTTTCGTTATAAATGCGCGGAAAGAGGTAAAGGGTGGGAGAGGCCTGCGCCAAAACATGCACGGATTGGAGTCTTTTTATTCTTCGTGATAATTAGCATCGAACCTTGTATGCGATGAGTCAAAATGAAGCTAGAATGGTTCTACAGAAAAGTACTGTGGCATGGGTGTTAATGAAAGGAACTGAAGAGGAGAGGAGTTAATTTATTGTACAGGCGAACTAGACTAGGTTTCTCACCGTGCCATGCCAGACCGCTTTTCCACGATGGGGCCCCTCCATTTGTGGAGGGGTTCAGGGGTGTGTACTGCGTACAGCAAGATAATTGGCGGGGCGTTTTGAAACCGACTCCCTCCCTTGAACCTCGTAATCGTCCCCTCCAAGATTGTCGAGCTCCAACTCTGAAAGATGAAACCAGCTGTAGACACGAGGACCTCAATTCCCAGCCAGAGAAGCCATGGAAACCATCGACCCCGCGACGGGCAGGCCGCTGCCGGCTGATGCCATCCAACGCATCTTGTTCGTCGCGAAGTCGGTCCACGTCTACAACATCCCGCCGCTGGCCTCGCTGAAGGGCTACAAGGCAGCCAGCTGGACCGAGGACCCCAAGCGCAACATCTTCTCCTGCCGGCTCCGCATCATCGAGACCTCGGTGGCCCGACCCGGCGGCACCGGCGAGGACGAGGACGAGGAGGTCAAGGCCGACATCGTGCTGGAGGACCCGTCGACCGGCCAGCTCTTCGCGGCGGCGCCATACGTCGACCCGGCCGTCGTCGAGCCCGCCATCGACAGTAGCCGCTTCTTCGCCCTGCGCGTCCAGGACGGCGCCGGCCGCAAGGCCACGCTGGGCATCGGCTTCGAGGAGCGCGGCGAGGCCTTCGACTTTGGCGTCGGCCTGCAGGAGGCGCAGAAGTCCCTGAGCCTCGCTGGTGGCGCTGCCGGTGCCGCATGGGCTGGATCGGGATCCGGGTCGGGGTTGGCATCGGCCGGGGGCCAGCAGGCGGGCCAGCAGGCGGCCGCCGGGAAGGCGGAGAGGCGGGACTATAGCCTGAAGGAGGGGGAGACCATCACCGTCAACCTGGGAGGGGCGAAGCTGGGGCGCAAGGCTCGGCCGCAGGGGCAGCAGCAGCAAGGTCTCGGGGGCCAGGGGGCCAGCCTTTCGTCATTTGCCCTGCCGCCTCCGCCGTCGGCGAACGCCCCGAGGGGCAGTGGTATTCTGCCCCCCCCTCCGGGTGCACCGGTTGTCAAATCGCAGCAAGAGCAGCAAGAGCGACAAGGGCAGGGTAACACTTCCAGCGCAATACCCCAGAAGTCGGCTCAAGATCTTGGATTTGATGATGGTCAATTTGGCGAGTTTGCCTAAGGATTGCAGGAGCCTAATATTACAGGAAAGGGGCAGGGATTCTCTTGCAAGGCGGCAGTAATATCCGAGGCTTTGATAGTGGGAATTCCATGGGAGATAAAAAATACAGTGCCAACGAGCAATGCCAAGCTCACATCTCAAAAGCCCGCCTTCTCCCCCCAGCAGCCTTTACATTACCAATCTATTTTTCATCCTCCTCGTAGAAAGAACCGGGCCAGTACGTCCGTAGAGACGGCAGACTCAACCGTCTGTGACAAAGCTTGAAGCTTGGAGGGAACGTCGTGGCCATTGAGCATCGTCGCTCGTGCGCCTTTGACATGATATCCAAGTAGCCGTCGTCCTCCCAGTCGTCAACAGCAAACTCCCACCGCAGACCGGGCGAAGCATGCTCATCATCATCCTTGTCTCCAAGTCCTTCCGTGTTGGTCTGGGTACTGCTATCCTCTCCATCTCTCACCCCTCCAGCCCAAAAGATGCTCTCGGGGAATGTCGTACCAGGGACAAATGTCGGCGACAGGGGACTCAGACATGACATGGTCGAAGGTGAGTCGGGCGCCACCGGTGAGGGCATGGTTGAATACATGGGCGGGGCCATGATGCAGGGAGAGACGGGGTAGTACGGGCCAAAGAGACACGCCTGCGACGCCGCCTTCTGCTGCTGGATCTGGTGCCAACGCTCCCGGCCCTGGATCTCAATGTAGAGGTCACTCAGCCGCGCGAGGGTAGATCTCTCCTGTGTGGCATTGCGGTTAATATTCTTCCTGATGGTGTTTACGGCCTTGCGTATCTTCTTCGACTCGTTGAGGGTCTGGGCACACGGCAACCGCTCCTGGGTTGACGACAGCTGCGTGAATAGGATCCTTGCTCGCTTGTCATGCTCATGCAGGCTCTCCAGGAGATAAAGTCGTTCCATGTGAAGATCTTCTAGAGTTCGGGGCAACGCCGCCTCTGGCTCTGGCTGGGAATTGGCGACGGGGGACGGCGGGAACCACTGGCTTGAAGACGTGCGGCGTCCCATGGATGGCCTCGCGGCTTTCGGTCTCAATTGCAGCGGTGGGCGTCCATTCTTCTGTGCGTTCCTCTGCCCCGTCGAGCTGCTCGGCGAGCATCTTCGAACACCTTGGCGGACCGGCAGTGGTGGCGTAGTGTCAGTCGTTGGGGAGACAGAGCTGCTTTCGCCTTCCAATTCAGCGGTTTCGTGGGCCTTCATGATGTTTTCCCAAGATGGCATCTGACTCTGTGACCTCTGGGATACTCTCTCTGGACACTGATCTTCTGACTTGGAGTGAGACCTATTTGAATAACTGGACTCCCCCCACCTCCACTGGTTGGAGCTAGTATATTTCTAGCGGTGTGTTCCAGGTGTGGCCAGCCGAGGAATAAAGACCATCCTGGTGCTGAAAGAATATAAGGCGGTTTCGACGCAGGCATCCTTCCGGAAGCTCGCTGCCTCGTTGGACAGTATACGTGAGCAGTAAACAAAGAAGATGCCTCGTGCTGCTGCCGGCCTTCCCATGGGAACCTCGCATTGAGGGACAACCAACAAGCGCAAAATATGGGCGGCAAATTTGGATTGAGGCAACCCTAGAAACCTGGATGGATGGATCAGTCGAGGTTCAACTAGCGGTTTCTTTGGCCACGTTGTTTGTCCAGAGCTTGACACGGGACGCATTCCAGCCAGGAAATGCAGGAGAGAAAACTCTTTGCGACAAAAAATGGGGAATTATTGCAGCCACAAGGCCAGAAGCCGGCCGTCTTCCTTTATATGCTGAAACCGTCATGTCTGGGAGGGTCGCAAAATCTCCACAGACCAGACGCTTCTGCAGCCTTCCGGACAGTAGATATCTCCTCCCGCGACACGGCCCTGTTGATTTCGGCATAGCGAATCTCTTTGGCTTGGGGCTTCTGGCCCTGCTGCCCCGCCGAGGCACTTTTGCTCCTCGTGTTTGGCTTGCCAACATGGGCATCCGGGTGGTACTGCTCCAAGATGTTGACGAAGCAGTCTCGGGAGACCTCTCCTGCCAAGAACTTCATAATCTCCGCACTTTCGGCTTCGAATCCCGGCATGACGAGATGCCGCACTAGCAAACCCTTCTTCGCTATGCCGTCTCCCGTGAAGCACAGGTCACCCACTTGGGCGTGCATGGCCTTGATGCTCTCACGTGCCGTGGCAGCATAGTCGACGGCCTTCAGGAGGCGCCTGGAGGTGGCTGGCTCCCAGACCTTGAAGTCCGGGAGGTAGATGTCAACGAGACCGTCCAGCAGCTCCAAGGATGCCAAGGAATCATAGGCAGACGTATTGTAGACGATGGGGAGCGTAAGGCCATTGTCTCTGGCATGGAGGATGCTCAAAGCCACCTGCGGAACTACGTGTTCAGGGGTGACTAGATTAATGTTGTGTACGTTCCCGACCTCTTGGAGCTTCAGGTACCAGTCCCCGAGTTCCTCGGGCGTCAGATCTTGGCCATTTCTCTGGTGTGATATGTCATGGTTCTGACAGAACACCTTTTCAAGGAAGGTCAGCACCCTGATTAAATGCCACAGGACTCGCGCCCTCCAACGGCACTTACACAGCGGAGATTGCACATGCTTGGAAAGAGGAAGGCTTGTCAGCCGGATCTCGGCGTTGTTGCGAAGGCAATATCGACTACGGCATACCTGAAGAACACTGACCCGCTGCCATTATGTCCCTGGATGCAAGGTTCTTGGAAGAAGGGTCAACTACCAAATGCGTGTGCAGCCACCAAAACGAGGAACGAACCTTCCCCAAAATGAGGAGCAATGACGTTGACCTTCGCCTTGTCTCCGATGAGGCACATTCCAGTCGTCTCGAAACGGTTGACGCCACAGAGCCGTGGGCAAAGATTGCAATTCCGCAGATGAGCATACGCGGCCGAGCGCTTCTTAGAAGCCTCCACTGAAGACAGCGTCATATGTCGCGGCACGTAGTCATCCAGGAGGAAGGGGGGAGCCAGGTGGAGGGCACGGCGAGACGGAGGCCTGGGCTTGATGAGGGACGGCGGAAGACGGCGGATCGATGATCTGCTAATCAAGGAATGCATCTTTCGGGCATTGCAATAATAAGCCTCTTTGCAATGTTGTCAGGAAAATGAATGCCATTTAGCAGCATGCTTGGGATCTCCGTTCTTGACAAGAAATGCTCCTCAAGCATGGTCTGTGCGGGCCAGGTGCTAACTAGGTAGACTACCTGTGCCAGTAGGTAGTCAATCAGTAGGTGTCTCACACCTATAATAAGACCCCAATCTAGGCAACAAGAAGCCTCACTTATACAACACGTCGCCGCTTTTGCTCAGGACATATTCAGGACAGTTCAGGCTTGGCTCAGCTTCGGGTCCCGTCCGCTTATCTTTATTCACCCTGAGCCATGACTAGAGGCGCAAAGTCACCAGGAGCCAGAGGGCCCAAAAGCTGTTCTCCCAGCGGAGCGAGTGCACAGAACTACTAGGACAACACCGAGTTTATTGGATCGACACTGGCTGACCTCCAGTCCCTTGATACATTCGGGCAAGGGGTAGTCGGGTCTTGGTTGGCAGATGGTGTCTAGACATAGCCGCCGCGCTCCATGACGTGCTCAAACCTCTGTGGTGCTGTCTTCAGTACCGCGGATTCTGTTCATACCGTTGGCTCTGCTGGTAGCCCTGATTCTGTTGGTAGCCCTGGGGCTGGTTCGACTGGTACTGCTGAGGATGATACTGCTGAGGCGGCTGGTATTGATCAGGCCGATATTCCTGATGGGACTCGTGCTGTTGAGGCCGGTATTCCTGGTTCTGTTGATGACTTTCGGGTCGGTAATCTTGGTGGGGTTGGCATTGCGAAGGAGGATTGTATGTTTGTTGAGCATGCGCCTCTCCGCCATGTTGTTCATGAGAGGGGGGAGAAATATAGCCTCCTTGTGAAGGAGGCACAGGCTGGATTCCACCACCGAGTTGCGCGCTAGATGTCGGCGCTCCCACACTTACACCTTCATTGCCAATATCATCCGGCACAGAGATTTTTACCATGGGCAAGTACTTCTGAACCTTCTGCTCCACCATGGCCTGCACAAAAACCCAGCTTTCGCGCTCGAACTTGCGGTGTCCGCCGCTCACGACTCCTAGAATGCTCTCGCGCAGCGTCTCCTGCACCTTTCGCACGAGGCCGCGGATCTTGCTGACCAGCTTGGCCTTGATATCGTCTCCGAAATCGCGGTCCGCCTGAGACCCGGCGTCGCGGTCGAGCTGCGAGTCGAAGGGGTTGCCGCCGAGGATCCTCTCAAGCGGACGCTGGAACTCATTAGGCAGCAACTCAAACAGCTGCTTCTCGATCCCACCCAGCACCTTGCGGAACTCGAGACGGACTTCCCTGTGGACTCTGGCAAGACCCGTACTTAGCTTATCGCTGATGACCTTGGAGAAGCCGCCACTGTTTTCTCCCTCGTCACCATCGCGATCCCGATCACCAAAGCCTCTCGAAGACCCCTCGCTGGAATGCTTCTTTTTTCCAAATAAGCCTCCAATCCCCTTCACCAGGTCCTTGACCTGGTCTTCAATCTCGCCCTTGACGCCATCACCAAGATCCCGCGTGCTCGTGTTGCCGCGCAACCAGCGCTTGATGTGGTCTAGCGCGATGCGAGTAAACTGCTCCGCGATGGGCGCGTGCTGCTCTCGCAGCTTCGCGCCGACTTTCTCCTTGATCTCGGGGCTGATGAGGCGCGCCTTCTCCTCTGGGTTGCGCGCGGCGTCTTTGACGGTGTTGCTGATCACGCCGAGAAGCCCGTCAAGCTCAAATCTCGGGCCACCTGATCCTTTGTTGTTATCTAAATGGTCTTGAAAGACATTGATGGCGGCGGAGAGGAAGCCCTTGGCTCCCTGGGAGGCGTTGGTGTGGTCCACTCCACGGGACCGGGACCGGGTCTCGCCTGGACCATCGCGGCCTTCAGTGAGATCGAAAATGTCACGTAGGTCATCGCCTGCTTCATCGGTGGTGGTCTTGTTGAAGCTGCGTGTCAGCTTGGCGATCTCGTCGGCGAAAGGCAGAGACTGGCCGCCGTAAGCATCCGGGGTTGCGTCGTTCAGGCTCCAAGGGCTTCTTGAGGCGCCCGCAGAGCTAACCCCGTCCTTGTCGAAAAGCGAGCGAAAGGCGTCGATGACCTGTGTCTCCAAAATGTCGATGGTCTTCTGTTGAAAATCCTCAAGCTCGGACGTGATGCGGGGCTGGATCTGGGGCGCGAGTGAGTCGACATATTCGTCAACCTTTTTCATCAACGCCTCAGGGACCCCGTGAGAAGACATCTTTGCAATTATGTAAGGAACCGTTGAGTTGGTGAGCGATCCAGTGCCTACCTTAGCAAGGCAAAGAGTACTCCCGTCGGTAAGGCAGCCGGGAGGCTAAGCTGAGCTGAGCGGTTGTGCAGTTGTCTGTCTTGACCACCTGAAAGAGATTGTCAGTGGCAGTCATTCTTCAATTTAGACAAGCTAACCAGGGCCAAGGGACGTCGGCCCAAACCTGGGGTCCTACAGGGGTGCCCTTACAAGATACGATCCCAAAAGTGGGCCTCTAACACACCCTGGCTCATCAGGTTGGGCCAGGCTGGCTTAGGCTGGGTCAGGCTGGGTCAGGCTGGGTCAGGCTGGGTCAGGCTGGCTTAGGCTAAAGCAGCAAACGCGCAGTTCGAGGGGAGGAAAGGGGAATTCTGGATGTCGGTTTTGGCGTCGCGTATTTTCTGGATTAGCTACTCCAAGAGACTTTCATCATGGTCCTTGGGAAAAGGGGGAGGGGCGTCCATCGAGCAGAGACCATATATTCATACTGCCGTCCCCGACCCGGTCCACCGTGTCGTTACACGGGTACGGGCTTTCGACTTGCTCTAGCCCACGGTTACGACGGTAGCTTGCTTGACCTTGTCCCCATTGAGAATACCTAGAACGAACGTGGGGTTACACGTCCCCAGGCAAGGCAATCGCACATAGACTCAAGATTCCCTGGTTGGTATCATGCTCTCTGGGTTGAGTCCCTCGGAGGCGTTGGTATATAGCTGTTGAATATCCTAAATGACAAGGAATGAGGACGCCAAAGACAGACCCAAACCGAAAACGGAGGAAATAATGTATAGTATATATGCCCGTCAGAATGGAGGACAGTGTCATCCACACCCACATTTCCTCCCGTGATCCAACGCCATTTATCAAAATCACTGGCTGTGACTCTCAAGAACCATCATATGCAACGCATAATCTGTGGTGAACAGATCTCATCTATCCCTTGCCATGCACCCCATAAATGGTCGGCTCACCCAAACGAGACCTGGTCTCCAAAGTCAAAGTCCATATCCTGCAGGATATCCGTCAGCTCGCCATCTGTGATATTCATGTCTATATCTAGCGGCATGGCCGCCAGTTGTTGCGCTTCCTGGGTTGCCGAAGTGCTAGATGGAACCGCAGTCGCTTGCGACCGCTGCTGCTGAGCTCCGGTCCGACTCAGCCCCAGTTTCTCCTGCATCATGGTCTTGAACTTGGTCAACAGCACAGGGTCATCGGCCGCGGTAGTCTGCATCCCCAGGATGTCCCTCGCCTCCGCCCGGAGGGAGTCGTCGCTGGGGAAGGGCTCGGCGCTCAGGCCCAGGCTGGCGCTCGCGACCTTGGCGGTCACGAACTCGGAGAGCTTGCCCTCGAGCTCGCGGGAGCAGAAGACGGCGGCCGGGGGCGAGCAGGTGGCGAGGCCCTGGAGGAACTTGTTGGCGGTGGCGCTCTCCGTCTCGAATGTCTTGACCCCGCTACGGAGTGATATCGAGACTTTGTCGCCCTGGTCGAAAGGCGTCACCTGCGCCTTGGGGTTCGGGCACATATAAGGAGGCGCAAATCCGGTCCCGCCTTGTGCAATGCTCCACGCATCACTGTCTTGCGGCAGACCGGGCAGCGACGAGTCCGTCAGGATGCCGACATCTCTCTTGAATCGGCGAAGCCATTCTGCGTTGTCGGCGGCTGTTTGATTCCAAGGGTCGTCACTACAGCTGCGGTTAGTCGGGTGGTCCCAAAGCAGTGGACAATCAAAGGGGATAAGAGGGGCTTAACACGACTTACTCGTCATACAGGATCCATCTTGCTTGGTGCTGCAATTCTTCGTCCGAGGGAACGTGACAATTGGGATTGTTCGGCGACATGGCAGATGCGGCAAAACGTCCGAGCTCACGAGCGAGACGACGATAGCAGTTCGCATCGTTGAGAAAGAAGGGTGAAACCTTGATAACGCTGGCCTCACTCGCTTGGGCGCCCTTGAGAGTCCCCGTCCCGGTCGCCGTGGATCGAGATGTGTTGGTGGTAGGTGCAGCTGGCCGGCCGAACACGTTTCGTCCGGTGACGGACGCGATCGTCAGCGGCGAATGGCTGCTCGGTGAAGTGGTGGTGGTGGTAGCTCCTGCTGATTTCAGGTGTCGCTGCTTGAAGGCGTTCAGCCAGTCGAGGTTATCGGCAGCGGTCTGGTTCCAGTCGTCGTCGAACTCGTAGATTATGATGCGAGCTTCGCGTTGGAGGTCTGCGTCATCCGGCTCAACACCCAACGCCCGCTTGGTCCTGACATACTCTGCCAACTCAGCCTCTAGCCTACTGTAGTTGTGAATTGTTGAGTCGATCGTGTTTGGGTCTTTGGACCGCATATTCTCATCCGCCAGATCCTCCGATCGGGGGAGATGCGCCCTCTGCCTGAAGGAGCTGAGCCACTTTGTCGAGGCAAAGATTAGGCGAAGGAGGAAGTTCGCAACCTCGTCGGAAGGACTGATTGAGGACTCCTCCATGCGGCTGAGTATGTTGCATGCTTCAACCTGCAGCTCGCTGTCCATGGCGGTCAATCCCAGCAGCCGACGAGCTCGTACGTACTCGCCTAGTTGCATCTCCATGGTCTCGTCTTCGAATATGTTATCCTTCCCGTTGATTCTGAGCTGTGCCATTCGGCTATCGCTCTGCGACCGGATGGGTGCCAACTGGGCCCGCATCGCCAACTGCTCCGAGGATACTAGAAGGTCTCGGAGCCAGGAGGGCCTGGATGACATTCCCTGCGTGGATAGGACTTCGGACCCAAATATGATCCGACAGGCTTCAACTTGGAGTTCTTCGTCCGTCGGTGTTCTCCCTGTCTTCTCCCTCACGTTGAGGATGTAGAACACGAGCTCACTCTTCAGTAGCTCATACGCACTTCTGGGGGTCTCCGGCGGTCGCTGCGTAGCCTCGTAAGGTAATGGCGAGTGCCTCTCGTGGTCGATAAGGTCTGCGCAAAGGGGTTAGTGTCGCTGCGAAGAGGTTAGGCGGGAGACAACGGCACTTACACGGCGGTATGGAATTCTCGACCATCTCTAACACAGGGGCTTCGAAACCCCAGTCACCCTTCCAGTCAGCCATGGTATTACCAGTCTTGAAATGTTCGGCTACATGGTCGACCCTAATCGTCCAGGTATCCATGACGATCCCGCAGAAACCACACCTTGAGCGAATCTCGGGCGTCGCTATTTTCCATGGTTCCATGGACCAGCTGACAAACTTGGTGCCATGGACCAGCTTGAGATGCTGTCTAAGGTGGTCTTTCCTATAAAAAGTTCTTTCCTCCAAGGTCCGCTCCTGGCATGCGGAATGATTGTGACTCTCAACATGGGCGTCGTCAGGGTTGGCTTGCCCACAGAAGATGCAGCAAATTTGGCTATTCTCTGGATTGATTGCCCGGGGCCCATTCGGAGCACACACCCACCTCTCGAGAGAGAGATGGAGAGACTTCTCGTGTCGCTGCCAGTCATGCTTCGTCCGAAAGGTTTCCGTGCAGAAAGTGCACTGGAAGGTCTTGAGTGGCGCGGTAAGAGAGGTCTTTTCCTCAGGACGCTTTGACGACGTTGTGACCTTCCTGCGTCTCCGTCTGCGCCCCCGGTTAAGAGAACCGAAGGAACCCAAGGAACCTCGAGAGGCGTGGGAGTATGCCGAGGCAAACGAGCCACCACTGGAATGGGAAGTGTTGACACTGCTAGCCGATGAACCGGCATAGAGCGATCTTCCAGACCCATCATCAGTCAGGTTGATGCTGTAGGGGCTATTGAGCCCGGACGACAGGGTTGACGACGAGGCCGTGACAGCCCGAGCAATGGCGGTAACGGAAGCAGGTTCGTTCTCTGGGGGAGAGTGCTGCCACCTCTGGAGGGGATTCATGTTCTCGAGTGCAGCAGGAGTGCCGCGTCTCTGCGGGATATCAATGGGGGTTGACCAGCTTCGAACACCAGGTGAAGTAGAGCGCGGTGCCATGATCTTGCCTCTACGCCGAGCGTTTGCAAGCCAGTTTGTGATCTGGGTCTTGTTGAGGCCTGTCTGCTTCTGCAGCATCTCCTTCTCCTCTTCTGTTGGGTACGGATGCTTGTTATGCGTTGAGAGCCAGTTCTTGAGGGTCCTGACTGACTCTCTGGAAAAACGGGCCCCGATCTTGGGTGCGGCGGCAGCGGCAGCGTCGTTCAGGCTTAGATCCGCACCGGCGGAGGTCAAGGATAGGATGTCTGGGGTAGATGTGCTATGAAGGAGTTCGGGCCGGATGTCCTCCTGAGGGATAGCGTCCGGATGATCACCCAAGATGGGCCACGGGTTGAGAGGGAAGGTGGTAGAGTCGGGGCGGCCTTGTGGGGAGGCCAAGCCGAAGCTACATCCACACCTCAGGGCAACGCAACTCGTGCAATAGCCCTTGTAACTACCTTCGCTGATCCGCTTGCACTGATAGCCGCCAGCTTTGCAATGGGCACATGGCTCATCTGGGATCTCGAACGAGATCTCAAATGCCTGTGGTTCTGCCTGTCCAAGGCCAGGGTGGGCAATGCCGTCGGTGACGTCTAAGGTGGGCATGTTGCTGGACTCATAGTGCTGCAATGCCCAAAAGGAGAAGTCATCGCCGGCAACATTCTCCAGAACCAGGTCGAGGTCATGGCTAAAGCCATTGACTGCGTCCCTCTGAGACAGCAATGCGGCGCCAGTATCCAGGGCAGGATCGGTGTTTTCCCAATTGATGAACTCGTCCATCTCGAGGATCACAGGCATGTGGCCGGCCGCAACAACAGGCGAAAGTCAAAGGGCGTCAAGTCAGCCTTGTAACTCGAAGGGCGGGACCACGCAATGGTTATGCTGCAACAAAGGCGTAGTACTCTGTAGATGTGGAACCGTGGAGGATATGAGGGACAAGCGCCAAGGAGGCTTCTTTCCTTAGGCTCGACTTTTGACTTTGACTGCCCGGCCAGCTCTCTACCAGGTCTCTCCTCGAGTGAACAAGGTTGTTGCGATGAGGTTGACTACCAACGAGCAGCCATCGCCGAGCAGCACCCAATGTTCGATGTATTATTATATCGACCTGGCGAGGCCCGGCAAGAGAAAGAGAGACTAGATAATGCTCAATCGAATATGGTAGGAGGACACGAGGAGAGTAATTGCTGACAGAGGAACGGGATCGCATATAAGAGGGAGCAGGAAAGAAAAATGAAAATGTGTCATTTGTCGTCCACTATCTTCCGCCTGCCTGGCCGCTGGTCATGGAAGCCGCCCACCTCTCCCAGCTTAGCTTTCAGCGCTTGTCTCCTAACCAGACCGAGTCAGATCAGTGGGGTGGTGGAGGGTGCAGGGATTGTGGGCTAGACGATGTCGTTGCGCCCTTCCGTTGACAAGCTGCAAGCCCATCCCGATCCACTCTGGCCACACTGTCCACTTACAGCCCATCTTTTGAAGTGGTGGCGCCCCGCCCGCGGCCCCACACCGGCGACCCCGCCAGATGTGGGGATGACGATTACAAATATCCGAGAACGATCGTCTTCATAACGACACCTGCATTCTGAGTTTAAAGCACGGCTTCCGCTTTCTCAACACATGGCATTTATAAATATCCCATCTCTGAAAGCCAAATATCCGGGGCCAATCGGCAGCGATCCCGCGCCTTGTAAGTATACGAACAATTTTGCGATGAAACTATCATGTTCGTGATAGAGGTGGTCGCGCAGACAATATCTTATCCCAATGGAATCAACTGTTCGGTCGTAGACAGCTGTATATTTATTTCAGCAGTCTTGTGTCCGATGCAATCTTAAGGCTGCTATCGGGAAGGCCGGCTTGTACGGGTCTCTAACGGAGTGCATGATCAATTCCCAGCAACGCCATAGTTCGCAGGAGGCTTCCATCCCGAGTAAGTGGCCTTGTTGGTTGTAATTCGTCTAAAATACCGCCATGGGAAGGGCTTTGGCTGCGGGCCGTTCGAGGGTCTGAGCCATCCGGGTTTGACGTGGTAACCCGTTGCTGACAGGGCAGTGTTATCCCAGAAGCGCCGAGATGATGGATGGAACCTCCACTGCTCCCCAGGGAACATACCCTACCTATATAAGGATGGAGAAGTGGAAGATGTGGGAAGGTAAAATGAACCTTCCTAGCTCGCTGTGCGACTCGAGCTCTTAAGTTCTCCTGTCCCTTCCGCAATCAAGTTCATCGCCTGCCGGTTTCACAGACGGGGTCACGCCCCCTTGATATTGAACCACCGCGCCGCTGGGGAGCGAATTGCCTTGCGTTGTACCTCAGCCAGAACGACCGGCAGAGGTCAGTACGTAACGACCCCGCGGTTAGACTCTTCTCCGTTCTCATCCGCCGCACCATCCCGCGCAGCTGGAAGGCTAGCCGGAGCGTTGAAAACCACATTTGATCGTTGATGCGGTAATGGGAATCTTGCCCGACACGGCGCTTAATAATTACGACAGTTGAGGTAGAGTGCTCCCATTTAAATATCTGCTAGGTCTCTGGAAATTCCAATAAAACAACATTTGTCCTTGACATCTCTGCGAGTTCCGGACCTACAGCTATGGATCCAGCACTGCAGAATATCCACGGCATTCCCGAATTCAGCAGCAACTGGAACTTGGACAATATTGACACCAGTAACTTGCCTGCTACCGTCAGCCCCATCCACTTATGCGCACTTCGAAACGATCTCAACGAAGGCGACGAGGCAGGCGAATCTCCCACAAACCACTGGACAATGTGCCTCCAGCTCTCCCCACAGTCAAGCGTGATGCTGGACATGGCCCCGGGCTACGGAAGCGACGGGTTGCGGGGCAAGGTCGAAGCCTCGTCCATTGGTGAGCCCTACACCGAGGAGACGCGCCGGACCTTCTCCTTCAAGCCAACTAAAGAAATCACCGTGGGCGATGTAATTCGGCTCGTCGCGGAGAGGGGAAGGGACGCATTCAGCTTTTCCCCCGAGTGGGAGGGGTGCCGGTTCTGGATGTCGACGGTGATGGGGGACTTCGAGGATGCCGGTCTTGTCGAAGAAGGGAGCGCTAAAACTGCAAAGGAGGCATTGCTGAAGTATTGGGTGAATCCGGAAGGATCTGAGCCTCGGGTTATGCGAGAGGGAACGTCCAGGAGATGAGCAAAATGCCATACTTCCCACCTAGTTTGATCTTTCGCGGCGTCTTCATCTGGGCTACCGCCTCAAACCATGTCCCAGACCGAGCACCTCTTCCCAAATTTGTCAGTTCCCAGGTCAGTGTTGTCCAGAACTCGGATTTTGACGGGTGCCATTAGATGCTTTCGGACAAGCCACCGATCTACATCGTGTTGCGGCGGTCTGTACACCTTCATGGGCCAACGTCTGGATCTCTAGAAAAGGCATCATATTCAAAGCTAAATCATCTATCACTCCTCATCTAAAACACAATTGGAGAGTTTTCAATCATTACCCAGTGGCTGTCCAAGTACCCAGGCTTCTATCGCGACTCAAGCAACATCGTTGCTCTACTTCTGCCCTCCGGATATGGTTTCCACGAAACCGACGATATCGGCGATGACCTGTGGAGCGTGGGTCAAGTACAAGCCTAAACGAGAGGAGTCAGCTAATTGTAGTAACCCGCGGGATGCAGCGGCGTTGAGCATACCGTGTCCGCCCTTTTCATAGACTTTCAGGTCAGCCCATGGGAGCATATCCTTGACGATTTGTGAGCTTGCTTCCAAAGGCGACCCTTGATCCGAGTCGCCATGCAAGATCATAATGGGGACTCTTCCGAGGGCCGCCACCTCCTGCAGCTCCTTGCTCATGTCCTTCTGGAGGATTCTCGTCGTCTTGTCGAGAGCTACGGCGTCCGCTTCGTCGACAATGCGTTCGTATTGCTCGAGTGTCTTCGTCGAGACTTCGTTCCCAGCTTGCACGGCAAAGATGCCAGGGAGAGACTCGCTGACGTACTTAGCTCTATCCGCTCGGAGCCCGTCCTGAATCGCGTCCCACAGTTCCTTCGGAGGACCCAAGGGGTGCTCGGGCGACTGGGCAGGATGTCAGAATCAGAAAGCCTTATCAAACCGGTCTTGTTCTTCCAAGTGACCATAACTAGGCCCGGAACAACTCTGAGCTGCGGGCTCTAGAACACTTCCGCAATAGGGCGCAGGTGGTTTGGGAGGCAACGTACCTGAACAGGAAATGGCATGTTCGGCCCCATCCAGACAAACCCCTGGGAGCACGGTTTAGCGGGCTGCTCGCTCGGGCGACTTCACTGAGATCTCTTCCTCACCTTGCAGCGTTCTTGGATGGAACGGCTCTTGAGATAAGCCAAAACGGACTCTTGCGTGCCCATGCTTGCTCCTAGCAGGACAAAAGACTTGACGTCCAGGTGCTCCAGCAATCCCACGAGATCAGCGACGAAAGTATCGTACCCAATGGAGCTGGTCGTGGCAGTGTTCCAATCGCTCTTCCCAAACCCACGGCGGTCTGGGGCAACACAGGGAAACCGATACGTCTCGCAGAGCGGGACGAGAAGGTGCTCGAACATGCGAGAGGACATGGGCCAGCCGTGGAGGAAGACCAGAGTGATGTCCGAGGTCTCTCGGTCCTGTGGGCGAAAGGCAATCCCGTCCGGCTTGTAGTACCGGTAGAAGAGGGTAGCCGAGTCAACGGGGCTTGTGAAGGAAGGCATCTTGAACAAGAACGGTAGGTATCTTGGACTTGAACGGGTATCTTAAGAAGGATGTTGTGTATGTGTCTTGATGATGGTGTCTGAATGAGGAGTGTCGGATGCCAGACGAGAACGAGAGGCTATATATATTCGACACATCCCCATGATTGCTGGAGGACATGATGATGGCCGTGGCATTTCGACGTTATGTCCATAAGTGATACTATACACACGACATTATATGAATAACTTCAGCTTCGGGTCTTGGGACTAACATGGCTGGAATTACCTATCTGAGGTTAGCACCCCTCTATGCCCGTCTTATTTTGCCCCCTGTCCCGAACCAAAAATTGTTAGTCGGTACCCCAACTATGTAATAAATTCTGGCGGAGCAATAAGTCACTCTTTATCCGTAATCCTTCTGCGTTATTCTCGCATGCTCATGTGGAGACTGACCATAATGCATAAGACCATCCCTACCCCCTCCCGCTCCTCGCTCTAGCACATCCCTTGAGCAGTAAACGTCTCTCGGCCTCATATGTAACTGATGGCTTCTGAAAGGCAACGTGATAGATTCCCCAGTGCTGAACCTCCCTTGGCAGAGACCACAGCGGCCGCAACCCGGGGTTCAGATGCAACTTACATCCGCCCCAGGACAAGGCAGCGGGTCCCTAAGGAACCTGCCCCCCTTACTGTCCCGGATATAAGTGAGGATGCTGCTGAGAGGAAGAGGGTGTTGAATGTCCTAGCGCAACGCAGATACCGTACGACTCGTACCCTCCACTCTCCTACATCCTTGCCATCCGTGTTCAATGTCGCATAAGGCTAACATGTCTTAGGGGAACGCAAACGACAAAGTCGACCCCAGGCTGCTAGGGGGCAACGCCAGTCCCCACAAAGTGGTGTATCTCAACCAGAGGATGGCAGTCCTTCTGCCAATGACACGAACGGTGAAGAACCTAACGGTCATGGGCCTTCTACCAATGTTGCAAACGGTGTAGAACCAAGCACTGAGGTCCATGCAGATATGGCCGGCTCACTCCAAACAACTACTGCGTCTGTCGAGACCAACCCGGCAGGAGACATCTCTTCCTTTAGTCTAGATTTCACTGCATCGCTATCACCAGGCATGTTTGACCTGTCTGACAAGGCTCTGGAGGACCTAGCCATGAACACAGGGGGACTACCCAGCTTAGACCTAGACAGCCAGCAGCTCAACTTCGGGACCCAGGTGCCGTCAACAACCGCGGCGCCGTCTAGCTTCTCATTGACCATCGATCCCTCCGCCGTCTTCAATACATCCTCCTCCGCCGTCACCACCATTTCCTCCTCTTCGTCCTACGCCTCCCCAGACACATCATCCGCGTCAGTGACCAGCCCGCCAGCGGACTCGTACTTTCTCCCCGTCAACGAGCTCACCCTCCTCCGAGCCTTCCTACGAATCGCCACACGCCTCGGCTGCGCCAAGAGCCTCTGGGACCTCTCAGCGACCAGCCCCTTCTGCCCGCCCCTCCCGACCGCAGGGCCGACGCCGCCCTTCAGCAACCTCGACGGCGCCGCCGCCACGGGGGCGAGCAACAACGACTCCGGCGGCGGCGACCTCGCCCCGCTCCCGCCGACGTGGCAGCCGACGGCGTCGCAGCAGCTGGTGCCGCACCACCCGATGCTGGACATACTTCCGTGGCCGTCGGCGCGCGACCGCGTCATCGCCGTGTTCGGCCTGCCCGAGGCGGCGCGGCCGGCTGCGGCTGCGGGGCCCCTGGCGCTGGCGGAGCTGGCGTACGACGTCGAGGACAGCGCCGAGGGGATGCGCATCTGGGGGCCCGACCCGTACGACCCGGCTGCGTGGGAGGTCGGGCAGCTGCTGTTCGAGCGGTGGTGGTTCATCTTCGACAGGGAGATTGTGGAGCAGAGTAATAGGTGGAGGGCCCTCAGGGGGGCGGGGGCGCTGAAGATGAAGGGGGAGGGGGAGTGGGGGCGGATGGGCGGGTTCACGATGGGGTGGTGACGGTGATGAGAGCGGGGATGGACGGGGGGTGCTGGATAGAGCCCCTAGAGGGGCATGGTTAGGAAGTTTAAATCTCGGCTTATAGTTTATGGAATCATGTTAGCTAGGTAGTATTGTGCCAATTGGGAGTGGGAGTTGGACGGAGACTTATGAAGTCGTATGAAATATTTTGAATTTGTCTAGAAGTGGCTAGTTACATCGGCTCGAGACTCCAGAACCCCCCTCAACATTCGTCGGGATTCTAGGGCGTAGGAATGAGATCGTTAGCATTCCCCCTCGGCAGGGCGTTGGTGTTGCTGACAAGTCCATTTAGCGGCGGATGCTGACTGTTCGCCCTGCTGTGGTTTCATAAGTAGGTAGGTACCTTATCGAGGCTACATATGTGGGAGCTGACGCACATGTGTAAGGCTACTTTAGGTTGGTAGTTTAGATCATGCGTTACACAATACGCTTCTCGACCGATTCGAGATTCTTTGGGGGAACGCAGCTGCCACCTCCTCCCCTCATCCCCTCGAAGAAGTTGGGATGGAATGACGCTGATGCTGTGGGCTGAATGAATGTTAGCGTTCTTGAAGCTGATCGCCCACTCCGCGACACCCCTTGTTTCCTTTTCCGCCGTTACAATTGGCTTTAGCAGCTGCAAAGCAACACAGTCCTCGAGAACCCACGGTTTCTAGAATTCCAAATTGTCGAGCCGCAACTCGGGAATTCCCCACTCACGGATTCGAGTACATACCTACCTACCTAGTTATTTAGAAGCACCTGGCCCTGATGCCGACATATCTTTGCCACGGTTTCCGCTGGCAGCGTCGCAGCGTCCGTGTTTACGTTGTCGTCCAGGACCTCGACGATGCGTCGCCCGAGTGGATCATCGCCCCGAAGAGCTCGCAATGCCTCCTCGAGTCCTTCTACAACCTCTTCGACTTCCTGCCCTACTGCGCGCCGCCGAGCCGTAGCAGCGCCCGGCGCTACGACTCGGTAGACGCAAGCGACGACGACAGCCGCGTTCTTAGAAGTAGGAATCACAGCAATGACCGCCGCAGCCGGAGTCAGAGCTTCAGCCGGAGCCGAGAGAGCAGTTCGCAGAACCGGAGCCGGAGCCGGAGCCGGAGCCTGCCGCAGACGAACTCGCCCCAGTTGCCACCGGTGTTAGGAAGCGCCCCGCCGGAGGATGACGTGCGCTCCCAGGACTGGTCGCTCATCAAGCTGCTGGAGGAATACGACCCGATGAACCTGGACGAGGTCTCGCGGCCGTACGCATATGTAGCAGACTACGTAGTGCGGGTCGATCTGTCTGTATCGATAGCCGACGAGATGCAGCAGTACGAGAAAAGACTACGCGCAGATCGCGCCCCGCCCATGACTGGCCCGACGAGCGACGAGACCGGGCGCAAGAAGCATAACAAGAAGCCGGGTTGGCTTGAGAAGCTGCGCGACCAGCTTCAGCGTGGGGAGGACATCAAGTGGTATGTCGTCACCAACGGCGACGAGGTGAGGGAATGGCCCGACGAACCCATTCGGAGGACAGGATCGACGCAGAGGCCCACGGCGACGAGGCAACAACAGCAGCACCATGCGCAGTATTCGCACCAGCAGGTGATATTCGAGGGGAACAACAACGCGGCTGCGAGGCCGCAGGTTCGGGAAGGACGTGATTTGAAGGACGTGCCGCCCCTGAACCCACCAAAAATGTCGACGGATGACGGTCCCAGGCCGAAGACTTCGAGTAAGGGCGGGTTCAGGAAGCTGTTTGGCAAGAGCAAGCCCGACGACCACTCACCTTGACGGAAGTCCGGCCGAGAATCTGTAAAACCGCCCAAAACCCTACGGCGATATGCAGAGTCAGTGGATACTGAGTCAATTTGCCCGAGTTTGATGGATGGAGGCCGCCGGGACTCAAGAATGTGCCCAGCAAGCCATCCAATTGGTGCCGAGGGAGCACCAAATCGCCCAAAGTATCGCTAAGAAAGCCAAGGAAGAGGGATCCATCCACTAGGTCCTTAGAAAATTAAGACGATGAATTTGAACGGTTCTCTTATGCTTTCCAATGTCATACTCTTGATGCTTAAATGCATAACCAGAAAATAATTTGCAAAATTTAGTCATCCTAATGTAATAAAATAGATGTCACGTTTTTCATCAACCAGATGGAAAGACAGGGGATGTAGCTCATCTGGTAGAGCGCGTGCTTAGCATTTCTACCTGCTCTTGCACGAGGTACTGGGTTCGACTCCCAGCTTCTCCACCATCCTTTCTTTTTTCGTGCCCTCGAGAAGGGCCAACGGGTTTCTTTTTTTCCCTCTTTTTTTGTGTTGGTTTCCTTCTCCTGGGGGTTATTGGACGAGTTAGGATCCTCTGGGGGAAAAGCCTTGGGAATTTGGGTGCTGGAAACTGCATCACGTGTGGCAGGGGTCAGGAGGTCCAACGACTCCAACCCCCTGGATCAGCTCCTTTTGACTCGAGGTATTGAAACCATTGAAACCATCGGAAAAGGCTGCAAGGGAACACGGCACCATGGCTCGATTTAAAGTTCTTGATGCGCGCTAGGTATCCAGCACGATTCGCTGAAATTTATGGTTTGGATGTGTTAGGTTTCCCAACAACTAGCACCTAAATAAGAGTCATCGGTTTCGATATAAATCCCTTCACCCGCGCCAGCCAGCTTCCAGCTTCCATGTTTTATCTTTTCTCTCAGAATTATTTCCATCATTTCCACCACACGCCAACACTCTCTCTACCATGTACTACGGATACCACGACGCCCCGCCGCCTACGCCTCCATGGGCCGATGAAGTTCGCCGCTATCATGTTGGTGTTGGCCATGTCGTCGACCCTCCGCTCCACTCGGTCCAAGTATACGAAAAGATTCTACAGCCATCCAAACCCTTTACAGTTTGGACTACTCGTGCCGGCTTTGAACAGCCATCTAGCTTCCCCTTAACCTACGAAGACTACCTTGACTTCCGCAAACGGGTGGACTTCTCCGTAGAGAACGAGATGTTTCCTTTATTATAATCGATTTGGGCGACAATTTAAAATTGGGCAGCTGGTTTGAGCAACGCGGGTTCTAGTGCAATGCTCTTCATTATCTCGCTGTGCCCTGGGTTCGTCGGGGGAAAAGTCGTACCTTTGTCAAACCACTAGTAGCCTTTCTGCAGGCTGCTGCTCAGCTTTGGGATCCTACACCGCGAGACACATATGAGGTTGCTGTCACTGGTGCGCTGAAAGAGCTTGGTCTACTCGACTACAGTTTCGCAACCTTGACAGAGAACCTACTTCCCCAAACCACCGAAGACTGCTTCAACGGCGTTCTCCGTACTTCAACTTTCGAAGTCGACCAGGGTTATGATAGGGAAGAGAAGACATTGACGGCAGGAGTGACCAATGTACTGTGCTCCAAACGTCCCACTCACCTCCCGTGATAGCACGTAAGCCTGGCCGTTCTGGCAAGCTGCAAGGGCAATGAACTAGCTGAATGGAGACGTTTGCTTGCCCCTTCCCTCTTTGCTTCCCCGTTACTTCCAATGTTGACAACTGTGCTTTAGTACTGGCAGCCTTCCGGCGTCCGCACCTGCTATACCTACTGCATCCGAAAAGTGATGTATGGAAAATTGAGATGTGCAGGCACGCCTTAGGTGCTGCGCATCTCCAAATGTTTTCTGATTCTGTCGTCTATTTCTCTTCCCTCTTCTCCTCAGAGACACCACGCACGTCTGTATGTTACCGCCACCACCGTCACCACCACCACCACCGATGAGCTGCTCGGGCACTCAACTCATCAAACTCGACTAACAATGTCATTGATACCAAGAACAAGAACAACAACGACAACGACAACAACAACAAGAAGAAGAAGAAGAAGAAGAAGAAGTAGAAGAAGAAGCAATGTATGTTGTCTCTCTCCTTTGGACTTGAACCTTCACACAATACGCACTGCTATATCAAGAGTAGCTAATCTTGGTATACGATAGCAGAAAACATGACGAACGCTGCCACTCCTGCGGCCAAGTCGGGCACTATGCCCAAAATTGCGACGCCGCGTGGGCGACCGCGCAGCGCCGCCTGCTGGTGGCACTTCTACCAACGGTATGTAATTCTTTACTCTTTGTCAAATCACTTACATATAATGAGAAGAGGTTGCTAACTTACCCCTTTAGTACCGTAGGTTCCCATACATACACCGTCACTTTGGTCATCAACACTTCATCTCTAAGCTACGTAAGGCGGCGCTAACCAGTATTATAGACTACCACCCGTACGGAGCGGGCGGAGCGGGCAACAACCGGGGCGGGCGCGGCGGCGGGCGCGGCGGCGGGCGCGGCGATGGACGCGGTGGGGGCGGCGGGTACCGAAGACGGCATGACACCAGGGCGCGGGGTGGCGGGCGTGGGCGTGGGGGCTGGGTTGGTGGCGGCCGCGTGGATGGTGGCCCGGGCGGTGGCCGGGACGGATCTACTTTCCGTCCGGTGGGTCTCCTTGGCCCGGTGCCAGTGATCGAGGAGCCGGAGGAGCCGGCACAGCCGGTCAAGAACGGTGGCGGCTCGGGGGGCGGCTCGGGCACCACCTGGGCAGAGGAGGTTGAGGAGGTGGTGGAAGTGGGGGAGAAGCAGCAGCAGAAACAACAGCAGTACCTAGTTCTTTTCGGCCCTTGTTTTTGGGAATTTCTCCAGAGGCATGCGCCATTGCTCCGCGGGCAGGCGGCTAGTGCATCAGGAAAATTAGCAACAGCTCCTGTTGCCGTTGCTGTTGCCGTCGCTATCTATCGCTGTTGCCATCGCTGTCTATTGCTCTTGACGTCGCTGTCTATTGCTCTTGCTATTTCTAGCTATAGCAAAGTAATAGTGATAGTAATAGTGATAGTAATAGTACTAGGAACAGTAATAGTAACCGCAATAGTGATAGTGATGGTACCTAGCTATTACCAATTTCTACTACCTGCTATAAAACGGGGAAGTCTGCCACGGCGGCAGCGGCAGCTATCCGTATAGTGGCTTCCAAGGCGGGCCGGTTCTACGGGGCGGCGCTCAATCGTTTTCTTTACTCGACGATCGTCACACCGATGGCAGCACCCAGGTCACCATCAGGAGGGAGCTAAGTGCGGAGTTGGCTTTAGACACTACCAGGCCGAGAAGTCAGTAAAGGGTTGCAACAAAGTCGGTTAATCAGGAACCAAGGAATCATCTACTAGTAATCTGTAAGAGTATCAGATACCTGGAGGTTTGGGTCGAGGAGCAAAGTGGGGCCAGAAGCAAGCTTCTGTCTGATTGGAGGAGATGATGGCCCATGTGAGGCGAACGGAGGGATCAGAAAACAGCATGCTCGACCCGAACGCACGAATTTCAGGCGTCAGCTGGCTGGCGATTGCAAGGCATGTGAAGCGGCTTGTCCGATTACGCAGCTTGCTTGGGGTGGGACGACACCACGAAGGCAACGGCCCACAACGAAGGTCCAGCGAGGAAGGTCACTAGAGAAGCAGAATCAGTAGGGTGGTGTGTCACGGAACACTTGGGATCACCCGTCGTTCGTCCTACGCGGTGCCTCCCCCGCCTGTCGATTGCATGTCCCAACGCCCCAGGAGACCAGTTGCTCTCTCGTCTGGCGGCGAGCCTATTTATCAGGCCTTAATCCTGCCCGTCTCGATCGCCGCAGGGCGAGCTATATGGTCCGAATTTGAGCAATCTGCATGCGAGTAGCAGCTGCCATGCAAACGACGACGGGCCGAGTCCAATCGCTTCTTAGGTGCATGCACTCCAAGCACACTCCAAGCACCAGCCCCGCCACTCATACGCAACCATCTGTTCAACCTTCCCAGGCCTCTGCAGGCCCCAATTGCCGCTTTACCACGGCCACACTGGAATGTCGCGATTCCCAAGGCTGGCTGGAAGTGACGAATGGCCGGACTCGACGACATCCGGGGCCACAGGAGTTCCCGTCGAAGAAGACATGCCCGCACATCGCCCTCCCCCCGTGAAAATGATTGGACGGGAACCGACGAACCGCGCCTGCCCAATTCGCCTCGCTGGGAGCGAGAAGGAGATATAGAGCCTTCGGGAAATTCGACGACGTCTCACCATCGATGCCCGACCTCGAATCGAGCCCTCGTCCCCAGGTCTTCGAGTATGCGTACTCCGAACTCCGCGGTGCCGGTGCTGACGAGGGCAGCGACGGCTCCGAGCAGATGGCCGGCTTACATTATCGAGGAGGAGGACGGATCGAGATCCGATAGCCGGAGGAGCGGCTCTCGACGGGACAGGAGCACGCCCTCGGCTCATCTATACCGCTCAACACCCGACTCGGGGCCGTCGTTGGAAACCTCGCTGAGCGAGTCAGATGAGGAGACCGAAGCCACCGTTTCGACTGAGGATGAGACGGAAAGAAGGCCCTCAGAGAAGGTGCGGAGTTCACGGCAGCACTTGCACCAGCATCACGACCACAGACGTGCGCCAGGACGGGAAGACATAATATACGAGGAGGACAATGCCAGGGACACGAGACATCGCTCCTTTGTCGATCGACCGAGGTCATCGTCGCAGCACTCGGCTGACAGGCATGGACGGCCTGGAAGGCCACAGAAGGAACATGGGCGGAGAGGTAGTAGCCCCGAGGAGAGCAGGTCCCGCTCAAGGTCCAATAGGTACATACAATATTCCGCGCAAGTTGGCCAGGAAACAAGAGACGCTGTACTAACAGGAGTTTGGCAGGCTCTCGAAGAAATACTACGAATCTGATGTGGTTTACCGGGAAAGGCACCCTGCGTCGCTTCGAAGGGCAAACACGACGGGGGGTTCTAACGTGGCATCCTCGCAAAGTGTAGGGTCCTCGGCAAGGCGTTCGTCCCTTCTCGGGAGCCTTTTTGGTTCCGCTCTTCACGGGTATGCTCAAGAGAAACCCGTAAGACTGTAAGTGATGCCGGAGAGCTAGCATGCAACTTTGGCGGCCGCTAATCGATCGTAGTGTCGAATGTGTTGTTTGTAGGGACGATGAAGTGCCATCCCACAAGACGGCGAAACTGAGGTGTGGCCATCGGATGTGCAACGGCTGCTTGAAACGAAGTTTCACAATCTCCATTCATGATCCTCAGCACATGCCCCCCAAGTGTTGCACGTCGGACCATATCCCACTGAAGCATGTTGAGAAGCTGTTCGACAAGAACTTCAAGAGAACATGGAACAATAAGTACGCCGAGTTTTCCACGCGGAACCGACTGTACTGCCCGTCAAGGCGGTGCGGCGAATGGATCAAGCCCGAGAACATTCGCCGCGACCACGACGGCCGGAAGTATGGGGAGTGCAGCCGCTGTAGGACCAAGGTCTGCTATCGGTGCAACTGCAAATGGCACTATTCCAGAGAATGCACCAGGGACGAAGAAACCAACCAAATCCTCGAACAGGCAAAGCGGGAAGGATGGCAGCGCTGCCACCGTTGCAAGGCCATGGTCGAGCTCAAAGAAGGGTGCAACCATATGACCTGGTATGTGTTTGTCCTGACTGTGCCGGCCGTCCAGCCCAGGCCCAGGCGCCTCCCTTCTACCCATCCTGCTAACCAAATTCTCGCGCAGTCGCTGTGGAGCCGAGTTTTGCATGATATGCGGATCCAAGTGGAAGACTTGTGAATGCCCTTGGTTTAGTGACGACGCCGTAGAAAGTGATCCACTGGAGCACATGCAAATTCCCATGAACATAAGGACAGACCCCATCACCATGCGGTCGGATCGTTTCGAGCCCGGACCGCAGTCGCCCAGAGAAATCCGACTCCGAGGCGGAGGAGGTGGATGTGGCCATGCGACAGCAGTGCGCCCCCGGCCTCAGAGTTACGAGGAGGAGATGCTAGTTCGTAGACTGCAAGAGCAGCGAGACGAGGATCTGGCCCGCAGGCTGGGGGGCTTTGGAAAGTTTGCTGACGACGATGCCTTTGACGATTACGACGACCACGACGGCCGCTACCGGGAAAGTACCGGTGATACAGCTAGAGTTGGAAGCCGTGCTGGACCCTTTATGAATGACGACCATCGACGAGGACCACAGACCACCGTTGTGCCACCATCCCCGTCGCATGCCCCCTTTGACAGGGCTAGCTCGGGAACCGATTACGTTGCGGGGGTAAACAGAGCTCGAGGGGTGCGAGCGAGCTCCTTGGAGAGACGGCTTGCCGAGCGGTTCAACTCAGATCTCAGGCAGAGCCCGATGCACAGCCCGATGAGAGCAACGGCGGGACCTCCGCCTCCTCCTCCTCCACCACCACCACCACCACCTCTACATCCGCCTTCACATCCACACTCACATCCACATCCACACCAACGCCCACATCCGCCTCCACATCCGCATCCTCACCCGCACCACCACCCGCACTCTCCCGCACACGCACACCACCAACCTCCCCTTATGTCACCGTCGGGCACGGTACCTTTGGTTCCCATGCCGCCGCCCGCGGTGCCAGGCCTCAGGAGGCACACGATGGAGGAGGAATTGTATAACAGCGCGAGAAGCACCCGGCCCTCGGAGCGAGTCGTGCCGGGGCGCATTCGGCACGACTACGAGAGCGAGGCAGCCGCCCATGCTCCGCCCAGTCGACGACGGCAGCACTATCAATATTACGACTACGACCATCACCAACAGCAGAAGCAGCAACCACAGCAACAGAAAACGCACCGCCAGTACTACGAACACCAGCAGCAGCAGCAGCAATATGAGCCACAGGAGGAGGAGCCCAGGCTGTCTGTCCTGGCCGGACTGGGTGGGCCAGGGCGAGGCATGAACAGAGTGGTTGAATGGGCGGCCTATGTTGAACCCGGGGTACCCGAAGGAGAAGGCACGATTATATCGGTCTGATGGGCCGGGGGGCAGAACACGGCCGGGGTGGGGGTATGACTTGACGACTCATACGTGTATTTACATAGGATGCGGGTTTGCAGGCGATCCATAGTATGTATGTCTGTGATCTTCCTGCTTGCAAACCCTGTAGGTGTAAAATAGCTTGGTTATTGTATCTATGGCTGGATCTTGCTGTGGTGCCGTGCTATCAGGTTATCGGCTTTGCTTTGCAAACGTTCTTACCTACCTAGGTTACCTTGCGGTGTAAGTCCCGAGTAACCTTGGAGAGTAGGTCGGCAATAGTCTTGTTTCCAGCTACGTATGCCAGCGATTATTTCCAGGGTCCTGCTAGGTACTGTAGGGTGCCAGCCAGCTCCTATCTCTCTCTAGCTGAGCGTCATCTTGCTCTTCAGCTTCAGCCGCTCGGCGACCAAGAAAAGGTTGGGCTGCACCAGTCCAGGCTGATGTCAAGCTACCAAATACCTAGTGGCTTCTGCGCAACCCGTGTGACCCCACTGTCCGTGTGTCTAGGCGGCCGCTTCCCGTCGGTGCTCGCTAGATCGGCACCTTATTAGATAAGGGAAGCGAGGAATTCAGCCTCGCAGCCCGCCAGGTTCCATTCCTTCAGCTCCGAATTGTCCGGAAACTTCTTTAGAGCTGTTGTACGGATTATCGGTCTTGTCACCCTTCTGTGGCTCCTTAGCTTTCGCCAAGGTGCTTTTATTAACAGCGTTTTCCCAGAGTAGGTCTCAGTTCCTGGTCCCGAGACCCCGAGACGCCCGGCATGGTGACATCACACGAGCGATAATCCATCCCCTGCCCAGCGTGTGAGAGAGAGAAAGAGAACCCTTAAACTTACCCGACTCTCAGCGGACCCCAGGGCCGCAGTCCGCAAGCCGCACTTTGCTGAGTCGGGCTTTTCACCATGTTGCTCCTCTACCAGGTGGGCAGCGTCAAGATCGGAGAAGTGGTCCGGTACACGGTGACCTACACCCCGTCGCACGACCGCATCCTGCCCTCGGCCGAGTCCCTCCAGCTCCGCATCCGGAACACGTGCGCCATCGCTCTGCGCGCCGCCTTCGTCCACGGGCCCTACACCCTCTCGGTCGCCGCCTACCCGTCGACCTTCAACCCCAACGAGAAATTCGCCAACCCCCGCCGCTATGGCGTGCCCGAGTTTGAGCCCATGCTCAAGGCCGGCGGCACCTGGAACTGCCACCTGGTCGTGCCCGACGACATCCGCCAGAGTGCGGGGACGGGGAAGCACGGCGGCAGCGGATACTTTGGCGGGGGCGGCGGGCCGGAACACGGCGAACACGGACACGAGGGCGGGAGCGTCTCGTGGGTCATCGAGGTCGCCTCCCAGGTCGTCTTCTCCACCTCGGCGGCCGTCAACTACGAGATACTGCTGGCGCGCGACGAGAAGTCGCTGAGCCTGAGCTCCGGCGTCCCCGTCATCGGGGGCCAGGCCCAGGTGCCCCTGCCCGGCCGCCTCGGCGACTACCACCAGAGCGTCGTCGCGGGCAAGGACCAGGGCGCCGCCGCCCCCGCGAAGGGCGTCTTCTCCCGCGCGATCCGGCTCAAGGTTGAGGACACGGCCAGCCTCTGGAACACGCCACAGCTGCCCGGCTGGGATGACGCACATTGTCTCGGTGGCAGGCCTCGTGGCTCCGACGGACCGGTACAGCGGGTTGCTACCCAGGCCAAGGTAGAGCGCTTTGAAGGAACCCCCGGGAAGGAGAAGCAGAAGAAGATCCACCTCGTGGTGCTGACGCACGGCCTGCATGGTAATATGGGCTCGGATATGCTGTTCCTTAAGGAGAGCATCGATGCCGGTGTGAGGCAGGCGAAGAAGGACGCCAAAGTACGGAAGGCCAAGGAGAGGGCGGCCGCTGAGCAGGAGAGGGAGGCGGGAACTGCTGCCGCAAGAGGCGGTGGCGATGGCGCTGCTGTTGGGGCTGACCCTGACAAGGTCGAGAACCGGAGCGGGAAGGTGGACGAAAAAAACGATGTTGATGACGACGACGACGACGACGACGAAGAGGTAATCGTGAGAGGGTTTTCTGGTAATGCAACACGGACTGAGCGAGGGATCAAATACCTTGGGAAACGACTTGCCCGATTCGTTCTTTCAACGACGTATCCAGATCAGCCTTACCTGCCCACCACAAAGGCAACTCCAGAGGTTGCCTCACACACACTCAAGACGACTGGTCATAAACATGGTGTTGAGGGAAAACCAGCACACAAGCACAGTACTATTCACAAGGCACCAGTCAAAGGGCACAGGTTGTACAAGATCACAAAGATCAGCTTTGTTGCCCATTCCTTAGGCGGCCTCGTCCAGACATACGCCATCGCCTACATCCAAAAACACTCCCCTCTGTTCTTTGATCTTATTGAGCCGATCAACTTCATTGCAATGGCCTCCCCCTTTCTCGGCTTGAATCACGAGAACCCCCTGTACGTAAAGTTCGCATTGGACTTTGGCCTGGTTGGCAGGACCGGCCAAGACCTGGGCTTGACCTGGAGGGCCCCGACTATTGCGCGGAACGGATGGGGTGCCATTGTGAGCAACCTCGGGGAGAACGCCCACAAGCACGTCTACGGCGAAGCCCAACCGGAGTCAAAACCACTCCTCCGGATCCTGCCTACCGGGCCAGCACATATCGCTCTGAAGAAGTTTCGAAACAGAACTCTCTACTCTAATGTGGTCAATGACGGCATCGTACCGCTGCGCACAAGTTGTCTCTTGTTCCTGGACTGGCAAGGTTTAGGACGAGTTGAAAAGGCCCGACGGGAGGCTGGCCTGGTTGAGACGGTCGTCCGATCGGGCTGGGCAGAGCTCACAGGCGCCAATGTGACTACGGCTAGGACCAGCCCTTGGGTGCCGGCCGAAGGTGATCAGGGTGATGAGGGGGTACCGGGAGCACCGGGAGCCGATGCATCTGAGGTGCCCCAACCGCCAACGAACGCCACCCTGGAGGACGACCGACAGAGTCTTCGGGCAGCCAAGATTGCTCACCACGACTCAGGTCCCCCTCCCTCCCCTGGCATCGATTATTCGGCGAGTACAAATAACAGCAATCCTTTCACTGGGCTCTTCAACTTGTTCCGCAGTCACGACGGTCCAAAGTCGAGCCCTGCTTCGGCTCCAAAGCAGAATAAGATACTCCAGCGAAGCCAGACCCTCAAATTCGACGACTCTGCGGTCACGAGCTCCAGGTCCTCATCCTCTTCGAAGTCCAAAGTCACGACCGGGCATGAACTAACAGTAGACGAGTCGGAAGGGGTGTCGGCACCGCCTACCACAACCTTCTTCGAATCTGCAGGCGACGTGCTCAATCCGACACTTCCCACCGTGGAGTTCCTCATCGACCCTTCGAAGCGACCACGGGCAATATTCCACGATCGCATCTACCACCCGTCCGATATCCCACCCGCGCCTCTCAAGCGGCGGCCTACTGTTCTTAGTCTGCGCCAGAAATCGTTCACATCGGGCAATAAGTCGACCGACAGTCGTAACTCGTCTCCCTACTCCTCCAGCAACATTCCTCATCAAGATTCTTCGCTATCAAAGCGAGACTACGATGACACAGAGCACACGAACCCGGACATGGGCCCGGACGAGGAGGTCGACAGCTCGCAGATGCGGGTGGAGGAGAAGATCGCGCGCGCGTACCACCGCGACCTGTCGTGGCGCAAGGTGCTCGTCAAGCTCGAGCCCGACGCGCACAACAACATGGTTGTGCGGCGCATGTTCGCCAACGCCTTCGGCTGGCCCGTCATCCACCACCTCGTCGAGGCGCACTTCAGCGACTCGGCCGCCGCCAGGACGCCCGACGACGAGGAGACCAACGACGAGCGCGCGAGGCACCCGGCCGAGGCGCCCGACGAGCACGGCGCCGAGACGACGACCGAGACGGCGGGGAAGCAGGAGGATGGCAGCGGCAGCGGCAGCGGCAGCGACAGCGGAGGCGGTATGGACGCCGCCGTCCCCGCCGAGCGTGGCAGGCCCGAGCAGGATCCCGCGCCGGCGGAGGGGCCGGGGTCAGACCCGTCCGTCCAGCGGCTGAAGTCCGCCCAGCGGACGGTGAGCGAGGACCGCGAGGCGACGGACACCGTCTCCGACCTGCCCCAGACGCCCGACCCGCAGCAGCTGGCGTCGCCCCAGCAGCAGCTGCAGCAGTGCGACGTCTCGGACTCGGTCACCTGGAGCGACCGCGACTGGGTCGACAGCGCGGCCGAGAGCGAGGACGCGGATCTGGAGAGCACGGCCCGGGAGAAGCGGGATAAGGCCAAGGCTAGGGGCAAGGGCAGGGGCAATGGCGCCGAGCAGAGCCCCAGCCCCAGCCCCAGCCCTGGCCTGAGTCCGCTCGGGGGCGCGTGGAGCTGGACCGAGAAGATCGTGGGGAAGGGAACGGGTGGGCAGCCGAAATCGCCCCAGAGTTAGGGGGCCGGGGTAGGCGGTTGACTTTACTTGAGGGTGGCTTGGATAACGGGTTTTGTGGCAATCTTAGTTATTTCTTGCTTCTGTTGTATCCGATAGCTTCGGTGGGGATACCTGTTCAGCATTACTCCTTGGTTTTGCACTGTTTTCGGTACAACGATAGATGAATATCATATAAAATAGTTACAACCGGCCTACTATGCACTACCTACGCAGTAAGCCCTTATGCCGTCCAAAATCGCCGGCCAAACTCCGGCATGTGTGGAGAGCCTGCCGCCTTCAGCCGGCCGGCCCGAACCTTTCTTTCTTCTAGACAACGGTACCGCAGCCCGGGGGTCGGACTCGGGTTCTCTTCGGACAAAGAATATGTATTACTTCTCGGTGGTTGACAGCTATTCTGAAATGGCATTTTTTGACCATGTGCAGACCCCCTACCACTGGCCTCTCGCTCTAGCGCCTAAGAACCCCCCTTCTTGGTCTGCCTAGCTTAGTACCGTACCCCCATACAGTAATGCATTTGTCTTGGATTATTCTACACATGCTGACCGCCATTATGGAGATCAAGACTTGGTCCACACGCCGTCGATATCCTGGGTGACCGGAATCACCTTCCCATGCTCCGCGTATAATTATCGCCGCATTCCGTATACACACGAACTGCAGAAAAAGACCCGCCATCATCTTTAGGTAGTGTCTCCTCCCCCGGCGCCAGCATGAGAAATCGCGGTAGCGACGTGGAGCAGTATGGCGTAGGCGCCTAGCTAGACCAGGTTCAGGAGAGTCCGGCGCTGCAGGCTGCGAGTCGGCTGCATGCGAGGCTTGGTTGATCACCAACAACCCCGGCAACGGCAACCCAACCCCAGCCCTCCCCGAGCGAACCAGGCAATGGTTTTTTTTTTCTCCTTGTACAATGGACCGATCAACGGAGACAGCGCTTGCACCGTGTCCTAAGAGACATATCCTTTTTCCGATCCCCAAGCTCAACCAAGGGTTGCCAGTCCACTAGGAGAGTCCCTAGGCCGGATTCGTCCAGATGCTCCTAGTAAGCGAGCCCAACGGAGAACAGAGTACCACCTACCATACTGTATAGTACATAGCAGAGCACAGCACATCCCCCCATCCTGGCCTTACCCCATGTATGTATGTATGTATGTATGTATGTACTGTACGGATCCGTACATACCTCTCACAGGCGCCCGCTAGCTAGCGCAAAACCGCGAGCAAGGTAACCAAAAAAACAAAAGTTTGCGGTTTCGCTCGCCAATGTCGCTTCCATAGGGCCGGTGAGACAGGAAATCCCTCTCTTCAAGGGTCTAACTGCCGCGCCCAACAAAAAAAGCTAACAAGAAGAAAAAGCAAATGGGGGTTGGACCGACCGGGGGGGGGGGGGGGGTGTTTGCAAATCTTGCCTGGCGCTTGCCTGCCTCGGCTGCCTCCCTCCCCACCCCCTCCCCAATCACACTTCCAAACTCCTAAAAGTCGAGAAGGAACCCGGGACCCCCGACGGGGCTCTCGGGGAAAAAAGAGTTCCCCCTGCGGTGTCTTGGGGGGGGCTCATGGTAGGATTGGGGATAAAATTTTTCACTGCGCAAGGAAGAGGATCGGAGAGCGAACGAACAGGGGGATCGATCCATCCATCCTTTGTTTTCGGGGTTGAACTGCTTGTATGCACTCGTTACTGTGGTATGTACGGAGCGGGTTTCGTAGATCGGCTAACAAATGAACGCTGACGATTTGCAACTATGCCGTACATCGCCCAACCTTGGTCGGCTCTTAGTCATTACAGAGTAAGGGGCAAGGGAGAGTGGAAGACTACTTCTATCACGATGAGCAGATTTGGCCATGTCAACTTGAAAACGCCAGAGGTGGCAGTAAAATAGCACAAGCAGTAGTCGATACTCGCCTGACCTGGTTGATTTGACACAATTTATCGAAAGAAAACCCCATCCAGAATTTGTATTCTTTTATGAGCAACTTCAGGCTGCGGTAGTCCAGCAGGCGTCATAGTAATCATAGGCTCATATCGGTCGTTGTACGATTGATGGGTGCAAGCTCCTCGAACAAGCTCCGCCCCAGGGGGGAAAAAATAAACACGGGTATTAAATATGATACAAAGATACAGAGTTGAAGTGGAAGATATGGTGCGGAGAGGGAGACAAAGAGTGGTTGTCCAACAAATCCGTGTATGTCCATCATCATCAGCCTTTCCAAACCCAAACCGAAAAAGGTCTCCGCGGGTTCCACAACCGTCCCCCTTTGCAACCCTCGAAACGTAGGAAATGTGTGGCAAACGTTGACTAGCAAAATCAGCTTCCAAAGACCGCCAGACCGCCCCGTCGTGGCATGGGCAGTTCGTTGCCCAGCCTGAGAAACATGAATTAACCTCTCTCTTCATGTAGTGAGCGATGCTGACAAAGCTCGACTCGGCGCGTCCGGTTCGGAGGCTTGGTGCAAGATGATGTGGGTGATTGATTCCTGAAGGAGCGGGCAGGTTGCGGTCGTTGAAATGCGCCGAGGGGTGTGGGGTTTTCGGAGGAGCGGCCCGCCGGAGCCGGAGCCCTTGTTGGGGCCGCCAGAACTCCTCCAATCAGATGTCTCTCGCGAGAGAGTGTGCAGATTTGTGTGTAACCCCAAATTCATCCACCGGGGATAAGCCCATCAGGCTCTTCTTCGCGGTGCCTTTTAGAGTGTGTGTGCTTGGTTGTTCCTGTCGGATCTCCTCAGCCACTTTTAGCAAAATGTCGACCTGTGGAGAATGAGTATTGTCGCCAATAATCAGAGTCGCGATCAAGAGGTCTTCTCAGTCATAGACATAGAGTGGGCGTCGTCATCCGGAAAACGATGAGTCTGTGTGGTGGCATCGGTAGTACTAAGAAGCACGTTTTGGCGCTCAGTCGTCTCCCCACATGCACCGTCCGTCATCTTGATGAATGCACACACACACATGCACAAACCCAAGCTTGGGTCGTAGCGAGTGTCGGGTGTTGAACTTCCCATCCTGCAATGCGATATTACAAAGCGCCCGGCGCAGAATATCACACACGGCCTCGGGGAGAAATGACTTGCGGACGGCCGGCCAGTCACAAGGTCGATCAGCCCGAGGAAATATGTAGGTGCGAATGGCGGTGGCCACCAGTTGGGCGGCTGTCCGGTGCGCGAGGCGGAATGATATTTTGAATCTCGTGCATGCCGGCTTGTTGCCATTCGACCAGGCCGGAAACGTAGAATTGGTTGTGTTAGGCAAGATAATGGATACGTAGATATTGTCGGGGGGTTTTCGGTGGTCGTCGGGATTTGATGCTACTGCTGATTACTGCAGAGAAGCTGCAGCTGCAGCAGGAGTTGAACCTGCTTTTGGGGTCGGCATGAGTTATGCGCCGCCGCAGCTATCGCCCTCAACCGCTGAGGAAAGTTCGTCGCCTAACTTCAGCCTCTTTGATGATCTCTGCAGCCAGGCTCAGGCTAGGCGCCAGGACCGCATATCGCTCGATCTCCACGACGACATCGTTGATGAGCTGGTCAATCGTCTCGCGGTGGGGGACGATCGTCATCATGATGCCGGATAGCGACGGCGACATGGTGGCGCCCATGACCAGCAGCGTCTGCGATACGATGGACAGGGCGCCCTGCCAGAGGTAGGGCATATGGCCGGCGTGACTGCGGCGAATTGGTTAGATTGGGGGGGATATTGCAGAGCCAAGATTTTTTTGCATGGGAGATCTTGAAAAAAGAGAATATGGAGCGGGCCGGGGAGGGCGACCAATGACACGGCGCGGGATCGACTTACTGTGCAGCAATATGTTCCAATTGCCGAATTGAGGCTTCGAGGCACTTGTGACAGCTCTCCCGCACTGAGGGGTCCAGTACCGCCTGTTCGTTGTCCAGGACTGCCAGAATGTACGGCCGGTAGATGATGGTTCGGCAGGCGAAGAAGCGCAGCCTGAGCACCGTCTGTACCGGGTCCGGGAGCATCGCCCGCGTGAAGGGAAATTGCAGCGGCCCTGGGAGGCTCTCGTACCACTGCGTCAGCTGGAAGTCCAGCTCGGCCACGACTGGCTCCAGGCTGGTTGTCGACGCCATCGAGTCCTTGGAGTAGATGAGCTGGCTGACCCGATTCAAGAGCCTCCGTAGTGCGATCTCGGCCAGGAAGTACCATAGGTCGTCGCGCCCCACTGCCTCGTGTTCGTCCCCTTCAAATCCTCCGGGAAGGCCAACGTTCTCCTCGAATGCCACCACGCCGGAATGAGGTAGGTCGAGCTCTGCAAGTAGGTCGCTCTCGAAGAGGAGTGCGTTCCAGTAGATTCGCTCGCTAAGCTCCCTCTGATCCGACGGCACTCTGTTCGGCGTCATAAGCAGCAGTTGAAGCTTGGTGCTTGTGGTGCAGAGCAGATTCCAGGCCTCCAGCGGCCGGACCAGGTAGAAGAGGTAGGCAGCTGCGAGGAGATGGCATTGTGCCGCCAGCACGCTGTTGGACGTCATCATTCCGGGAAGCAGTGACCAGGCGGCCGTGAAATACTGAAGACCAGGAGGATCCTCCTGCGGCACCACGCGGGATATGCTTCCGCGCAGGCTCGCCTGGCCGAGTGCCAACACTAGCAGGACGATGCAGCTCTCGGGGCCTTCCCTGAAGCCGTTCGACAGGGCAATGCGGTAGTGGCTTCGCCAGGTGTACGGATTGACGCAGGCGTACCAGACATTGACGCGGTCGAAGTAGGCCTCGATATATGCATTCGTGTTTGACAGGTCAACACAGGGCGTCTTCGCCAGCGAATGCAGCGGCTCTCGAGCCATCTCGAGCTGGAGTAAGATCTGGGGATCGTATGGCCGCGAGACGAGGTCCCGGATGAGAGGCCATTGGAGCAGATGAAGAGCAGCATTCGTGTGGATCTTTGGCATTGTGGAGATATTCGTTCCGGGGATGGGGGCGGACCAGGTGCCTAACCCTCCGCTAGGGATTATGGAGACAAAATTGTTGTCATTCTGGATCATCATGTTGTCGCCGCTCAAGGCCGTGCCATTGCTGATGTTGGGCGAGTTTTGCGAGATGCCCATGCCGTTCCCCTGGTTGACCATGTTCATCTGAAGCAAGCCCTCAATGCGGTTAAGGCGTTCCAGGATTAGCTTGTCGCCAGCGTCGAGCTTGATGCCTGGCTCCCGGTAGACGCACTCGGCGCCAAGCTCTGTACAGAGCTTGCACTTGGGCTTGGTCCCGTCGCATCGTGACTTTCGTGAACGGCATACTTCACACTACAATAACAAACTCAGTCAGCACTCGCCCCCTTCTCTCGCGCAACGACTGGGCCGGCATTGCACATACAGCAATCGTTGCTCTCCTCCTCGGGTAGTCGACGCCAGCGTCGGTATTCCTCCTCTTCAGCGGATTCATGCCCTCGTCGCTGGACGTCTTGTGCGGCCCGTTAGACATGTTGTCTTGCCGATTATTATCAGAAGGTTGCACCAGGTTCCGGGCCTTCTGAGCCGCACCCAGGATTCCCTCCCGACTAAAACTCGGCGTCCGGGCGGATTTGAGCGAGGTGGGAGATTTCAAGTTGTTCGGCCCGTTGGAGGCTGTCAGCTGCGGTGAGGGGATGTCGATAGAAAAGCCATCCCTGGACGGCAAGGGGAACGGCCTGCTTCCGGTCTGGTTTCCTGTTACTGCACCGGAGCCTGAATGGGGCGAGTCTCCCGTCGAGGACGGGGACATGTTGAGAGTCCGGGCAAGGAGGGTAGCGGCCGACGTGCTGGGCAGCTGTTGCTCCCGGAAGAGTCTTTACACCTACCAGCAGCCTGGCGAACGAGAAAGGGGGTTGCGAAAAGAATAGCAACACAACAAGCCTCTACAAAGGCGCCGAGGGCAGGGAACAGCAGTACAGGAGTGACGATGATACTCGGTACTACTAACCGTCCAGCCAAAGGTCGTCGGTTGTTGTCGTTATCGTCGTTATGCTCGCTTTACATGATATAACCAGATGACAATGGTTGCATCAAAGACGGCGGGGGGTAGGTGGGCATCTATGAGGTCGGTGGGAAGGGGGAAGGGAAGGATGGAAGCTGCGGGATTGTGGCGGATTGGAGGATTACATATCTCGAGAGTAGGTATCTTGCATGGTTTTTGCAAATTGCACATATCCAGAGGCGGCAGCAAACGAGCACCTCCCTACAACAATAACAGCCAAGAATGACCATCCCAGGATTGTCCTTCTCCGGTACGGATGGGCGATTCAAAAATGGAAAGGCTCAAATTGCTAAGGTACCTCGCAAAATGCGCTTACACGACTAGAGCTGCGTACGCTCGCAGTAGCTGGTACACTAATAGAGTCCTAGCATCGGGGGCGTGGGGAAAATAGAGGCGCGGGGAGCAGGGGGTTGACCTATGCCAGGACTGGGCAGGATGGGGTGTGGACACCCCGGTGGACACCGGTGGGGTTCCCGCCTGGTCAGAGGTCACGCACAAGGTCCCTAAATCAGTACGCGATACCTCACTAGCGCACACATCAAACCATACAAGACTGGTTGTTGCAGTTGCCTGACCAGGGCCTGTCGGTGATGAGGTGTTTGTTGAGGGTTTCGCTACGTCGTCAAATCTAACAACAACCATGGTGGTGACTGGTCCTTGACACCAGCACAGCGATTGGTTGGGTCGGTCGGGTTTTGGATTGTCTAAGAGCTGTAATCTTGCAGAAGACGAGGTAGTGGCGTGCTTGTAGTTGCGCACACCAAGGAAACGCGGGGGTGGGTCCCACCGTCTTGCTTCTTCTGCTCGCCCAGCGCTCTCCATGCGGAGAAGAGTCAAGGGAGATTTATCCGGTACACTGAAACCCGTTGGGAAGGCGCTCAGTCGCCCAGTCATACCAGGGTCGGACCTCATTTGATGACGACGAAGATGAGATCACAGATAATTATCACCAATCCTGCGCATCACCACTTCAGCCTTCTATAGGGCGTGGTGGGTGGTGGTCGGATGAAGGGAAAAGGACTGAGTTGGCTGTCTGTTTGCCTGGGAGCTACCTATTGTGGAGGAGGGGGAAAGTGCTGGAAAGTTGTGGGGATTCTATCGCGAAATATTGTACCTCATAACGATTGATTGGCCACCAAAACTTGCACTGCTGACACCAGGACTGACTTTTGCTGTGTGTTGCACGTATAGCCCCACCTCGTGCAAATAGAGAGAGCCGAGCTCAAATATTTTGAGGCACCTGCAACAGACATCATCATGTTTGGGGTCTGAGAGTGACTCTGAGTTTGGAGTACCTCATCACAGCACATCGCCGCCGGTCTGGAACAAAGTCGGATCGGGCCTAGCTTGTGAAGCCCAACCTTCTTAGCGCATTCGAGCATTTTAGCATAAACCAGCCCAACTGTCCTTGCGCAATTTCGCAGATCTGGCCCCTCCGTCTTACGCTAAGCCGACCTACCTATAGCGCTCAGACATTATGAGATTTGAAAGCTCCTCGTCAGGGTTCTTATTAGTGTCCTAACAGGATACGGATATGATCGGTGTTGCTTCAACGATGACTGGGCGTATGTACCGTTACAGTACGGATACAGTACCTGCATTCTACGAGGCTTGATTTGTGGCGGAGAGGACGCCACTCGTACGAAGTCGTACCCATCTGGTATCCTATTGCGCCTCTTCCATCCATGCCTGTTGCCCTCGACTTCCTGCCTCCTCGTACAATATATGACATTGGTAGGTAGTTAGCCGGTCAGCGAATGTCAACGTCATGGGGTCAAGCTCCCCCGTCACCGCTGCCATCGCATATCATCCCCCCCTTCTCCTGTCCCTTGGATAGCGAGTCGCTTTCCTTACCTTCCTATCTCGTGGAGAGGCTGTGAGCCGCGCCAAGCCCAACATCTTTAACAGCATGATCGTGTTCTATTGCGTATGTAACCAGTCCTATTTCAGGTAGCCGACTTAAGGAAGCGAGGTAGGCTGGGGGATATTGGGATTCCTCGGCAGCTACATAGTAGCTAATTAGAGCCCGTCTATATTGGGAAGCGCGCCCTGCCGAAAAGCACAAGCCCTGCTGGTCGGAATCAGACTTCGCTGTCAGGCGTCGAAGGATAATAATACCGACAGCTCGCCTCCAGGGCTGTGGGAATTCATCGTCCATCCCGAATGGCGCTTGTGACCTTTCAGATTACATTGTAAGTCGCGAGTGGACGAATGGACAGCGGTACTTTTGTACAGTCACGAATGCCAATGCAAATATCAAGAGCAAAGACCAGAAATGGACTGTCGGTCCGATTACACGCCATTAGATCCTTACAGACCTCGTGGCCCCCAGCCATGTGGCTGTGAGCTAACCCGTTTTGGGCGCTCCAGGTGTGGAGAAATCACTTGTGGTGGGCGACTCCTCATAAATGCATATCGAGGGTTATGCACCACACTGACCAATCAATGAATGGAGCAGAACGCTTCTGAGTCCCCGCCTCTGGCTTACCTCCGAGCCGAAGTGGTTTGTGAACGATTTACATGATTCAAGTCTGGCATCATCTCTCCCCCTGCGACCTCGTATCAGTCACCCGCCGCAAATCAATCAAATTGCCATTCACGCCGTCGCCAGCATCTGCGGTTGGGACCGAACCACGATTCGGTGGGGTGCCTCTCGGGATGGAGAGCTCGATTATGGTCATGAGGCTCGCCGAGACCGACGGGCAAGATATTAATTGGCACTCACATGACTGAGATAGCAACAGGCTCTCTACCAAGTGGCAACGGCCCACTTAACTTGACCAAAGACAAGGCTCTAGGATACCTAGGTCCCATGTTCAGAGCTGTTCGTCACCGCTCGAGACTTCCAATCATTATTCGTGCAATCGCTTGTACCGGACCCTCCGGCCTCATTCTTCAGAGCCTCATATGCAATATAGCTTGCTTTTAGACCCCGGGAGGGCGCGCTTTACCACATCGGTTTCGAAAGAGAAAAGAAGACGATAGAAAACTTGATTTCAAATGTAGGTGCACCGCGAAAATAGCCAAACAGGGCCTGGTCGGGAGGCCTAACGACTACCGTGGCGTCAACCTCGCTTGCTCCGTCGCCGTCCTAGCGTTTGTCCGGCGCGTCTGGTTCCCCGGATCCCCTCCCATTAGCGGTCCCCCTCAACGCCGAACCCCACGCACCCCCCGGCTCGCACTTCGGCCACACCCTCACCAGCCATTTTTTAGCTCAACCCAAGCCCTGTAGAGTTTGGTTCGTCAACTTCATCATATGCACACCACAGACAAAAACTCGTCCTTGGCCTAGCTTCTTACGGCTACACATCGTATTTCCTTGACACCGTTCCACTCAACCCCGAAATCTTATTAATCATAGCAAGGTCGTTCATAAGCCCAACAACAGACGAGGGAGATGACCAACAGCTTGTCTCATCTCGCTAATAGGACCCAGAAACAGACTCGCATGATCAGGTCGTCGACGACACCAACAACCCGGATAAGGATTACCATGGCGAACAGGTAGATACATTTTCTGATATGCCAGCCATCGTTCCTCCGCCCTGCAGTCTGCACGCATGTTTCGCCCAATTCGGAAAGTGAGAAAGATATGACAGGCCCAAAAAAACGGTGACGCCACCCTAACCTCGCCTAGAGGGGGTAAGTACCTACTGTACCTGCGCCCCTCCTATTTTCTCGAAGCACTTGATCTCTAACTGGAAGGCCCCTTGCAAGGAAGAGCCCTGCTGCCTACGACACCGAGATCGTCAGGCAGTCGGAATATCCAACAACAGCAGCTCCTCTCAGCCGCGCCCCCGCCGCGGTCACGAGTGCTGGGCGAGTATATGAAGCTCAGGTAGGTAGGTACTATGCAGCAGGTTTGTACCTATCCCGCCAAGCCTCGGGACTGAGCCGGACGCTAGCGTAATTGAAGCCCATGAGGCTCTTAATGTATTGATCAGCTTGCCCCCCCTCATTTCCAGCAGGGTAGGTCCTATGCTAGAGTACCTAATTATGGGGGGGGGTGGCACAACTGTCTGAGCCGGCAAAGATGAGACCTGTCCCATCATAAGTCGGCCGCTGAGCTTGGCAGCAGTTGGCCTGTTGTCAGTTGGTGATGTGATAAAGTGCTTCCCAAATCACAGATCATGCATTTGCAGCATGCAAGAGGGCACAACCGTCGAGTGGAAGGTTTTAACGAACATGGTGGGTGCACATATAACACGTGGTCGCAGACCCGGGCCATATCCCTTCTTGGTTCGTTATGCACCGCAACCGCAACCGCCAAATTTTGAAATGATCTTCAACCAAGCTCATTACCTTATTCGGAGGGAAGGGATCGCTGTGCACTGACTCATGCGAGGATCATAAGAGAATTGCTAGGAGATGTGACTATGCAATATAGGTATGTATTATCTAGTGAACATATGCAACCAGATCTCCCATTCCGGGGATCTGTATCAAAGTGGGTCATTTATTCGTCGAAGATGGCACAAGTGACCTCGCCCTCGACATCAGCACTGGCGAGGAACCCCTTCAGTTCGCCGGTCTCGGTGTCCCGGTCGATGACCACGACACGCCCGTCCTTCTGCAGGCCAACGGCGACGAGATTGCCGGCTTTGTTGAGCGAGAAATGCCGAGGGCCTATGCCCCCTGCGGGGAAGGTTTGGACCAAGCTCAGAGCCCCAGTGCAATGATCCAGGGAGAAATTCAGGAGGGGATCGGACGGGATCTCCGTCGAGTCCTCGGGGTCAAAGCTTGGGATCTTCAATCGTCCGTCATCTCTGGATGCCACAATCAGGAACTTGGAGTCGGGCTATCAATCATGGTCAGCTTGGCGGACTCACGAGCATGGAGGTGGGGCGGTTAGGCACTACTAACCGATATCTGGATCTCCGAGGCAGTTGCCCCTTTGGGGGTTGAGGCTCCCTCTCCATAGATGCTTGTGATGTACACCTCGTTAAAGCCGAGGGTCTTGTTCTGGTTGTAGAGCACATCGTAGACGGTTATGGTACTAGTCAACTCGGAGACCAGGTAGAGGAAGGTGTTGGTTTCAGTCACGAGGAAGACGCCGTGCCTTGGCCCACTGCCAGGGGCCGCAACCAGCGGTGCAACGGCGGTCCGCTCGAGAGTTTCGCCATCAAGCAAGAAGACGCGAACCAGATCAGCACCAAGGTCGGGCACGAGAAGGAACTGGCCAGTAGGGTCAAGGAAGGCCTCATGGGGGTGCGGGGCGTTTTGGCGTATGGGGTCCACCCCAGGTTGGGGGATAGTGAACGTATCGCTTTGGATTGGTGCAAGAGCGGCTGGATCCGAAATGGAGAACGAGCTCACCGAGGACCCCGAGCTGGGCGCGCGTGTGTAAGTCCAAGTTCCGGGCGGTGGGCAGAAACAGCGAGAGACTTACTACTCGGCGAGGGCTAGACCTCGACCGCCGGTGCCATAGATGACACCGCTCACAGGGCCAAGGATGGTGGTGACCTTGTCTAACCGAACCAGGGTTCCGTCGTCGGCGGTACTGTAAGAAGACAGACTGCCGTTCCTCGAGCTGAGGCCCTCGTCAAGGCAGTAGAGGGTGGAGTTGGAGTAGTCAAGGGTCAGCCATGAGGGGTTAGGCGCACAGCCGTCCGAAGATGCGATGGGCTGCAGGTGTGCTTCGGTGGCGTGGTCCAAGTTGGATAATGACAGATTAAAGGTGGTGATGGTGCCGGCGTAGGACGACACATACAGAAGCGAGGCCGAGGTGGCGCTCGGGAGACCAAAGGCGAGCGTGCCGGCTGTTAGGAGAGATCGTAGCGCCATGGCAGCAGCAGTATCAGGCATGTGGACAAGGTGGACAAGGTGGAGAAACTTGGAGGCGAAGCTGCTGCCGCTATCGTTGGCGTCGTCTAAGCGTATTCCAGAAGCACGAGATACCACGAAGATGGTGAGTGGGACGAGGGCGAGAACGGCAACAACAACAGCGGCGGTCAGGTTAGTAAAGAGACAACGACGACGACGACTGCGATGGCCTGGTAATGTCGCAGTGACAGCCGATGCCGTGGGCCATGGTGACTTTGAGATTTCCATCTCCCATCGACCATCACGATGGACGGCTCTGAAGTCAATTTCCATAAGGGGAAGTAGGCACGAAGTAACAGTAGGTAATTTATCCGGAATCAAGACCCTTGTTCCTGACTGGGGTAGCCCTGGCGCGGTACTTGCGCAACGTAATTTACTGGCGTTATCCGTAACACTACCGCGCCTTTGAAGTGATACCAGCCTTAATGAGATGTTTACGTTGTACTCGAGGGAGCATAGCAGGCGCACAATCTGGTTGTACCTCCGAGGCAGGAACGAGCGGCAAAGGTACCAACCATATATTCTTTTACTGGCGGAGTGACTTCAGTGGAGAAACCTGGTCAGTAATTCCCGGTCATACAACCCAATCCGGCACGAGCGGAGGGAGCATCTAAGAATGCGGAGAAGGTGGGGAATCGACCTTCAACACGTCGCTCGCATTTCGAGATCGACCATTCAGAGGAAACTAGGCACCTAATTCTCCGCGAACCAGCGCGTGTTGCAAGTTGCCTGGCTTCGTTGGTTTTGCTATCGATGCGCGGTCTGGTCCCCTTTCAATCTACTTTTAATATATCTCCACCCCAATCAAAGGACGGAGCATTGCGGCGCTTCCACCCATCATGCAAGGAGGAAAGAGGAAACTGCCCAGCGTCGCACTCCTGCAAGCCAATGCCGGAATAGTTACATCCATTGGGTGCCCGCGCGCCTCTTCTTTGGCTACGTTGGGTGTAAGCTACTTCTTTCCTCCTCCTGGGCATGCGCGCTAACTAAATAGTGTACCTGCAATGCGGTGAGTTACGTTCTTAAGTCGTGCATTGGTTGGCCCCTGAGGATTCGCCAGCGGACTTGACCCCCGTCCCTCGTTGAGACTTGTCACGGCGCACTCGAGTCTTCGGTTCTCGAGCACCACACACCAAGTAGGTGGTCGTATTTCTCTTGTTCGCCTATAGCCGGATGTTACTCTGTCGGCACCTACAGAGATGGGTTCCCAAACTTCAGGCCCACCTGAAAAGCACATGATTGAAGGTACGGTTCTAGTGTAGAGGGGGGGGGGGGGGGGGGGCGGGGGGGGGGGGGGGGGGGGGGGGGGGGGGGGGGGGGGGGGGGGGGGGGGGGGGGGGGGGGGGGGGGGGGGGGCG